CCTCGATATTTTAGATCAGGGGTCAGCAACCCGCAGCTCTGGAGCCACATGTGGCTCTTTCATCCCTCTGCTGCAGCTCCCTGTTGCTCAAAATATGCGTTACAACCGCCAATGTGTGGTACCTGCCCGCACATGATTTATTGAGCTTTTCGACCCCCGGTAGGCCAACCATGGCTAAATCCAGAAAAGAAAAGTTTCAGAAGGAAACAGAACATTTAATTCAACTACAAATGCTGGTTCTGTGGCCTCTCAGGAAATAGTCAGGCACGGGAAGGGTTTTGTGGCTCCCGGTATTTTCTTTTCTGTGGGAAACGGATCCAAATGGCTCTTTGAGAGTTTAAGGTTGCCAACCCCTGTTTTAAATCAATTAATAAAATAATTGGTTTTTTTTTTTTTACAAAATTATAAAATGTAAATGTTACAGGTTTCTTATGACAGTGTTGGTTTTAATTATCCTGATTTTAAAGCACACCATAATAGATATTAACTACTGTAATGGTATGTAATTCTACATTCAGAACCTAAGACAGATTCACATGCTGACACGTAAGATATTCCTAAATTATTACTTAAGAGAATAGCCTCCTCATCAGATTATAAAGAAGCTTTGAGTATATAAGTAAAAAAAACTGCCTTAGCAACTTGGGAGATAAACTAGCTGCTCAAATTTCTAAACTTTTTTTCCTATCATCTATCATCTCAGTGTGGTAGAAATGGTGAGAGAATCTTGTTTTCTGTTGGGATGAACTATCAAGAGCTTAATATAGATTGACATTTTTCCCCCTAAAGGTTTCGCTTCCTAAAAACCTTTTGGTGATTATGATACACCCTTTCAAATTGAACACAAATATAATTTCAGAATGAATGTATCACATAGTATCCTTGAAAAATATAAAGTAACTTTTAATGATTATATTTAATCACAGGTTTCACACATGATTTGAGTTCAACAGATCTGAAAGTATTTTGCTGCTGATTTTCATTTGTACTCAGTGTCTGATGTATCACGCTGCAGTGTCTAAGAACAGTCAGCCAGCACTTATGGATTCCAGTTGCCTTGATATCATTCTTCTATCCAGACAATGTTTTGGTGAAGCTTTTCATCATGTTTGTCACTGACTACACCTAGATTTTGGGGAAAGAAGTCCAAGTATGAATAAATCCTCAGTGACATGTTGCACTTCATAATCTTGTATACTGTAAAGTTTGTCAACAGCTGAATGTAGTTTGGTGCTCTGTAGTTGCCAAGAAAATTCTCAATGACAGCTTTTTTTTTTGTCCAAAATAAGGTAATTTGAGCCTGTCATTTGTCCCTCTCAAATGAGAAATCTGGGTTGAATTATGTGATGATGTTATTTTTTTTATTGGCTGTTCAAGATATTCTGAGGACTCTTCTCCAACATCTATATTTAAAAGCAACATACTCTTTAAAACTTGCTTCTTTAAAGTCCAACTTCCATAGAGATTCACAGGGAATACCACTGCTTGCAGTATACTGATTTTTGTAAGTATAGACATACACTGCATCTGACTATATTTTCCAAGGCTTTCATGCTGCTGTACCAGTTTGCTTTCTTCTGTTATTTGGAGGTGTCTTTTCACATTCATTCTTAGTTTCCTTAAATTCATTTCATAGTTTCTATGGTTGTTTATAAATAAGGCTTAGGATTTCAAAGTGATTCCTGATATTCTCTTTAAAAGTAGTGGGTATGTGTTGAAAATGATGTTGAGAGAACTAGTTGATTTTCATCTTCTCCTTTAGCTTAGCCTGGAACTTGCATAAGAGCAGTTCATGTTCTGTTCCACAGAAAGCAGTTAATCATGTCTTTGATGTTATCACTGAGTTCCTCCACTTCATTTAATCAATAATATAGTCAATTTAATTTCAATTAACTCCATTTAGTGATTTTGATGTATACAGACATTGTTTTAATATGAAGACAGTGTTAGCTCTGAAAAAAATTATTGGAGTAGCAGAAATTGCTTTGTTGTTTTCATACTTCATTATTTCAATTTCCTAAACCATACAATCCAAATATATCTTCCTCCTTAATATTTCCAACTTTGGCATTCCAGTCTCCAATCATAAGCAAGACATCTTGCTTGCTTTTTAGATTGATTTCAAATTAACTTGATTGTAAAATTCATTAACCTATTCTTTTTCTGCATCAATAATTGCAGCATAAAATGGAATGATCTTCAGATTGTTCACAAAGTCTCACTGATTTTATCTGGTCACTTAGTGCACTATGGCCTACACCCTTCGTAACTATAATAAAGGAAGGCAATTCCTTTTTGGTGTGTGTTTCATATCTTAAGTAATAAACAGTGTAACCTTCTGACTGAAAAGTGTCCAGTCCCACCTCATCTCAATTTACTATGCCTAAGGTAGAAATTTCTATTAATTTCATTTCATCTTTCACTGTTGAGCTTTCCCATATTCATGTTTCTTATAGTTAGCACACACTCTCAATGTTCTTTGCTTATCCCTCCCAGAAACATCCCCTTGCCATAATGAGGCCAGGACTTGGAGGGATCATGATCATGGCAACTTCAATAAAGTACTGGAATGAAAATGAATATGTACCATTATGTAACACTCAACTGTATATATACCCTTGGATTTCAACAAGTACCTACTTCTCATTATTATAGGAATTATCTTTCAAGAACCTAAGATAGTTAAACATATTAAAGCATGATTGGGTAAAAAATTAAAATTTAATCTCAGCTAGAAACTGTTCTAGGTCTTGCCTTGGGCACAAAACCAGTTTAGTGACCTTGAGCTAGTCTCTCTCTTTCAGCCCTAAGAAGCTGGCAATAGCAAATCATTTTCAAAATCTTGCTAATAAAACTGCAGGGACTTTTCCAGGCAGTCACCAGGAATCAAAACTGGCATGTACACACAAACATATGAAAAACTAATGACACAGAAGAATAATTGATCTATAAGCTGAGGGAAAATCTTCTGCAATGGAAGAAATATAAGCAGAAAATGGAATATTCACTCTTAAACAGTTAATTAATAGTATCTTTTGACACAATACAAAATAAATATAATTGATCAAAAATCAATAAATAATAAAAACATATAGTTAAACTATCCCCAGTAAGTTAATCCACCTACATTCTCTATTGGTTCTCATTTATCATGTAAGGAAAACTGATATATTGTAAGTGAGCATTTTCTACTTTGCTTTAGCAGCTAGATTACTTAAAAGCTCCTGAATTATATTAAAAAGCTTGCAATCGACACAGGAGTCAGCAGTGTCATAAAACTACAAAGTATGCAAATGCAATTTTGGAAGGCATTTAGAAGAAACACTTAAGATCTCTCTTTATGTTCCAACTTTCAATCAAAAGCATATTCTTTCTCTCCTTCATACTTGCATATACAAATACAACCACTCATGGAAAGGATTTATCTTTGTTTATAAAAATGCAGATGTGAGCAGGCATAAAACTGGGCAAGGCTCAGCACATTTCTGCTCACACAACATGCCTACTATTTTTTGGCTGGCTATTTATTTATTTATTTATTTATTTATTTATTTATTTATTTATTTATTTATTTATTTATTTATTTATTTATTTATTTATTTATTTAGCGTATGAAGTGTGAAGTGAAATGAAGTGTTTTAATATTGTGTGTGACCAGCCATACGCTAAATAAATTTTGGTATGTGACTATACAATCTTGGTGGCATCACTAGTAATGAAGTACAATTCTTCTCCTGTATAAAGGTTACTTCACTGGATGGGTTTTTACCCATATTTATTTGCATGTAACTGTTATGTACAATTTTCTTTCTAGGTGTTATATAGGTAGTCAGATTAGTTACATACATTAAATAAGTCTAAATTTAGAATTTTAAAAGTATAATAATTAAATAGACTAACAACATGAAATAAATAGTTAGGAGTTGGAGAAAATCAATGCTTACAGAAGGCATAAAGAAAAAAGACTTTTATCATGATTAAAGAATACCACAACAGACCTTTGCTTTTCACTGAATCAGGAATGTATGCACTACTCACTCAAACATGTTAGCATTCAAACATGGTAACGACTATATCCGTGATGGCGAACCTATGCAACGCATGCCAGAGGTGGTACACAGCACCCTCTCTGTGGGCACGTGAGCCGTCACCGCAGTTCAGCTCTGCCGTGCATGCGTGTGCGCCTCCCGCCGGCCAGCTGGTCTTTGGGTCTCTGCATGTGGGGGGGGGGGAAATGTGGGGGCGTGTGTGTATGCATGGGGGTAGGGGAGCATGTGCAGGGGCTTGGGGGTTTGGGTGTGCATGCGCTTTGGGCACTCGGTCCGGAAAAGGTTAGCCATCACTAGACTATATCAACAACATTTTGGATGGCTGATATAACATATGTTTTAGACTACAAGAACAGCTTCATTTTTGTAGCACTTGACTTGAAGCACCAAGAAACATCTGGTGGTGCTCTTTGGGAGGCTTTTGAACCTGTGGATCCCAAGGAAACCCTTGGAGAGAAAGAGAAAAGCCAGAAGTGCCCAAAAAAGCACTAGATTTACCCACTCTTGTCCATTTAAGAAGGCAAGACCTGAATCCAACAAAATTGGACAACTTTCATCCTAACTCTCTTTTAGGGAATGTTATTGGGAAAGTGGTTTTATAAGGATATGGAGGATATGGATTTTCTGAACTCTTTCCTGTATGGATACAAGCCTGGGCATGGATCAGAAACCTAGACCTATGATCTATAACAGGGACTGGGTGAAATATGGACTGTCCCCATACTCATGGTGTATACATGGATGCGTAGGCAATTAACTATACTCCATGATGCTATTTTCCATAAATCCATAATTTAGCCATTTATGTTTGTGGCTACTTTAATTAATAATTATTCTTATTGTAACTTTTGAAAATTATCTGAAGTACAATTGGTTTGAAGTGGCAGACTAAATCAATCAATCAGTCAGCATATCAATATTTTAAGAATGGGTCACTTCTTCAAGTCTTACCTGAGCAAGTGATACCGGAGTTCTTTTCTTCATCTCCAAGGAAGTCAAACTTATTTTCTCTCCTTTATGACTTGCACTGCATTTAAAGCAAGTCCACCTCATCTGTCCTGTTGTTTCAGTGCCACACTCTTTACTTAGCAGACAAAGGGAATGGTACAAATGGCCACAACTGTTATATAAAAACAAATTACATATATTACACTGTATGCACACATAACATAAAACTGAATATCTAACATCCTAAAATGTATAATCAAATCTAAAAACTTTTTTACAACAAGTATTATAATTCTACATAGTATCTTAATGTTTAAGCCATTTTTAGACATATACAGTGTAATGTTAGTTCCTTATTCAGAATTCCATGCAACTTCCTACCACATACATATGCAATGGAACGCACTCTTTAAAAACCTTCCTTCTACACTTATTGCATGCTACATCTCATTTTAAAATCTTTACTATGATAATTTAAGCCATGAGAACAATTCTAGCAGAGATTTGATTGTATTACTGATAGAACTATCATCAATATGTTGACAAGAATGGATAAAAGTCAGTCTTGAAGGCATCTGAGATGGGTCCCCTCTTTGGAAGCAGACTTTTCAAGAAATACAAATTTATCCTAATATATATACAGCAAATTTTTCTTATCCTCAGTTAATAACTAAAGCTGTTTGGAAATAAAAGTTCCTACCTTATCATGCTAAATTTCCCTTTTCCCTGCCCTCTTTCCTGAAAATATGACATTTTCCTTTCCCAGTCAAGCATGTTACATCTTCTATTTTAATAAAATGGGGCACAACATTCTCCCCTACTGTCTTCTTGCACAAGAAATAGGAGTGGTAATATTACTGTAAGAAGCCTGCTCTCTAATCATATTTTAATTTCTCTCAGCTCTATGAGGCAGGAGAGGTTTTTGTCGCCTGCAGTTAAAGCAATTTTTATATTTGTTGCATTTCTTAGTCAATAGTGGCCATACAAGATTGTACTTTATGATGACTAGGCACCATTGCCCTTTCATTGTTGAAATTCAACTTTATGTAAAATGAATTAGAAGCAGAACCAAAATGGAGATTTTATAGTATTTTATAGTATTATATTAATTAAGCATTTCCAAATAATCCTTCATTAATACTACCTATGAACTGTAATGCTAACTGAAAGCTTTGTGTTTGCAGGTTCAACCCATTTATAATTTTGCTTGTCTGGCGAATAAAGGATTAACTGCCCTGTATTTAATAACTTACTGGTTATTGGTTACTGGTTATTACATAATTCTGTTTTCAACTGAAAAAACTAATATTATTAGTAAGTATAGCTTGGACAGTAATAGACAAGGTGGACATCTACATACATTATATTATTATTGTTGAAGCTATTCACTAGTCTGGACTTACCTGAAGACTACAATCTGGTCACCAGTCTGTTGCCTTCTCTTGTACTGTTGCAAACAAATACAGCAATAATCTTGTTTGGGATTGAGCCCTCTAGTCATAGATGCTTTCAAATTACGTAAAGACCAGTGGAGATCGCGGTTAAGTAAGCTTGTTGTTGTCTCCAAAAGAGTCTAGCCAGGCAAAATAATAATATAGAAATCATTTAAATTGTTGCCACATTATATATATTACTACAGCATTTGAATAATTTTTTTCCCAATAATTACATAGGAAACATTACATCTACCCATCCTACCAGATCCAGCAGAAAGGACATGCTGGGAGTCTCGTTGGCTAGGGATCTATATTTGACACTGAAAAAAGGAGGCTGAAGAACAAGACCAAAGAATACCTATCAAGAAAAATCTCCTAAAAACAAAGAAGATTAAGGAAGTACTGGAAATAATAAAGAAACAGATAACCACTATAGCCAAAAAGATCAGCAGATATGCTTTTTCAAGGGGCAACTGGACTTTCCTGTTTTTCTTTGAACATGTTTTGCTTCTCATCCAAGAACTCCTTTAAGCCTTATAAGTGAGGATAAAAACTAAAAATCCAGTGGGTATTGGAGATGAAGAAAGAAGAGAAAGAGAGATGATCGGGAAAGAAAAAGAGGGGTAACTGGCAGATTTCTAAAGGGGATTTGTGCAAGGTTCACTCAACTCCATCCATTCCATTCAGGGAAGATAAAGATCTTCTGTCAAAAAAATTTCATAAACATGTGCCAGGCCAAATATTACTAGATGAAAAACAGTCCTTCATTGATTAAATATTTCAGCTGATAATAAAACACATGAATTGTTTTTAAGCAGGTAAGCATAAGTAAATATACATTTATTTAATGTGGTACAGTGTACAATTCTAAATCTTTTCATCTTAAATCAATTTCCATCACCAGGTTTGGAAATAATAAAAAGCTGTACTTAAATATAAAGATACTGAACCCCACTTTTCAGCAATACAAAAATTAGTAAAGAATTAGGAAACTGCATTTAGGAACTGAATATTTACAGACTATCTAAATCACCTACTGAAGTTTAATAAATTTCATCTTTTCAAGGACAGCTTTTCAAATCCCAATTCAATGGCAAGAACAAACTATTCAGCTGAATTTAACCTTGCTATAAGTGGCAAACAGACAACTCTCAAACTAGGGTTTGAGAGAAATAATGGTGCCTTGCTTTCCTACATTCTTGTTTTTGCTTTTAAAAATCTAAATACACAGCTCTTTACAAAAAGGGAGATACAGTAGAAGTAGAATTGAATTCTGAAAAACTAGAACTTATGAATGCAATTTGTTATGAATGTTTCTTGTTATTCTGTCTGTATTGATAAAAGAAGATGGTAGGCAAAGTCAGAGTTCACTTCATCAAAGATGATGCTGGCAAAAGATATTACCATGGTTTACCTTGAGATTAGTTAATGTGAACACCCAGGTAATTGCTCACATCAAGACCCAAGATCCGCCCTAGGTATAGGCACATACTTGATGGTACAGCCATTTACCATATGTGTGGTGATTTGCTTAATTGGTGTCCAGGAAGAATCAAGATGGAATTCACATAATTATGAATTATGAATTGGCCTAATTTACACTTAATGAACCAAATATGTTCATCTGAACATAGCTATATTACTAAATTTTACACTGCAGTTTTCCAAGTAAGGTATGTATTGGGAGGAATTGCAGCTCAAAATCTATGCAATCTTTGTGCATGAAATAGATGGGACAACTTTGTGCAGGAAAAAAACCCTGTATGCTATAGAAAGCAAACAGAGAATACCATATTAAGTGACAAGTTAATTACTTGGTTTTAGGTCGCTAAAGTTTTCTTGATTAAAGCTCTTAGAAGCTGATAAGGAACAAAGAAGAACAAACTCTAAATCTTGGACAATGGCAATTTTAATCAACAAGAAAAAAATCCCCACCTTCTACTTACCTGCTCATAGTTAAAGCTGTCTAGCATACCCAGCACAAGACTCTGAATTTCTCCAAGTTTTCCTCTTCCATATACTGGATCCTGTGTGAAAGTTATTAGAAGATGATCAACATTAATTAAAACAGATAAAATGAAAGCTTGACTGTTAAATATTTTTCCTCTAACTACAATAAAACAAGTGTATCTCATGTTTCTTATCCAATAAAACTGATAGAATGCAAGAAATAAACAGAGCTATAATTTCTAAAGTGAATTCATCTTTTTTTTTCAACAAAAATATTTCTGTGTTTACAAATCTGCAGAAGATAAATTCAAAAGGGGAGGGTTTTGTGAAGAGAGATTAAATCTCCCTTCATGGATATACACATGGCTTTCTACTAGTAAAGGTTTTCTTAGAACACTGTAAAAAAAATAATACCCCAACAGAATATCTATGCTCAGTCATCCAGGTCATGGTTGTCCCAAAGGTGCTTTTTCGAGAGGCAACTGGACTTTCTGGTTTTTCTTTGAAGACGTTTTGCTTCTCACCCAAGAAGCTTCTTGGATGAGAAGCGAAACATTGTCAAAGAAAAACCAGAAAGTCCAGTTGCCTCTCGAAAAAGCACCTTTGGGACCCTATCAGAATATTTAAGATCCTGCATGAGGTCACTTTGAATTAGTTCTGCTGTAGAAGAATTGTGTCAAAACTTACTTTGGGGGTTTTCTAGTCTCCAATGAACTTGCTTTACCAGAGAAGGGAAATGCCATAGTACATTTCCTTTCAGAGGTATTTCCTTACCAGATTTCTCAATGCCTTCAATAATGACAGAGCTTCTAATATACTGCCTTCACTAGAAAAGCTGGAATACATTCAGAGATGTATCAGTTCATGTTGAAAATAACTCATGATGAACTGTACAGCACAATCAAGCTTCATCACAGGAAATGGTTTATGACATTTTTTATTATGTCTGCAATGTACATGGAATCTACCTTACAAATAGTCTATGACCTAAAGTATCCTATATGCTTTCAAAATGCCTTGTCTTTTACTGCATCTTCTCCTCTCAATGTACAACTTAGTGCTGCAGTATTAAGACATAGATAATCGGTTTTATCGCTTGAACAGGTTCTAAAAAAGGAAGAGCTATTTTTTTTTCTTAGAAATGCATTATTTTTTAAATTCCTGAACATATTCCAATGGCAATGAAGCTTTTTAAGGATGGGGAGTGGGGGTCATATCCGGTTTTAAATAGATACTTTCCATTCTATTTTTTTTCGGCATGCATAATTTAAAAGCAGCAACTTAGAAAGTACATCGTGCTGCAAAACTATATAAATTATGGAGAACAACTGGGAAATCTGAGCTCTTAATGCAGCATGTACCTGATCCATGACATACAGCAAACTATTTTTATCTGCTAGATAGCCAACTACTTTTTGGAGATACTTTCTTGGAAAAGATATGTCAAAGAAAAACAGACTTGCTAGAGAATTAAAGACAGAAATGTAAAGAAACAGCAATTTATGACATACTTTTGCATTTATAGATCATTTCAAGCTTTTTTAAAAAATAAATACATAATGTTAAATTGTTTAGTCAAGGTTATTATAGAGCACCATAGCAGGTAGCAGCATTAAGCCAAACTTTGCTGCTCTTGTAAAAACTAATTAAAATCAGACCGCCCCACAAAGGGCCAACCACTAGAAAACCTCAAGACTGTAGACTGTAAGACTTTTCTAAGTCATCAAAAAGATCTTGGGAAAAGACAGCAGCAAACTATTTCCATATACTTAGCAAGAAAATATTGAAGGTATTCACAAAGTCACCATTAATCAAGCTTGATTTGAAGGAAAGAGCTTTTGGGAAGAGTGGGAAATGAATCCCCAATAGAAAGTAAATCAGCTAAATGGCTCTTTTAAATGGCATGACATTAATTCAAATTTCTGATATTGTACTGATCATTCGAGCCTTACCAGGAAATTAAAATAAGAATTATAAAAGGAAAACGGCTACAGCTGCTTATTACAATGATGTTGAACATGAATATATGTAAGAGAGAGTGTGAAGGCAGGAGCCATCTCCAGTTTCAACTTTTCACAAGCACAGATAAGATTTTTCTTTTTAAAAAGTTCCTTAGCTGCCAGGTAATAGAAATAAGGCTTGACACATGCCTAATTATTATACGGCTGCCTTAAATGTCCAGTTACTCCATTTTATAGTTGCTGTTGCTGATCTTCAATTTTTAATTTTGTTTTGTTTTTTTAGATTGCACAAAGCGTTATTCATTATATCCTACTCATCGCCTGAATTAAACTGTAATTCTACCTAACCTATAACTTGTCATGTTTTTTTATAGCAATTCTATTACAGTACTCCTTTCATACTGTCTCATATCCTCATAACTTATAAACAAATTATTTTTGTTAGAGTTTTTAACTCCATAATCTTAATGTTTTTACATAGTGATGCTCAAAAATCGTATTGCAAGAGGATGAATAACACTAGAATTGCAAAAAAAAAAAAAAAAAAAGGAACAAAGACAAAATGGATCAAGATGGGATTTCATATGAATCTGTGAAAAAGGGAGAGATGAGATATTTCAGGAACAAAAGTGGTGAAAACAAGGAGAGTTTGCAAGTATAGTAAATATGGAGATGCATATTGAAATATGGCAGAAATCAGTTTTAGGTGTGCTTCCTTTTCTTATTCTTATCTAATGCTTTCAATTTGCTTGGATTATTATTTGTTATTCCTTTGATGTATTCTATATAATACTGTTTGAAAGAGAATAGCATATTTATGTACATTAGATAAAGCAACAGTGCAATGTAAAATCATAGATCAGATGTTGACCATTCACAACGTTCAAATGGCATTCAGATGATTCCTATTATTTTATTTATTTATTTATTTATTAAATAAATAAATTATTAAATAAATATATAGTGCTGCCCATCTTACTATTGAGCAACTCTAGTAATCATAGTTTCCATAATACAATAAGAAAATTCCTCTCTTTTTAAAAGTGCATATTATAAAATCACTTTCTTATCAAATATAAACATTTATGTTTCTGCGATTTTATTTAATGCAAATAGATAATTAACATATATAAGTCCCTTATCCACAGAACAGGCTGAAAGTATTTTAGCATGGTGTTCCAGTATATCATATGTTGAATGCATTTAATATATTAAATAAGTGCCAAACCAATATAATTATTTTCATCAGCACCTGATAGCAATAACAAGAGTGATGCTTTAGCAAGGTGACTTATGCTATTTTCTGAATATTGTCATTAAACAAGTACACAGCAAAATGAACTATAGGAAAAGACTTCTGTTCTGTAAATATAACTGAAAACAGTTAACTGAACTGTATTTCTATGACTTGAACACCCTTAATTAATAAGCTTTTTTTTGTATGCAAGAGGTCTTTGTTATATGCACATAGGAAAAAAAGAGCTACATGACAATTTAAAATAAAACTATAACCAAAAATCAATTGAATTAAAAGGTAGAATAAGAGATATGTCTTTTCCTTTGGAAAGATACATTTCATTGCAGAAAAACAACTGTAAAGAGTGATTATGATGCTGCGATTAGACTCACAGAGTTTCATTTCTTCAAAGTATCAAATGAATAGCAACTTAACAAATATATTATCTACCCAGTTGTCATGAGACTTAGTATAATAAATCACACGCTGGGAAACTGAAATATCCCACAAAGCAATTATATGGCTAATATAAACTGGAAAGCCAGTAGGCTTTTGTTGGAATAGATTTATTTAATCACAAATCTGGCAATAAAACTGCTTTTTAAATTTTCATTTCCAGCAGGAACACTGATTTAGTAAGAAGTACAAAGTTTTCCAATAAAACAAAATACTTTTGACAAAAGTGAATTTTTGCAGTGTCTTGAATGAAGATGTTATTGGATAAAAACTGACAAATAACAATTCTTGTACTACATCTAAAAGGCAAACAGAACTTACTGAAATATGTTCTGCTTATTCTGTGTTTCAGTTCAGCATACAAAAGAAAAATAAAGAAAACACACCTCAGGTTTTCTTTATCTCACAGGTGGGGTGGTCATTGGCAAAGTATTAAGAAAGCAACTAACACAGTTTTGAATAGATTATGTAGGCTTTGTAGGAATTAATTGCAGAATTGGTCCAAATGAGAATTTTAATGTAATTAAAATTTTAAAGCTTAATTGGGACTGAAACTCTGTATATTTTTTAAGTTATATGTTTTGGCATGTGAGTTTTCAAAATAACTAATAGAGCACATGCTTCCTGTTCCTGACATCTCAATTTAAAAAGAACGTAAATCTGGGGAAATCTGTACGAAGATTTGAAAAGCCAAAGCTCATCAAAATGTGATAACACTGGAATGAGTAGATACATAAGTCTGCCCTAGTATAAAACAGATTCCTTTATCTATAAAATAATAAGATTATCTTGAATAGCATCTGTGTTGGGGCATGGAAAGGATCAAAGATACTGCTTAATCTCTCCTTTGGAAACTCTAAGTATCTCCTCAAAATTCCAATCTGTTACAAGTATGTTTGATTAAGTTTTTGTTTTCCTACTGTACAAATAATCATTTATCTAATCTCTTCTACCACATTACTCACCAAATCAGATGCAAAACAGTATACAGAATACTAGATTTGGAAGGGATCTAGTCCAACCCTCTCCCCAAGCAGAAGAGCCTATACCCGTGATGGCAAACCTATGGCCCGTGTGCTACAGCTATAGCTGGCATGCAGAGTCCTCTCTGTGGGCACATGAGCTGTTGCCCAGCCCAGCTCAGCTCCACCGCACATGCACCTGCGCCTCCTGCTGGCCAGCTGATTTTTGGGATGCGTGGGGAGCGGGGTCATGTGTGCATGCGCAGTGGGGTGCAGTGCAGTGAACCCCCCCATGGTCCATTTTTGGGCCCAGGAGGCTGCAGGGAGGCCTGCTAGGCCAAAAATGGGGGGCAGGGGGGTCACATGTGCATGCACGGGGGGGGGGTCATGCGCACATATGCAGGGGGGGCACATTGCATTATGGGTGCTGGCACGCACGCGCTTTTGGCACACAACGAGAAAAAGGTTAGTCATCACTGGCTTATACGATTCTAGGCAATTAAGTCAACAGCCAACAACTTAATAGCCAACCATCAACACCCCAATCAACTACTAAAAAGCCACACATAACCAGGAACCATATAAATACCACACACAGAATAGCCCAAAGCATACACTCTGCCTGAGAAATTCCCTGAGGATGGGCTCCAGCTCGGAAGACTAAACTTCTGGTCCAAGTAACTGATCCAGTTTGGATCCTGCAACATTATCCTGGAACATGTATATTCACCTTTATTTGTGTCCAATCCCTTCTTAAAAGCCTCCAGTGATGGAATACCCACAATTCTGGAGGCAAGCTGTTCCACTGATGAATTGTTCTCATTGTCAGGAAATTTCTTCGTAGTTCTAGATTGGATCTCTCCTTGATAAATTTCCATTCGTTACTTCTTGTTCTGTCCTTGGTGCTTTGAAGAATAGGTTGATCCCACTCTTCTGTGACAGTCTTCAAATATTGGAAGACTGTTATCATGTCACCCCTCATCCTTATCATTACACTAGACCAGGCTATCAAACTCACGTCACGGTGGCGTCACATGATGTATTGGGGCTTTTTCCCCCTGCACTAATCTGGGTGTGGGTATGGCCAACGTGTGACATATCCGGCCTGTGGGCCGGGAGTTTGACAGCCCTGCATTAGACATACTCAATTCCTACAGACGTTCTTCATATGTTTTAACCACCAATCATCTTTGCTGCTCTTCTCTGCATCCTTTCTAGAATATCAACATTTTTTTTTGTATTGTGGTGACCAGTGGTGGGATTCAAGTAATTTAACAACTGGTTTTCTGCCCTAATGATTTCTTCCAACAACCAATTTGCCAAACTGTTCAGAAAGTTAACAACCGGTTCTCCCAAAGTGGTGCGAACTGGCTGAATCCCACCACTGGTGGTGACCAAAACTGAATGCAGTATTCCAAGTGTAATCTTACCAAAGCAGTATAAAGCAGTACTAACACTTCATGTAACCTTGATGCTATCTCTGTTGATGCAGCACACTGCTGGCTCATATTTAAGTGGCTGTCCACTAGGACTCCTAGATCCCTCTCACAGTTACTGCTGTGGAGCCACATACTTTTTATTCTGTAATTGTGCATTTGTTTTTTCTTGCCTAAGTGTAAAATTTCACTTTTCTCACCACTGGATTGCACTTTGTTCAAAAGGTATGCAGTACTGTTATTTCCAATATCAGTATGAATTTGAAGCAATACCATATTTCAAATCAAGCAAAAAAGAATGCAACATAACATGTAGTTTTACAATGCACATTGTAAAGGTAACAATATTATAATTGTAAACACATTTTTAAGGTAACAATATTATTTGCCACAACTCACCTGTAGGATTCTCTGCAAAATTAATGGCAGAGCAATGAATGTTGTCATATTGTTCAATACTTGCATTGTCAAGTTCTTCAAATCTAAAGAACAAATATGACAATAAAACTCACTAATGAATTTAAGTCTGTAATTTTTGTTTCAATGGTGAATACAATTAATAAGAATGATGTATGTGGCTAGTGAATTTTTCTTTTTGTGAATAATTGAATTGGAATCTCTTTAGTGTCTTAACTCAGGGGTAAGCAGCCTTCTTGGTAGCAAATAGCAAAGTTTTACAGGATCATGCAAAACACAAAAAATAATATTAAATATTTAAAATGTAAAAGTTTTCAGTGATCTCACTACTGAGATTTGTGGAACTTCACATGATAATGCTGAAAGCCGAAATCTTACACGATTTCATTTGAAAACACTGACATTTTTGCAAGATATGGTTTTACAGTGAGATGTTGGGTACTTTTAAAAATGTTTAAAATTAAATTTGCATTTAATTTTAGCATTTTACGATGCCCTCATATACCTGCCTCACCTAATTGCATTTCAAATTGGTGATATTTTCAAAAGGATTTCCCAAAATTAAAATTACCTTTGCAAAGGTAGACTAACTTAAATATCACTTAGGTGAGATGAATAATGTAGAAATTTGATAAATACTGTAAATAAACTCAATAGCTACATTTAAATAGCTAAATGCAAAAGAAGGTAGCTCCAGAAACTTTACTGATGAAAAATGTTGCCAAAATCATGCTTCAAATATCAAGTCATACCAGGTTCAAATTCATGATTTTATCACAGAAAGGGAAAGGGAAAGAAATGTTATTTAGAAATATATTCCTGATAGTAGCAAAACTAATAATGTTTCAAAGCGGGGATTAAGGGGTTTTTTAATTAGGGTTTTTAATAATTTTTTAAGGGGAACCGGGAGGACGACCAAAGGGGATGGGGGGGTAATCCACCAAGGTCAGAGCCGAGCCCGGCACGGGGTAACGGTTTGGAGGACACTGGACGAGGGAATGGGGAGGGGGCGGAGGGCTATCCCAATGAGGGAAATACCATCAGCATGGTGGTTGGGAGGGGCAGATATGGCGGGAGTAGGGGGCCACATCATGTGTTGGGGACGCGCACTTGCTGTTTGAGAGCAATTGCGCGCCCCGGCCCCCAAAGCTCCCCTCGGATACTAGGTGGCTTAGATACTCAGGACCTGGGCCTGCGGCTGATGCTGTGCAACGCTAGGTCTGTGGTAAATAAGGCCCCCCTCATTCATGATCTTATCCAGGAGGGGGGAGCGGACCTGGCTGGTATTACGGAGACCTGGTTGGGACCGGAGGGAGGAGTCCCTCTGGTCGAGATGTGCCCACCAGGTTTCAGAGCATTCCATCAGCCGAGAGCCCAGGGGAGGGGCGGGGGGGTGGCGGTTATTATTAAAGAAGGTGTTGGTCCGAGGGAGACCACTGTGCCTCAGACTGCCGGATGTGAGTCCCTCTTCGTGAGATGGGGTCATGGGGTTCAGATGGGCTTGCTGCTTGCGTACCTGGCTCCCTGCCGCGTGGCAGCAGCCCTGCCTGAGCTACTCGACGTGATAACCACGGTGGCAGTTGATACACCCAGGCTTATGGTCATGGGTGATTTCAACTTGACATCCGTTGGTGAAACGTCTGGGATGGCTCGGGAGTTCATGGCTTCCATGACGGCCATGGACCTGACCCAGTTAGTTCATGGCCCCACTCACGGGGGGGGGGACACACTCTAGACTTGATTTTTTTCTCTGGCCAGTGGTTGAGTGATCTTGTTATAGGGGATATAGACATGGAACCCTTGTCATGGTCAGATCACTCACTCCTTCGTCTGGACCTTCGTACCGCTATACCCCGCCGCAGGGAGGCGGACCCAATTAGATGGGTCCGCCCCAGGCGCCTGATGGATCCTGATAGGTTCCAGACGGAGCTTGGGCCAATTCCTGATGATCTGGCACACGACTCGGCCGAGGACCTGGTAGCTGCCTGGGATCGGGCGGCTGGTGGGGCCTTGGATCGAGTCGTGCCTTTGCGGCCTCTGACCCGCTGTCGATCCCTCGCGGCTCCTTGGTTCACCGAGGAGCTGAGGGAGATGAAACGCCAGAAAAGACGCCTAGAGAGCGGTTGGAGGGCCAGTCGCGCTGAATCTGACCGAACACTGGTAAGGTCGCATATTAAGACCTACCTAGTGGCGATAAAGACGGCAAAGTTTAATTACTTTTCCGCCTCTATTGCGTCATCAGGGAATTGTCCGGCAGCCCTGTTCAGGGTAACCCGCTCCCTGCTCCATCTGGGAGCACGGGAGGATCCCTTGGAAGGCAGGGCGGAGGATTTCGGACAATACCTGTATGACAAAATCGCTCAGATCCGGGGGGACTTGGACTCTGACTGGGTAGATCAGGGCAGGGTGACGAGGAATAGTCTTGAGAATGTTATCTGGGAGGAGTTTGATGCTGTGACTCCCGATGATGTGGACAGGATTTTGGGGAGACTTAGTGCGGCCACATGTTTACTGGACCCGTGTCCCTCCTGGTTGGTACTGGCCTCCCGGGAGGTTACACGAGGGTGGCTCCAGGGTGTTATCAACGCTTCATTGAGTGAGGGTCACTTCCCCGCGGCCTTGAAAGAGGCGGTGGTGAGGCCTCTCCTCAAGAAGCCGTCCCTGGATCCGGCAATATTGGCTAACTATCGTCCTGTCTCCAACCTTCGCTTTCTGGCGAAGGTTGTTGAGAGTGTGGTCGTGCGACAGTTTCCGCAATTCCTGGAGGAAACATCCTATCTGGATCCGTTCCAGTCTGGTTTCAGGCCTGGGCACAGCACGGAAACGGCATTGGTCGCGTTGGTTGATGATCTCTGGAGGGCTCGGGACAGGGGTTGCTCCTCTGTTCTGGTCCTGTTAGACCTCTCAGCGGCTTTTGATACCATCAACCATGGTATCATGCTGCACCGGTTGGAAGAGTTGGGGATGGGGGGCACCGTGTTACGGTGGTTCTCCTCCTTTCTCTCCGACCGGTCGCAATTCGTGTTGGCAGGGGGGCAGAGGTCGACCTCGAGGCCTCTTATATGTGGAGTGCCTCAGGGGTCGGTCCTCTCGCCCCTCCTGTTCAACATTTATGTGAAGCCGCTGGGCGAGATCATCCGTGGCTTTGGGGTGAGATACCATCAGTACGCTGATGATACTCAGCTGTACATCTCCACCCCAGGCCACCCCAATGATGCCCTTGAAGTGATGTCCCAGTGCCTGGAGGCTGTACGGATCTGGATGGGGAGGAACAGGCTCAAGCTCAACCCTTCCAAGACTGAGTGGCTGTGGTTCCCGGCATCCCGATATAGTCAGTTGACTCCATCACTGACTATTGGGGGCGAGTCTTTGGCCCCCACAGAGAGGGCTCGCAATCTGGGAGTCCTCCTGGATACGCAGCTGTCCTTGGAGGAACATCTGACGGCTGTAACCAGGGGGACCTTTTATCAGGTTCGCCTGATCCGCCAGTTGCGGCCCTTTCTTGATCGGGATTCCCTGTGCACAGTCACTCATGCCCTCGTGACCTCTCGCCTTGATTACTGTAACGCTCTCTACATGGGGCTCCCCTTGAAGAGCACCCGGAGGCTCCAACTGGTCCAGAACGCAGCAGCGCGGGTAGTGACGGGAGCAGCATGGCGCTCCCATGTAACACCGCTCCTGCGTGAGCTGCACTGGCTCCCAGTGGTCTTCCGGGTGCGCTTCAAGGTGTTGGTTATCACCTTTAAAGCGCTCCATGGCATAGGGCCTAGCTATCTCCGAGACCGCCTGCTGCCACCGACGACCTCCCATCGACCCGTGCGCTCCCACAGAGAGGGCCTCCTCGGGGTGCCATCAGCCAAACAATGCAGGCTGGTGACCCCCAGGGGGAGGGCCTTCTCTGTGGGGGCTCCCACCCTCTGGAATCAGTTGCCCCCAGAGATAAGGAGAATCCATGACCTCAGTGCCTTCCGCCGTGCCCTTAAAACCTTCCTTTTCCAACAAGCCGGGCTGGCCTAATTCTTTTTAAGTGTTTTTAATTGTTTTGTTTATTGTTTTAATTAATGGGGCCAAATTTATATATATATTTTTAACTGTATTTTAATATTTGTATTTGATGTTTTTATTTGGCTGTTCACCGCCCTGAGTCCTCAGGGAGAAGGGCGGTATACAAATTCAAAAATAAAAATAAAATAAATAAATAAAATAAATTCACAGCTTTCTTGTTATTTGTCATTTTGTCTTGGATATCACTTCTTGGACAATAAAAAGAGACAAACATGCTTACATTCAGAGTAACGGGGTAGCAATGCAGATCTTTGGGGTGACAACATTGCCTCTAGGAGCGGAAACCACAGTGCCTAAAAACAAGAGGAATCTCAGAGTTGCACAAAAAAATAACCTCCATCAGTCTCACACAGAGTATCTTGCTTCTGTCCCTGGATGTGCCCAATGCCTGTACCTTCTGCAAAGCAGCACCAACACCACTATAAACTGAAAAGGATATAAGTGCCTGATTGCCCCTTGGAAAACAGACTTTCTCCCTCATCTAAGTGATAAATGCAATGTATCTCCCAATGCACTGTTCCCGTATTGAGAGAGCTATTTTAGAGACTGCTGCTATCATCATTTCCCAGCCTCCCAACTTGCATTGCATAATGCACCCAGGACATTTTGGTTGCAGACAATCTCAACACAATTTCTCTATCCCAGCCAACTTCACTGCTAACATTTCACAGCATACTTTTTGGAATCAGGTCTAGAAGGGCAAGGCATGCTGATGTTAAGGTCCACTGGGGAGGATTCTGCTACAGAATATATAGTGTAGTGTGACAGAGCCCAATAGTTTTTCAATATTTCTTATTAAAATACAAATTAGCTTTCTCTGGGCTTTTTATAGGATAATGGAAGGAAAGTATTTCTCGTAAAAGGAGAAAACATGTTATGTGGCTGTTATTTAAAAGACACAGACCTCACAAGCTTTCTCTTTTACAGTAATTGAGTGGGATTACCTCAATTCAGATTCTTTGTTTCTACTTTATGAATCCAGAATGTGGATTATCAACAATAATACATCAGAAAGACTTGGGGTTGCACTTATCTCAACAGGAAATATTATTATTGACTTTATAAAAAGGGTGATAGGAAAATAGATGAAATATATGATGGTAGCTACAAGTCTACCTTAATGTTACAAAAAAAGTGGCTTTATGGGAAACAAATGCATCCCTTTTTATAAACCAGAGTATAAGGGAATACTTACTTCTCGCTCCTGCTGATTAAATTTGTGTGAATTCCTCTGGCAAAGTGCAATTGTTTTTGCTAAGGTACCTTCAATATCTTTTAGTAAAGGAAGTTGCACTGAAATTTGGATTAGAGAGAAGCAGTAATTAGATATTATTTTGTACTTAAGGCAATTAAAATATATATGGAAGAATATTAATCACATCAATGAGGAATGTGTGTTACATATAATAGCTCTTTGGAAATGAGAAATAAAAATTAATAAATGTCTACAAAATAAATGGTCTTGATTCTGACCGAATAACACAAACATTTAATATAACACTGAATTTTGTTCAAAATGAATGCACAAATAAATCTGTTTCAAAACTTACTTTTATCTCCAGAAGTCAGTGTTGAAAGCTTGCTTTGTAACCACTAAGAAAAAAACATATTTTGTATTATTTGAATTCACATGGCATTTTATAAGCTATCCATAAGTACCCATTCTATTCCTCTCTCATTCACTAAGACTTCCACATTTTCCTCAACTTTTGTAAGAATTGGTCATATCTCTATATAGTGGGCCACAGTAGGGAGAGCAGCCATTAAGAGAGGCCATCATGCGGGGCATTTTATTTTATTTTCAACTGTAATGGACAGGCTCCATTACGGTCACTGATTGAGGACTACCTATGCCCTCAGTAAGAACTGCAGTGACAAAGTGACAGTTCAGATATTTACACACATAATAAATCTGACAGGTCTTACAAACAGCTGTTTTCAATTTTAAAATTATGATCAGATGTGAATAAGAATCATAAAGCTTCTTCTAAAGATAAAAATCAGCTTAATTCAAATTTGGTAGATATATACATTAAATCCAATGAATTCTAGATTTTTAATGCATACAACATTGACCACCCCCAATGTTAATTTTTTATTCAGCTTAATTTTTTTTCTAAATAAATAAAAAAACAAACCCCTTGCCATTTCACAGTGAAGTTTCCACTCTGTTATACCTCAAGCATAATTAAGAAGGCACCAGGAATGTCATCTTTCTTTTCAAGCAAGTAAGAAGAAGCCTCATGGAGCTGATATTTTTGGGTGACCTGCATAAAATGTCAAACATTAATTTTAGCGATTTGTATGCAGAAAACATTCACTATTTGGTTATTCTGAATCACCTCTGGGGGGATACAATCTCATATCTCTCATTTTGCTAGGCTAAAAATTTCCTGCACAATTAACCTTCTATATTTTTTCATTACAATAGAAGAGAAGCAAATTAAAGAGAAGGAATTTCAGATGCAAGGTAACAATTTACAAAAGCTTAGTTACCTGGCATCATCCTGATTCCTTTTCAATTCCTTTTTTCATTTTTCATGATTGAAGGCAAATATACATGCCCCACAATAATGTTGCAGGATCCAATCTGGATCAGTCACTGAGACCAGAGGTTTTGTCTTCCAAGCTTTCAGACTCGTGCTGGAGCCCATCCTCAGGGGACTTCTCTCTGGCAGGATGGGCTCCAGCATGAGTCTGACAGCTTGGAAGACAAAACCTCTGGTCCAGGGGTGGGTTCTACTTACCTTTACTACCGGTTCGCAGCGGTGCTGCATGTGCACGCTTCACTCACGCGTGCTCTTCTGCACATTGGTGACGTCAGGGTCCGTGGGCGGGGCCTCCCACCGGTTTTACTACCGGTTCTATAGAACTGGTGCGAACCAGGGGCAACCCACCACTGCTCTGGTCCAAGTGACTGAACCAGATTATTTTTTTAAAAAAAATGTAAAAGGAAGTTATTATACAGAACTCTGTAATATGTACCAACAATCTCTGGTGTCTTCCCCCTTTTAATTTCAGATGCCTATCTTCATGATTCAGTAGTTGTTGTTTCTTGAATTTTAACAGTTCAACATTTCATTGCCATAGAAATGTAACCAAAATTTGAAGCAAAAAAAGGCAACATCTTGAATGGACAAAGCTCTTGCTAAAATTATACCAAGCTAAATGATGGTAATCTAACAAGTGCCTGTATAGAATTTTTGACAACTTAGATTGTCAGATCATGTTCAAGATACATTGGCTTGGAAATTTCCTACTTAAAAACATTTAGCTGTAAACTAGTTCAAATTAGCATAGGGAGGGGGTAGGCCTCAAAGGTTGCACAGTTTCCTTTTGCCTAGTGCTAGAGATCCACATATTAAAGATGAATATCTGAATTTTGCAAGTCTATATATGTACACTGATACAAACAAGTTTAGTTTCCAGAAAGGCTAGTACATAGGATTACTATAGGACAGTGATGGCTAACCTTTTTGCTGTCGCGTGCCAAAAGTGGGGGGAGCATGGGGGTCAATGCCCCCCTGCGCTCCCCCCACTTTTGGCACACAACGGCAAAAAGGTTACCGGTGGGACTGGAAAGCCCATTTTTCACCCTCCCCAAGCTCCAGAGGCTTTCTTGGAGCCTGGGGAGGGCGAAAACGGCTTTCCCCATGCCCCCAGATGCCCTCTGGAGGCCAGAAACAGCTTGTTTCCCAATTTCTGGTGGGTCCGGAAGGCCCGAAAATCAGCTGACCTGCTCGCGCATGCACACTGGAGCTGAGCTAGAACAACACTCGTGTGCCCACATATATGGTTCCGTGTGCCACCTGTGACACGCATGCCATAGGTTTGCCAACACAGCTATAGGAGCTTGATAAGGTTGAGTTCCAACTTCCATAGACAAAAGCTTAGATAAGCCCATGTTTCACACATACAATAGACAACAGGTTTGAGAGAACTGTACGATGTGGTAGCGATGGGGCCTACAATACTGCATTAACTGCATAAAGAAAGATAATTGTGTAACAGTGTAAAATAATATAATTGATTTTAATAGTAGATCTTACAAAACTGAACCTAGTTTCATCCTATTTACACACGTTACCTGAATTGTCTCTTCCAGTCTATAGGACTCCAGGAACTTCAAAGTTTCTAAGACCTGGTCAGAATCATACCGACACAGCAAATCAATAAACTGTTCGGTAATAGAGGGAGAAAGCTGAAGCAAATCTTGATTGATACCTTCCCTGAAATAACAAATATTTCTTAATATTAGTTACTAACATATCCTAAACACTTCAGATACAGACATTACATATTGTGATAAAATACATAAAACCATATTGAAACAAACTCTATATGCAGAGAAAGTATTAGATTCATAGAATATAGTGTGTCCATAATTTTTCATATGAGAACTCTATGGAAAATAAATATAAAATTTCTTTCTAACCCTTAAGGGTGGTATGTGTCTTCCTCATTCTTTGTCAACTACCACGGGTTCTATGCAGTATTTCAGGTTTTCCTAGCCCCTGCACACTTCTGGACAGAAAGCCTTGATATCATTCCTGGGGTCTGTTGGAGCTATTCTCCCAGTTTAGGAATCACAGCTTTGAGAGCTGTTACCACAACTGGGGCTACTTTGGCCTTTACTTTCCACACCCACTCTAGTCCTACTTTTTGGCTCTGGTATTTCCACAGTGTCCTTCCTGATACTGCTGATATCACTACATCTGTCACTACTCCTGGTCCTTGTCTATTACCATGAAGTACCTTCCTGTCCATTTGGATCTGAAAGCCCCACAAGATGTTAGCCCTATTATTCTTCATGACCTTCTGTGGACCCCCCCCCCAAATCTGGACTTGGGAGGGTCTAGCCCACACACTTACAGATGTTTCTATACAGAATGCCAGCAATTTGGTTATACCATTCAATATATGCTGTTCTTGTCTGCAATGTACATCTGCCACTGAAGCACTCAGCATAGCAGCACAAGAAGCATGGATCTACCACACTATATGTTGAGTTGTTTCCAAGGCCTCACTGCATAGCCTGCATTCCAGATCTTGTCTGGTGTGGTAAATCCGTGCTTCTATAGATGTGATGCTTAGTTTTCTTGTGCTGTTAGGATCAGTGCTTCAGTGCTGTCTTTTAGTCCAGCCCTTTCCAACCATTGGAAGGATTTCCCAGTGTCAGACACCTCAGTTATCTGTCAAGAGTACATCCCATGCAGAATCTTGTCTTGCTAGGGTGCTTACTCTGCTTGATCTTCATCCCACATCTGCTGTTGTCCCAGGCATTCTTTCAACATTCATATTTGGATCCTGTCTTACTGATGTACTCCTGAATGCTCTAAGGACAACAGCTTTGACACTCATCAGACTCTGCCTGCTCTCTCTGTGGATGGTGTATAGTCTCTGGTTATAAATGTTGGACTCAATATGGAGGCCTCCATACATTGTGAGGAGCTTCCAGATCTTCACATTGGTAGCCTCCCTGTCCTCCTTTGACCAGCTCACTATACTGGCAGGTATTTGATGACTGGCAGGGCATGCTAGTTGATAGCATGGATCTGTAGCATTTTTCTTACTTACAACCTTACCTTCTCCAATATATCCCTACTCAGTTGCCTGTCTCAGAAACTGAGCTGAAATTAGCACAATGGATACCAGCAATATCCATCCAAAAAAAAACAACAGATAGATGGCTAAATATGGGCTTGGCCACTCTTTAAAAATATACAAAAACATAGGTGCAGAAGAAGAAAGGAGAGGACTTGCTATATGGAATTGAATTTGGAGTGCTTGGTTTCTGAAAGTCTGTAGGATTGAGAAAATAGTATGACTGGCTTCTACTGATTTCTCTAAAACTGTGAGAAACCAAAGAATTTGGATTGTTAAATGATGTACAAAAAAGAAAAAAGGTAGCCAAATAATAAGAAATGGAAGCAAATTGTGACTTAATTGTAATTTTGTTCAGGCAAACATAATAGCTGTATTTTAACAAAGTGAGGAACTAATATAGATTAATTTTTAAGTTACTATAGACTTCACTAATTTGACATCTTCCAGATACGTTATAATCACAATACCTAAAATTCCTAGCAAGAGACATACTCTTTGCTATTGTTTGAGAAAAACTTAATAATGAAGTTATTAAGAACAAAGATATTCCCAAGCAAAAATCTGCCTTCAGTGTATACATTATTTTATTAAAACAGATTTCATTCTAACAGCCTGTAGTCTTTGTAGCAGAGAATCTAATGACAGACCAAAAAAAAGCCTCTTGTGATATAACTATATTGAAAGGAATGGAATTACAAGGAGATTAGTTAGCAAGATTTAATTTAACTGAAAATCTGTTTTAAACTAGACATAAATTGAAATGGGCAAGGGAGAAATGTGGATCTATAGGATTGCTTTGGTACTGTATATAAAGCAAGCCAAGAACATTTTTGCCCATAACCAAATGAGTGATTATTTAATCTCTTACAGGTATCTCTCACAGTATTTAGGATCCCTGTAACAAAGAGTATACAAAACTGAGAGCCAACAGCACCCCGACACAGAAATTATTACAAATGGCTTTGTGAGATGCTTTCTGTTACTTAACAAATTTTTAGTGCCTCGTATGTTAAAATCAAGTTCCTCTGCAAAGTGAGATGAAACTAACTCTTCAATAGTTGTCATATCTTTTACAACAGTCATTTATAGTAGACTATATATGAAGAAAATGATGTATGACTGATTTTTCTTTCCTAGTGGTATGTATGATATGATATTTATACTTGCTTTATCAAAAATAAAATTGCTTCTATACTCCATTTTAGCAGTATGGAAGCATTTGTTACTATTGAGATTCACAAGAAAAATCAATTGATTTCACTATTAAAGTGGATCCAAAAATCAGAAAAACTGGATGGCAGATCTGTTTAAAGATTCCTTGTAGATGGAATATTAATTAATGACAATCATTATCAGATATCACAAAAGTCCAATCTATTTGATAAAATACCATTCTAAGCCACAAATTTGTTTCTTCACAATAGGATTTTTTATTTTTTTAAAAGCAAGTATATAAGTTACAAATACTAATATAATACAGCCAAATACTAATATAAATAATGAGATTTCAGGAGTTAAAATGTATACATACCTTGGATCAAGGAGACTCTTCAAAAATTGGAAAAGCAAATGTTCATCCTGACAAGAAAAGGTAGGAAAGCAAAGTGAACACAGTGTTTAAGATTCAACTATTCTTAATATTTTTAACAGATTTAGTGATTCAGTCTGCTTATGATTTCCCTATAAATTTGGTATACAGGTAATCCTCAATTTACAACAGTTCCTTTAGTGACCTTTCAAAGTTGCAATGGCACTGAAAAAAAGTGACTTTTGAAGCATCCCCATGGTCACGTGATCAAAATTCAGATGCTTGGCAACTGAACTCATATTTACAACTCATGTTTACAATGGTTGCAGTGTTCTCAGGTCATGTGATCACCTTTTGTGACCTTCTGATAAGCAAAATCAAGAGGAAGCCAGATTCACTTAACAACCGTGTTACTAACAAATGCAATGATTCATATAACAAGAAAGGTCGTAAGAAAGAAAGAAATTTAACAAGACAGGGCAAAACTCACTTTAAAAATGTTTCACCTAGCAACAGAAATTTTGGGCTCAATTGTGGTCGTAAGTCGAGGATTATCTGTACTTGATCTATTATGAATATGAATGACATTCAGCAATTATAGAACAGAATATTCCAAAGCATTAAATCCATTTAATATTCACTGGCTAAAGATAATAACATGTCTAGATTCAAAAACAACTGCTTCTACAAGCATATTACATTATTCAACATCCTCAAGCTATTTTAAATTGGTACAAACAGCAGGTATTCAAATATATGGCAGCATAACTCAGGCTTCCTATTACAGCCACTGTCTGTCACAGAACACCTGAAAACTGCTGGGAATTCTGGAATATATGCAAGAATATCTTCTCAACTGATGTTCAACCTCACACTCTGTGTGTCCTCTACAATGTGTTTAATCTTCCCTAAAGATTGCATTATGTATCAGAAGAAAGCAGACCCATTTTAATGCAGTTTGTTTGCGACTGCCAATGTTCTCACTGAAGGAACACCAATAAGCTTCAATCTATCAGTCCATTAAAAAAACTATTCTTTTTAATAAATCAAGGGTAGACTTCTTTTAAATATCTTCCTGCCAAATTCCAAACACAAAATCTTGTTGTTGAGAATGAAATTTTTAAGAAAGCAGCATGATCTTAGATACTGACAATTTTGCAAAATTTGATTTTTTATCCTTTGTGACAACTCTCCTCAGAAATTATAGCAATAGCAATACCATTTAGACTTATATATCGCTTCACAGTGCTTTGCAGCCCTCTCTAAGCGGTTTACAGAGTCAGCATATTGCCCCCAACAAACTGGGTCCTCATTTTACCAACCTCGGAAGGATGGAAGGCTGAGTCAACCTTGAGCCTAGTGAGACTTGAACTGCCAAACTGCTGGCAGCCGGTGATCAGCACTACTGCATTCTAACTACTGCACCACCGCAGCTAAATTATGTACTGCTCAGTTGACTGAACAACCTATATTATTTTAACCTATCCTTGAATTCTATTATTTGACTGTGTTGTTTACATGTTTTCTCTTGCCATGATTGCTATTTTTAGTGTTACAGATCTTTGGGTTTAGTCTGTGTGGGTTTAGTCTGTGGCATGTTTCTTGACTGCTTGTTCCTTTATTTATATTCCTTGCAGACAGCTGGTAATTTATTTAATTTATTATTAAAATAAAATTACTAGCTGTCTGCAAGGAATATAAATTCTTCCATTCCCCACTATCCTGTCAGAGCTGAAGAAGCTTCTTGGATGAGAAGCAAAACGTCTTCAAAAGAAAAAACAAGAAAGTCCAGTTGTCTCCTGAGAAAGCACCTTTGGGACAACCATGACCTGGATGACTAAGAATCTCTACAGCAGGGGTATCAAACTTGCATCATCACAGTGGCGTCACGTGACATATCAGGACTTTCCCCCCCTTTGCTAAACTAGGTGTGGGCATGGCCAGCATGTGACGCATCCGGCCTGTGGGCCGTGAGTTTGACTTCCCTGCTCTACAGACTTGTTCCTTTATTGTTAAATGACTGATCCTAAAAGACTGAAACAATCCTCAATTCCTATATCTTCAGTCAGTTCTAATGCTGATTGCTGTATCTGTTACCATTGGTTGGTATTCATATTTAATTTGCATTTTTGACTGTCAGAATAGAGTTATCAGCACAGCACAGATAATTGAAGTTTTTTCCTCCACTTTCAAAACCACACTCATTTTTCTCCCAATCCCTTATTATATATTTATTGTATAGGTTGAATAAATAAGGCGAAGAGCATACAGCCTTGTTTCATTTATTTTCCAACCTGGAGCCAGTCTGCTTCATTATGTTGTATCTCTATTGGGGCTTCCTGATCTGTATATAGGTTTCTTATGGGCATAAAGACATTTTCTGGGTTTCCCGTTTTTCCATGCTTTGACATGCTTTTTATAATCAATGAAGCACAAAGAGACTTCTTTTTAATATTCTTTGGCTTTCTCTTTTTTAAATGTCTCTTTTTATTTTATTTTATTCAAAAGAAAGTTAAAATACAAAGCTCCCAAAAATTTGAAACAAACCACCTCCCCACAAAACAAACAAGACATTAAAAAAGGTGCATTGAAAAGAAAAAAACAACACATATACACATATTATCCCTCCGAGTTAAATACTGCTTAATACATTACTACAATATTGGTTCCCACCTCTTGCAAAATAGACCCCCCAAATTTTTAAACTGGTAAATCTATTTTCAAATGATGTTGATTTCAATGATGTTAAATAGAGTAGCAATTACCATCAATGGATTATATACAGGCCTGTTATCTATATACCATATTAATGGCAAAATAGTAAACAAGAAGAACAACAATAATAAAAAAGAAAGGCTAAAGTTTTAAAGCTCTCTGTTAACAAACTGTTATTGTAGTCAACTTAGAAAATTTAACACGGCATCTTTTCTATCCCAAATCATCCCAAGAGTTAAGGGTAATTCATCCCGGATCAAATATCCACATTTGTTTCTTAATGCCATTGCTTATCAACTATTGTCTAAGTAAAAATAATAAATTCCATCTCCACAATCAGTCTATCTTTCCAACAAAAGTCCAGATAGACGTGGTTTCCAGTTAAGTATAATAAATCCATTCTCCAATCTCTCTCAGCCTCTTTAGGAAAAACCAATTTGTCACTTCTCTATTCAGTCAGGCTTCTTGTATTGTAAAAGAATGCAGGCTTGAACTTCAAAGAGACATAAGTGATCAGCTCAGTTCGTTCTCCATCTGTACAGTCCATATATCTTTGGTTTGAAAGTTTTCTGTACTATACTATATTTCAATGTCCTCTTTCTATTTTTCTTTGATATTCTTTGTTTTGGTTACTATGTTACTACTGGTGTCCTTTAGCATACCAATACAAGGTTGAAACCTCCTTTGGCATTCACAAATCTTTTGAAAGACTTTGTTTTTCCATGTCTCTTTCCATCTTCAATGCCTTTACAGATATTGTTGTAATATTGTTTTTGTATCTTCCAACAGCTCTCTGAAATTCTGTCTTAAGTTCCTCCCTGAGATATGTTTCTTTCTTAGCTTTGGCATCTCTTTTTAACCGTGTCTATGGTTTGTTCTGGCAATCCCTTTGCTTTTTTTAGTTTATCGTTGACAGTCTGTTTTCACACTTATCATTACAACTTCTTTAAGTTCATTTCTCAATCAATGTAGTTTAGAACTTCAAAACAACTCTAGAGGTACCCTTTAAAATAGCAGATACATGCTCAACATCATATTGTGGATTGGCTTTCTTCTTCTTTAGCTTAGCTCTGAATTTACATAAGTAGTTTATTATCTGCTCTGCAGTCAGCACCTGGCTATGTGTGATGCTATAACAGAGCTTTTTCATCTCCATTTAGCAATAATATGCTTAATTTAATTTTTATGTGTCCTAGTTGGTGATGTCCATATATACGGGCATTTGCTTTGGTTATTTGAGAGCTCTATTAGCTATGGAGAAATTGTTGGAATTGTAGAAATTAGTAAGTTGTTCTCCTGCTTCGTTTTGGTTTTCTAAGCCATACAATCCATCTACATTTTCCTCCCAATATTTCCAACTTTGGTATTCCGGTCTCCAGTCATAAGAAGCCCATCTTGCTTGCATATTCTGTTGATTTCAAACTGAAGAGAAGTACTAAGCACAAAATATTCCGTTTATTTAACTAGCACTATAGTTATGATTTACCACAGTAAGTTTCATGCAGTGTCGTTACGTTGAGGCTACACTATTCATTTTATTCTGCAATAACTGAAATATATAATCCAAAGTGTAGGAAATTTGCATGCATTTTTTTAGAAAGTGGTGTTTTATGTTACTGGTGGAATTCACCTTGGTTTACAGTTTGACCAGGAATGAATTTTGATTGTTGAAAATCAGTAGCATAACAGAAGCACAGAAAAGGGTGAGTGGGAAAAACAAACAAGGGATTTTAATTCCTCTGACATGTTTGCAAACAAATTATTGGAACTTCTTTAAAAGAGCCATAGAAAGATTTTGATAGGCAATCTGCTTGACTTTAACAGAAATAGATGAATCTGGATTTGTTGAAACTGGCACAGTAAATCAAGATGTAAAAACCTGACCGTTGGTAAGTGATGCAGATTTCATAGAACAGAAATATGTACAGAAATAGATAAATCTAGGAATTGTTAATGAATTAATTAGCTATATTGTCATGGCTAAATGTTTCTGCTTACACAACCATCTAAGAAGAAATCAGAAGGATAGTTATAAAAAGAAATCTAGATAACAGTATTACTCTTAATAACTATGCATCCAATAGCTTTTGTATATAGACATGGATGTGTACCATGGATGAGTTTTTATAATGTGAAAAAGTTTTTTAAATACAGTACTGTGTTCTGAGTCTTTGGAGAGGGGTGGCATACAAATTGAATTAATAAATAATAATAAATAAATAAATATTTATTGTTTCAAAAAATCAACTGCTTTAAAATATAGACAATATGTATATTTTTGCACTGTGAAATTTCATACAAAGAAAAGAAACCATAAGACTGGATGAGATTTGGCATATAACAATATGTTTCCTAGGTTGTTAACAACTTTTCTTTAAAATGGGAAATGTACCTTTAATGTTATTTAAATGCATATTTTATGCTGTGAAAAATTCTGGGCATTTTCTAGGCTTGTTCTGTTGCAATTTAAAACACACACATACAAACACACACACAAAATGAAATATAAAGTTGAAAAAAATCAGGAAGGAACATTTAACAAGTTCCAAGGGAAGTAAAAAGATCAATATACAAGACATAAATATCACTTGAAGTTAGCTTCAAACACAGTTCTCCTAAAGGCATTTCATGATGGTATAGATTTTAGCAATATTGTACTACATTTGAGCTCATTTTATGAACTGCTCTGTAAGTGTTTATGGAATGGAAGGAGCTGAGGTTACGGTTAATAGAGAAGCAGGTGGAAAAAAATCTTGTCATCTAGCCAGTAAAAGGACTTAGGATTCCCTGCCTTTCTTTAGAATGAAAAGAGAAGGAGGGAGGGAGGGAGAGACAGAAATGTGAGACTGATTGGGATATGGAGAGCAGGTCTATTTAATCAGTTATATTTGTATCAGATTGTTGCCTCAAAAGACCTAGTAACTACAAGAGGAATCTTGAAGTCCTAGTGGACAATCACTTAAATATGAGCCAGCAGTGTGCTCAGATGCCAAAAAAGCCAGAGCAGTCCTAGACTGCATCAAAAGAGGGATAAAATCAAGATCACGTGAAATGTTAGTATCACTTTATAATGCCTTGGTAACAACACACTTGGACCACAGTTTTGGTTCCCATGATATAAAAAAGATGTTGAGATTCTAGAAAAAGTGCACAGAAGAGCAGCAAAGATGATTAGGGCAGTGGTGAAATCCAATTTTTTTTGCTACTGGTTCTGTGGGCATGGCTTGGTGGGCGTGGTGTGGCTTGGTGGGCGTGGCTTCATGGGCATGGCAGGATACTGTAAAATCTCCATCCCCACCCCACTCCGGGGAAGGATACTGCAAAATCTCCATTCCACCCCCACTCTGGGGCCAGCCAGAGGTGGTATTTGCTGGTTCTCCGAACTACTCAAAATTTCCACTACTGATTCTCCAGAACCTGTCAGAACCTTCTGGATTTCACCCCTGGATTAGGGGACTGGAGAACAGTTGTAGGGATTGGGTATGTCTAGTTTAATAAAAAGAAGGTTTATGGATGACATGATCACACTGTTCCAATATCTAAGGGGCTGCCACAGAAAAGAGGGGGTCAACCTATTCTCCAAAGCACCTGAAGGCAGGACAAGAAGCAATGAATGAAAACTAATCAAGGAGAGAAGCAACCTGGAACTAAGGCAGGAGTCTGCAGCCTTAAACACTCAAAGAGCCATTTGGACTCGTTTCCCACAGAAAATACCGGGAGCCACAAAACCTGGGTGGGCGTGGCAAACTCAACATCACTCACTCCCACCCAGTTACATGACTGCCCCAGACATGCCTACTCAGGTTTTGTGGCTCACTGTGTTTTCTTTTCTGTGGGGAAACAGGTATCTCTCTCTGTGTCTCTCTCTTTCTCTCTGTCTCTCCCCCTCTGTCTCTGTCTCTGTCTCTCTCTCTTTCTCTCTCTCTCTCTCTCTCTCATCTCTCTCTCTCTTTGTCCTTCTCTGTCTCTCTTTCTCTCTCTCTTGTGTGTGTGTGTGTGTTCCCTCTTGAACCCTTTCCAAAAACAGGCAAGGGTTGGTGGGTTTTTTTTTTTTTTTTTTGCTAGTGTTGTTCTTTCTTCTTTGGGTGCTTTTTACCATATAATTTAAATCAAGAGTCATTTCAGGTTCCCAGATAAATGAAGTTCTTTCATCCCCCTGCTGTAGGTCCCTGTCGGCTAAACCCACCACTGGCTGGTCCCACCCATCACCCTCCCCTCCCAATCACTCTTTGCCTGGCCTGAGAAGCTCTCCACCCCGAGACACTGACCCGGCTGTGGTCAATGTTTCGCATCATAATGGGCTCCAGGAGGAGGAGGGGACACTGTCTCCCCCATTGTGAAGCGCGCTAAATTTAACTGTGCTGTGCTTCATTCATACAAACGTGTGGCAGTAAGCAAAGGTTACTTTTGAATACCTGGCTTTTTGTAAGCAAAGCTCATTGTATTCTGTGGGATCTTGTATTGTTCTACTCAGAGACATAGTATGTTGATTTAAAAAAGAAGAACAGTGAAATTACTTCATAATATTTCTAACTCATAGGTACTGTATCAAAGGTGATTAGGATCAGAATCTAGGATGTACAATTAAGCTTTCATTTTAAAAATCTGGCAAGAATATTTCACTTGCAGTTTTTAATGAAAGAGTATTATAGTCAAGGTGGAAAGCACAGCAGTATATGGAATTTAAGGTCTTGTATGCTTTAATTCAGGAATACTTTCATCATGGGGCATCTCTACCAAGTACTTGGGAAAACTATGCTTGCTGACTGGACATATATCACCCCTTTTTAATTTAGAAAAAAATTCCTCTGGTTTTACTTATTATAATTTATTATATATCTAGACTTTTGAAAAATAGACTCTTCTAAGTTTAGGAAAGTGAAAAATTATTTTTTGTGATGAAACACTACACATCAATGTAGTTGCTTAATAAATCTTTACCTGTAGAATCTGAATTATTTGTTCAATCTCGTCACTGAAATGAATAGAAATAAGATCTGCTGTTTTAAAAGGACTCACTGATGTCAGCTCCTAAGCAAAAGAAAAAAAATGGTTTTACAGATACATGAATTTCAGGATTAAATACATGAACTTTTAATTCAGTTTGTGATATTTCAGAATTTACTCTGAATACTATTCCAAATGTTTCTTTCTTTTTATATTAGGAAAGTAAGGTGATAAAGGACAGAGATAAGCATTTCTATGATTATGTTTCTTTTTCTTCACTGAAGAATAAATGTTGCCTTTGATACCTTTAAGGTATCAAATTTTCTATTCTGAATTTTTCATAAGAGTCTCATTGGCTTCTATGTACATTCAAGCAGTTTCTTCTAGCTTTATACCAAATAAGCATTCAGCAGGAATTTGTTTTCAGAACCCATGGATTTTACCATAATTAACTAGTTTTCATATGCATTTTTATATTAAATTTCAATGAAAGACTATAGTCCAATTAAGATTAAAGTACTGGATGCATAATTGGTTAGTATTGCTATTTTATGCATATTTCCATAAAAAATTCTATGGAAATATTGTGATTTAGATATACAGGTACATGAAGGATATTTACACTGGAAAGCCATTATCAAGGGTGAACATTTTAACACTTTACTAATTTGCAGAACCAGTTTTTCAGCATGTATCTGCAATCTGCATATATAGTTTCTATCCAATTTATGTGGCTAACAACTTAAATAGTAATTCATGCTTCCATATTTACTACCTAAAATAAGAATGATCACGTGCATAATAATTAGGCAACCAAGAAAGCTCATGGCTGTTTTCATATTTTCAGACGCATCCTAGAGGCTAAAAAGAAATCGGTATTTTTCTTCCCTCCCACATTCATATATCCAATTTACTGCTAATGCTTTCTTCTAGCTGTAGTCAGCTGAGACTATTTATTAGTTTTTTCTCCTATTATAACTCCCAAGTTATACTACAGTTTGTAGAACAACTGTATCCTTATTATGTTTATGTTTATACATACTAATTTTAGGTGTTTTTTTTTTTTTTTTGTTATTGTGCAGCATGATCCTTCCTCCATACGCCAAACCTGGAGTCTGTTTTTATGTATGTAGCAGGGCTGCAATTGTGTCCCAGACTTGAACAAACACTTTGAAGTCATCATCCTTCCTTATCCAGCATGATCTCTTCAATGTATGAAAGGCTTTCTTCTTTAGAAAACATACCACTAGGGAAATGGAAAACTGTGGATCTTTTAAGCCTTGAGGTCTATAGCTGGAAATAGTCCTTGAGCTAGGACAGCAACTGGGACAGGAATTTGTATCATTAAGCATTGTGGTCATAAAGCACAATATCACATGACTGTGTCGCTTATCAATACCAATTCCTGCAGCCCATGTTGCTGTTGCTAAGCAAAGAACGGGGGTCGTCCTGTGAACATCTCCTCACAACTTCCCGTCAGCTTCCAACAGACAAAATCAACAGGGAAGCCAGCAGAAGGTTGCTAGTCCCAAAGGCTTGCAAGCAGGCCAAGCAGGGCTACTGGAGGGGGGAGGGTGTATGGGTGACCACACAGAGCAGCACAGAGCAAGCACAGTGAGGCTTGAGTAGCTGCTGCTGGATGGGAGAGGGGGTCTGAGTGGTGCCATGTCATGAGTATGGCAGGAGTTGGGTAGCTGCTGCTGGGTGGAAGAGACTGTGTGAAGGTGTGAGAATGGCAGGGGAGGTACAGCACAAGTGCAGCAAGGCTTGGGGAGAATATCTGAGGGTGAGTGAGTGATGGGGTAATGTGCTGTGAGCACGGTGGAACTTGGATAGCAACTGCTAGGTGGGAGAGAGTATGTGAATGGTACATGAGATGGAGCACTTAGCATAGTTTGGGGTGGTTGCTCCTGGGTGAGTGAAGATGTGTGAGGGTTCTCAAGTGGTGAGGGAACTACAACATGAATACAGCAAGATATGTGGAGTGGCTGGTGCAGCAAGGGAGGGTGTCTAAGGTGTGGCAGGAGAGGCATAGTGCAAATACAGGGAAGCTGGTGGGGATGATTTGCAACTTTCCCTGCTGGTTTTCCCATTGACTTTTTTTATTAGAAGCTGGCAGTGAAGGTCACAAATTCTGATCGAGTGACTTTGAGATGCTGCAACTCTCATGTGAGCTGGTTGCCAAGCACCCAGATAATAACCATGTGATTGCAAGGGTGCTGGAACAGTTGGAGCTTTGAAGACCAGTTGTAACCACCACTCATTCAGTGTCTTCATAGTAACACTAAATGTGGATATTGAGGAGACTTTCAGAGAATAAAAAACAACAGAGAAAGATGAACCATGGCTTTTCATAGTGAATCTTAAAATTCCATTAAAAATAGTCTTGTTCATCTGTGGATATTTGATTACAAATGCTTTTAAGCTATTCTGTATAGTGACTGATCCGAAGAACCAAAGTGTCTAATTAACTTTATGTCAGTTAATGCATGAAACTTTCTATCCTCAAAAGTAATTATTGTTAATCAGATCAATTCCAGTTAGAGACAAAATTAATTTAAATATTAGAAATATGGTCTTATTGTTTTCACTTATATTAATTTATTAGGATATATCAGCTGTACAGTATTACTACATATGGAATTTAAGATGTATAATCATCTTATTTAAGACATACCTCAATATGTTTCATAGTTTTCTGCCACACAGATTGCTTTTCTTCTGTACTATACCCAGGAATGGAAAGAATATTGTGGATATAGGAGAAAACTTCTTCCTTTAAGAAATATATGGGAAAGGTTACAAAAAAGAAAAATACATTACAAAAACATTCTTTCAAATTAAATGATTGAGCCTCATATATTACATGCTGAAACATAGGACTGAAAATGTATCATTAATAAAGCAACAAGGCACTGAAAATATATCATTTATGTACCATTTTAACATTCGCCACTATTGCATTTTAGCACATTTCTATTAAAAAATCTATTTTTAAAAAGCAAGTTTCTCCATCACCCAAAAATACAGAAAAGCTGCTGAAAAATTAAACAGATCTTATCTGAATTTTCTTCTACAACTTGTACTATGTCGTGTTTACCTTTCTCAAGGGATCATGCAAGTAGCAATCAATTATCCTATCATAGCGATGTTCCCGTTCATACATAAATTCACAGATTTGGTAACTGAAATGAAAGAATTATAGCTAAGTGCTTTTTAGATATAAGCATCCATAAAAAAGAGCAGTTTTATAAAACATGTTCTGTTTTTCCTATCTTAATATTTGATGTTATTATTTTACTGCTTATTAAACATAACAGAATCAGTTTGGTGTAGTGGTTAAGGTACTAGGCTATAAACTGGAGACATGAATTCTAGTCCCACCTTAGGCACAGGCAGCTGGGTAACCTTGGAGCAGTTACTCTCTCTCAGCCCTAGCAAGCAAGCCGCTTCAGAAAAACCTTGCCAAGAAAGCTTATCCAAGCAGTCCCCAGAAGTCAACATTGACATGAAGGCACAAGTGATATTAGACAAACTAATAAATAATTACCTTGAGCTGTGTCAGCAATTTTTAATGTCATACTTGATAAATGTATCACCTGCCTTCTTTTTTAAAAAATCAAAAAATTATCTCATGAAAAAACAAAGCCTTCTAAATCAGTGACATCTAACATGATAGTGAAAGGGGAAGAGGGGAGTCACATGTGTTTCCTTTACCTAATCTAAGCTTCTTCATGTATGGGGTTGATGTTTCTATCTTCACTTATTTTTTTTAGAAGTTAACTACAGTATCTATTCTACCTGCCTCTTTTTTGCTAGAAATATCAGTTAATTGTCTTTGTAACCTGAAGGAGCTTAGTTACTTAATACTAGAGAAAATTAAAAAGAGTTCAACTAGCACTAGAATTTTATTACATGAATTACATGTAGTATTTACATTCTTTCTTTTTTGATTTAAAAAGCCAGGCCTATTTAAAGTAACACTAGTACCAAAACTATAAAAATAAATAAAAAAGAGGAGACAAGCTTGATCCAAAGAGAACAACAACAAATGTTTTATATTAGCAACTCAAAATCCCTGCTATAGACATGAGACCATACAATTTTTTGCATTGTTTGTTCAACCAAAATAGGAATTAATAGGATTTAAATGAAGCTCAGATCATACTGGAGGTCACAGTGCTGCAGGATTAAAAATAGTTTCAAAGGGTCCAGAAATGGTCTCTCATCACTCTACACCTCTCTACAGAATTCATTTAACAACTGGAATTTCTATTTTCAAACAGTGGAGGAAGATCAAGTATTTGCTTGCTTTTTTTTTTAACAGTAAATTTTGGAAGAACTTTTACTTTAATCTGACAATATTCTGTACTTGATAAAATGCACACGCTTTCTTAGACGTTCTCTAATGCTATCTGATAATGTAATCAGTATCTTCAGAACTGCCAATTTCTAGTGGATTCTGCCACTCATTAACATCTAAAAGATGATATCCCTGTGGGAGCTGGCTTTCACTGTTGCAGCTTCCTGTCTCTGATATAGCATCTTCCCAGTGATCATACTAGGTTTCAGTATGTGAAAATGAAACGGATCATTCTTTTAGGGGAGAGAGAGTATGGTTAAGTATTCTGACTGGTGCTAAAAATTTGATGGGGTGTGTATCTATTTTATGTTATTGTACAATTTTTAACCTAATGAGTTATACAAACTTCTCAGTCAGCTATGAGCAGAAGTAAGCCTTATAAAATAATACAGGACAATACAGGATCCGGCTGTTTTGGCTAACTATCGTCCAGTCTCCAACCTTCGCTTTATTGCGAAGGTTGTTGAGAGTCTGGTGGCGCGACAGCTTCCACAGTACCTGGATGAAGCTGTCTATTTGGATCCGCTCCAGTCCGGTTTCAGACCTGGGTACAGCACGGAAACGGCATTGGTCGCGTTGGTGGATGATCTCTGGAGGGCTCGGGATAGGGGTTACTCCTCTATCCTGGTCCTGTTAGACCTCTCAGCGGCTTTTGATACCATCGACCATGGTATCATGTTGCGCCGGCTGGAGGGACTGGGAGTGGGGGGCACCGTTTTGCGGTGGTTCTCCTCCTATCTCTCCGACCGGTCGCAATCCGTGTTGACACGGGGGCAGCGGTCGACCCCGAGGCGCCTTGTTTGTGGGGTGCCACAAGGGTCGGTCCTCTCGCCCCTCCTGTTCAACATTTATGTGAAGCCGCTGGGTGAGATCATCCGTGGTTTTGGGGTAGAGTTCCATCAGTACGCTGATGATACTCAGCTGTACATCTCCACCCCAGACCATCCCAACGATGCCTTGGAAGTGATGTCCCAGTGCCTGGAGGCCGTGCGGGTCTGGATGGGGAGAAACAGGCTTTGACTCAACCCTTCCAAGACCGAGTGGCTGTGGCTGCCGGCGTCCCGGTATAGCCAGCTGACGCCATCGCTGGTTATTGGGGGTGAATCATTGGCCCCCACGGAAAGGGCCCGCAACTTGGGCGTCCTCCTGGATGCACGGCTGTCCTTAGAAGGGCATCTGACGGCCGTGGCCAGGGGGGCTTTTTATCAGGTTCGCCTGATACGCCAGTTGCGCCCCTTTCTGGATCGGGACTCCCTACGCACAGTCACTCAAGCACTCGTCACTTCTCGTCTGGACTATTGTAACGCTCTCTACATGGGGCTCCCCTTGGGGTACACCCGGAGGCTCCAACTGGTGCAGAATGCGGCCGCGCGGGGGATTATGGGAGCGACTGGGCGCTCCCATGTGACTCCTCTCCTGCGCGAGCTGCATTGGCTTCCGGTGGACTTCCGGGTGCGCTTCAAGGTGTTGGTGACCACCTTTAAAGCGCTCCATGGCTTAGGGCCGGGGTACTTACGGGACCGCCTTCTGCCACCAATTGCCTCCCACCGGCCAGTTCGCTCCCACAGAGAGGGCCTCCTCAGGGTGCCGTCGGCTAGACAATGCCGGCTGGCGACCCCCAGGAGGAGAGCCTTCTCTGTGGTGGCACCTACCCTTTGGAACAATCTACCCCCAGAGATACGAGTGATCTCCGACCTCCGGACCTTTCGTCGGGCCCTAAAAACTCATCTCTTTCAGTTAGCCGGTCTCTCTTGATTTTATGATTTTATGGTTGGTTTTAAATTTTGATATGGATTTTAAATTGATAAATTTTAAACTATGGGCCAAATTTAATTATTTTAAATCTATTTTTAATCGTATTTATGTATAAATGTTTTTATTTTGGCTGTTCACCGCCCTGAGTCCGAAAGGAGAAGGGCGGTATAGAAATTCGAATAATAAATAATAAATAATAAATAAATAAATAAATAGATTTATAAATAATCATTCAATTTCTTCCCCTTTTGTTTTCCTGACTTGAATTGCCTGAAACTCCAAAGGAGAGATTTTGTAAAAGTTTGCTTACCATAATAAAGGCATTGCTTCAGTGAGATTTAATGGGCAAAAGAGTTACAAATGCCACTTAATTTCACTGATAATAGAAACTTATGGTCAGATTACCGATGGAATTCCAGCACTCTAGTAAGGGGTTAAGAGCACTTTTAGTTTACAGTTTATATTTGTTTTAGGGATATATAAAGGTTTAGAAAACTTAACTGCTTATATTAATTTTAACATAAACATCCATTAATTTCATTGATAAATTGTCTTATACAATATAATCAAAATACCATGAATATGATATAAATAACAAGCAAAATTTGGTGTTGTGAATAAGGGGCTGGCCTAGAAATCTGAGTTCTAGTCCGGCCTTAGGCATGAAAGTCAGGTGGGTGATCTTGGGCTAGTTTCTCAGTCAACTATCTCACAGGGTTGTTGTGGGGAAAATAGGAAGAGGAATTAGCTATATTGGCCTCCTTGAGTTATTTATAAAGATATGGAAGGATAAAAATCAAATATATAAAATGTACCATGTAAAAATATTAAAACTGATTATAAACAGAATTACTAAATGGATATAGGTAAAATAACTCTTGTTAGTTTATACAATGAAACACTACGGAAAGGATAATTGGAAAGACCAATTTCTTTGTGAATATAGAGCTGAACCCATGTTATTTTCCAGTTTCTATTAAGCTATTTACTATTTTAAAAAAGCACCTGGGTAGGGAGTTAATCAGACAAACTTGTTCAGATATTTTAATCTCTTAGAGCATAAATGTTGCTATGATTTCCGAGCAGCCTGATAATAGAATCAGACAGTTATAAAAACAAATCTTAAAGCTAACAGACCAAGACTGTTTCAACATCTGGAGAAGTAGGATGTAGGTCAAGTTGTAATCACCAGAAATTTAATCTCATGGCCACAATTTTATACAATATAGTGTGCTAAGTACTGAAGTGCATCTGCAGTGACAAGGCAATGAGGATGAACAGAGATTTCACAGCTGAAAGCAGTTGCCAAGCAACCACCTCATGTTTTTTTTTTCCTTCTGGTTCTATTTATCTTCTGCAGATAAAGGATTTCAGCCTCAATTTGGATCAAGTTAAAGAAGCAAAAGATTCCATCTGTGAGGATGTTACCATATATCATATTCTTCTTCTTATAATTTCATTTTCTTATTGTTGGAATAAGAAAATGAAATTATAAGAAGAAGAATATGATATATGGTAACATCCTTACGGATAATCCTCACAGATATATCTTTTAGAAAGCCAGAGATGATTCTTTTGGTTAAAATGACATAAAAATCAGATAGATCGCAAATCATATGTATTCAACTGTTGATTAATATAATAATATAATTGTAAGCATTCATAAAAAGTGGCTTCAGACATAGTTAAAAAGGCAGACATTGATTTATTGACCAGGTCTAAAACATGCTCTCTTAGCCAATTTGCTTGTCACAGAATATCTTCAAGTGACATGATGGTATCAGGAGATAAATGGGATTAATATTTTGAGCTTTTTAAGGTGTATAAAAATTGGGAATAAGAGTGGAAGACAAAACATCCCATTTCTACCCTTAACTCCCCAAAACTGTGAACAGGCCTCCAAGCAGCCTCTAACTTCTATTCTTATTCTTAATTCTCAGAAAAAAAAACTGTCATTTTACTGCTAATGCTGGTGGCACAATCCTAGTCAATGCCATATTTGGTTTTTAATGTAAAACCTAAGCAAACTATCTAAGTTTATTAACATTAATATTTTGGAGTATATTTTGGATATAAAGCTTTTTCCTTAATTTTTAAAGGCTTTAGTTATCTAATTTATCAAAGCATTAATAATATCTAGTCAACATAAATATCATTGTACTCAATACTACAATGTATCATTTGTGTTTTAAAATAATACTATTTGTATCTTATAATAATACTATTAAAAATTTCTTTTAAAAAATCCTGGATTTATCAGAGTGGTTGTAAAGGAGTAAAACAAATTAGAAATGGTATGCAGAAACTTACAATTCAGCTTTTTCTGCCATTTGTATGAGTCTGTTTTCTTCAAACTGCACTATACCTCCAGCCTGAAGCAATTCTAAAAGAACCTATTAGCACAATATAATTATAAATATTGTGTTAAAATCCTTCACAGACCCCACAACATTTATCCTCTACAATAAAAGATTATGTCTACATATGAAACAAACATCAGACATCAGGGAGTAAATTATGTTCTTCCAAGCTTTGCTTGTTTGTTGCAATATACATATTTACATAAGTAGAGACCTTTCTGACATGAAATTTAATTTTGGAATTTTTCAGTTACTGCCTGAGGACCAGTGGTGGGTTCAGTGGTGGGTTCTACTTACCTTTACTATCGGTTCGCACACGCCTGCACATGTGCAGATCACCTATGATGATGTCTGGATCAGTGGGCAGAGCCTCCTGCCGGTTTTACTACCGGTTCTTGCAAACAGGTCCAAACCGGGGGCAACCCACCACTGGATCGGGTGAACCGGTAGTGGCGGGAGGCTCCGCCCACTTGCCCAGACGCTTCTGCGCATGTGCATGAGTGCACGAGCGAACTGGTAGCGACAGGATTTAGAACCCGCCCCTGCTGAGGACAATATACTTGTTCTTAGTATGTGTCTTGATCAAGGATGAAATCAAGGAGAAGCTATAATTTTGGAGTAGTTGATTAAACATGATCATGTTCCCAAGCATGATTGGAGTATTTACCTGCTTCATATAATATGAAGTGAGATAATTTTCCTCTCAACCACATTCTGTACTTATCACAATCTCATTTCCATGCTTTAGCCTTCTAGTCTCTTACAATTGCATGTCTCCCCTTTTTCTTCCTGAACTTCAATTGAATAATCAAGTCTAGAAAAAGAGTAATCGAGTCCAAATTCACTACTTTTCTGATATAATCCAGCATTGTTATCTCCACTAGTGGGGATTTGGAAAAACTGAAGTGAAAAATGACATTATATACATAGAAAAGTACACCTCTTGATAATGTATCCTACTTCTTCAATCACTCTCTAAGTATTAACTATGACAGTGGCAACCAAACTATGTATATTATATCATAATGTAATATCAGACTATGTTATTCTGGGCTATATTTGATCATACTGAATCTCTAGTTTTAGTGTGAAGAATCTGAACTGCTACAATTTATGTGATTCTGAAAACTATTAATATGTCTTGATTAAATATATAAGCTCTTAGCAGTTTTCTAGAAGCTGATTGTTTCTCAGTTTGGAGTTCTAGTTTTAGCATTTCTGCTCTATAGTATGGTCATTTTTAGTAATGATCTTTCTTCCTTAACCATGAATCATTTTCACAGCATGAATAATATTATCCTAACGATTCATACCTGCTGTCTTTCAGAATGTCGTGAATCATCATCAGGACTGCAGAGAAATTCAAGGACCTGAGCAAAAAAGAAAATGTTATTATATACATATTTCTGCTCCATTTCTCAAGCACAGTACCACATTTTACAAATTTATCTATTATAGCATTTCCCACTAAAGGACATACAAATCATTACAACATTTGGGAATAGGATCCAAGCTTCTAAAATACCTTAATGCTGTGAAATGCAAATTCAACATCAAAAACCCAATACAATATGTGTTTATTCTTTTTCAGCATCTCGTAGTTTCCCACATATCCTTTCTAAAACCATTGCATTCATATCTTCATAATTTATCTCAAACTTTCTGAAACAGTAGATATAATAATTACAAACTAGATGGCATCACACTCATGCAATCATTTTATAATTCAACATAGACTTTGCCCATTTTAGAATAAAAATTCCACCCAATTATGGTTCTTCATATTACCTGGTCGAATAGCATCCTATTCACAAACAATGTGTTGTTTGGCTTAGCAAGCTGTTGAGCAAGGAAAGTAAAAAGGCATCCAACTTGTGATGGGGTAAAATCAGAGTTCTCCACCATAACCTAGAAGGGAGAAAAATAGATACATTTATTAATCATAACAATTTAGGTTAGTACATATCTTGTCTTGAGATGGAAGAACAAAAAACCCCAACACTGTACTTAATAAAGTGGTACAAAAAATAATTTAAAATTTTCAGAACCTAATTACTGTAAACATGTCTTTCGATACACACCAAATCAAAAATTTTAAAAGGAAATTTTAATTCCCGTAAGGTTTCTAAGACAATGTTCCCCAAGCTTATCGCTATAGGCAGATATAGCTGCATCACTAAAAGGAAGCAGTGTTTTTCTATCTTCTAGGTCACAGTGACATTGTTCTGAACTTATCAGTAGGATAACACTGGGCATTGCTTGAACGATCTATGAAACAATTCAACCACCATAAATAACTGAAGAGTGGGGAAAGGCAGGCAGGCAATGGAAATGAATAATAGGGGAGGAAATCTCATCTTTTCTCACTAAGGAGCAACGAAACATTTTATCTTATGAAACACAACATTTCCTCAATTCTTACAACAAATCAAAATGTATACCTCATGTTTCTGATACCTATTCCTTTATTATGCAGAATATATTATGAATTTATTTACACTTTACAAACATTATTATTACTTATATAAGTATATACTTATTGTATAAGTAATAATAATGTTGATAAAATGTAAATAAATTCAAAATATATTCTGCATAATAAAAGAATAAAGGAATTATAAACATCATATGATGTTGTAGAATTTAATAACATATTTCATGAAAACCACAATACATCTTTTATGTTTTGTATATTTTAATTTATAGTTGATGACAGATTGGCAATATAGACATAATTACGTGGAATGGTCATACAGTTATCATCCATACTCCAAGATACAGATATTATGGTCAACTTGCATTCTAAATGGTAACCAGCATGTTATGGCAAAAACAAGCATATATACTTGTATATATTGATATTAAATAGCTATATTTTGGAAAGAGTAAAACTAATATGAACATGAGATTTGGGGTAACATAAATATAAAGGGGACAAAGAAGACAGACATGTGGCCTGATCTCCTTCCCCAACATGAGATCGAGAGAGCTTCAAAAGCTAAGTGTGCGATAGGTGATGCTATATGTAGGGAGTAGATCCTAGATGTGTAGGGTCCCAGAGGATTGGAGGGGGGGGGCATTGCAGCATCCCTGAGGGCAGTTGTAAGGGCAAATGACTGCAGGGGAGCTGCAGCAGCTGTAACTTTAAAAACCAGGTCGTAAGTAGCTGGGGTGGTGGTGTCTGTCATAACTTCCAGGTGGTGTTAAATGGCCAGTCATATCTCAAGGACTACCTATAGAGGTGTAAAATATTTTGATCCAAATTATGCAAAGTTACATCAGATCTTATATAGCCTTATATCATTGTACTTGAAATCAGCTCCTTAAAAGGGACTCACTTTTTCCTGGATTGTGCAAATTCTGAAAAAGTATATTTATTAAAGTTATATCCCACCTATCATTCAGGAACTTAAGGTGACATATATATAATCAGACAGCAAGCAAGCATTTTGCTGCCTATTGGGAGACTAATATAGATAGTAATATAGGCAGTAAAATGCTTGCTTGCTGTCTGAAGAAGCCTAGGATAGTGGATGTGATTTCACTGAGCTATGGCTGCAATTTGAGAAACTTGGTTTACCTAGGAAAATACCTATGTTTATATATATATATATACACACAAACATATAATCTCCCAATTTTTCCATAGCCTACTTATAATTGATATCATGATATGAATTTGAAATCAAGCAGAAAAAGGTGTGGCTCTTTTAAGGAGATGCCAGTTGTAATAGTAAGGATCAGCAAGATCTGAGGCACCTGATCTAAATATTGTGCATTTATAAGAATAATATATTAGTTTGTTCATGTTTCATCAATCAAAACAATAATTTAATGAAAAGAAATAATGAGGTAACAATGAATAAATAACGTGTAGAAAATGTTTTTCATTTTAGTACTTCAAAGTAAAGATTTTACACATATTTTCCTATATTTACTACTAAAACAAAGGAAATCTACCTTGAGTAATATGTCCACAATTCTCTGTTGGTATTCCACAGCTTGCTTGTCATTCTTAAAATCTTCAAATGTCTTTATCAGAAAATAACATTGGAAGAGAAAAAGCAAAACTTCACATGCAATATTTTTTATATATTCAAGCATTCAAAATAAAAACTTGGCTTGAGAAGTTACAATATACTGTTCATAAGTTTTGTGAAGAAGCTACAATTATGCCTGAATCAAGATCACAATGGATGGTCTCCAATTAAGAAAGAACTTATAAGCGAAACTGAAGTTATCTCAAAGACTATTCAATGTTGGAAACTATTAACAAGAGCAATGATTAACTCTAGTTTTCTCATTTCTCCATTCCATTCAAAGGGTTGCATACAATGTTTATACTAGTCACAGCATGTTGGTCAAAACTATTGCAGAACTATTGATGGCAAACAGTGGGATCCCTTGTATAGGTGAGCCCAACCCAAGGTAGGTATCAAAAACAGTATTTACATATTTTCAGAACCTTTACTGAAGTTGGAAAAGACAGCACATCTGAATGGGCTAATTAAGAAATAATGTAACTATTATGTTATATTACCCCTTCCTTGGGGGGGGAGGGAGGCAAAGAAAGTCACAGCTGTAAGCAAGAGAGAGTAGGACCCATCCCACTGTGCCTCATGCAATGCTACTATTATAATTCTGCTTCGGACTTCCTTATCTTGTCCCAATTAAGGACCCATATAGATTTTGCAAACAGTAATGTTATCTGTTGGCCTGTAAGTTCCTTGTAGGAAAGGGAATCATGGTAAAGGACAATACTGACCAGAGGACAGGAAATCAAACAGAAAATGTGCATTCATGAATGAATTTAGAATATTAACATAAAAGAACCAAAAAATTGCTATCCTTCTGTTCCATCCCTTCAAGCGCTTAGAGACTAATCACTAAGCCTTAATCATATATCTCCATTTCTTCTTGAATATCAAAAAGAGTAATTAAATGAACATGACTGTTTCTTTTCTATTCTTGTATATAGTGATAGGATAGCCTAAGGACACCAACTGTATTCTATCATGTGTTAAAATCAACCTCTCCAACGCCAAGTATGATAAAGATGGAAGTCCCAGAATTTTGGTGATGCTGTTTTAATGTGTCCTTCAATACATTTGGAAAATATGCAGATTAGAGAAGGTATATTGTTAGGAACCGTGGTGGCGCAGTGGTTAGAATGCAGTATTTGCAAGTTAATTCTGCTGACTGCCAGGAGTTCGTTTGCTTCAATTCTCACAGGCTCAAGATTGACTCAGCTTCTATTCTTCCGAGGTTGGTAAAATGAGGACCCAGATTGTTGGGACAATATGCCGATTCTGTAAACCACATAGGCTGTAATGCACTGTGAAGCAGTATATAAGTCTAAGTGCTATTGCTATAATGTTTTTTTTTAATTCAAGCTAGGAATAAAGTAATTCATAACACTGGTTCTATAATAGAACCAATATTACAATGGCAATCTGTGAAGACACATTTTTAACACATTACTATTTGAGCAATATTTCTACTAAAATATAAATGAACCACATGCATTCAATATATGTAAACTGATTAAGTTGAATAAATTTAATGTTTGTATAATGGTTTTCAATACTATAAGAAACTAATGTGACTATAATTCATGTGCAGGCTGAAAAGCTTTTTATTAAAATCCACATCTGATGGCTTATGCTGGTATTACTCTATTATTAATGTCCATTGGTTATTTTTAAGTTTATAACTTTTAATAACATAATTAATTCATTTTGAGAATTGCACACTGCCTGGAGATGCTTTCTATGATAGGTGTCATAGAAATATTTAAAATTAAATAAATTTTAATAAATCAATAAATAAATCACTGATTCCTAAAGGAATAAATAATTATAATTAGGTTTTTGCAACTCTGTTCTACAGACATGTTGCACTCTTATTCCTAGAATCCCCAGCCATGTACAACTAGGTGGATAAAAATATACTATATGCTCCTTCCTTAATAGGCTTTACAACCCACAGAAAACATTACTTCAAAAGTCAGGATATCTTGCTAAGTGGGGCAGGCAATGCGCTGGTGGGAAAGGAGAATCTCCAGAATTATCAGTGCATCCTACATCAGTGCATCCTACATAGTTAAGACAGATTGCTTCTACTCTTCTTAAATCATACCTATTCCATTCTACTCAGTGAAGTTCTAGTTAGGTTGTATAGCATTTTTGGCAGACAGGGCAATTGTGAGAAAGAGTGAGAACAGTGATGAAGAATTTCTGCAAGTCAACTCTATATATCTAATCTGGATCCAACACATATGTTTAAGACAAAGGGTGGTTGTGCTACCACAAGCAACCATCCATTCTCATTTATATTTCCCCAAAAGTACTACAAATCACTAAAGAGGCATAATTTCTCACTATTTTCAGAAGGAACAATAAAAAATAGGTGCACAAGGCATTAAAGTCTCCACTTCCCACAAACTTTGTATGAACCCACTTTAAAAATTAGCCATGTACCATTTACACAATGCTCTGATACTATGCCCACCATGATCCTCAGTCTTAAAAAGTAATAATTGCTCTTTAGTTGCCAAAACATTATCCACCATTGTTTAAGCTGATGCAACAGATAATGAGACTTTCTATCTTTGCAATTAGTGTTTCGACTTACCAGTGCAAGAACATTAAGGAACTCTCGTGTATCAAAGTGCAACAGTGTACGAACGTAGGGATACACTTCTTCATCTGTAGGGGCCTCAGCTGAATGCAGACGGATGAGGAATTCAAAGACCTGCAATGTAAAATGAGTATAGATTTGGCTCAATCTAAATGCCAGAATTAACACTTCGAAGTATATCAATTCCAGGAATTTTTCTCAGGAATTTTCTAACATTAGTGATTTAATACAAAAAAAGTCAAGTTGTTTTATCGTTACTTGCATTAGTATTCACAATCACTAGTACTTAACTGCTTCACATTGGTATTTGAAAGATTATTACTACTGACTTCCTAAACAATGAATTCTGATAAAACATATAACTGCATTTTCCTTTCAGTTTATTTCTCCAGACTAACTACATGAATTAGTTCATTGGGATAAACAAGAAATTCAGATAAATCATTGCTAGCAGGATTTAAAACAGAAAGAAAAAGAAGAATTTGCTGAAATACAGGTCAAACATTACAAAAAGAAAATGTCAAGCCTGTAAGAAAATTTCAACATCATACTTACATTAATTTACCTTTGATGCACCACTTGTATTTGATCAAACTTTCACAGGTTGAGTCTCCTGCTGTGATAGATCTCCAAAAGGACTATTCCAACACTCTACTTGATCTACTACTACTCTACGTGATCAAACCCCCCAAAATTTTCCTCCAGTTGGAACTGATGAAAAAAATCACTGGGGTATGTCCCTCTAAACTTTATAGTGCAAAACCTTGGGTAACAAAGGGCCCATCAATTCATTCCCTGATGCTAACTTAGTAGTATAGCCTTTATTGTCATTGTACATCATGTATACAACGAAATTGGTTTTAGCTTCACTGGTGCAATCCATGACAAAAAATACAAACAACATTAATAGTATAAAGAATAATCCCTATGAAAGTAATTAGGGCAAAAAAAGAAAGAAAAAGAAAAATTAGTCATACGTTTCCATGTGTGTGTGTTGAGTCTGACACAAAGAGTCTGACAGCCCAAGGATAGAAACTATTTTTAAATCTATTGGTTCGGCTGGCTATGCTTCGATGTCTTCTGCCCGATGGTAGAAGTGTGAAGAGACACTGACCACTGAATCATCTCTGAGTATCTTCCTTAGTCTGCTAAAGCAGCAAGACCTGGCAAACACCAAGAGCCTTGGTGGTGCAGCAGACTAAAGTGCTGTTAAGTAGCACCAGCTGCCTGCAATTACTGTAAGTTCAAATCTCACCAGGCTCAAGATTGACTCAGCCTTCCATCCTTTCGAGGTAGGTAAAATGATTGTGGGGGCAATAAGCTGACTTTGTATAAAAAAGAACACCGCTTGGGGCCCCCCGAAAACCCTACTAAGCAGGTATATACAAAAGTATGAAGGCTATTGCTTAACGCATTGTAAGCCACCCTGAGTCTCCGGGGAAGGGCGGCATATAAATCCAATCAATCAATCAATCAATCAATCAATCAATCAATGTCAACCAGTGGTGTTAGAGGGCAACCAATGGTTTCTTGTGCCGAACTGATAACTCTCTGTAGTGCCTTCCTGTCTGCAGCAGTTAAACCAGCATACCATACTGTAATGCAGTATGTGAGGACACTTTCTATCATGGACCGATAGAAAGAGGTCTTCAGCCATTGTTCAAATACTCTGAAATATATGCTGAGGTTTTTGAGTGAAATTGACAGCATTGTGTTTAAGATGATACAGCATTTCAAAGAGCCTCAAAACAAAGGCAGTTTCCATATAAGCTGAAGTTTTAGAGAAATGCTATAGTTTTAGAAGCATGGCTTGAGAACACCCATTTGCCTCATCTCCTAGGTCTGAGATAGTGAACCTTTGGCACACGTGCCAGAGGTGGCACGCAGAGCCCTCTCTGCGGGCACGCGCGCCATCGCTAGCTGCTCTTCTGCTCTTCTAACCTTTGTGCATGCTGGAGCCCCAGAAACCCAAAGACCACGTGATCTTCATGTTTCTGGCACTCCGGCGTGAGTGAAGACCAGCTGGGTAGTGCGCATGCATGCTGGAAACCAGAAGACCACCTGGTTTTCGAGTCCCGGGGCTCTGGTGCACGTGTGCACACACACACACATTCCATTTGGGCACTTGGTGCCGAAAAGATTTGCCATCACTGTCCTAGGTTATCTGGGCTATGCTAAGAACAGAAACCCATTGTGGGATTGAGACATCCCGACATGGACCATGTTTATGATTACTGACACACAGACTGAAATATCATAGCAGTATGACTTTATGTCAAAGTTTTTTTTTTTTTACAGTAGAGAGTTCCAACTGATTAAATACAAGGTTACATATCAGTTTGTACAGTAAGGTATAAGGTAAGGGTGTTTTATGCGCAATGCACATAAAAATGGGCAAGGCTTCCATCATACTATTGCGGTCACCATTTTGACTTTTTTAACCATATCACATGGACATTCCAAGATATAATATTCTGAAGAGGTATTCATTCATTCATTCATTCAACATTCAATTGTGATACACAAATTCATCCCTGTAGTTAATATGCCATTTAAATATAACTTGACATTTTTCATTTCATATTCATAATCACCTTAGAACTTGGATAGATTGTTTGATACATACTCCCTCCTCTATCATACCCAATATTAACTACCACTCATTCAGAATCAAATATTTATATCTGTATAACTCATTATCAACATTGGAATGACATACAAAATTACATGTACAATCATGTGCAAACCAACACATCTCTAACATTATGAAAATAATTATTTATGTGTTATCCATAAATATATTTAAAAATTCAATGCTGAAACATTTGCTAACAATTCAATTTATTTTCTCATGTGCTTTAGTTATACCATACACTGCTCTACCACATTTATTAAACCAAACTTCAATTTTATATTGACAGAAAACATTCCAAAATTCAAGCTTAGTATGTTTATTGCAGATATATTCTTAATAAAGCATTTCCTACATTCATATGCTCTAGTAAGTATAAAGAGGATGTTTCTAGTGTTATACTCAATTTCATTTCAAAATTCAAATAATTTTATGCTTGTAATAAAAATCTTCTAAATTGTACTTAATACTGATAAACATTTTAATACTCTAATTTATCAAAACGATAGACTGTCAATAATTTTAACTAATACTGTACAAGTAACATTGTATCAAAACAATACATTTTAAAATTTACAACAATATAATAAAAAGGGAGAAAAGATAATAAAAATGTATAAATAGAATGTTCAGGTAAAACATGATTTTTTAAAAATGTGCTATATTCCTGCTCACAATTTATGCAGTACTGCTTCACCAGCATTACAGTTTCAGAGCATCTTGCTCATATATGAATACAATTCTAAACATGAAACCGCAGATTAGGAGTTAACCTTAGAAGGTTGTCAATTCTATGATAATTGGGGCCAAAAAAGAATACTACTTAGTGTTAAAGGAGATCTACCACAAAACTACACCTCTAAGAAAATGTTAATTTCTTATAAAAGATAGCAACTTTTCTTAACTTTTTCTTTTCTTAAAGTACTTTTTTTCTGGTAATTTTTATAGAAGTATTTTTAAAAACTCACTTGGTTTTTAATCAGTGGTACCAGGTCTTCAGGAATATTGCCCAATGGGTAAGCTCGGCCTGCCAAACAACAGCTGTAAGGAAATACAGATAATAAGAACTACAACTCTGTGTTAAACAAACAGTTGGTTTTACTACTTCTCTGGCTATTCATATTTGAAACATCCAGGCACAGCTCACAGCTTCCCCCACTCCCATTCAATGCTATATTCTTAGTTTACTAAATATAGGCAGCCCTAAGTTAATTTACTCTGAGAGAACTTTGCCCACAAAGATTTTGTTAAATTATTTCTACAGATTCTCAGCATCTTCAAGACTGCTAATAGTGTTTATAGCCATAGTATATTATAGACATGCAAGAACAGTCTGCTATTAGTTTATACAGGTAATGTTTAACATATGACCACAACTGGGAGCAGAATTTCCATTGCTAAACAAGGTTGGTTGTTAAGTGAGTCATGGCCAACCTTTTTTGCCATAGTTGTTAATCACAAGAGTTGTGAAGTGAATCATGCAGCCGTTAAAGAGAATCTGGCTTTGCCCATTGACTTTTTTTGTTGGAAGCTGGCTGGGAAAGTGGTAATGGGAGTCACCCTGGGACGCTGCAAATGTCATAAATACAAGTTGGTTGCCAAGTGCCTGAATTTTGGCCCTGTGACCATGGGGATGCTGCAATGCTTGTGTGAGGGCCACTTGTAAGTCACTTTTTTCATTGCCAATGTAACTTTTAATGGTCCCTAAACACATGGCTTTAAGTTGAGAGTGGTTAAGGCACCAGGCTAGAAAGCAAGAGAGTGTGATTTCAAGTTCCGCCTTAGCCATGAAAGCCAGCTGGCTGACCTCATTGTCTCTCAGCCCAATTCACCTCACAGGGTTGCTGTTTGGGGAAAATAGGAGGAGGAAGGTGCGTTGGATATGTTCACCGCCTTGAGTTGTTTGTGAAAATAATAAAGGCGGGATATAAATGAATGAATAAATAAATAAAAATAAATTTTATAATCTCTAGTTTCTAGCATCAGAAGTATATTCACACATACAAAAAGCAAAAATAAGAGTCCTTTTTTGAAATAGTTCTTGTTCATGTACAGTTTCTACCCACCTACCTATTTATTTTAATATGTAAAATAAATTTCAATGAGCAATCTAAATATTACTGGAATTGCTTTTTACCATTAGAACATGACATGCATCCAAACACAAAATCCTTCAGTATGGTAAATATTTTGCCTTTAAGCTGCTACTAGATTTATTTAAAATTTTATCATCTTAGCACAGGAAGTAGAAGGAAACAGTAGTACTTTGCAAGAACATCAGCTACTTCACAGATTATTCCTCCCACATATCTTACGAATAAAATCAAAGAAACATTTTACAGTTTCAGCGAACAAACTGTAGTTCACTCAAAAGTGTTCAGGTACAGAGGCAGTTGGATCATAGCAACAATATTTATCAGCTTTGTGTGATAATATATTTTAATTTTAGCTCTTTTCTTTAATTTTGAACCCATACAGAATCCCTTGTTTTCTCTAATCCTATTATTAGACTAATATATGCAGAGACTGATTCGCAGCTTTTACTGATTCATTCATTATTTACTAATGAATCAAATCAATACTTTTAAAGGCTAATAGCAATTGTTAGTATATAAGCAAATTAATAGCGCCCCCTGGTGTCCTACCTAGGTTGACTGAGATTTAACTTTTCAACCAAGACATACTGTATATATCGTAAAAATATCATTTCCAGGATTGTACGCTGCAAGTCATCAGAAACACACCAGTATATTCTGTTAATGTAACTTTTTGTTTGCCCAGTTCAGCCAGCAAAGGTACAGAAATAATCAGCAAAAGGAGGACAGATACTTGGACTGGAACCTCAGTCAATCTCAGAGCCAATCTGCAGTTCTATACTGTACTGAGAAACAAGCCAGTGAAAGATGGAGCTCCCACCCATAGTACATCTGTCACAATATCCAATCTTATCAAGCAATCCATTACTTAATTAAGACTTACAGGACAATGTTCTTGCTCCCCTTAGCTTTCTGTCATGCACATCAGCACATATAGGCTATGATTTTAGTGATAAGACCTACAACGAAAGATCTCTTCACTCAAAAAATAGAATATGCTGAACAGTCTAACCTGGAATAACTGTAGGAAAAAGATATTTTTCTCTCAGAATCTTTGCAGACCCCCTTTCTGATCGCCACTCAGACATGAGTATCAATTATGAGGTATAACTGAAAATGATGTGATGTATCATTGAAATCAAATTGATGAGTTTTGTTTTCCTGTTCATTTTCTGATTAAGCTTTCCTGTAGTCAATGTGTCATTTTATTGGTGTGTCATTTTTATTTTACATTATTGGTTTTTTTCAATGTCGTTTTTTTAATTGTAAATTCATTACTATTTAAATTAATTATATGCCCCCGCTCCATTAGATTCTGGATGTCTTACAGATATAAAGACAACAGATGCCCTTAAACCATACAATACCATGGGCAGCCCGGTCTAAAACAATCACAACAATAACTCTGTTAGGAGTACATACACGTACAACCCCAGTTAAACTACTGAAATATTGCATCAGCATAAATTGCACAGCAGGATTTTTCTATTTCATGTGGCTATGTGGCATATTTAATTTATGCTGTTGAAAAAAGCATACCTTATGTAGACAAGCAGTTTGTTGCCCATAATGACTTGCTCATCTAAAAAAACAGCAAAAAATACATACATAATCTTGAAAACTGAACACATTTACTAAAAGTTCTAATGTATGCAGATTTAATAAAGCCATATACCAAAATCAAGATCCTATTACCTCTTTAAGTTGATAAATTGAGAGATGCCAAATTCAATGTATGTAGATATTTAAATATTCCCAAAGGTTCATGCCAAATACAACTTTCTAAACCTGACTTTTAAAGTAAAAAAATAAATTCTACTACATGTAGTATTATACTGAGGCTATTACTGTATAAAAAGACACATCACTTTCAGTCTTGAGAGTACAATGCTATTCATTGTTTCAAAAACAAGTATTATACAAAACAGTGTAATATATTGGCCTATCTACCTCAGCATCTTTTCTAATTAATAATAGTGACCCTCATGAAGGATTAGCAAATTATTTAACTGTTGTATGTCTAAGATTAGGCACTCATATAAGACTACATATAAAAATCATTTTTTCAGATAAACGTTATTGTTGGGACTATCCAGTGAAGTATTCTCACACACAACAAGCCAATTATCAATAAATGAAAACTGCCAGGCTGAGAATATATTGAGTAAAAAATAGTAATGAATAGTATTCTTCATAAGCGTTATTAGAGGAAAAAAGGAACCCACAATATAAGAAGAAAACCTTTCACAAAAAGTACTGATAAGGCATGGTATACCTGAGAGAGATTTTCCAGCACTAAGTGGATGAGCAATGGCTTTGAACAATTTCTAAAAAAAATAAAGCGGAGGAGAAAAAATTAGCACATCAATGATTCCTTTGTGATTTTGGTTTTTCATTCTTGAAAATTATTACATCCTAAACATTTTCACACATTGTCACGTAGAGATATTAGTGGACTTGACAGTAACATAGAAAACTTTGTAAAAGAAAAAGAAAAGCCTACAAAGTAACTTAAATTGGTACTGTATCAAGGATCCTGTAAGGATGGAAAGAGGTGTTCAAACATAGTAATTTTCTTTAAATGATTAAGATCATTTTGCACAAGATTCATTTTTCTTGCATAGAGAAATGTTTTTTTAACAATGCAAGAAAAGAAGGAAGAGTAGAAGGAGCGGTTTAGTCTAGCTAGATTGATGTCAGATTAAACTCTGTGCGAAACCAGATTAAACTCAAGAACAACATGGAACAATTCAGTCAGAGTTCAGTTCTTTATTTGCTTACACCTAGCAGACAGAATCTTGCCAGATTAAACAAGGATATACCCTGAGAGATTCTAGGCAGTGGCTATCCTTGCTCTCTTCCTCTATGTCAGGCCTGGAAGCCATCTTTTGCATTGGGCCTTCAGGCCTGCCTTGTTTACTATGGTGGGAAACTGGGAGGCAGGATTGTATGGAGCATGGATGAGATATAGTCATAGTAACATTCCTTTCTCAGAGAGTCAAGGACATTTTGCCCTGCACCTGGAGGGTTGGAACTGGGAGGCATCTCCAGTTGGGATGGTGCTTTGATTGGACCATGTGATGGACATGTGGGTGCCGGGCAAGGACTTGGACTTTCCTTTGAGTGGGGAAAACCTGGAAGCTTTCAGATTCGGGTTTTCCCAGATGTGCCAATATGACATCTCTAATAAAATGGAACTTTGACGAACTTCAAGCCTCGGAGTCTTCTTTCGTTGGGGGTGTTACTTGGAACCCTGACACTGTATTTACTCTAGCCTGTGCTGCCTCTTGTTACCTTCACATTTCTGGAATGTACCCTCCCCTTCCTGGGAAACTGACGTTTCTTGTAGTTCATCACCCCATCTCCTCCTCATTGGACATAATCTCTTATAATCATTTGCTTTATTGCTATATTGCTTATTGTCAAAGGCACAACAGTTATTCCCATGATCTCAGCAAGTGACTTTCATATTTTTAAAGGAAGTTTTGAAACTGCTCATTTATCCAAACTGAATCTGAATTTAATGGGAGATTTTAATTTTGAAGATTTGTATGATATTTAGTAAATTGATTTATTTGATTGTATTTGATTCTCTATCTGTCTCTGTGTTTCTCAAGATCTATAAGCTATTGTAGCTAATTGCATTAGGAAGAAAAGGAATTATTAAAAGAATAATCCTAATTCAAAGCCATCCATTAGCATTCAAGATACATCTTCCTACCTCCATTGGAGTAATGTAGTCATTCATTCCACTATTATAGACATATATCATGGCATCATACAGGTGGTTTTCCCAACACATAAGGACAACCTAGAAGCAAAACAAAGTTTCAGATTTTTAAATGTGCTAAAAACCACATGCAGATTAGTCTCAGAACATACATCACTTCAAGATATGAAATTTGTTAGCAATATTTATATGGATACAAGAGATAAAAGGCCTTCCTTTACCCATGAGTAGAAAATTCATAGCTTGTGAATCATCCTTTCTCAAAACTCGTCAAAAACATCAGCATTTTTTAGGAGGACTTTAACCTATGACTTCAAAGTCTGCATTTTCCCTCAGTCCCTTTTCTAATGGGCTGGACAATCTGCCTTCGTCAGATCTATATATCTGGAACTAGTTATCTATAGATACATTTCAGTATTTAGTCCAATGCATTCATCAAAGTAGGCCTGAAGAGCAGCTGGCACTATTTGGGCCTTCATTACCAAAATTCCTATGACTAAGGAATTATTATAACAAGCTTCCTCTTTTTATAACCACAAATCATCCTAAAGTAAGATTTGGGATTAATCAAGTAACAGATTAAAACACAAGATCTGGTTACTAAATACAGTATACTTGGTACCTAACTGCTTTGAAACTCATCAAATTTGGTACTTAACCATTTTGACACAAATATTTTGTCCCGGTACTCATCATTTGTTTGGTACTCATCACACCTCCTGGAACCAATTAATAATGAATACCAAGGTACCACTGTACTTTATAGCACTAAGGAAAACATACAATATAGAACTCTTTGAATATTCCTCTTATTCATCAATAATACATTATAAACTACTAAAAGTTATCACCTGTTGTATATCAAGGCTGGTAATATCCATATGTACAATGCAGGCTTCCATGTTTGCCATTAAGTTCTTATCTTGGAAATGAAGTAGCAAATCCTTCATAATCTGAGCTGTGATTCCAACCAATTTATCACTTAAAATGTATGGCTCAAGACATTCTAAAAACACTCCCTTTGCTACAGAATTTTCACTCATCTTGTCATACATTTGACCAAATAATATATCTCTGTGGAGGAAAAGACATGGCAAGTATTTGACAGAGATTATTCTGAAAGTTTATAGTTTATGTAAACTGGATAAATTTGTAGCAATACATCTGTTTTAGCTATCTGCTATTTTATACAAAAACAATTTCTAAACATAGTACTATTATTCAAAATTATGCAGACAGAACATACACATATATGTTTACCTTAAAGCTAGCTATAGAACAATTAGCCATTAAGATTATGCAAGTCCATTGGCAAGATGCCTTTGAAGCACCACATCCTCTTGAAGACTGCCCTACCCATTCTTAACACCCTCCCTCCCTCCCTTCTCTGAAAATACACAGAAGATTCAGAGGAATACTTCAGGTATTGCATGAAGCACTTCTCCAAGTGCTATGGCACAAGTAGATTCGATCTCACTCTTATTAAAACAGCCTAGAAGACTAGCACAGACTGCAATCCAGATGCAATCTACTGGAAAATTTGCCATAATTCATGAGACTGCTTTTACTTACATTCGCTGAAGCAGGAGACAATAGTCAACAATGACAGGGACCATAGTCTGCAGAAAAGGAATATGGAAAATCTAACTATTTGCATATACCAAGGGCCTCTCCTTAGTAGACCAAAAGGTTCTTAATGGGAGAGGTGGACTCTTAGATAGTCAAATCCTATACCCAAATCTTAGATTGTGCTTAATAAGAAAGTAGCAACCAGTGCAGATCTTGCAGTGCAGTACTGTATTTTACAATTGAGATGCTGTATTTTGCACCAATAGCAACTTATGAATACTTTTCAAGAACACATTAAATACAGGATATATTTTTTTTGTTTACTTTATTATGTGAATACTAATAATTGCCAAAGAACTAAATTATAGTAAACTACTTAAGACTGATGGCCTGACTGGCCTGAAAATAAGACTTCTTGATATGTGTTACTTTGTTATACATCCATGTAAAATGATATGGGTATTTTACATTTAGTCAACTCTAAGGCAACTTGTACTCATCTCGCTTTTTATCATCATCTTTTTCCTTCAAATTACAGTCAATGTTATGTATACAATGTTTATACGGAAACTCTTGGTCTTTGAAAGACTGCAGGATTTTTTGCTCATTTTGCTGCCTTAGACTAAGAAGACACACATCATGGTAGCTTTATTCTTGTCCATTATCTAAACAATGTATTTTCCTTCTAGTTCCTTAAGCAATTGCATCTGTTCTTACCATCCCTTTATTCTTTTCTGTTTATTTTATATCTTCCTACAACTATATATACTTGTGAAGTCTCTTCAATATGAATTTTCCATTTATATGATAAATTGGAAATGAACCAAAATATGTGATAATGTTAGTGCCTAAGACCACAATTTCTTTTTCCTCTTGAAGATAATTCAAGAGGAAAAGTTATTGCTCCTGCTTTTTCTTTTTAATACGCCCTTTGGGAGTAAGTCTAAAGTAGCATACCTGAAAATGTTGCTCCATAACTTGGATTTTACCCTGCTCGGGACATTTCTTCATGGTTCGATCAGCACAATGAATAAGTATTTCAACCATCTATAAACACCAAAAGATTACAGTATGTCTATAGTCCTAATATAATGAGACATGTCTGATTAAAAAAAGTACTACAAAAACATTGGTACAATACCTTTTTGCCCAATAAGCACCTGTATATTTTATGAGGAAGTTTGCTTCAGGCATATTTTGAAATTATTTCCCAAGGGCTCATTAAAGTGGACTTGAAGGCAAAGCAAGGAAAAGCAAGGTTCACCAATTTCCCAGACCTTCTTCGGGCTTAGATATTGATTCTCAAGAGAAGTAGAATGCTCCCCTCCCCTTCGTTTCTGATAAAGTGACAAAAGGGCTGTGGAACCAATTTTCTGAGTGCAGAAGGAAGTCTGGCTGGGATTCCATTCCTACATTCCAGGTTTGCTACTGCAACCTGGAATCTCTCTTTCTACCCCAGAGGACTTAATTAATAAATTTTGTTCTTGTAGATCCTAAAGGACAAAAGTCAAAAATCAGCTTAATAGTAAAGATTATTTCCTTCCCCAGAAAATTTTCATAGAGTGTCCAAGGAGCAAAGCAGCTTCATCTGTTCTACTGGGAATATAGCAGGAAACATGAGTACTAAGAAACCCAGTCCTGTGCTTGCATGAAGGATGGATTCCCTACAGTTTGTCCTATTTTTTAAGGCATAAGACAATTGCATGTAGTTCATACAGAGCAAAAACAAAAAGCAAAATTCATCGGCCAAAAGCAGATTTAATATTGACTTAAAATTTTTCTTCCTGCTTTTAGAAAAAACAATTTTGAAATCATTTCATAATTTCTATGGAGTTTGAGACAAATTGTCCCAATCTACTTTCCAGTAATAGAAATTTGAGCAGAATGCGAGCATATTCAATCATAAAATCATAAATAAAGGAAACTATATTATGGTACTGTATTCAGATGCTTCTACAGGAAAACATCTTTATTTCAGTTTTTAATTCTGCAGTAATACTGAAGTGGTAAAGCTTTAACACTTAATCCAATATTAAACTTCTAAGTGACTGCATAAGGATTCCTGTAACAAATGTACACTAAAATTACCTCAAAGTAAGACAATCCTGAATTTAAGATAATTTTTCCACTTATAAAAGCAAGATTAGATCAAAAGCAGTAAAAAAAAAAACCGCACTCCTCACATTTCTCCTTTATAATACTATTAGAGTAAAACAATCCTCTCATTTGAAAAGTAAATTATTTGGACATAGAGTCTTCCTTTCTAGTTCAGGGAACTAGACACCAAGTTCAGAAAGGAGAAAAACAGGATTAAACATTCTTGGAGCTCTATTGCCTCGGTTTTATCCTCTTTTTTGCTGTTTAAAATGTAGAAAATTAATAACCATCTATAACGTGAGCAGTTGAACCTAAAATTCTATTAAAATATACCTTAAATATCATGTATAATGATGTAGTTATACAAACAAGGATTAGTTATTGGAAACTGCATGGCTAAAAATCAACCTTTTCGCAATGAAACCCACACATACGTATTTCATAGAGGAAAATAAAATATACAAAAGGAATTTCATTCTAAAGCTGAACACAAATTTAGATTAAACAAAAGAAAAACTCACTCTGTCTGCAACAACAGCCTTCCGTTTTTGTTCATCCCCAGATAAGCCTGTTTCAAAAACAAAAGTCTTTTAATTTTTAAACTCAGGGCACAAACAGAAGCAATTTCTTTTTATCTCCTATAAAGTTTTAAGTATAATAACAAGTGCTTAATGTTTTATAATTTATACAAACTATCCAGGTATAATTGAATTACTATGGTAGTGAATTTATATGTTATTTCTAATGTTTAATGTTTCCAGTTTTATAACCATATTGAACTCAGAAGGTGGAATTTTTAATATTATGATAAATAATCAAAAACAGTTTAATGTCTATTTACATAATGCATGCTAAATTCAGCAGCAGTGGCATACAACTTGAACTTCCCAGTTTTTACAAGTTTCATATAAGGTATCAACCATTTCGATCACCGCTAGCTATTCACATACTGTAACTTACTGTATGTCCTTTCAAAAATGATATGCAAAAGCCTTGATTGTCCAAAGCCTTATAATGACACCCATAGCATTGGGAGGATTGTGATTTCATATGCAAGATGAGTAAATGGTACAGTACACGAAGTAACAAATGACAGGAAGAAATGATGGCAACCAAGAACAGAAAAAAATCGCTGTTACTTAAGGTAAATACACTTACCCACAACAGCTTTGGCTTTTCCTTCATGAAAGGACCATGACAAAGCCAATGCTTCATTAAGACATTCTTGTTTCAGAAGGTGATCGATCCTCTAAGATAAAAAGCACAAAAATTACATACAAAAATATAGATAAATAATATTCAGTGAAACATGGATACTATAAATTTAACAGAAACTTGCAGTGATCCTGTTTTTGTCTTCAGCATTCTAAAGGCTTGTTCTGAAGAAAGTAGCATTTTCTTTAAAATTCAAATGAACACCATCTAGCTAATTCTGTTTTAAAAACAATTACTAATTCCTCTTTTCTCAGTCAGAAATTTAAACAATGTTTAGGAACCATTTTAAGCTAAAAGTAATACTTATAACCTAAAATCAAGATCTTCCACACACCCACTAAAATAATTATATTTGTATTATTTTTCAATCTGAAATAAAATTTACAAGACAAATTCCAAGTGGAATTAAATTGACAGGTTATCAGTGGCAGATAATGGCTGGCTGAGGAATGCTGGAAGTTGAAGTTTACCTCTTAAAATTGCCAATTTTGAGAAATATTAGTTTAAAATGTTATATTAATAAAAACAATATACAGAAGTCGGGATACTGATTTTTTTTCAACAATCTGTACATTTTATCTGAAAATGTTTCTCACTGACAGCTCTATTTATCAAGCCATGAAAAAAAGTAACTTGTTCCTTCTCTCATCACTTACCTCCCTCCAGGTCCTCAGTGTTAAAACATGAACAGACTGAAAGCAGATGAGGGGAAAACAGGTGAGTAACAGATATTTATTTAAGAGTATATTAGCAATAATTATGGTATCTTAAGTAATAGAAGGATGATGAATCAACTTTTCACACATATGCTAAATAGCTTTCTTTGATTTTGGCAGGGGAATTACTGAAGTTGAAATCAATGTATCTCAGAGGTGTCCATGTCAAAGAAGACTACGCTGAACTATTTTAGAGTTGTTGACAAAAACAATTTTGCTGACAATAACAATCCCCCAAAGTCTCATAATCATATATTTTTCTTTCTCTTTCCTTCTCTAGAGCAGCTGCAATAAAAAGGTCAAACGCCGTCATTATTAATTTTGCTTAATTCAAGCTTGCTGTGTTACCTGAACTGAACAAATCTATGTAGAAATGTTCACATCATGTTATGAAAATGTATTTGAATTAAATCACTTGATTAAAGGACAGGTGATTTACTCAGCTAACAGGTCTGATAAGTAATAAGGGAAATGATAAAGAAGAATAAGGTTGATTCAGCCTTCCACCCTTCCAAGGTCAGTAAAATGAGGACCCAGATTGTTGGAGACAATAGGCTGACTCTGTAAACCACTTAGAGAGGGCTGTAAAAGCACTGTGAAGTGGTATATAAGTCTAAGTGCTATTGCTATTAACCTGGACAAACTTACCTTTGTACCCAAATAAAAAATCTGACCACCACAGTTGCTGATTGACTGGTAGCAAGCCTTCTCACCCACCAGTGCCTAAAAAACACAGAATATTTTTATTTCTGCAGGAGTACATAATTTACGTTGTTATTGGATAAAAGCCAGGTATAATAAATAATCAATTGTTTAAAATATAAATGAAGCAAGACAAGCAAAATATTTTAGCGGTTTATCCTTAGTGTCTTTGAATTTGCGGTATATAGTACATACCATATAGTATATACCGATATATAGTACATAAAACAAAAAAGAACTTTAACTGTTTAACATTAATTTACACCCTACACTAAAAAATTGCTACTATTCTGTACTGAATTATGCCATAAACATGACAAGGATCTAAGTTATTTGAGGGCCTGCCTCTCCCCAATCATATCTACTCATCATTTCTGGCAGGAGATGTGCGCTCTGGATCCTAACTATTGTAGAGCAACAACTGGCGGGGCCCAAGAAGAGATCTTTTTCTGTTGTGACATCTATCCTTTGGAACACCATTCCCCAGACATTAGATTTGCTCTGACTTTGAAGGCCCTTTAAATACAATTTTCAAAGTCTAGACTTGAACAGCAAAGGGGAAAAAAACCTTGTTATCCTCTTTGTAACATGTAGCAGCTATAAACTGTCTATATCTTGATCCACTGAAAAGCAAAGCTATATTTTAGAAATATAAAATGGAGTATGATTTCTTTGGTCAGGCTGTACATGTCATATTCCTGTAAACTTTTAATTCCAATAAATATTACAGCTACGTTAACATCTGAAAGTCACTTACAGACTGGATGTACCCAGTAGCACAGAGAATTTTATGACAGTGCAAGCAACAAGGCTCAATAAAACTGGGTTAATCTTTATGGTGAAGGGCTTTCAAAAATTATATTTGTCATAATGGATACAATGGCTATACATCAGCAATATATTATAAAATATATAAATGCAGCTACCATGTAAAATTGTATTAAAACTATTTCCTATAAAATGCTTTGAAAAAGTAATGCCTTTGTTATTACAACCAGTAATAAGAGTGTACTACAAAGCAGATACAGCAGCCATGATATAGAGAGAGTAAAAAGAAAGAAATTTATATCTGTAACATTTCAAGACACCTCAAATTTCAGAAAAGAATACTACAAAAGCAAAACAGAATAGAATACTACGGAAACAAAACAGAGCCATACCAGTGCTTGGCTAACATTGCCTCCTGTTGCCAACGATTTGAAGTGGCTGCTATTATATACTAGCTGAACTTCTGATATCTCTACAGTCTCAAGTTCCTCCTGTGTATGACGGTCTATCACATGTAATTTTTCCACACTGTCTAGAAGCACAATTGTATGGGAGTTTATCCACTAGAAGAAAGCAAAAACAAGAAATTGATATTAAAACAGTGATAGTATTTATTCAAGTATTGAAGTTAGCAGCACTGTACAGTTAGATCCAAAAGTTGCACAGTAATGTCACAACAAACGATTCAGAAAAGCTGCATCAAGAGAATTACATAAGTAAGACTTCGTCTCCAACACTGTGTGTAGAATTCTAGACACTACATTTTAAATGGAGGGATGGTGGTGTTCAGACAAACTGGAAGGGGTGTAAAGAGTGAGAATGAAAATGATCAGGGAACTGGAAGTTAATTCCTATGAGAGAAACTGAGGAAGCTACACTCAGGCTCCAACAAAAATATAACTAAACATAGATGTATGACTTATCAGCCACCTCAAGTTAACATCAACTTATACAGCATTTAATACTTGAAAACTTAAAAGTTTACACTCAGTTTTGTGACTTGAGGTGTCCTACTAAGGGTATTGCACTAATATGGGTTCCGAACATTCTTAACAGTTGACATAGCAATTTTGCTTATTATGTGTATTTTTACATATTCATATAATTTCTTTCTAGACTTTGTACAAATATTTTTTTCTTTTCTATTACTATAAAGAATATAAGAAATTGTTCTATTGCTGCCAAGTACAGTTTGGAAACACATGAAAAATGGTGTACGTGACAAAAATGTATCCAAAAATTGCATTTATTATTAAATAATTATCCAGGAAACAAATAAAAGTCATCAGTCTGATTTTTTTTACAGACATCTCAAGTCACTTTAATTTGAGATATACTGTACAGATCTTCTTTCAATCTAGAAAATACTAGTATTTCCTACTTAAGTATAAAATTTGAATACTTACTGTAAAATTGATTAAATCATAATGCAAGTGTAGCTGCTTCTGCTTTGTAACATGTATTGCTCCAGAGTCATCTCTTTTTACCTAATGAAGAAGTTTATCCCATTATTCTTTGACATCTCCCTTGCAAATAAAGATTCTTTGGTATTAATTTTGTAACTTACTAACCTTTGCAAGCAATACTTAGATGTTATAATATTTTTGAAGATATTTATACTGTACTTAGTATATTTACATAACGGAATAAAAAGACAAATGCAAAATATAAATTGTAGTGCAAACTCTAAATCATCTAGAAAGCAATTGTTCTAGGCATTTTTGGCATGAATAGCACAACAGTCCAATCTTATGGTTTGCAATAACTTTTGTTAATAATACGATTATTCGAATTTGCAACGAAACTAGCACATACAAACACTCATTTAAAAATACAGCCATTTCCAACTCAGGAGCCAAGCGCAAAAATTATTTTCCATTCACTTTAAGAGAAGACATTTACAAAAGCAAATTTCAAACTTTAGGGATAGCCTGAGCCTTACCAGAAGGAAATGGACCACATCTCCTCGACAGAAAGCAAGCACTGGATTCACAGATGTTTGGGCAGCAACAAAATACCAGGCAAGCAGTGGAACACTAGATGGTTCCATCTTTAAAAAAAAAGGCAGGAAGAGGAGAGATTTGATTGTTACCACCACAGAAGAAATAAAAAATGCCACATGGGTAAAATTTAAGATCTTCTTGAGAGTAAAATGTAAGAGTAAAGTACATAATATCTTAGATTTTAACTTTTATAGAGATATGCTTAGTTAGCTATTTAAAACATTATTAGCACAAACACATCAGAAGATGTCCTAATCCCACCAATTTTAATCATATGCTTAGCAACATATGATCACGAATGAAGGCAAATATACATGTTCTAAGATAATGTTGCAGGATCCAATCTAAGTTGGCTCCAGTGACTGACTCAGATTGGATCTAGCACATGATCAAGAAATCTACAGGAGTCTCAGGACAGAACAGACAAATAAATGATGTTCATATAAATCAAATAATGAAGATCATCTTAGAGTACAATATAAATCAAACACACACTAGAAAATGAATTTTGTAGCGGAAGGATCAGTACAATTTAATATAGACTGGCTTTTTTGAATGTTTAGAAACTTTATGTTCCATTCATTTCCCAAGCCTGCAAGTTCTGTTCTTTATATATGCCAGTTCTATAATATTATTCTATTAAACCTTCAGAAAGCAGCTAGATTTCCAAGCTATTTTTTCCTGAAATAATAATGACTTCACTTAAGTGCTGAAATTCCCTTTTCAGAGGCCCAATTCACTTTCAGTATTTTTTAAAAAGATGGTAAAGATCTTATCTGATCTTCCAATTAATTGCTATTTTAAAATCATTTTTATTGCTGCATATTTCACGGTTGCTGAATTTTATGCTTCATATTAATGGAAGCTTTCACTGTTTAAATGTTTACAGGTAGCCCTTGATTTACAACCCAAAATTTCTGTTGCTAAGTGAGACAGTTGTTAAGTGAATTTGCCCCATTTTACAACTTTTCCTACCACGGTTGTTAAGTGAATCACTGCAGTTGTTAAATTAGTAACACTGTTGTTAAGTGAATCTGGTTTCCCCATTGACTTTGCTTATCAGAAGGTCACAAAAGGTGATCACATGATCCTGAGACACTACAACTGTCAGAAATATGAATCAGTTGTCAAGTGTCTGAATTTTGATCACATGACCACAGGGAAGCTGCAATGATTGTGTGTAAAACGGTCATAAGTCATTCTTTCCAGTGGTGTTGTAATTTTGAACAGTTACTAAATAAACTGTTGCAAGTCGAGAACTATCAGTATTTGTAACTAAATATTTATAATTCTTGGGAGAATAGGAGGATTATAAATATTTAAAAGTAAGCAAAAAATTAACAGAATTACTCACACGACCATATGGGAATGTCATCCACACTTTCAAAGATGGCTTCAATCCAATCACAAGAATCTGAAGTTAATAATAATAATATAAAAATCATCCTTAACATCTGCATTTTACCATCTTTTTCATATATTAGTTTTAAAACGGGGTGTTTATGGAAGGTAGGTTACCTTTGTTAAGGAAGCCATAGCTAGCAGAGAGTATTGGGTGATAGGATGGTCTCTCAGCTCAGCCTTTGCATGTAAAGGCTCAATGCAGCAAACCTCTCCCTTCGAACCACTGAACAAACAGCGAGATTCACATGTTCTCACACCCATGACTCTCCTGAATCACAGAAAATGGAACAGATTTAGGTACATGTCATACAGCAACCTATTTAAATGTAGCACTTTTTAAAAAAAGTATAAGCCATACAATTTAAATAGGGTAGATATGATCCCAGGAGCAATAGGAAAATTGTGTCTGAGTCCTGCAATTAATATGATAACTTTTCCTTCTGCAGTTACTTTTTATATGGTTATGATAGTACTACATATGATCCTATGAACAATGACACAGTGGATAATGATTGAGAAAAATAAAAGTAGTAAAGGAAATATTATTTTGTCAAATAATATACAAACTGCAATCAAAATTTAAATGTCTGTGAAGATTCTCAGTCATCCAGGTCATGGTTGTCCCAAAGGTGCTTTTTCAAAAGGCAGCTGGAACAGCCAGATGTGAGACCCAATGGCTAAAGTTGGGCTCTAGTAAGCAGCTGGTTTTGTTGCTGTTGTACCAGCCTTCCTTTTGCACCCTGAGTTGCAAGGGTTGGCAATGGAGTCTAATAGTTCTGAAGATTTTAACTTGCCCTCATGTGACATACAAGCTGGAGTGGCTCAGGAGTCCATGGCTACCATAGCAACCATGGATCTGAGCCAAGTCGTCAAGGGCCTGACTCACAGAAACAAGCACAGATTAGATCTGAGTTTTTTGGAGGGGGGGTTGGTCTCGGGGCAATTGTGACACTATTTGAAGGTGAAGGTCATCAGTCTTTGGTCATGGTTATTCTCTGCTTGCTTTTCAGACTGCTTTTCATACAAAGCTACCGTTCCCCTCCAGAGATCAATCCATCCCAAGATCTGAAGGTTTAAGAGGATGCTTTGGAATTTTCCTGAAGGCTTGACAGGCAGTCTGAGTGAGACTTTTCATTTCTGCCAAGAAAGGGCTTTTGCAAGTGCCTTGGATCAGATTGCCCCTGTGTAGCCTTTCCCTGTACATCAGTCTCAGGGGCACAAAGAGAATGTCATCTGATGGGACCCAGGATGCACGCCTTCTCTCTAACAGCACCACTGGAACAACCATCTCCAAAGAGATTTGAATTGTCTTGACCCTTAAGTGAACTTCTTCTAGTCACTAGGGTCACTAGTTCACTAGAATCTAGCTTCTTCCTCAATGTCTGAAATAGGTCGCGGTATGTCCACCGAGATTGTATTACATCAGTTTGCTATGGAATATATTTGTTCTCTTCTGTTCTGATCATTTCCATTTTTGTTTCACTTTCAATTACCATGGTTGTGTACACTGCCGATAGTCACTGTTGAGTTAGATGGCTAAATCTAATGATCAAATAACTAACTAATGTTATAATAAAATCAGATATTCTTACTTGAATGACAATTCAAATACTGAACCACCACTGTCATTGCAGATTGCGAGAGTTGGATCATCTGTAAACTAAAGAAAATATTATTTTCCTCAATTCTTTATAAAACCTACTTATTTTCTTTCCATTTCTCCCAATGTGACTTTTCCCTTATACTAAGCATGTACCTGTGATGCCAGCTACAATAGAATTCAATCTAAAATTAGAACTATATCAGCTCTTGTAACTGAACACAACTTATTTTAGTCAAAAAAGTCTAATCTCCATAACCTTTTTAATGCTACATATATAGTTTACAAGACAGAACAATTACCTTAATGTGCAAAATTGCAGTTCCTGGAGGATGTGCATCTATTATTGATCGTAACAGTTTTCCACTGGCTAGATCCCACATTGTAATCTGTAAGCAATATATTATTAACTTTCTGTAATACAACTAATTATTATTAAAAAATGAAAACTATAAGACGTCTTCCAAGCCATCTATGGATGAAAGTTAGGAAACTAAAGATTACTGAATGAAATCATCCCTTTTATTTCTTTTCAGAGAATTCTATAATAAAGCATATGATAGATACAATAGGAAGAACAGTGGGAAGCATTTTTCAAAGGTTGATGAATGACAAACTATGTATTGGAAATCATCCTTCTCTACAATCAAATTGACTCTGTAATCTTTTGCACGTTTATCTGGGACTATGTATATCTGTTTAAGTGTATTGCATATAAATTATTACCTGTCCTTTTGCAAAGCCACACAGAAGTCTCGAACAGTCACTGTTGATGCTAAGAGCAGATATAGCCCCATACTGTGCACCAACAGCAGTATTGCCCAAGCAAAGCCGAAGAGCCTGGTTAGGATCTAAACAGAATATAAATGTATTTAACAAGAGGGAAAGAATCACAAACTATGTAATCAATTAACATTTCAAACTTAGAAAAGAGTAAATCTACACAAATTTAATTGGCTCAGTTTAAAAACATGCTCAGTTACTCAAATCACGGTTGTTATTGCTAATTTGAATTCACCAGGAATAACAGGATGTGCTGTTAAACATAAGCAGGGTGCTGGAAGAATACTGAGAAACTAAGTAGCAGAGTCCCACTGATAACAGGGCTAAGCTCAGATTCTCCATCCAAGGCAACTATATTAAAAAATGCTTATAACATAAATGTCTTGATTGGTAGAGAGTAGAAGGGTTCTGCTTCTGTCTAAACCAGGGGTCTCCAACCTTGGCAACTTTAAGACTTGTGGACTTTAACTCCCAGAATTATGGGAGTTGAAGTCCACAAGTCTTAAAGTTGCCAAGGCTGGAGACCCCTGCTCTAAACTGCATCTTGAAGAAAGGGAACCAAGAGAGTCTGCCTCATGAAAACAGAAGCTAATTTCACTAACAATAGGCCAGGTTAGAAACAGGCATAGGGCCTGTTGAAGACCTTCCTTCAATCTGTCTTTCACCCTTTGCTCTCTAAGCAAACGGATGAAACAATCTTCAACATTTTGACAATACGCTATAAGCTTTCACAATTTCTCTTTACTTTTCTGGCTTGCATAATCACAGTTTCTAGAGATGTCTAAACTGCGCATAAACTTTAAGGTGAAAAAAGCATTTGCGGAAGGTAAAAAGCGAGAGCAAATATTTTGTAATAGTGGCGAATATCTGCAGCGCGTAGGATGAGGGTGAAGGTTCGTTCTCTGAGCTTGTGAGTTGGTTTCTGAATGTTTTGTTACCAGGCTAGATAAACATAAAAACACTGATACTGACATCCCCTAAACTCCACTGAAGATGTTATCTAGCCTGGTAATGAAACATTAGGAAACCAATCCACAAGCTCAGAGAACGAACCTTCACCCTCATTATACACTGTAAAGATGAAAGCTATCCAGCTATAACGAGAATACATAAATCAGTGAGAGAGAAAATAATTCTAGCCTTTTAATAAGTGCAGAAATTCAAACACTTTTGAAAAATCCATCTTTTGATATGAGATTAATTAAGAGCTATAGGTCAGGAGCCAACAGTAGATGATCAGCTCTAGACAGTTTTGCATGAAATTGTTTTAAAATACATTTCAATTGAGCTTCAAGAATAATTTCGGATGACAACTATTCCAATCATCCGGTGAGACACACTCAGTAGGGAGACAGATGGGGAGGAAGGTGGAGAGTGACTTGTTTTTCCTGGATCTGCTGCATATTTTTAAAAAACCATTAATTATATTGCCCATCAGATATATAGTTATAATGTCTAATCTCTTTCAATCTTAAAGTTACTGTATCTTTCTAAACTTGCCATTGACCTAGAAACCATATTAGAGGTATCCAACTTTATCAATGAAATTGCATGAAAGATGAAGTATCATAAAAAGATTTAGTAATGCATTATTTATGTGCAATGCTATGTACTTGAGGCTTGATAAAGATCAGGCATGCATATACAGGGCTTAATATTTAAATCTAAAATGACACCATCATCAGACAAAAATAAATCCAAAGGAGAATACAAGCTGATTGAACAGGAGCACTGCAGGTGTTACCTTACAGTCAGCTCCTCTGCAAGTATACAGAACCTCAAATGCAAAGCTAAGTTTTATTTTGCTGTAATTGCTAACACCAAAATGTAATTAAAAGAATTGAGAGCAATTTACCCTGTTAAAAGATGAAAACACTTCAACCATCAGAAGTTAAATACACAACACACAAGACTTACATGCTCACAACCATCATACAAGACATACATTTTAGTCTCTATCTGCTTTATAAGAACTTTATCTTATAAAGTTATAAGAACTATATCAGAACTTTTTTTAGGGTTTCCAGAACAAATGCCATTATTGACATCTACACCATGGAAGATCTGTGGGTAAATTACAATAAAAAGGCTACAAAGAACAAATTTATTTTTGTTTATAATTCTAGATTCCCTACAAGAAGTTATTTCCTCAACTTTTGATTCATTTTAATTTATCTCATTTTTCTTGGTTTAAATTATTGTTCTGTAGTGATAAATTACAGATGCAAAGTTGAGAAGGCAGGCAAAGGCATTTCCAAGAGGTAATAGCTGTTCCTGAAGCCACAGAAGCTGCTATAGAAAAAGCTAAATTCATTTCTGGTCTATTAAAGAGCCACTGGGAAAGAAAAAAAAATCTATAGAATTGCTTCTTACTTTAAAAGATCTTGCTTTTCTGATTTTGCCTTTTAGAATTGAATCTCAACAGATGAAGACTGCAGTAGATCAAGTAAAACAGACTTGATAGGAAAGAAGAAAATATTTGATTCTCTGAATCAAAAAATGTTAAATGTCTTAGACTTTAGTCATCTATTCTTATGAAAAAAACAATTATCCAATTTGCAGATTCTGATCAATAACGCACTGCGGGTATTGAAATAATATTGAAAGGAAATATATTCAGGATGAAATGAGTACTGTGTGCATAAATAATGGGCTCATTTGACTGCAATTAATTTTTATTTTCTTTTTTGAATAGTTTGTCCCTGGATTCCAGGTGTGAAGAAAAGTTTTGATTCAGAGGCGGAAGAAACGTGGATTGGACTGGGACTTTTTTTTTTCCTTAAAGAGGATACTTTTCATATATGTGAGAGGGTGATAGGCCACTATGAGTTTCTGTAATATATCCGGTTCCAGGATATTTGTTGTGGAAGACACAATAAAGGTTTTTTTTCCATTTATAGGCTTTATATACTATGGCTTGATATCTTTTTTAAATATGTTGCTAAATATTTACTAGTGGCTTTGACACAAACTTTAAATAGTACTATTTTTTTTATTCTTTTATATACTATCTGCTTTTATAAAAATGCAACAAACTTTGGATAGCAGATAACCAGACAATAATTTAGAAATACAGTTTAAAAACTATTATGATTTCAAATTTGAAGGCTGCAAAACATATTTGAAAGATGCTGGGAGAAAAGTATAATTTGTTGCTTATTCTTATGACAAAATTACACTCTGGGATGGCTCAGATGGAAAATTCTAAGTAAATCCCTTTTTTAAGTACATGGGCTATTAGAGGATGTAATATTTGAGATCAGCTTATTGCCAATGAATATTTTAAACCAGGTATTCCTAAAAGAATTTGAATTGTTTAAAAATGCAGAACTCAGACAATGGTTAAAATACCAACTGCTGGAAGAAAAAAAATAGAAGGACACATATATCTATAACATCCCTTTATAGCCTGTTACAATATCTTAATTTCAGAGTACTAATGTATTGCCGCTTAACTAGTGTAGCCGCTCATGCAGATTACATGCAAAATGCATCATACTATACCTTTGCCTTCTCAATCCATAAGGAAAATGGTTGAAAGAGAAATGCCAAAAAAAATTATGGGGAAAAAATAGATAGTAACCATATCCTGTTATTTCCAGTAAAATATCTCTGGATCAGTGGTGAAATCCGAATTTTTTTACTATCAGTTCTGTGGGCGTGGTTTGGTGGGCATGGCTTGGTGGGCGTGGCAGGGGAAGGATACTGCAAAATCTCCATTCCCACCCCACTCCAGGGGAAGGTTACTGCAAAATCCCCATTCTCTCCCCACTCCTGGAGGAAGGATATTGCAAAATCTCCATTCCCACCCCATTCTGGGGCCAGCCAGAGGTGGTATTTGCCAGTTCTCCAAACTACTCAAAATTTCTGCTACCGGTTCTCCGAACTGCTCAAAATTTCCGCTACTGGTTCTCCAGAACCTGTCAGAACCTGCTGGATTTCACCCCTGCTCTGGACACTAACAGATCTGTTGAAATTGGTTTCTCTGAAGCATGGAAACTTCAATGTATTTGTAAGATAACAAAAATAATGCATCCCAAACAAGACATCTTCAGGGTCACTAATGGAAGCAATGGCTCAAAACCACTTCTTATTTGAACATATGCTTATTTTTAATCCTGGTTATAAAGAAATCTTTTAATAAGATATTAATTACATGTAGTATTTTCTATTAAACTCAAGATCCAGATACTAATTTATATATATATAAAATATAGTATACGTTTATATAATAATATATATATATACATATATATATATATATAAAATATATATATATACATATATATATGTTTTGTTCCCATAACATGGTTACCCATAGTTAACTGTAGCGTACTTCACTCATTTATCTCAAATGTCTGCAGTTGCATGACTACACTCAATAAATTAACCTTAAAGGCAGTGCAAACCATACTGAAGGCTAAAACAAGGATTTTATTTGTGTTTCAGGGTGTAAACAAAACCAGAGTAAGCTTCAAGTATTAGCAGGCACTCCTACTTACCAAATATCAAAGCTAGACCGTGGGATGTTCCTACTGCTATAAGACTTGATGCTGCCTAAACCAAGCAAAAACAATTAGATTGAGAAGGAATATATACTTGATGTAGTGCAAACAATTCATGAATATTAAAAAAAACTATAAGCAGGAACTGATTCTAGAAGCAACAAATCTGGGGGGAGGGGAGGAGGGTAAAGATTTACTATCAGCTCAATCAAAGATACTTTATATTAGGCATTCCAAAATGACAGCCAGTTCGATGTAGTGGTTAAGGTATCAGGCTAGAAACTGGGAGACTATTCTGCCCCAGTACGGACCCCAAAGAACGCAGCACACACAAAGTCTGTACAAACCTTAATTTACTAATTAAAGACTACTAATGAGCTTTCTTTGTAGTTCTTCGAACACAAGTACAATAAATCAGTCTTTTCTGACAAAGGCTGTTAATTTAACTTCATTAACAGCCAACAAGAATTCAAAGAATAATAACTCAGTTCTGAGGCACAGTATTTCAGATAACCATAATCTTACTGTGGTTGGCAGAATGCCCAGAAGCAATTTGCAGGAAAACTGATAAGAGAAAAATAAGAGCCAAAATCAAAGGTTTCTGTAATCAAGACTCAAAGGAATGTGAACAAGTTGTTTCCTGCAATTTGCATCAGTCGTTCCTTAAATAGGCTAGGGGAGTGGCCAATAAGCCCCAAGCCTTACTCTCGAGGAGACCTCCTCCTGAGGAGCCACTCCTGCCTTTTCACAGCTCTGTGCGCTCGTGCATTGAGAAGAGGCTCCTTCCTCTTCACTTATGGGAGCTTCTGGAGGTTCTGAAGGCCCTGGCTGAATCCCCACCTCTGGCACCACATCTTCTCCAGCCTCCTCATTGTCCGACTTGAGTGCCAACTGCACAGGCTGCTGGCACAGCACCACACCAGCCTCCTCACTGTCGGAATCAGCTACTAACTGCACAGGCCGCTGACGGGCCACAACAGAGACTGATTTTCAGTCCTGTCTCATGCACAAAGCCAGTTTGGTAACCTTGAGCCAGTCACTTTCTCTCAGTTCTGAAGAGGAGGCAATAGCAAACCACTTCTGAAAAACCTTGCCAAGAAAACTGCAGGAACTGATCCAGGCAGCCTCCAAGAAATGATTAATTAAAAGAAAAAAATCAAGTAAAATATCAAATACAAGAAAATAAATATCAAGCATAAAGAAATCTAAAATTCTTTTCAAACTTACAATTGCAGTGGGTAAGCCTGCATCCACTTTGGCCTACAACAATAACAAAAAACAGAGAGTGAAAAAATTAGCAATTGTTTTTAAAATACAGAATACCTAAAATGATATAACTTCAGACTTATAAGATCCACTTTGTATTTTTCATCTGAATCCCCAAATCTATCAACCAATCCGGAACAAATTATATATACCTGAGGAATCCTGAGGCTAGGAAAAAAACTGAACAAGTCTCTCACATTAAAATCATTCCTGGTACCAACCTTTATTTTAGAAACATAAAATGACGACAAGGTGCAGTTGTCTAATTAGAAATTTAAAAAATTACTAACTATTGAGATATTAATCAACACACCCAAATAATTTTCTGGATTATTCATGGATTAGGGGATCATGAGGTTTATCATGAAAATAAAATACCTTCGTATCAAGTAATTTATCTGAGGTTAACCAATTTGCCTTTTCAAGTCTACCCTCTCTGACCATATAACTGTTCAATTTTTTTTCTCTAGAGCTGAACCTGCAGGATGAACCATGGTTATAGAAGGTTATATAGATGTCAAAAATATTGCTTTAGTCATGTAATTAGCAGGTGGAAGATGCTTAATCAGCCTCTTTTCCAAGAATCATGATCTAACCATAGCTATTCTAGACAGAAGTAAATTACTGTCCTCCCAATTAAAATATGTTGCTTCTTTAAACTACGCTATTCAGTTAATCCTCCTCTCCGGTCCCATCAATTTCAGGAGGACAATAGAGTATGCAGAAGAAATAATTTTATCTGAGCATAGATTTCCTAGAATGTTGTGTAGCAGTAAAGAATCTCTGCCAAAATCTGTAGGAATAATTTCTGTTTTGGAAAGCATTCAAACAAAAAATAATGATGTAAATGAAACTGCCTTTTATTTTTATTTTTGTAAAGTGTTGTTCATTCCATTGATAGTAGCTCAATTTTGCCACAACAGTAAGGCTATAAAATCCCAAGGCTTGCAGTAAAAAGGAAATTATTTTACTCCAAGTTAGTGTATTATTGGTGTTTATTTGCCACAAAGAGCAAGCATAAAGAAAGAGACAAAAGGAACTTACTGCTGCAGATACTATTTGGGTAGAAATACCCTTCAAAAGTGACAGCCGTATAACTGAGCCATGGATGGAGAAAGAATCGCGGAGTTTCTTCTTTCTATATAAACAATAAAATCAGAATAGCATTTCATTTTATTTGCAAGATGAACCAATACAGTAGTCTACAACAGTTTGACAGAGTTTATATGGTTTTTTTTAAATAAATCATGCCGAAATAACAGAATCTCTGTAATACCTCTGAAATTATACCTACATAATCACAGTGACAAACATGAGGGTGAAAATATTCAGGCACTTCTATATGTGCTTAAAAGAATAATTATGATGCAATAGTTACCCATAACCTAATCTAGAATCCAAGTCAGTACTCATAATTTCCACAATTCTGATTCTCAAAGCATCTAACTGACTTAATCTGCCAACAGTTACCTTTTTAGGTGTGATTTATCTCCACTATCAGAGCTTGCTACTGACGAAGTATCATATGAATGAGTATCAATGTTATCAATGTTCAGAAGAGAAGGATCCTCAAGAACAAATGGCTCTTCTTCATCATCAGTCTAAAAGAAATCATATATAATTTTCTATATATCTTTATCTATACTCCAGTATAGTAACAGTGTCATTTAAGCTAGTATAGATTCTGTCAGGTTTGGGAATGTTTGTATTTCCCAGGCACACATAAACCACCTTGCTGAAGATAGGGCATAAATACAGGACTTGCTTATGAAACAGTACATTTCGGGAGGAAAAAAAACAGACAAAAAACATAAATAAATGCAATCCTTATTAAATTAGCGTGCATCTTTTAAAGGTCCTGTTTTCATTTACTAAAATTATTTGGTCATAGCATTATATTCTAGGCAGTAAAAAAGCAGACGTTTGAGAAGCTTGCCTATCTGTTTTCTATTTTTGTGGCAGAAAAAGGGGAAAGGGAAATGGACACAACAACTGGGCAACTTACTTCATTTAAAATACTTTCTAATGTTGGAGGAGTATCAACTTGAGGAATATCAAATTCTTTGTCATCAATCTAGATGAAGAAATGAAAAAATATATCTTTAAAATTTACTATCGGGATGTAAGCTGTCAGCTTTTCATAACACAATTCATCATACTCCTAATACCGGTTCTCATTCTAAAACTGACACTTTCTAAAGAAAGCTTTCAAAAACATATGAATAAAAAAAATCTAAGCCAGGGAATGGTATAGGCAACTTCTGAATTTTATAGGTAGTCCACGACATACGACCAAAATTGAGCCCAGGATTTCTGTTGCTAAGTGAGACATTTGTTAAGTGAGTTTTGCCCATTTCTTGCCACAATTGTTAAGTTAATCACTACAACTGTTAAGTTAGTAACACTGTTTTTAAGTGAATCTGGCTTCCATTGACTTTGTTTATCAGAAGGTCACAAAAGGTTAGACATTGTGATTGTCATAAATGTGAGTCAGTTGCCAAGCATCTGAATTTTGACCATGTGACCATACGGATGCCGCAATAGTTATAAATATGAAAAACGGTCATAAGTCACTTTTTTCAGTGCCTTTGTAAGTCACTAAACGAACGGTTGTAAGTTGACAACTAGCTTTATTTATTCAGCACTCTGAAGCGCTGTTGGCTCACCTTTCTAAAGGTAGGTTCATAGTCATTCAAAGTCATTTTGCTACTTGCTTTGAACATGTCTTGTGTGAATGAATTATGATTCTAGATATTCTCTGAGAGAGCCATCTGATGCAGTGGTTAAGCTACCAGGCTAGATATTGGGAGACCATGAATTCTATTCCTGCCTTAGGCATGAAGTTAGCTTGGTGACTTTGGGCCAGTCACTCTTTTTCAGTCCTAGGAACAAAGCAATGGTAAACCACTTCCAGAAAACAGTAGGGAAGAGTCCAGGCCATTGCCAGCAGTCAACAGTGTGGAAGACAGTCAAAAAAAGTTTTAAAAAAAAGGAAAGAAAGGAAAATCATATCTGAAAGGATAACAATTTAGCCAACGAACTATGCTTAAACAAACCATGGTGTAATATGTCATATGAACACAGACTAATATTTTTTCAAAAAATTCTCAGGTTATGAACCAAGACTACTCTTTACATATATGGCTATTTATAGCTTCTTTATGCTCTGTTATATGAACACATATGAGCAGTATATATATATATATGCAATATCACATTTCAAATAACCATGGCAGGAAAGCTCAGTTACATGCATAGCATTCTGTGTGTGTATATGTATGTACATATGTCTGTACCTGTGTTTCTCTCTATGTTTGTGTATTTATGGTTTCATCCAAATGCTTAAAGAACCAGCAACATTAAAAAGCAATTAATAACAAAAATGTGAAAGGGCCTACTCAAACAAATAAAAAATATTCTGATTATTATGAACACTTATGAACTAAGTATGAGCATATTACATATTGTACATATTGAAAGCAGACAACAGAACAGATACCCCCTTGTCCCCCCCAAAACTGTGAAAATTGCAGATAAGATCTGTTGTGCAAATAGTAATAGATAGCTACAACTTACCAGCTCACTCTTTGATTCTAACTCTTTGCTCAATTCAGTAATAGATAATTTGGGAGAAGGGGCTTCTTGTTGACTGGATTCATCCATCATAGAGAAACAGCCTTGATCTGGATCAAGGCTTTGAGTCCCAGTTTTGAAAGCTTCTTCCATCTTTCCTATTTCCAGCAATATTAATCAGCCAGTTGATAGAAAGTTTAAAGTATTTCTGCCCAACAATTTTTAATTGACAGTCTACAATTAACAATATATAAACAATTGATCATTTATGGCACTTCTAATTAAGATAAGAGAAAAGGTCAGTACAGTGGTGGGTTGCCCCCGATTCGGACCGGTTCACAAGAACCGGTAGTAAAACCGATGGGAGGCTCCGCCCACTGACCCGGATGTCATCATAGGTGATCTGCGCATGCGCAGAAGAGCGCGCGTGGGCATGATGCAAACTAGTAATAAAGATAAGTAGAACCCACCCCTGGGTCAGCACTTCTACAAAATACAAATTGTAGAATAGTAATTGTAAAGTCCATACATATTATTATGAATCAGATGTGCACTAATATCCAGAAGTCAGCTGTGACACTACACCCAGAGCAGTGGTTTCAGATGAAATACCAGTGCACCTGGGCAAAAGTGGAGTGCTTCATGCATTCTTTCAACTTTTATATCGCCAAATCTTATAAGATTTTTAGTAATTAGCAATGTTGTAGCATATAAAACAATTAACAATAAAATATCCATGATAAGCAAAATAACAATAAAACATTCACAGTAAAAATAAAGATAAAAAGTATAAGAAAATCTTTATTCACTGATGCCTTCAAACCCAAATGGCATCTGAGCAATCAACCAATCAACAGAAAAGGACACTGTTTTGAGCATCATCCATAGTAAAATCAAAGAGGGACCTAGTCTGCCTACAACAAAAGCAACTTAAAGAACAGGCCATTAACAAAGGTCCAGGAGAACTACGGTAAGTCACAACCTGTTTCTTGAAGAGAACAGTCTTTAAAGGAATTTAGAAATGGCTTTGGGAAAAATATGAAAGTCATTTAGAGGAGACAAAAGGAATATTTAAAGAAAACAGAGTTACAGTGAAGCTAGTGAGAGAAAGTAATTCAAAATAATCCCATCTTGATTTTGTTTGGTGGGAGAAAGAGAGGCTTTCAAGGCCCTATTACTATATCCTATATAAAAAAGATCACTTTCCTGAAATCCTTGTGATGTCCGTTTCTTGACCTGGCCTATCTTGAAGGACTGACACAGATCTTAACAGACACCAGGGATACCAGCACAACATCAACAGCATCTCCAGCATAGTCTGAGGTAGCACTATAACATTGGATATCATTGATGTATTAATATTACGCCCTGAATTGATGGTCTTTACCAATGTAATTGAAAACCAGGAGAAAGAGAAGCTAACCCTGAGACACAATACAAGAGAGCACTACTGGGATGAACTCTCCTTCCATCCACAGCTGGTTAAAACCACGTTTTATTCCAAAGGAATTGAACCACTACAAAATAGTGATTCCAATGGCCAAAACTCAACAAAAAAGAGGCTTGCACTCCATAATTCATTCTACTTTGATAAAGAACCATTAAGGACTACTCTTTGAGCACTATTGCAAACCCACTGCCTACTACCATCAGGTCTCAATTTCAACTGCTTACAAATCAGAAGGTCATAGATACTTTGTTAAATATTCTGATGAAATCAATATATGCCTACAGCATCTGCACAATCTATGTAGGAAGCTGATATATATATATATATATATATATATATATATATATATATATATATATATATGTAAGCAATTGCTGTATGTGTATATACATACACATACACATACACACATATATAGGATAATCTTCCCAAGTAGTGATATCATACTGACAGATCTGTAGTTCCCCAGATCCTTCTTTTTCCCCTTTCTAAAGATACAAAAAAATCCCTGCCTCCCATCAATTTGCCTGACACTTCTTCTGTTCTCCAGGATTTCTCAAAGACACTCCATAAAAGTTCAGCCAGATCATTAGCAGGTTTTTTTTTCAGTACTTTAGGATAAGCACTCCTACCTCTTTAGAGGTTTCCATTCAATCTTGCCAGATTCTCAGAGGCTGCCAGTTTCACAAGTCCCTGCAGTTTACTTGGCAAGATTTTGTTTTCCGGAAGCGGCTGGCTATTGCCTCCTTCCGATACTTAAGAGAGATTTAAACACGGCTCAGGCGAACGGATAGTCCTTCACCGTGTTTTACAGACACATCAGATCTTACGGAACCGTTTCATTCCGGAGCATCAAGGGCTCGGCGTGGACTTTAAGAGGCCACTCAATCTAACCACCCGCCGAGTGCAGGAATCCACGATTACAGCATCAACACCGCTGTAAACCATCCAAGACAAAGAAGGATGTTTTAAAAGGCTGCAAGGGAAGAAAGAAAACGCGCCATACATAACAAAGAGCGACACCGACCGTGGCACTTCCAGCCGCTTTAAAGGAAGGTCCGCTGCAATACGTTGCAAGGCTCGGTTTCATGCCGGTGCCCCGGCTACCGACAAACAGCTACTGCTCTCGAGTTCTCGGGAGAAAGATTCGGGGTTCCCTCCAGCCAAAGCTCCCTGCCGCGACAGCGAGCCGTCCGGTTCCCACTGTCCCAGGAGCCCCTTTTGGACACTCGGTTGTTGTGGTAGCGGCTACCACACCTCCGGCCCCTTTCTAGGCTTCACTTCCGCCCGAAGTCGAAGAAACTGTTTCCCCGGCGCTTTCTTAAAGCTTCCGCCCTGATTCAAATCAACGTAGCCTTGTTTAGATAGCACCCTCTTCTGGCAGCAACGAAAGATGCAACTGCTTGCGTGAAATTTACCGTTGTCAATCCAGCATAGCCATAAGAATAGAATAGAATAGAATAGAATAGAATAGAATAGAATAGAATAGAATAGAATAGAATAGAATAGAATAGAATTTTATTGGCCAAGTGTGATTGGACACACAAGGAAAGTGTCTTGGTGCATATGCTCTCACATATGTACATAAAGAAAAGATAAGGCATTTTGAAAGACTGTTTTTGCCATGGTGTAGTACAGTATCTAAAGATGCATGCAATAGAAGGGGCACATCTTGGGGTACAAAGCCTATTCTGTCTCCCTTAGTGATAATGTAAAACCATTTCAGGATGCCACCCTGGACTTAAAATTGCCTCAAAATATATCCCATTGCTTTCAATGGATTTCAATTTCAGTTATTTCTCAGAATGAGAATGGACTGAAACAATGCCATAATTAATATATTGGAACATTTTAAATTTTTGCAAATATTTATAACAAATTCAGTAAGCAAGAAATCTTTTAAAAATATTCTTCCTTTTCCTTGTATTCTATTCAATTGTCTTTTTCAGTATATATACTACTTTACGAATCCTTGGTATGAATACAAAATGGTATCTATATACGACTACTTGTTTTTTATATTTCATACTGCTATCACTTGAGGATCTCTTTCTCAGCTGATTCACTCCTGTTTCGTATGTTTTATTTTATGATTCAGATCTTCACCAACGCACCTTAATATTTTCTTTTGTACTGGTCATTTGCTTTGGGAATTAATCCACATTCACCCAATCATTCTTGGTTATTCTTGACCTCAGCTCTTGTTTTCTCTCACACACACTACTTAAATACCCCATTCCTCTTTTATGTTTTTCCTGGCATACCCATATCATCTTCTACTGATATATAGGCATAAAGGTAAAGTTTCCCCCGCTCATGCGTGCTAGTTGTTTCCTGCGCTAGGGGCGGTGCTCATCTCCATTTCAAAGCCAAAGAGCCAGCGCTGTCCGATGACGTCTCTGTGGTCATGTGGCCGGCATGACTAAATACCAAAGGCACACGGAGCTCTGTTACCTTCCCACCAAAGTGATCCCTATTTTTCTACTTGCATTTTTTTACGTGCTTTTGAACTGCTAGGTTGGCAGAAGCTGGGACAAGTAACGGGAGCTCATTCCGTTACGTGGCGCTAGGGATTCGAACTGCTGAACTGCCGACCTTCTGATCTACAAGCTCAGTGTGTCTTAGCCACTGAGCCACCATGCCCCTTATATATAGGCATACTGAAATTATATTTAATTAAACTTCTGTATAAGAGCAATGTAATCTTGTAGCTTTTATACTAGATATTCTGGATGTAGGAGACCAGTAACTCACTGTAATGGGCTGGCTTTAGAATTAATAAAATGATCATTTGTATTCTCTCTGGTTGTCGATGTAATATAGCATAATATATAGCATAATATAATATAACAATAAAGGAAAAAGTTGAAAAGAAAAACACATGCATAAATTATATGCACTTGTTTATTGTTTAGTTATTGTATTATATAACAATATAATAAGAAATCACATACAGGTAATGCTTGATTAAAAACCATTTGTTTAGTGGCCATTGAGGTTACAAGAGCACTGAAAAAAGTGACATGACTGGTTTTCACGCTTATGACTGTTGCAGCATCCCCCTGGTCATGTGATCAAAATTTGGGCTCTTGGCAACTGGCATATATTTATGATAGTTGCCCTGTTTCAGGGTCATGGGATCACCATTTTTTAACCTTTCTGCCAGTGGTGGGATTCAGCCGGTTCAGGATGATTCGGGCAAACCAGTTGTTAAATTGATGGCTGGCCCCACCCTTCCTCCTCCCCGCCCCTTCCAGGAGTCCCCACACACCCATTTTGGTTTCCAGTATGTTCCCCCCCCGGGGCCTGTTTTTGCTCCCAGGGGGATGCAGAAGGCCAAGTGCTGCCTGTCATACCCTCTGGCCATGCCCACCATGGCCACACCCACCCAGCTGGTAATTAGGGCAGAGAACCGGTTGTTAAATTATTTGAATCCTACCACTGCTTCCCGCCAATTTCCGAGAAACAAAGTCAATGGTCTTCTGGAATGCCAGCAGTGATTCTCTTAACAACTGTGGCAAAAAGGTCATAAAATGGAGCAAAACTCATTTAACAACTGCTTTGCTTAGCAACAGAAATTTTGAGATCAATTGTGGTTGTAAGTTAAGGACTACCTGTACAACAAAACCAAACTATTCTATATTTTTAAAAAAGAAGAAGATGGCAAACCTGGCAGTCACTCCAAAACTTTCCACCAATATCTAATATCCAGTGGAGCAAGCCCTAACCACACTACTCCATAGCCTAGGAAAACAACAAAGTTTATGGTCTTCTGGAATGCCAGCAGAGTGAAAGGCGCAGAAGTGAGACAGAGAAGGTACTGTATATTTCCTGGATCCTGATATATTGCATTGTTTCTTCAAAGAAACCTGAAGCATGCTGACCCTGTCAGGTCAATTTAGCTAGCTAGATACCATGGAAGTGGTAACCAGGACCCATTTCATGTAAGGCTATATAAATCATAACCAGCATCTTGAATTGCAGTGAAAGTAAACAGGCAACTAGAGAGCAAACCAAGGCATTCCCATCACTGCGTACAGGAGATCATTCTGGACCATTATTGAAGCTTCTGAGTAGTCTTCAAGGGCAGCCCCATGTAGAACACATTATAGTAGTTGAGCCATGAAGTGATTAGGGCATGATTGATTATCTGATTGGGCCTCTTGATCCAGAAAAAGTATAACTGGCACACAAGATGAAGCAGTACAAAGGCCTTTTTTTTCACAGCTGCCAACTTCTCACTGAACAAGGGCTCATGGACGCCCCCAGGTGATGGATCACCTTTGAATGATCGAAGATGGAATATCCTGGAATTAGGTGGCTTCAATACTTGCAGCCATAAAGTCTGGTGGGATTGAGTTGAAGTTGTTTTTATCCCCCTCCAGACCCACACTGCCTCCAGGTACTGGGACATGACTGTGACAGCCTTGATTGACCAACTTTGGGTTGAAAAACAATATCCTAATCAAGAAACCATCAAAGTACCCACTACCAACATTGGCAGGGCAAGCTATTGTATATAAACTGGGAGCAAATCCATACTTACTAGTACTGATGATGTTACTTAATTGGGTAATGTCTGCAAGCAAACAACCAAGTACAGAGAGCACCAAGGACTTCACAATTATTATGATAGTTAAATATTGTAAATTTATATTTTGACCAATATTCTAGATTTAGATTATGTGAGAAGAATGCTAGAAAATTAGTTTGAAATTTAGTTCCACTGATAAAGCCAAGCTGCTAGGAGATTAGCTTGTTAGATTTTGTTCTACAAAGTAAATTTGAATCATTACTGGATACTATTAGATCTGCAAAACTGCACCATCACTTCACTTCTGCTGAAAATCTCTGATCCAGGTTGTCTGTAAGAGAGTTTAGATTTAGATTTTAGATTTTATTACACTTCTATACCGCCCTTCTCCCAAAGGACTCAGGGCAGTGTACAGCCATCTTAAAACACATATACACTTACAAAATTTTAAAAAATCAATTTAAAAACAAATATATAAATTTGGCCCACAAAATTAAAAGCTAACAGACACCCAATTTAAAATTCCTATTAGGCCAGCCCAGCTTGTTGGAATAAAAGAGTCTTCAGGGCGCGGCAAAAGGTACGCAGGTTGAGGATCATACGAACCTCTAGGGGCAGCTCATTCCAGAGGGCTGGTGCCCCCACAGAGAAGGCTCTCCCCCTGGGTGTCGCCAGTCGACATAGTTTGGCCGACGGCACCCTAAGGAGCCCCTCTCTGTGGGAGCGTATTGGCCGGTGGGAGGCTATCGGTGGCAGAAGGTGATCTCGTGTATACTCCGGTCCTAAGCCATGGAGTGCTTTAAAGGTGGTAACCAACACCTTGAATCGCACCCAGAAGACCACCGGGAGCCAGTACGGCTCGTGCAGGAGAGGTGTTACATGGGTGCGTCGTGTCGCCCCCATAATCACCCACGCGGCTGCATTCTGGACCAGTTGGAGCCTCTGAGTGCTCTTCAAGGGGAGCCCCATGTAGAGAGCATTACAGTAGTCCAGACGTGACGTGACGAGGGCATGAGTGACCATGCGCAGGGCATCCCGGTCCAGAAAGGGACGCAACTGGCATATCAGGCGAACCTGATAAAAAGCTCCCCTGGCCATGGCAGTCATATGATCTTCCAAAGACAGCCGTGCATCCAGGAGAACACCCAAGTTGCAAACTCTCTCTGAGGGAGCCAAGATCTCGCCCCCAATAGTCAGCGATGGAACCAGCTGACTATACCGGGACGCCAGGAACCACAGTCGCTCAGTCTTGGAACAATATAGTTGAACTATATAGACAATAAGATAATAACAAATACAAGATATTTCCTTGCTATGAAACTAACATTTAGCTTTTCAGTCAAGATACACAATTGAATGAAAACCCTGTCGAAAGCATTCAAAGATCAGATGAGATAACTACTTATCTGACAATGCAAAACTTTTTTTTTTGCATGTATGATCCCTGAGAGAAATAATAATACTATGTAAAAGCTACTTTTTCATATTTTCTAAGCATCCTATACTGCAATATTCATGGTTTCCAGCCAGCATGTAACACACACCTGGAGGATACTGTGCGGGGCAAGAACATTGATGGAACCTGGAGTATCTAAAATTCTGCTTAACTAGGCAGCATTTTAATGACAATGGTGATTGTGTCTCTGTATAAATTAGACCAACATACCTGCTTCTTCGTTCTCACTGTCTTCTTCCATCCCTTCTCCAACAGTAGCACTTTCTTCTTGTTTAGGGAGGGCTTCATCATGAATCTAGCCTCATAATGTAAAATAATGCAAATTATAGACTCTAGTAGAAAGCAAACATTGTTTTCTCAGCAATCAGTTGCATCTATTTTTAGTAATGGTTGGTGACTTTTTTCCCTACAGAATGCAAATATTTCATATATTTACTGTAAAATGTACTGAGTTTAGTGACAAGCTTAAGTAATTACCTCACTAGGTAGAGCCACAAACCTAACCTCAAATACTGTAGCAGCAGTGACTTAGAGATCTCATTGGGTCAATAGCGCCATCCCAACTATACTAAGTTTAATTAATTAATTTTAATTTTAACCTAATTTAAATTTAAGCTGTAAGACAGACTTCAATCCAACATTCTGAACTACTGCCAGAATTCAAAAGTTCCTATCTCATGATCCCTAGGAACTATAACTATATATAGGAACTATATATCAGCCACTATTAAAAATAACACTATTCTTCTAGATAAGAAGAATACTCTTTCCAGGTCACCTTTCAATGGTCACCATTCCTCTGTTACTTATTTATTTGGCTAATAAATATAAAAATACAGCACCATAACATTAACATTTGAATAATAAATAATTCAAAAAGAAAAACCTATACCCAAGAAATAATTTAGTCAACAAGCTTTTACCTAAGGGATGTAAACATCCAATTCTGTAGCCTCCAATAGCCTGTTGAAACATAGGGGACAATATGATCTCCAGGGAGATAGAAAGAGGGCAGTAGGGAGATAGAAAGAAGTTGCTTCCATATTCCAGAAGGTCACTAAGGTCTTAGCAGAACTGTCCACAATAATTATTTTGCTGTTGTCACTGAAGTGACACCCTCCCCATTTCCAGCATCTTCTGTATCACTGTTTCCCAGTATTAGTATTTGTTAACTTTATCTGAGGTAACCTTCAGACCTGGTAGATATATACATACTCTTGGCATATACTTCTGGCATTCTTTGCCCTTCTAGGAACATCACACCAGTGGTGGGTTGCCCCCGGTTCGCACCGGTTCTATAGAACCAGTAGTAAAACCGGTGGGAGGCTCCGCCCACCGACTCCGACATCATTAAACTGCTTCTGTGCATGCGCAGAAGCTTCTGCGCTTGCGCAGAAGAGCACGTGAGCGAAGCGAGCGCATGCGGCCCTTTTGCGAACCGGTAGTAAAGGTAAGTAGAACCCACCCCTGCATCACACCACCATGATATAGCAGTAGAGCAGGACTTATGAGGCTAAGGACTCTCCCAACTCTATCATTCTAATGGTACTTAAATGGCAAGACTTGTAATTACCACAACTCGCTCTGCTCCATGATCCAAGACTCTCTTTTCTGCTTGTAGCTGCTCCAGAATGGTTTTCTGTAACAATGGTGCATTTGCTCCTCTTACAACAGCTACCAATTCTCCCCCCTGAATTCAAAAAGAAAGGGATGACTATTTTACAAACACAGTTTGTGTCAACACACAGACACTGTTATTGTCAATAGAAGAATTCTGATTATATTTTACCATTGAAAACGGGGTATTATAAACATTGAAAGAGTTGTATTCTCAATATGTACAGATATTAAATGAGAAAAAAAAGTCAATTTTAGCAAAAGATTGAGAAAATAAATAAGGCATGGAAAAAAAACTGAAGATGTAAATCTTTTTCCTACTTTTTTAAAAATTGGCTAATATATAAATGTCTGCAAATTTAACTGGTGATAAATTAATTGATAATCTCATAATAAATTAAGCAAATTTATTTGAACCAGTTAGTATAATGGCTGGACTAGAAATTGTGAGTCCATAGGAAGTTCTAAACCTCCTTTGGGCATGAAAACCAGCTGGATAACTTTGGGCCAGTCACTCACTCTCTCTCTCTCAGTCCAATCTGAGTCACAAAATTGCTGTTGTAGAGCAAAAAACGTGGGAATAGTATGTATATCAAGTGGAGTTGTACAAAACTAAAAGTGGATATAAATCAAATAAATAAATAGGGAGATAATTCTGCAAAAGAAATCATTGACAAGCCCTATGTAGTTGACAAAATCAAGAAAGGAAGAGTGAAATAGTTTTCAGGAAAGTTAATTTATTCTTATCCTGGGGTAAAAAGAGAATCTTCAAAATTGTAGGAATAAAATTCCCAATCATATAAAATGAGTTAAGGTGGAGTTTCTTTAAATGTTTTTTTTACCTCATCTTTCATACCTAGACTGTATTTATCCCGGAAAACTGAACACTTCATCAAATATTTTTATAATTTTTTACCCAGCATCACTCTTAACAAAAAAAAAGTTATTCAATTTTCACATATCCTGCCCTATACAACGCAATCAGTAATATTTCGGTATGTTCCCTTAACTTTCTAATGCTCTTTCGATAAAATTTTATATTTATATTGTAGGAAACATAAATGATGCAAAGGAGGCATTATTTGCTGGCATTTACGACACTTAACATATACAGAGTTCATATGCCATACTAAGTTATAATATGATTTGTTTTAGTTTAGTGTACTGTGTGACCTAAACTATTTTGTGATCCAGCCTGTGGTGTTTGACAACCATAGATGCAAATCAAACCAACTGTACTTTATTCAACAAAGCATGGGTTGGCAACATAATGGCTGGATCTAGCTGTGGTATATGACACTCTATTCTAAGAATATGTATGAGTCATATTGGGTAGTTAGAAACAGTTGCGTAAGCACTGAGCATTGATGACTATAATATTTTGCTTCTGCAGAACTTGTTAGTTAAATAACAGTAGCTAAGTTGCGTGTTGTGCAAACTCAGCCAATTGTCATTTAATTAAAAAAATATTTAAATGTCATGAGTTACTGTGTTTTGTGACCCTAGTCTAGATGTGCTAATCACAGGCTTGCTCATCTATGTTTAAGGTTTATTTATTTCCCTCATTGACTTTAGCTAAATTACTTTAAGAAAACATTATATACAAACATTGTATACAAATTCAATAAAAACAAACAAAAAAAAACATTATATAACAAATGCAATCCTTTCAAATCTTGCTAGCATCTGAACCAGTGGTGGGTTGCCTCCAGTTCGGACAGGTTCACAAGAACCGGTAGTAAAACCGGTGGGAGGCTCCTCCCACTGACCCGGATGTCATCATAGATGATCTGTGCATGCGCAGAAGTGCAAGCGCGTGCACACAATGCGAATCAGTAGTAAAGGTAACTAGAACCCACCCCTGATTCGAACATTTGTCTTGTTCAGTATTATAATAAAAGTAATATATAATTATAGCCCATAGCATTTCAAAATGTTATTAGTTGGCCTACATAATATTCACATATTTAATTTTTTATATTTATGAATTTACTAACCACTTTAATCAATACATCTCCTGGTCTTGTACAAAAGCAACAGCAATAGCCAATGCAATATATAAAATATCTTAATATATATTAAATCCTATCCTATCCTATCCTATAAAACAATGTACAAATAATACAATATTTCTGGTACTGGGAGCTCTATGATATATACAAGTTGCTTATCAGGAATATATATATATATATATATATTGTATAGAGAGAAGATGCTATGCTTTCCAGCTATACTATGCATCTCTAGATACAAGTTAATGAGAATAATCAAACTAGCATGTTACATAGATATTTCTGGAAACATACTGTCTTTTAAACAATTTGGCAAGGTTTATCAGAAAAAATAATATTGATGGGAATATTGTCTAATGAAATTGATGCTTACACCATAAAACAGAAACGTCGGTTCACATTTTCCACGATATTTCTCTAGAGCATCAATTGAATCAACCTCAGCCTAAATGAAAAGTAGACAAGAAAACAGAATAAAATAAATGTCTGTAACTTCATGGCATCCAAAATTTGACATCCACTGCCAGCAAGCACATCTTTCTTAATAAGTAAGAGCATGATTGTCTAGCATGCTACCAATGCATTGGTGTTCATGAAAGCACGCTTCAATGCTCTTCTGTTAAATGTACTGTTCTACTAATATGTTGACTATGTTTGCACAAGATATTGAACACAAATAAGCTAACCATATTTAAACCACAGTATTTGTTTAATTTATGATTCACTGTATTTTGTGGACTCAGAAAATTGATTAATTAAATTAATAAAGTATGCCATTCAGATAGCCAAATGGATCAATTACCAGTGGGCTTCTCAATATAATTCAAAGTGCAGGTATTCATCTATAAAGCTTTCCTGGCATAGGACCTTAATGTTTTTAGTAGCACCTTTCTCTATTTCAGTCTGTTCTAGACAATATACAACACAATACAATACAATACAATACAAGTAGTCCTCAATTTACAAGCCCAAAATTTATGTTATTAAGCAAGACAGTTGTTTAGTGAATTTTGCCTTATTTTACAACTTTTCTTGCCACAGTTAAGTAAATCACTTCAATTGTTAAGTTAATAACATCATTGGTAAGTGAATCTCGCTTCCCCATTGACTTTGCTTGTCAGAAGGTCTCAAGAAATCATCCCATGACCCCAGGACTCTGCAACTATCCTAAATATGAGTCAGTTGCCTAGCATCTGAAATTTGATCACATGACCTTGGGGATGCTGCAAAGGTCTTAAGTGTGAAAAACGGTCCATAAGTCACTTTTTCAGTACTGTTATAACTTCGAATTGTCACTATATGAACTGTTGTAAGTCAAGGACTACCTGTATTGTACAACATTGTACAATACTATACTGTACAAAGAACTGGCAAGGCTCATGTATAATGTAATTTTACCTTATTGGACCTAGGAGCCATGCTTTTTCTGTAGCCAGACCTTCCTTTTGGAACAGTTGGCCCATAAACTTTGTATGATTCTGCTGATTTTTAAAAGATCAACAAGCCCTCGCTCTTCCACAGGCACTGAGTTAGGGATAACATGTGAACCTGCAAATTCTGATATTGTAGAGGTTGTTTTGCCTTCACAGTAATAGTTGCTTTTAACTATTATTTCTTTTGCTTGTTTCACCTGTTGACTTACCCTCTATAAGTGGATTAGAGTAATTGGTGAATGGGTGGCCTTGGAAATAAAAATAAAATAAAATTATGGTAATCCTATTGCATAAGCATAAGATTATAATTAGTCTGTGATTAATTATTGGTGATTTTTATATTTTAATTTGAGGTTTCTTGAAATCCTAGGGTTACAACTTTTATATACATATAGACATAGACATACACACTGGATCTGGGCTGTCAAAAACTAGATGAACTAGTTTTGAGAAAAAGGATACCAAAATCCTAATTCTCTGATCCACTCTTTCTGCAGTCCACAACTGGTAGTCCTATTATTAGTATTTGTACTATCATATAAAATGGTACATTGCATAATAGAGTTGTGGACAATGGACTAATAACCTTGATAACAGGGTGGCTGCCTCTAAAGACCATCCACTGAGGTACTAATTGGCTTTTTTATGCAGTTTACTACAGCATGTTGCTTATTATATCTCTGTTATAGATTGGAACAGATGTCTGTTATAGATTGGAACAGAACATCTGTTCAGGAAATTAAGAAATTAAGATGGTGGGTGTATGATTGCATAACTGATCCTCTGACTCTTTTCATATACATGTGGCCCATGTTTTAAAAAGGGATGGAGATTTGCTCACATAGTTACACTTACCATCTTAATTTTTTTGATCCCTTCTGAGAATTGGGCTTTGCTAACTGTTTTAATAGATCTGAAACTTTTTCTTACCACAGCAAAATGCAGCAGGTCACTGCCAACTTCATTTCTTATTTTCTTGAAGAGATTAACAACTGTTTTACATGGTCCACACCAGCCTTGATAAGCATCTACTACTGCAAAGAAATTAATCTGTATCAGCAGAACTGTGACATGTCAGAATAATTCCAGAAATCAATCACATATCTAGAAATGAAAAGAGTTAACTATTACAATAGTCTGACAGAAGTAATAAATGCCTGCAGACACCCTTTTCTATTCGATACAAGTTTTAGATAGGAAGTTGCTTTAATGGTTTGCAAGGCACCACATAAAATACCAATAAATTCTGTATCAACTGATGTTCCTGCCTACAAATAGGCGTCCCCAAAGTACTAATAGAATTGGAGAGTTGCCATTCAAGCTTAACTATAACTTGCTGTTGCCAAGGAAATTCTTCCATTTGTTAGCATGTTCGTTCAGAGATATTATCGTGTAGCATGACTTAGTAGAGGTATGGTTCATACTACTGTAATGATCTAAACATTAATATTACTAATAACAAAAGAGAAAACAAACCTCATAAAATAACTAATTCAAAATCTTACCAATCAATCCTTTGGACCCCAGAAATTCTTCCCAATGTTCTTGATTATTGACAACCATCTGTGCGAAAATTAAACCATATTACTGAGAAACCCAGCAATAAAACAAAATAGCTTTTTAAAGCAGAGATTCCTGAAGAAAGATTTGATGGACTAATACATGAAAAAAATGCATATTTGTGTTACTAAAAAGTAGAAGATGAAGATGAAGTCATCTTGTAGAAGATGAAGTCATAATTTAATAGCATTAGATTTTTTTAAAAAAAATCTTTGGACAAAAATGCATATCTATAATGAAGAAAAAAATCATTGGAAATGTTAGGATACAAAGCAAGAATATTTGTGAACAATTTTCTTGCTGAGTGCCAGAGTGTTATTAGAACGTGAATATATTGAAGCCTACCGTTAGGCTCCTGATACATTGATGAAAGAATAGCAATAGCCATGTTTCTATTGTAAAAGCAAGGGATTAGTGCTGAATCAATCCAAATCTAAACTAGCAAAGACTACATTTGACTTTATAAAACGTTGTTTACAGGACAAGTGTTGCATTAAGGCAGCAACATAACAATCAAAACCTAAAATATGTATTTTAATCTGTAAAAGAATAAAATATTTCAGAAACATCACATGGAATGTAATGGCATCATCATAAATAATAATAAAATACTTATTGTGTTACAAAGTTTACATTGCACAGTCAGATGCATGACTCTGGCTATGGAACTTTTAGTAAATGCTTGTTTTTCAATGGACATTAAATTGATGAAATAATATCTATCACTGAGGTATAAATACTACTAAGAAAATGCTTAGTAAACTCAAATAATAGAAAAAAACTCAAAATCAAAACATGCTAATGAAATTATATGATTCTGAAATTTATATCATACATGAAATTATCAAAACCAAATTATGTGTTAACTTATATTGCTATCAGAAACACAACATGCATGATTGAGTTGCACAGAATTCTCACTGTTTTGGAAATTTAATCCTATTCCAAAAGATTTTTTACTTTTTCTCAACTTTTTCTTAGTCGTTGACAAGATTAAGCTAAGCATGTCATGAAAAGAACAAAGCAGTTCAGCCAGTTTTCAATAACCTATCCTTCAAGAAAAACAGAACAGAAAGAGTGACTGAAAGTGTAGAATACACTTCCCCTTCCCAAAAGCACGGCTTTCCATCCGGCAGCTAACTATCTCCCCCTGCTGCCTGCCTAACTGTCAGTCTGTCAGCAGGAATTATGTGATAGAACCAGAAGGCACATAAAAAGTAGAAAATGAGTGGTGCTTCTATGTTCTAATAAAATGGAGAGTTTTGAGCAAGTTACTATTGTTTTATGCTGCCAAACATCACTAAGGAAATATGGCTTAAGCACATTACGGAAACATGTTACTTACAAACTGACCCATGGAATAAACACAATAAAAACGATTTGAGCAATCTGGATATAGTGTGGCAAAATAATTTGTGAAGCATCAAAGGCAAAGACTATTTGTATAGTTAGTTATACTATTGGAGGTTGTGGGTGTAGATATTGCTATATTTCTCACTAGGAAGGAACTTTTTTGTTCAATTAATTTTGTTCTGAATAAAAAAAATAGGTCTCAGAACATCAAATCTCAAAGCTTTAACTTGCATTCTGTATATGGCAGATCACTTAAGGTCATTTTCTAAGTAGCTGGCTCAGAGTCACCTGGAAAAATTCCACCAAAGCCAACAGGTCTTCTTGGATAGAAATAGTTGGCAGAGTTGAAATATAATCAATTTCTTCTTCTGGCCACATGATGGCAGGATTTATAGAGATTATATTCCTTATGGAATTATTTATATAAATAAAGAAATCACAAATATATTCCCATAACTCCATGCTTAAATATTTCCAAAAGAGTAGCCCTGTTACTCTGTCGAAGCAAAGCCAACCAAGAGTCATGTGCACCTTTAAAAACTGGTACATTGTATCATAATTTGTATTGACCATAATTTATCAGAATAAGAGATCTGTAGTGTATGGATGTTTATACCACAGTCAACTTTTAATTTTCAAGATTCTGTGTCACAATTTAAAGATGCTGTTTAAAATCAGTTTTTAAATAGTTGAGCAGCCCTGGAAAAGCCATGGCTGCTTCAAGGAGCTGCTGACTGCTGCTAGCAGAGGGCCTCCACTCATTATAATGCATCTTTTGTTTGATGCATTAAGGTCAACCTTAATGTGTATGTCACTCCGGATACAAATGTACTAAATGCCACCAGCAAGTTTCAAATATACTGTGGTACATGTGGAAACAAGCAGTTAGAGTTCCAAACAGTTTTTGCATTATTTCACAACATTCTCTAAAAGCCACTGTTGGCACCATCACACTACTAGCTCTGAAAGGTTTGTTCATATTCTTGTTCATTTTCTCTTCTTGTTCATCTGTTATGGACTTGATAATATGAGATATTTAGCACGTGCACAGCAAATACATCTGAGTTCTCAGGAGAGAATTTTGAGGACCGGGCTTGGAAAAAGTCATAATATTTGTGGGGAGGAGGAATGAGACATAATCAGACCCATACTAAGGGCATCTTACTTAAGGGGCTTGCAAGAACTAAAATAAACCAGCAGGATTTTGTTCAAAAGTAGCTGTAATATTTGGATCACATTATTTTCATGAATAGCTTAGATGAATGTCAGAATGTATGTATATTGGACTGATCCTGAATGATTGACAAATGGACCAGGTCTACCAAATGGGCTAAAACGCAATATGGCTTGTTTGGGTTTGGTTTAGCAAGTTGTGTGACCCCAGCCCAGTATAATTTATTCGGTGCATCGTCATGGCTAAGCAAGCCGTGGCTTAACAAGCTGCATATAGCGGACAAAACTCTCTAAATAAGAGTCTAGAACTATCCCCCTCAATGACGGAGGAGTTTAAAGGACAATTTTCCTAAAGATTAAACTGAGCAAGAGATTATGCCTGCATTGAAATGAGAACATGATGCAGGTAAACTGGAAAATGTGAGGACCACTGATCAATTTCATTATCTTCAACAATCCTGTAAACTACAATACCCTGATTAGAATAATATCTACTGTTGATCTGAAAATTAAATAGAAGTTTGTCAGCAATTTCTGCACTGCCAATATTTAACATTAGTTCTTGCATTTCTTTTCTGAATCATCAAATTAGATTAAAAACAAAAACTTTGTATTTGGGAGACTGGTGATTGAGAAATCTATAGCTTTGTGCTTACAGCTACTGTTTTATATGTAGGTTTCACTGGCAAGATATAGAAGTATTGGGGCATTTTTGTCCTCTCCATACAAGCAGAAAATACAGAACAATCGCACTGGGTGACTGATATCTCATACTAACCTGCAAGGCTATTTCCCTTTTTCTGCTGGCCATTATGCTGTGAAACAACCAAACAAAGAACAGGCATTACATTATGTAGCACTACTTTCCAGTCTAAAATATCATTAATATTCACTGCTAATAAATGTAACCACATATAAAAATATATACTTTATTACAAGTAGTTCTCGACTTATCATTTGTTTAGTGATCCTGCTTCCCTGGGTTAAGTGTTCACTTCCATTTGGAGACCTCATAATTACTTATTTTTTGCAGAAATCTATGTTTAGCATGATGCAATCAAAGAATTGTGTGAACCCTCTGGCAGCTCATATTTCACTAATTTTTATTCTATGACATTATTATAACTTGCTGAAAAACCATCAGCCATTATTAGAAGTAAACCTGGGAGGAAAGAACTGGAACTCTAGCTAGGAGTTAACAAGGTCAATACCATATGGTATAAAGCTATTACAGAATCTAGTTGTTCTGCTTTAGATACCACAAAGATGCCTCCTAGATGATAAGAAAGAAAACTGGTCATGGAGAGAATGTGTAATGTCCCTGACAATACTATAGACCCTGGTCAAGAATTGCTTAATATGCGATGTCCTGGATAGAAGAAAATGAACTTCCAATAATCTTTTCTGCCATCCTCACCATTTTCTTCACAGCTTTCCTGTCTAAAACAGTAATACAATACAGCAGGATGCTTTCCATTGTCCATCTATAGAAAGTGGCAAGGATAGGGGAAGGAAGATGTGGTCTTCTCATATGATGTAAAAAATGAAGGCTCTGCCTCCTGTCCCTGCTTCACCAGTGTCTCACTGTTGAGCAACCAAGCTAACCTGCTCATCAGCTACACACCCAAAAACCACCTCCACAGTTGAATTGTTACTACACAGAGATGTATGACTGGCCTGCCATTTCTGAAATTGACAATGATCTTTGTATCTTTTTGTATTCATTTAATAATACCTATGATCTTTGGAACATTACCTAATCAAGAACACAGTCTAATCCTTTTGAACTGAAACTGGTGATAATCCACATCAAACTGCTTTAATTCCCTTGATGGATATTGTATCCTGCAAAAAGGAAATTATTTAATTACTGGATTATTCCAGTTTTTATCCTGTGTTCTTGCACTAATGAACTTCATACAGTTAAGTTACAAATATGTCTGATATTTCAAGTTAAGTTTTAATTTAAAACATAAAACATGAAAACTAAATAAAAGTGTTAACATTATAATTAATGTAAATTCTTTAAAGGCCTGGTTGCCATACCTTCTGAACATATGAGTTTAGCATCATTCTTCATCCCCTAACCTCAATTTTAGTTATTCTTGTTTCCAGTCTAAAAGAGGTATTCAGTATTTTCTGAATGGACAAATATGGACTTCAGAAATTTGTTAAATGTAATCATTGGTACAAAACGTCCACAGTGACATGTACAGTGTAATGCTGTGAATGCTTGCTTAGAATTATGTCTCACTCTGTTAAAGGGATTTTCTCTCTTTTAGATATGCTTTGTCCTGGCAGTCTTTTTATTTAAATGGTGTAGCATTAGCCATTATACCAAGTCTGATGAGTAATAGGCCTGCCACATTTACAGTCCGATTTATTTATTTTCTTATGTATTTCTTATGACATTTATCCCTTTCAATCTGATCAAATCTAGGCAGTTTACAAGTCAAAATACAATAAACAATACCTATAAAATAGCACAATAACAATATCAGAATATTGCTACAAACCTCAGAGAATGCTGCTTTTTTACCCAGGCAGCAATAATAAGCCCTCTTTATCCCTGAATGGCTTTTGAAATTGTCAGAAGAGCATAATCAAAGGGGCTACGTTTGCCTCTGGGCAACTTGTTCTACAGGAGGGTGTGAATGCCTGTGTTCCATTCCGCCAGAATTCCTAAGAGATGGGGACCTTCAGCTGAATCTTTGTTTTCAGACATTGGCGAGATAGATTCTATCTTGATAATATCCAAATCAATTGTGTATGACTGAAGGGAGAGTGGCACCAAATATATTAAATCTTACACACAAATATGTATGCATTAGATTGCCGCTCTAATGAATTAGTGAAAATTCTTTTAACCAGTTTAAAAAAAATTTCTCTGTTAACCAAGTTGTGGATTTTCCTTAAGCATTTATTTTTTATTGTAAAATCTGTAAAATCTCTAAGAAAATACTGTATTGCCATAATAGAAAACCCATTTATTCACAGTCTCTCTTAAGATAAGGTACTGCGAAATGTGGGTTTAATAGTGGAACTGTTCTCATCAATTTATAAACAGACTAAGTTTTATGTGGTCATCTTTTTTTTTTTGTTAGTATGAAAAAAGTATCCTGAAACATCTGTTAAGACACCAAAAGCTCCTGAAGTTTTGTGAGTTCCGTATTATTTTTTGATGCTTACTGCTCATTCAACTGCTTATCAGTTGCTTACCACAATTTTAGTTTGTTGACTGACCCAGGATAAATGAGTGGCTGGATGGATGATCCAGAGGGAGTGAGCAAGAAAAAAAGGGGACTATTTTTAACAGGTGCCCTTGTTACCTACTGTCTCATTTTCTTTTATGAGATGATGTGTAGAATTGGGCTAATTACAGTCCTATAGTAACCACTGGATTAAGTGCATTTTAGCCCTATTCACCTTAAGACTCCACTACTGTAATTAGTTCAGATTCCCAAATTTCAAATAAAAAATAGCAAATCTCTAGCTATTATAAGATTAGAGATATGTGAGAAACTGTACAGGCACTAAGCTGCCACAGTTTTATAATACTGCAGCAACTGTTGCTGTTCCTATTTTTCAATGGCTCTGTTTGTATGATATATTTACTCACAATTTATTTTATTTTATTTCACAGCATACACTAAGCCATAGTTGGCTTAACAACTATGTTGGTTTACGGAAGAAACTACAATTGGCTAAGTTTATACAATATGTTGAGCAATAAATCATGATTTTCAAACCATGAGGGCTGAAAGTATGGAGATTAATCTCCATACTAAATCACAAATAAGCAATCACATTAGCTGAACCCAATTACCCCCGCCCCTGAGAATTGCTGTGTCTACATGATATGATGAACCATCAACTAGCTGACCATGCAGTGTGCTGCACAAACTTAAAAGGTAGATGAATCAAGCAAACCATCGATAACTATCATGTGAATACACATCTCAGAAGAATTGAGAAACAAAGAGAATGCCTAGAGAGACAGAAATGGATCTTTGCCAGATAATGACTGGCAATAAATTTCATCTCCCTCTTCTCTAAAGTTTTAAGAAAGGTGAGGATATAAACCAGGGGTATCAAACTGGCAGCCCACAGGCCAGATGCGTCACAGGCCACGCCCACCCCAGCTCCGCAAAGGGGAAAAATGTCCTGAAACATCATGTGATGGCAACACGACACTGCGAATTTGACACCCGGGATATCACTCCTCTTCTATAGGTGAATAAATATATTAGGTGAGTAAGTGGACCATAAAGTGGACCATAAAGCATAGGTGGAAATTAAGTTGAAATGAAAAGTGGAAGAAATTCATATAATTGCAGGAAGAAGAGATTAAACCTACTGATTAAATAGACTGCCTAGCCACATTATCCTAATATATTCAGTATTACACAAATCCAGAAAATTGGGTTGAACAAATTGTGGCTATGTTGATCATCAGTGAATTTGAAGAATTAACAGAGAACATAAAGTGGAGGTTCAAAAAGAGCTTTCCTCCCTAGCAATAATATAACTCAGCCCTTATTGTTTCCTTTTACTCTAATTTGGATGCTAACAAAAATGCTCTGTCCTCACTAATTTGTGTTTGTTAGGAAGAGAATATTTGGGGTTCTGACAGACCAATGAGTAGCTCCTGTAATATATTTCCCACCCTCCATCTTAAGATATAAGGCACCAATAGTTGACCAAGGTTGAACTGATCAAATAAATGCAGCAGAGGAAGCTCAATAAAGTTACTTTGTAAAGCATCAACTTCAGTAGAAAAATCTGGCTATAATATTTTCCAGAATGGGACAGATGTATATAGGTGGCTTAAAACATGGGTGAGAAATGAGACAGGGCTAATTCTCCCTAATCAAAGGTGATCAGGCTCATTTTGATATAAAATGCTGCTGGTGAAAAGCTAGCTCTAAAACATGACTGAAAACAGAGGTTGTGTGGTTTTGCAGAATAAGTAGCTATGAAGTGTTCTGTTTTTGCAATGCTATCTATACTAAGAAAAAAAAGGCACAGAAAATTAAGAAGCAAAAGCATAAAAAGGAAAGGTGGATTTGAAATATCAGTTCTTAGAATGGCAAGAATTCAGCATAATGTACCTGTTCAAGGGTTCGGCAACAGCTCCCAGGCAAACAACAGCGTCTCTTGTCACCATGGCAACAGGGGAGGCAGAGGAGAATCAGCTCTGATAAGCATGTCAATTCTTTCCCCTACCTGCCGTCATTATCGTTTCCCTTTTTGTGCAGTCAGATAACATGCTGTCTTCTGTTCCTCAACTGGATGGAAGAACTGAAGATCAGGAACAAATCTTACAATTGAACTACATTTTGGGAGTACAAGCTTGGACAGATAACTAATGCTTTGACATTAAATGTGTGCTTTCTAAAATGGCAGGATTGTTGAAGATAATGAAATTGATCAGTGGTCCTCACATTTTCCAGTTTACCTGCATCAAGAAGGGTAAGATGATTGATCCCTTTGGATATTGATTGCTTCTCTGTTTTAGATCATTATTCTTCAAGGATTATCCTTTGAAATTTGCTAAATGTCTGAGGGTTTATTTGATTTTGGAAATTAATTAATGTCCAGAGCATTTAAAATATAATGGTAAGAAGAGAGAAGAATCCTGTAATCTATAATTATTTGTCAGTTTATAATTATCATTGTTAATTATACTTTTACCAAGGAGGAAGTATATTATAATTTATTAGACTGTATGTAAATAGGAGTGTGGTATAAATAGGTCATGCAAGAGAGAAGAACCTAAGCATTTTTAATATAGTACAGCATGTAACTCTGTTAATAGTCCACCAATGGAAATGAATAATGAACACTCAATCTATGAATTTCAGATCAAATTATTGGCAATAGAAAATGCCACATACACTTGAATTTTGATTCTGTTGGTGTATAAAACACATATGGTGTCCAAATTCACCTCTACAAATTTACTGGATCCTTCATACATAAATATGTATGAATTGTGCTGGGTAGGCCAAAGGCTCACCTAGACCAGAATTCTGATTTTACAGAGCTAAGAGAGGCTTGTGGGAAGATCACATACAAGGCAGGGACACTCCCTGCCATGTTCCATTCCTAGCTGATAATTGATTTTTGGAGCTACAAATAGAATAATATGCTCTCAGCTCCTAGTTTAGTCTAGCTAATTAGAGACTTACCTTCTTCTGATAGCAGTGTTGTTTCAACTTATTTAAATATGATAATGATAATACCACTAGTGAATTATCATTATCATAATAAGATATAAGATATAAGATAAGATAATCTTTGTCACTTTTGTCTGTGAACACAGTGGCACACATTAAAAAAATGAAATTCTGATGCCCAATCTCAAAAGTATACACACACACACATATACATACATGCGTGTGTGTGCACAAACACAGTCTATTTTGAATATATAGCAGAAAAAGAGCATTGAGAGTTAACAAGGTCAATACCATATGGTATAAAGCTATTACAGAATCTAGTTGTTCTGCTTCAGATACCACAAAGACGCCTCCTAGATGATAAGAAAGAAAACTGGTCATGGAGAGAATGTGTAATGTCCCTGACAATACTACAGACCCTGGTCAAGAATTGCTTATATGCGATGTCCTGGATAGAAGAAAATGAACTTCCAATAATCTTTTCTGCCATCCTCACCATTTTCTTCACAGCCTTCCTGTCTAAAACAGTAATACAATATGGCAGGATGCTTTCCATTGTCCATCTATAGAAAGTGGCAAGGATAGGGGAAGGAAGATGTGCTCTTCTCATATGATGTAAAAAATGAAGGCTCTGCCTCCTGTCCCTGCTTCACCAGTGTCTCACTGTTGAGCGACCAAGCTAACCTGTTCATCAGCTACACACCCAAAAACTTAATATTAACCACCTCCACAGTTGAATTGTTACTACACAATGATGTATGACTGGCCTGCCATTTCTGAAATTGACAATGATCTTTGTATCTTTTTGTATTCATTTAATAATACCTATGATCTTTGGAACATTACCTAATCCAGAACACAGTCTAATCCTTTTGAATGGAAACTGGTGATAATCCATGTCAAACTGCTTTAATTCCCTTGATGATATTGTATCCTGCAAAAAGGAAATTATTCAATTACTGGATTATTCCAGTTTTTATCCTTGCACTAATGAACTTCATACGGTTAAGTTACAAATATGTCTGATATTTCAAGTTAAGTCTTAATTTAAGATATAAAACATGAAAACTAAATAAAAGTGTTAACATTATAATTAATGTAAATTCTTTAAAGGCCTGGTTGCCTTACCTTCTGAACATATGATTTACAATTTTTAGAATTTTGGAGCAATTTCTCATTATTAGATACAGAAGAATATGTTTCTAGTTTTTCCATCTGAAGCCTGTGAGAAAATCTTTCCAAGGTTCTTTTTTTTAAATTAAAAATGGATTTTATGACAGTGATGCAGTTAAACTAAGGCTGCTATTTGTGATGGGCTGTACTAAGAAAAAAAAAGACATTCTTGTTAGTTTTTATTATAAAACCAAATAAACAGATCCGATACAAACTCTTATAATAGTGTATAGAATAGATGGATTAAAGCTTTGTAAATTTTATAAACTGCTAGAAATCGTTCTTTTTAAAATCATCCTTTATTTTAAAAAAATAAAACCAGATTCATATCATTTGCTGGATACTTCATTTTGATACATTTAGAATTGGCATTTCAGTGGAAATTTGTTTCAGGTACCTCAGGTAACTTGGTCTCAGAATTTCCATACTTCTGGGTCATTGTGTATTTTTGTGGGAGTATGTGGCTGATATTTTTTGGCTGATTATCTATCGTAAACATACACAGACATACAATCAAAAACATTCAGATGGGGTAAAATAGAGACTTGAAATATTGGAATTACAGTAATATGTAAATATTAGGTAAAGTAAAAGTTTCCTTCCAGTCAAGCTGTTAATGACTTCTTGGCAATAGTGTGGAAATGGTTTCAGGGATAGTTTTTGACTTCTCAGTTTATAGCTCTGCTATTTGCTGGTTGTCTCCATCAAAACTAATTGGGCAAAGCCCAATTTAGCTTCTGAGCACAGACAAGGTCCGCCATGTTATGCCACTTGTGAATCATATAATCACAATCAGAATAATCCAAGTGTTTGAATTATTCATACCACATAATTATGTCAAATATTTGATCATTGTAATCCTAAACACACAAACATTTTTTAATAAAATATTACATGTTACAAAATTTACATGGTTTTCATTAACAACATCAATCATCTTCGGACTACATATTCATTTTTTCCTTTGCAATTATAATTTTTCTGGTCTTGAATCAAGTCCTAAAATGGTCATTTGTGTTCATCAGTTCAAATACCAAATTGCTCATTATTACTACATTTTATTTAAAAGAAGAACTGCAGGTACACAATTCAGATGTTATCTTTAACAATGAACCACATGGCAAAGATCAAAGACAAATTTTATACAATTGTTTCTGTAACCAGTAAAGGAATAAGATTGTTATGATTTACCTCTATTCCACACCAAGATTACTTTGCTATTTTAAACACAGAATAAAATTATATTTTCTAGATTCCAAGGATAAAAAAATAAAGACTCCATTGAAGTTAGATTAGTTCTTGATGACTACATAGACATACCATTTTCATAGCAAAAACTGTCTCTATTAATCTTTGGCACTTTCTGTATACTATCTAAGAATATGATTTTCATAATTTTCACATTTTTAAACATTTTTCACATATCTGAAAAAGACATTTTCATACAACTCTACTGAACTGTATTAGTAGAATACCTGAACAACAAATCATGGTATGTTGTTAATAGCACTATACACACACAGTCATATTAATTGCACACTGCACTACATAAAAATACAATAATTTTGTATTCATTTAATAGAAGAATCTAATATTTCCTGGTAATCTTGTTTTTTAAGGTTTTTCCAAGATAGCTTATAACACGCAAGGAAAATTATGCTAATAATGATAACAGCTCCTCCAATTATATCATAAACGCTGGGGAAGATGTGTAGTATAAGAAGCTGAAGAATCATGGCTATCACAATCTCCAAATGTTGCACTGTGCTAACCAATGCTGGATGGAATTTGCTCAAGGCATAGTAGACACCAAGAAAAGCCACGGTGGAACATATACAGATGCCAATGAGATAGCTCCAGCTTTCTCCATTCAATGGAATTATTGGCTCTTGAAGGAAAAACATAGTTGAGGCTCCCCATATTGTTCCAGTCCAACCAAAAGTAAATAATGCTGTCCACATGCTGACATTATCCTTAAGGGACCTATATACTATCATGGACAGAGCTGTGGTTAAGCCTGCCATAACTGTCATTGTATATCCAAAGACTTCCTTCCAGATATTCAACAGAGAATTTTCTTCGTCAACAATGTTGGGGATCATGACCAAACAAACACCAAAGATACTACTCACTACAGTAATTACATCAATATAAGCCATGCGCTCATCCACTAGTAAAAATGCTAAAATGGCACTGAAAACAGTGGTGGTAGCTCTCCACATAATAGTCCCATTGCTTGGGGGAACAATTGCAAAGGAAGTATAAGCACAGGTAACAGAAATAACATTACACACTCCATAGAAGAATAGCCGCAATCTATGGCCTTTTGGTCCAAAAGGGTCTTCATGGTAGTAGCATACTACTAAAACAGAAAACACTTGTAAAACAGAACGAATGAAAATCAATTCAAGAGATGGCACTTTGGAACGATCGGCAGCAAGTCTGGTTATCAGAGCTACACAACCATGGGCCAAAGCAGATCCAAAAAGAACAGCCCATGTTTTTCTGGACTGAAAAATGCTTCCCTCTATAAAATCTTGGCCTTGTTCATTCTTGTTGACTTCTAGCTTCTGTCCTGTCTGAAATGGAATGTCAATTGTTCCAAAGAAAGACTTTCCTGTTCGTTGTCCATCACTCAACAATCTTCTTTTTGGATTATCTTCTGTAAAACTCTCATTATCGTCACTCAGTTTCTCATTACTTTCTTCTCCAGGCTGTGGATAATAAGAACTATATTTCACTGTCACAGTGTTTGGATGAATTTTCACTCGTTTTTTCACTGGATATTGCTTGGAAGAATCCATTTCATAAGATAATAAGGACTGATTGCAAAGAAAAACAAATACATATTTATATATTTGATAAAATTGTTGCACATCTTGACTATTTAGAATAATCTTAATTCATTAGTGTTCTATTACCATATTAGATAAATTGAAGTATTTTCAGAAGAAATGAAATGTCTCGTTCTAAAACCCAATATAGTAGATCGATTATAAGGAGTCTGTCTCATCGTAATAAATGCATTTGCTATTTTTTTGGAGGTGGAGGCTCCCTTCATGTCAATATTGACTTCTGGTAACTGTCTGAAAAAGTTTCTGAAATCTTGGTTAGATTTCAGAAGTGGCTTGCTATTGCTTGCTTCATAGGGTTGAGAGAGACTGATTGGCCCGAGGTCAACTAGAACTCATTATCTCTCAATTTCTAGCCTGGTGCCTTAACCACTTCACCAAACTGCAAATTTAGACAATTTAAAACATATGCTTGATATTTATCTTTCTTACTGCATCTACATTTACTTGTATGCTTCCAAATATTTTTAGGAAATGATTGAATCTGATGGGTTTTTAAAATCTAATTAGAATTAATTTTGCTTTGAATCTGAATATACCTGAAGGTAAATCAGTTTTTATACCTGTATATAACAGCTCAGTTGATGCCACTAAACATATTTTGACATAGTTAGGATTGTTAAATATGTGTAACTGCATTGAGGGCAAGTAACAAACAATATTGTATATTTACAATGGCTTCTTGAAAGAGTGTAGATTATTCTTTACATTTCCATAGACTCTTCCTAGACATTATTCTTTACATTTAAACATGAGAGAGTTGGGTCAAACTAAAGCCCTAATCAATGCTGGATCTTGTTTCCCATCAGAGGTCATGGTAAACATAAAACAGATCCTTTTCATTGTTTTTCCAGGATCTGATGTTCAAAAGCATGCTGTTTTATATTCTACGAGGCAGCATATATCAGCTAATAGTCATTGATAAGGGGGATGCATCTAAAAATGTCCATTGTGCTCCAATATCATAGGTTATTTGAAATACTATATTATGTTGTTGCCGCTATGTTAATACAGTCATCTCTTTAGCTTCTAAAAATGTGAAATATATAAGTCACTAGGTTCCATTCCTTCTCCACTTGTTTTCACACCAGGCTATAGGTTTAGCAGTGGTAGCTTTTCCAATATTTGTGGTGCTGATCTGTGATTCCAACTACTATACTATCAGTTTGAAATGCTAATATAAATCACAGATTGTGATTTAAATGAATTCCTTTCAATCTATTCAAACTCAAGCATGATTGTTTATGATTGTGAAATATTTGTAAGAGATAATGTTATTAGAACGTTATGAAATGCTAAAGAAAAATTATGAAGAAAAAATATGCTAATCTCTCTATCAACTGAAAATGAAGGGAAAAAGATACACTCTAAGCTATGTTGATTTACGTATCATTGCTTCTTCAAATAACAGAAACATGATGTTCCTTGTAACGTATGGAACATAATTCTAGGCTATATTAGCTGATTACTGCAATTTATTTAATTTATGATAATTCTCTTTGAAATCATTCCAATTTGAAAGATATCACTTTAAAATTGCATGCACATTAATAGAAACAGAAAGATTTTGCTTAAATAAACATGGAGTGACATCTAGGAATTAAATTTGTAATGCAAGAAGAGAAAGGAGAATACAATCAAAATTGGAAAAATAATCCTTTACCTTTTGTTAGAGGGCGTTGTATAACAAAATAACCAAAGGCCAAGTATATTAAGGATAAGAAAGCTGCTCTGCAACATTCAGTTGTGTATCCATTTCTGCCTTCTAAATTCATAGAAAATAGACCTGGGTATTGTTGCCTTTGAACTGGAAAGTCAAAAATAGAGCAAATGGTGTCCGTTCTGGATTTATGTTGAAGCTGTAGTGTAGATCTTTTTGCTACTCTCTCATCTGCCTTCACAGAAAAAGAGAGGAGAATACAACTAAAGAATCAAATGCACTGATGACATTAGAGGCAAGTGAGCATGCTCAGCAAAGCTCAAGGGCATTTGACAACACCTTCATTTTGGACTGCGGAGTGGAATCAGTATTGCTTTTACTAGTTATTCCGGCAGTGAAACACATGTTTAGCTGAGATGTTACCTATTCATCAATAGCTGGACTTTCCTGAATTAAACATTGTTGAGATTGAAAACAAAAGTGCTTAAGAGAGTTACTGATTTATCCCTCCTGGTCAGTTGGTTAATAAGTGAATAGGATGATTAAATAGTTTTTTCTCTTGCTAGAGCCTCACCAAAAGTAACAGTGCTATGAGGCAATTAATCTGAATCCCTGCGAAAAAACATAATCTTAAAGATTGACATAACCTTCAAAATATTGTACATAAAAAAACCACCTACCCTTGATTTTCATTTGCTTCATTCATATACAATTATTCATCAATTATTAACAGCCTTATCCATATAAGTCTACGCAAAAGTACCACTGAATTAAGTGGATTTACTCTTCCACATATATAGATTTTAACCTCTCAGTACAATGCAAACCAGTGATTTGAAAACTGGTAAAATCAAACATTGTTTTTAAAATTATTTGTTGAAAACATTTCTATACTACTTTTTGTTGAAATATATATCAGAATGGTTTACTATTAAAAATTACAAATATAACAATAAACTAAAACAAAGCAGTAAAAACATACAGTAATACATTTTATTAAATAAACACTGATAACCAGTAACATAATAGAAAAATGTAAAAATTGTAGAAAAAAAAGTCACAATGGCAATTAGCACATTATTAGGTGACTTAGAAGAACAAGAATTCAAGGCCTGGCATTGTAAAACAGTAAGATGGCTCCAAACTTATTGGGAGGGGATTTCAAAGTTAGGGTGGTATCACCCATGAAAAAGCCTGATTCCAAATAGCCACTAACTGCATGTTCTCTGAAGATGACCTTAAATTATGGGTTGGAAAATATAGCAAGAAAACAAAACACAGCTTTCCTTCCAAGACTGTGGTCCAAAGCCATTAGGGCACAATAGGATGGGAACACAAAGCGATCACAACACAAATCCTGCAATTTAAGTACTTATATTCAGATATCAGAGCTCGAGTATCCATGAGCAAAGTACACACTGCGACGTCATGTTCACATCTTCCCATCACTGTGACTTGCTTCACACATGCCCGACCCTGATTGCTTTACATATGCTATGCAAACCCAGAAACTGTCATCCGTTTAATAAATAAGCTGTATGTCAGGATGAGTGAAAACACGGCCTTTTTCAAGAAAACGTGAACAGCTTAATTATTTCTTCTTCCTTCTGTTAAACTGCCAGTCCTGTCCTGAGAGCAATCCTGGACTAGGAACTGCTGTACTTCTACCAATACGGTGTGTCTCAGTAGCTTTTTTTTTTTACAAGTTAATACACAATATTTCTCCCAACACAACAATGTGGATTCAAAATGAATCAGGCCGTCCTTTCTGCAGACAAACGGTCCTTCCGAGCGTGCAATTGCGGTTGCCCTGCCAATTGTCAATTGCTAATCACAATCACAGAGACGGCAGCAATGCTCGTCAGCAATGCACAAAACTCCGCCACAGCCTCAGGGCAGTTGGAGGGTGGGGAAGCCCGATACATCTGGAAGAGGTCAGGTTGGGAAGAATATGAGAATAAGCCCACTCGTTGGAAAAACTAGGATCTTCTGAGGTGTTAATCCGTCATTTTTTCTAGCTAATTTCCATATTCAGAGCCCGAAGGGCGCGAAGCAAACCAATTGCCGGCCTCACTGTGAGTAAAGGGAGCGAGGCGGGGTCGAGGAGGCGGCCGTCGTCTGGAGTGAAAGAGCGCATGCGTCTTCCCAGTCCGCTCAATCATGGCTGCTTTGCGGGCGGTTCCTGGCTTCCTTCTCTCGAGAGTTGTGCTGAGAGGTTGCCGCTCGTTTAGCGGCAGCGGCCCCCGGACCCGTCCCGTTACCGTGCCCGAGCGTATTGAAGAGAAGCGTCGCGCTGCGTTGCTCGGAGGCGGCCAAGCTCGCATAGACGCGCAGCACAAACGGGTGAGCGAGCGCCTCCTTTCCCCTTCGCTGCAGGCGAACGAAGCCCTTGCGTGGCCAGTGGCAGCTGGCTGCTCCTTGGCGTGCCGTGTCAGTGATTTCCGAGGCAACGTCTGGCCAGGGCTCAGAGGATGCCACTTGGGGGATCATTGAAAAGTCGTGATCCATAGTCGTCCCTCCCACCCACCGACCCCGCCGCAATTCCTCCTGCCATCCAGCCGAGGTAGAAAAGAATCCGACGGCTTCGATCGCCGCAGCCGCGGACTTCTCCACCGCGGTGTCAGGGTCCTCTCTCTTGTTTTTTTCTATTTAATGAAAACTGCAGATGCCAGAAAGCAGATCGCCCCCGTCTATTCCTTCGCTGCAGTTACCAGTTTGTGGAGCTAGTGTGGGAAGGTCAGGAAGAGGTCTAAAGAGGCCACCTTCCACCTTTCTCATGCTGTGTTTACAAAATTCCAATCTCTAAATCTAGCAGTTATTGAGGTGTTTGTAATCTTAACCGAATAGAGCTTCAGTTATCCATCAGACTTCATCTTTCCTTTCTCAGAATTAATGCAACGCAGACAATCGATAGCTTGCTTGGTAAGGCTAGAGAGAATCTTCTGAACACCCTGTATTATGCTTCCAGTTTACTTTGGAACAGGAGATATATATTGTTGGAAATGCAATAAAAATTAAATTTAATTAATTAAATATTGTAATGGCTACTAACATTATTGACTTTTAACAGTTTTTCAATCAAGACACATAAGATTATTTAATCATTTTAGCCAAACAAAATCTTATTGATTGAAGAAAAAAACTTTCTGACTAACAGGTGCTGGTCACAGACTGGCTTTTGTGATCAGATGTGTCTGGCAGATCATTCCTTGAGATAGAATGGATGTATGTAACACTAAACTATGATTTGCCCCTACCTACTTAAATACCTTTTGGGCCTTCCTGTTTCCTCAACTCCTGGTGTCCTCCTCTTTTTTGAACGTGAATGAGAAGTACCTGAGTAAGGCAAGTGTGTTTACTACTCTTAGTGCACAAGGTTACCTTATTTAATTTGTCATCTCTTTTCTTTTCTCTTTCTCCTGTGAGGGATGCAAAAGGACAGAAGCTGTAGGATTTTCCATACTGGCCTAAACTAATTGCAAATGAAGCTGACTAAAGAAAAATGCCTGTCCAAATGTTAACTTCTTCCTCTTCTTTGATCATAATAACATTGTAACTTTCTGTCTGGGTTATCCTTACTATGTCCCCAGATCAATAGACGTCCTGCTTCTTTACTTTTGTCATCTGTGCTAGAAGAACACACACCAATTGCTTTTCTTTGTGCGGGAGGTTCTTTGAGGAGATGTGGTACTCATTGACATTTTGTACAGGCCCTTTTTATTTGCTATTGTGGGTTCACATTTTTCTTTCTGATGCATCCATTGATAGGTAAACAAACAAACAAAAGAACCTCCAATAATTTTACTGTTGTCATTAGCTAGAAAGAAAACAAGCAAAATTTGTGTTAATTTCACCTGGTCAAAATAATAATAATAAAAAAAACTTGATTTCACTGTTCCATCAGTGAACATGTAATAAATAAATCTGGCCTTTTATTCTGACAGACTTTGATTCTTTTTCTACCAAACTAATAATTAGCTGGTGGGAATGAAAATAACAAAAAACAACTGGGAGCAAAGATGAAGAAGAGAAGTAAGTGGGAAAAAACTTGAAAGGTTCACTTTAACCACTCCACCTATTACATGAAGAAAAAGAAATCACGTTACTAGTCAAGGTCTCTTCAGAAGGGCACAGCAGCCTGTGAAAAATTGCAGTGAAAGGCACTGACCAGTGATTGGAGGGGAGGAGTCATTCCTGCTGTAGCATACAATAGCCTGTTAGAATGGAAGTGCTTGCCTACAGCGAAATGAAGTGCAATGTATGAAATGCACAGCAATCTTGGAGAGGTACAAACTGTGTGTACCAGGAAAAGAAAGATGGAAATTGCCTTTTTCGTGGATTTGGGATGATTAGAGAATGAGACAATGCATTTCTGGCTTTGAGAAATGAGTGGGGCAACTTGGTTGTGCAAATTAGCACTCTGTCCAGTGTTTCCAAATATTGATTTTAAAAAATGTCCTTTAAAATATTGATTTTTTAAAAACATGTTCTTTCTTGAGAAAAGGAAAAAAAAGAAAGTGACTATCTTCAAGATATGGCAAAGGAGTCTAGGATGTTGCCAATAATTGCTGTTCCTGGTACAATACCTTTACTGTGCTGGATCTTTTTTTTTAAATTGTTCAGAAAGATTAAGTCAATTCTTCTTTGAATTACTTTTAACTTTATTTATTTATTTTATTTTATTTATTAGATTTCTATACCGCCCTACTCCCGAAGGACTCAGGGCGGTGCACAGCCAAACAATAAAAACACATACAATACAAAATTTAAAAAATAGAATAAAATCAAATTAAATAATTTTGGCCCCGACAAATTTAAAACCCCAAACTTTTAAAACCAATTTAAAATTGAATATATAAATACTAAAAGATATTTAAAATTTTAAAAATCTTTTATAAAAGAGGGGGAAAATTAGGCCAGGCCGGCCTGGTGAAATAGTAAGGTCTTTAAGGCGCGGCGGAAGGTGCGCAGATCCGGGATCCTCCGTATCTCTGGGGGGGAGCTCGTTCCAGATAGTAGGTGCCCCCACAGAGAAGGCTCTCCCCCTGGGGGGCCGCCAGTCGGCATTGTTTGGCTGACGGCACCCGGAGGAGCCCCTCTCTATGGGAGCGTACCGGCCGGTGGGAGGCTATTGGTGGTAGTAGGCGGTCCCGCAAGTACCCGGGTCCTAAGCCATGGAGCGCTTTAAAGGTGGTAACCAAGACCTTGAAGCGCACCCGAAAGACCACCGGGAGCCAGTGCAGCTCGCGCAGGAGAGGTGTTACATGGGAACGCCATGTCACTCCCATTACCACCCGCGCGGCCGCACTCTGCGCCAGTTGGAGCCTCCGGGTGCTCCTCAAGGGGAGCCCCATGTAGAGAGCGTTGCAATAGTCCAGGCGGGAGGTGACAAGGGCATGAGTGACCGTGCGTAAAGAGTCCCGATCCAGAAAGGGACGCAACTGGCGAATCAGGCGAACCTGATGAAAAATCCTCCCGGTCACGGCCGTCAAGTGCTCTTCTAAAGACAGCCGTGAATCCAGGAGGACGCCCAAGTTGCGAGCCCTCTCCGTGGGGGCCAATGATTCGCCCCCAATAGTCAGTGATGGCGTCAACTGACTATATCGGGACGTCGGAAACCACAGCCACTCAGTCTTGGATGGGTTGAGCCTGAGCCTGTTCCTCCCCATCCAGATCCGTACGGCCTCCAGGCACCGGGACATCACTTCAAGGGCATCGTTGGGGTGATCCGGGGTGGAGATGTACAGCTGGGTGTCGTCAGCGTACTGATGGTACTCCACCCCGAAACCACGGATGATCTCGCCCAGCGGCTTCACATAAATGTTGAACAGGAGAGGCGAGAGGACCGACCCTTGCGGCACCCCACATATGAGGGGCCTCGGGGCCGACCTCTGTCCCCCTGTCAACACAGACTGCGACCGGTCAGAGAGAAAGGAGGAGAACCACCGCAACACAGTGCCTCCCACCCCCAACTCTTCCAACCGGTGCAGCATGATACCATGGTCGATGGTATCAAAAGCCGCTGAGAGATCTAACAGGACCAGGACAGAGGAGCACCCCCTGTCCCGAGCCCTCCAGAGATCATCAACCAACGCGACCAATGCCGTTTCCGTGCTGTACCCGGGCCTGAAGCCCGACTGGAACGGATCCAGATACGTCGTTTCATCCAGGTGCTGGGGGAGCTGTTGCGTGACCACACTCTCAACAACCTTCGCAACAAAGCGAAGATTGGAGACCGGACGATAATTTACCAACATTGCCGGGTCCAGGGAAGGCTTCTTGAGGAGAGGCCTCACCACCGCCTCTTTCAAGGACTACATAGACACATCAAGGTTATATCTTGGCAATAACAAACTGGCTTTGCATTCCACCTTCTGAGATGCTTCTTTAAACCTTTTAAATCAGGCCTATAACTCTGGGATTTCTTGATGGATTGCCATCCCAATCCAACCCTGTTTGGATTTTCAAGATCAGTCAGAGTTGGTTAGATGCCACCATCCACTGTAACATGGAGCTTGCAAGAGGATGTGAAGATGTGAAGATGTAGTCTTTGCATTAATTTCAATTTTGACTGGACTATCTGTTTTCTTCCAGCATATTTAAAGAAACTATATGAGTTGTCTGACTGGATATTAACCAATGTGGAGGGCAGCCAATAATTTGCCATGTGTCTAGTATGTCATGAATGGATCAGCACAAGAACAGATTAAAATACTTTGCACACATTCTTTCTGTATTCCTTAGATTTAGTCTGCCACATAATGCATTATGTGATATAGCAATAGCAATAGTACTTATATACTGCTTCATAGTGCTTTACAGCTCTTAAAATTAGTGAGATTTCTTATTTTGGCTGGCTTTTTGTACTTAACCATTCTATTGCATCATGTGAGAAAAGGTCTAACTATCATGTTTTTTACAGAACAAATTGAATGAGACTTTAAATTGAGGGTCGCTATTGAGTGCATATTTGTTACTATGCTTAGCTTTTGAGTTTTCAATCTGGAAAACATTTATATAAATATGCTGTTATGTTAAGAACAAGGCTGTTTAATGTTTTTTCTTGTTTTTTAGGGAAAGTTGACAGCCAGAGAACGTGTGCTATTGTTATTGGACCCTGACAGTTTTGTAGAATATGACATGTTTGTGGAACACAGATGTTCAGATTTTGGAATGGAGTCTGAGAAAAACAAGGTATTGAATATTTTGTTTGTTTGTTTGTTTAAATTCCAGGACTCTTTGTAAGTGGGAAACAATGGCTGATTTAGTGCCCTGATTCTGATCTCTTTGCAAATGGAGCTATCTCCTTTCTCTATGCATTTGAAATAATTCTCTAGATATTTGATAGATTTAATGAGAGATATTTAGAAGAATAATTTTTCCCACCACTAAACATTCTGTTTTACTCATTCCATAATTTGCTGGGTTCATAAGAAAATAGAACTGTTAAAGCATCAAGGTATAGTATATACTGTACATTATATAGTTGCTTACTTTGGTTTACATAAGTTATGTCAGTTTATGAATTACACTTCGTTTTGTTTTGCAGTATCCTGGGGACAGTGTGGTTACTGGCCAGGGTAGAATAAATGGCAGACTGACTTATGTCTTCAGTCAGGTATTATTGTTTGATTTATGAATTATGAATATATTGAAGTGTTGTTTTTGTGATTTCTCCATTTTGACCAGTAAAGTATTGCTTTTGCACCAAATGTACTGCTTTTACTCCCACATTTTATGCAGAATGCTATAAAAAGAAATAATCTTACAAATTCAGCTATTTAGGGTTTGATCCAGCTCTGTCTAATGGAATTAGTATGTCTCTTCCGTCTAAACATATTTACATATAGGCTATTTTGATATTTGTATTTTAAAACATTTTATTTTGATCTTAATTTTTTAGGACTTTACTGTGTTTGGGGGAAGTTTATCTGGAGCACATGCTCAAAAGATCTGCAAAGTAAGTTTATAGGCAGTGCAGGTGGTCTGTCAAAGATCTCAGTCAGTTGCTATGTAGTTTAAATATATAAGCATTCTAACATCATTATATAAATATTTTTGGTCATCCTTCGCAGATTATAGTAATTCAGCTGTTAAAACTGTGGGTGTTCCACTTATGGGATGTTTGCTGAGTAGCTCTTTTGTTGGGTGGGAGAGACGAATCAAAGACCTTTTGGTTTTTTTTAAAGGTTTGAAAATATCATTTTAATTTATGTATGGTTGTGATCCTGTGATCTTTTATTTTACTATACTATGTAGTGCTTATTAATAGCTTAGCAAAGCATGACATTAAAACACAAAGTAAAAATATCACTATTGAATTAATTGGGTTGATATAACCTCTTTTTCCTGTCCCATCCCTGGTAAAATAAGCGCTTAAATTTGATAAAATTACTGTCAAAACACATTTTTTGTAGTTTTTGTTGTGGTGAGGTTTGCTGCTTTCCTCATTGCTTAAGATAAGTGGAGTGGAAAGTGCTCAATGCAGATGTACTAGATTAAACTATGATATCAAAATTATTTTTTCTTATAAACTCTGCAGAGAGTAAGATTGAAGAAAAAAAATCCTGTAATAATGAATCATAGATATATGTTTATTTCTAATATTAGTTAATACATATTAATTATAACTGTCTTGATTGCTTACATTATAGAACTCCCAATGCCTAGTAAGTATTCAGATATGTAGAAATATATGTATTACATGTCAAAAGCTAATTGAATATTTAAAAAATTATGAATCTCTTTTGACTCAAGCTTGAATATATCCACATAATATTCTTGGCAACATAGATGCAGTAGCACAGGTTAGTAATGTAGAAGTTGGACATATTCTTGTTCAACCATGAAATTCACCGAATGACTTTGAGGAAGGCAAGTCACTATGTCTCAGTGCAGCCTATTTTACAGGACTGCTGTGAGGATAATCTGAGATAGAGTTCTGTGTGTATTGCCTTGCTTTCCTAGAGCTGGGATATAAAGTAATAACTCATGTTACCAGGTGTTCATGAAAGATGGACAAACAAGTAGTTAATAAGAAAGAGAGACTCATCTTAGATTCTCATTATAAACAAAAGGTTATTTTACACAAAGATTGACTGTCTAATTCGATAAGCTATGTGGATGATTTATCTACATTGTCTGTAGTGATATATCACTCATGTGCTTGCTTTCCCAGATTATGGATCAGGCTGTTATGGTTGGTGCTCCTGTTATTGGGCTGAATGATTCAGGAGGGGCCCGTATTCAAGAAGGAGTGGAATCCTTGGCTGGTTATGCTGACATTTTTCTAGTGAGAAATCTTTCAGTTAAATACGTGATGACCCAACAAATGATTATATGTATAGTATTTTCATCTTATAGTTTAGTAACCACTTTAAATATTTGGAAAAAAGGCACTTAAAGGAAACATCATTGATTCAGTCTTTCCTTTCCTGCTGTTTTCAGGTTTTATGCAAAAAGGAGGGGTTGATGTCATGATCCAGGGACAAGATGAAAATCTTCTTTCTCTTCGTGATTTACTATTAGGGAGAGGTAAGCAGCTTAATGTCTTCCAAATGTTTTGTGCTACAACTCCCATAATAATTTACTGTTGCCTGTAGCACTTGGCACTTATGGTGGTTCAAAACATCTGCAGGCATCAAGTTGCCTATCTTTGTGTTACAAAGTTTCAAGTGGCATTGTTAGAAGTGACAAAAGAGGTCTCCTGAAATAAGTACGTTACTTAAGCATTCATCTAGTTTAGAGAAAGAGAAAGTTATAAAATATTCTTGGTGATATTGTCTCACTCAGTTGTTTTTGATAATACTGTTAAAAAATCCCTCCCCCTTCATCAATATTTTATTTATATGTGAGAATATATTTACATTTATTTTTTCTTTATCATTTTTAAAAGACAAAAAGAAAACAAGAAAAGGAAAAAATAAGATAGAAATACAATATCAGGTGGACAAAGAAATGATTGAAATTATATAGTGCTCAATATATTGTTGATGGAAAATTAACCATAATGCAGAGTACATTAAATTATTTTTACAACAAGAAAAAGGATTTTTGAATCTCTGGGTTGAGTGCCAAAGTAAAACTCTTGTTATTTTGTTATTTTTCACTGTTTTATTAAGAATAGAAAAAAAAAAGTAGAATGAAGAAAAACTATAAAAACAGGAAAACATTTAATTTCTAATTTCCCCTTTATTGTATTCTGTCCGATGTACAATATTTATAAACATTTTTTTTTTTGTTTTAGTTCTTTGGTCAATATTTGGTGAATATGGATTGATACTTAATGCGTTTTCACTGTTTCCTTTAATTTGTATTCTTCTCCTTATAATTAAGTGCCCAGCAAGAAGGAAATGGCTACAGCCATCATCATTCATGTATAAGCCAGGCCAGAAAAAAGAAAAAAGTATGAATGAATGACTGAATCAAATATCAGTGACAGATGCATTATTTTCCTTACTGGAAAAACTATCAGAAGGCAAAGGGGCAGAAGGGCTACAAGGCTTTTCATTTGCATCTGTCTATAGCAGCTGTCAGATGTAGCATCTGTTATGCATGAAGCAGTCAGGATATGTAGAAGCTTGTTGAGTGGCAACGACACGAACTGGCTCATAAGTGTGGATTCTTAAAATAGGGTATGAGAAATTATGATCATGCTTAGCGATTGAATCAAAAGTCCAGATAGATCTGGTTTATTTTCTTTCTATAGAATTCATCTTCCTATATACTCACTCTTTTATCTCTACTTGTTTATTGTAATATTGTTAAAATCTAATAATGTGATTTTCTGCAATATGAATTTCAGAAGGATGGTTGGAAAATATAAAAGATAGTTGGAAGCTGTGTAACATAAAGATATAAAAGACAATTTCTTTTACAGAGAAATGTTTTATGTTCTGGAGTAGTGCCACAGATTTCTCTTATAATGGGTCCTTGTGCAGGAGGTGCTGTCTACTCTCCTGCTTTAACAGATTTCACATTTATGGTTAAGGTAAGGATGCAGTGTTAATTGCCATTAGCTGTATTCTAAAACATTAAGCTGTGAGCTTCAGCAAACATATTGAAGCTTGATTCTTAAGAGATATAATCAGGATTCTGCTGTTCAAGTTGGCTGATGGAGACTTCTAGGCAAATCATGCTGAATATGAATGAATAGGAGAACTATAAAATGAAACAAGCTTGGCTTTTTACATTTTAAAATCAAGGAAAACTAGAAACAGGAGACTGAGTTTTAGTCCTATCTTAAACATGAAAGTCCGGTGGGTGACTTGAGTCATTTACTCTCAGCCTAAACCACATAATCTTTCTTCTCTGTTTCCAGGGTTGTTAAAGGAAAATAGAAGAAGGAAGGAATATGATTGTCACCTTGAGTTGCTTATAAAGTAAAAATAGTAGAATTGGGAGCCATACTTAATGATTTTTTACTGGCTATGGGTTGCAGTGTGCAGAATGATGTAATCCAGTGCTCCATGACCTACAAATAGCTGGGCCCAGGATTCTTGCTGCAGAAATATTCTTATTTCATTTATTTAACTGTATGAAATGTTCATTCACTTACACCAAAACTATTATTTATAAAATGAAGGGAAACAAAAGTCAGTAGCACAGAGGTAGGGCACAGATTACCCACCTATATTGTGTGGCATGAAAAGGATACCAGTGTTCCCTGGGTCATTTCCTAGGGCAGCAGAACAGAAAAAAGATGAGGCTGCAGACTGAATGGGCCTAATTTTGTTCAAAAGCTATCAGTTCTCACTAGCGCCTCTAAATACCCAGCATAAACAAAATATTTTAGGCTGCAACTGTAAGGCATTCAGCTTCACATACTGTATTCTTACTGTAATCTTTCTTTTTAGTGCTATGACGCATTTGCTCAGAGCTATAAATTGCCATTGATCAGAAATTATAGGAAGGATGTTCAAATTCAGAACTTACCTAAATTCTTATCTAAAATTTATTTTATACTTTTTTGTAGTTTTCAAATATTTTGAGAACTATTTGTTAAAAATTAGAGATAATGTAAACTTACGTGTTATTTGAATACACATTATTTTTTCCATTAAGTTTTCCTTTTTTGTAGATACTTGGAATATTGGATTTTGCACCTCATTCTTTTCCATTTGTTTTTTCTAGGATACATCCTATCTATTTATAACTGGTCCTGATGTAGTCAAATCAGTTACCAATGAAGATGTAACTCAGGAACAACTTGGGGGTGCGAAGACACATACTGCAGTATCAGGTCAGAATTGGCTAATTTATTTACCATTACTAATTCTGTGGTGTTATGACATTATAAATTCATGAGTTTTGGAAAAATAAATTTATTCAGGATAAACTAAGATTAAGTGAAGATTCTTCAGAATGTTTGCTTATTTTTTTTTATTTGGGCCACTATATGAATTTTGCTTTGATTATGTATTCATGAATTGCAGCCTTATATGGAAGGGAAGTCCACTTTTTTCTCTGTACCATGTCTGCATTTGTAACTTTTAAGCTATTTATCTTATACTATTGAATGGCATCCTTTACTAGTTAAAAAGTAATTTTCAAGTTTCCCATTTTCCATGAGGGAGAGGATTCCTGTTCTTCAATAATGATAAATATTATTAAAGTTTCTTTTCATTTTTTGTTCTTTATGAAAAGAGAGTAGTTAAAAAAGGAGAATTCAAAGCATAGGAAAGTTTTTTCTCTGTGTTGGAGAATCCATTTGAAGCATTTAGAATATTCCTGAAGGTATCCTTTTATTAGACAATAATAATATCCATTTATCATGTAATTCATGCTACAACATCCAACCCATGCCTTCTAGGTTCTGACAAAAGTCATTTGGTTGGAATTCTAGAAAATTTATTCAAAAATTTTTGAAGCGGTTGAAGAATCTTTGAAGTAATTTATTTATTTATTTATTTATAAAATTTGTGTGCCGCCCTATCTCCAAGGACTCAGGGTGGTTCATAACAACAATCGACCAAGCAGCTGTTAAAATCAACAAATATACACAAAAATATGAAAAGTTTAAAAATTTTTAAAATATACTACCCCATCAGTCCAGGCTGGGGGACATAAATAGCCAGGTTTTCAATTCACGGCGGAAGGTACGAAGGTCAGGGGCCAACCGGAGCCCCAAGGGAAGTTGATTCCAAAGGGTGGGGGCGTTCACAGAGAAAGCTCTACCCCTGGGGGTCGCCAGCCAACATTGTCTAGCCGATGGCACCCTGAGTAGGCCCTCTCTGTGAGAACGCACCGGGCGATGGGAAGTTGACACTGGTTTGCTTTCAAAATTTGTCAAAAGAAATCGTGTTTCATGTTTTAGATTCATTTTGGTTACACATTGCTCTTTGGTCATTGCAGGTATTTTTAAAATAGTATTATAATTGGTTTTTTTTAATTTGAATTTTGTTCTTTTTTTTTGTTACAGGGGTTGCACATTGTGCTTTTGAAAATGACATAGATGCTTTGCTCAATCTTAGGGAATTTTTTAATTTCCTACCACTTAGTAACAAGGAGTCAGCTCCTGTCAGAGAATGCCATGACCCTAGGTAAGTAAGTACATTTTGCATGTAAAAATATTCTGACACTCAGAGAAGTGTTGTTTCTTTATTCATTTTGAGAATGACATTTTTAGGCAGCCCCATTATCTTAAGTGGTGGGATGAATAACTGCCAGATATTGTAGGAACTGTTCCAAAGGGATGATGGCCATAAAGCTAAAAAGTAAAAATTCAAATTCTTATTTTTACAGCAATACAACAGTGTGTTTATCACATTGTTGCTGATATGATGTGCCTAACTACTTTATTTTTTCTTAATTCTAGGCTTTTGTTGATAGTTGTTTTTTTAGTTGATTTTGTTGGACAGTTATTAATTGTTAGATAATGGTTGGAAATATAAATATCCAGATTCTCAGTAATATTGGGAGGATGAGTATGTACTAATTTAATATTCCACATTCAGTTTTGTGGAATGATAGATGAATAGTAAGTTAATCCTCTCAATAGTACAAATCAATGATTAAATTTATTGAAATTATCCTTGATTATACTTATGAATTACAGGAATACTTTTTTCTCATGGTATATTGTAAATGTTTTTTCATTCCATTTCTTTAAAGTAACCGCTTGGTACATGAGTTGGATGCAATTGTCCCAATGGAATCAACCAAAGCTTATGACATGTTGGATATTGTACATGCGGTAAGATTTATGCACCATAATGTGGCAGTAGTGTGGAAAAGGGATATGGCTTTTTTTTTTTTTTTGCATTTTCAAATGATCTGGTAGTATAAATTATAGCTGATACTGTGTGATATAAATAAAATATGCTTCTGTCTTTATTTTACTGCATGCATAATAAATAGCAAAGGCTATATTAAAGTGCATATGAAGATTTAGTAATTTCCATGATATTTAAATGATATCATACTAAAATGAACATACCCTTTTGAGGGGTGGAATCTAGGGCTGTGTGTTGATCTTTCTTCAACATTTTTTTTAAAATTAAAACATTTTTATGTAACTGAAGAGAACATGCTTGAGGCATGGTTATTGAGAAAGGGATGGGAGAACTTTTCGTTTCTCTCTTAGAACAATTAAACTAGGAATCATCCTTTAATGCTGATTGGAGAGAAATTTACAAGACAAAACACTGCCTGACACAGCATAGAGTGGCTTCCAAGCTTGCCTGGCAGTAAGTGGATCCTGTTGACTTTCAGTCAGTCAACTGTATCTCATAATTTGCCCTCTTTGAAATTATTCCCCTTTGTTTAATTGTTATTTCTGGACTGCATAAACATCCAAATAATAAGCCTGTTTCTAAAAACTGCTTTCTCTGTGTCCTTGACTGATCTAGGCTCTTATATCTACTGATAGGTAGAATGGCAAGTTTGATACCAATGAAACTGTATTTATCAATGTCTTTGAATCTCTGCCCAAGTGTGAGGAACAAGTTATTTTACAAAAGCTATATAGACTTATGGGAACTTTGCTAGCAGTTGTTGGCACAACTGAACCACTTTGACTTTGTATCACCTAAAACTTTGTGTCATCTTTTCCCATGAGATGAGTTGAATGGAATAATCCATGTTACGGAATCTCTTAAATCTTGTTGGGCCCACCTGTACTGTGCCTTATTCTTCAATTTTGGATGTTCCTATATAAATACATTGGGCTACTTTCCAAATTCAAAGGGCATCAAACTCTACAATAATTGAGACAGTTCCATTTGTAAGCTTGTGCATCTTTCAGATCTGTCGCTGCAAAGGAAATTCCTGATATAGCATTACCTGCCATAATTGGAGATCCCAAAGCTTTTACCAGATTATTAGTTTATTTATCACATGTAAAAACCAATAAATATATAAATCATTATAAAATATTTTAAAAATCATCATTAAAAAACTTTTAAAATCTGAAATATACAAACTGCACAGATAGTGTAAATATCTACTACAATGGAGCCATATATGAATGTCTCCAGTTCTCTGACATCCCACAGCCTGAAGACCTAGTTGGGGTTCTAGGTATCATCTGTATCTTCTAAGATAATAATTCAGGGTCCATTCTTTCTTGCAATAATTCTGGCTGTAAAATGAAGAATTTAATTGTGTCCATTTTGGAATATAGTAGCATTATAGGGGGTTTTTTGATCCAAGAAATGTGGGCTATAGATGACATATTTCTAGCTGAGTAATTTCACTATATATTTGAAGCATTACTCGGTGTAAAAAATGGAAGCATAATGATCGCCACAAAATTTAAATTTAACAATTCCACAATTCCCCCATTTTTTCCTCTGCTTCCTATTCAGATTTGCTAAAGCTCACTTTTATTCTTTGAATAGTCCCTCAAAAATTCATGAAATTTGGTGTTGGAGAAGACTCCTGAGAATATCATGGAATGGTCAAGAAAGCAAACAAATGGATCCTAGAAAAATCAGTCCAGAATTCTCAAGGTTGCAAGTCACAAGGATCAAATTATTGCATTTTGGACACATTATGTGAAGACTTAGCTCTCTTGAGAAGTCTATAATTCTGGGGAAGGTGGAAAGAAAAGGAAAAAAGGATCACCAGCAGTAAGGTGAATGAACTCAATCATAGTGATAGTGGAAAATCTAAAAGATTACTGGTAGTTGAAGACAAATTAGCGGTTGCTAAGAGCTTTGATAACACTTAATCATCTATCATATTTATCAAAATACAACTCTATTAGTATGGAGGAACAAGGTAATTTCAACCCACTGCTGTTTTTCAGTGTTTGAAAAATTACAGGAATTTTAAATTGCTAGAAATATTTTAAAATAGAGATGATTAAATACATTTTGAAATAATTATCAAAGTAATAGCTGCCAAAAATTTAAGGATCTTTATAAATGTTTGCTTGTAGTAATGTATAGAGGAACACTGAGAACAGAATATTGAAAAATATTTTTAAAATCTTGTTTTTTTTTTATTCTGATATCAAGAAAAGCACATTTCATTATTTTGCTGAATTATTTGAATCTAATTTATGCAGGTTGTTGATGAGAGGGAATTCTTTGAAATTATGCCTTCCTATGCCAGAAACCTGATTGTTGGATTTGCTAGAATGAATGGAAGAACTGTTGGGATAGTTGGTAACCAGCCTAAAGTAGCTTCAGGTATGATTCTGGCAGCTCTGTTTCTAAGAAATGAAATTAGAAAACTTCCAATTTCTGCAAGCTGGATGGGAAATTGTTCCCAAAATATGTTGGGAGTTGTGCTTAGTCCCTGTTCTTTCTTCATATAGGCAAGGAGTAAAGATGGGATTTTATTTAACCAGTTCTTTTTTTTTAAAAAATGATGTTAACTTCCATCAGATTTTCATTAGTTGTGTTTTAACTGTCTTGAATTTCTTCTAACATGAATTATCCTTAAAATAATCCTCACCCAAGTTTTTTTTGGCATAGCTCACGGTTGGTTCAATATTTTCCATATGATTGTTTAGCATACAGAAATTGCTTTATATCTTCATTTAATGATCTTTTCTAAATACTCTTGATATTTGATATTTATATTAATGTAATATTGAATTATAGGTAGTCCTGATTTAGTGACTATAGTTGAGACCAGCAACTCAGTGATTTAGTAAAATAGCAACTGTGCTTACGACCTTACTCCAGCTTCCTTTGCTTGTGAAGATTGTAAATGCAACCTAATAGCCTAGTTACTTTTTCATTACTGTCATAACTGTGAAAATTGCTAAAAAGGCAGATGCTAAATGAGGACTACCAATATATTAATAATTGAAGCAGAAAAATACTGACACTTTGGCACAAATGTTTAGAGTATTTTTTTTTTTAAAATTTGATTTATATGCCGCCCTTCTCCGGAGACTCAGGGCGGCTTACAATGCGTTAAGCAATAGCCTTCATTCTTTTGTATATTTTATACAAAGTCAGCTTATTGCCCCCACAAACTGGGTCCTCATTTCACCTACCTTAGAAAGGATGGAAGGCTGAGTCAACCTTGAGCCTTGGAGAGATTCGAACCAGCAGAAATTGCAGGCAGCTGTGTTAATAACAGGGTGCACTAAACCACTGTACTATCAAGGCTATTTGAGTTTCCTAACAAATTATTTTATTCATACACTATGAATAGTAATAGCTAGCGGCTTCTTCTGACCAATATATTTTATTGGTTTAACTTTGGTAGCAAAGAATGTGTGTTCAGAACCCAGACATTGATAAACCTAATTATTTGGAAATGAATTATATTAGGGTCAACATTTCAGTCATTTCATCTGAATACATAGTAATGGCTAAAACTGCCAACAAAAACATGAATAAACTTACAAAGCTGAACTAGAACCATAAAGCTAACAAAATATCTGATAGCAGGAAATATTGATATTTAGCATTAATAATACTGAGTCCATTGAAGTTGGGCAGCTATAACAAATTTGAATAAATGAATGTATAATTAAAATTCCTAGATAAAAATAGCAACAGTACATATACCGCTTCACAGTGCTTTACAGCCCTCTAAGCGGTTTACAGATTCAGCATATTACCCCCAACAACCTGGGTCCTTATTTTACCAACCTCGGAAGAATGGAAGGCTGAGTCAACCTTGAGCCTGGTGAGATTTGAACTATCAAATTGCCAGCAGTCAGCAGTAGCAGCTTGCAGTACTGCATTCTAACCATTGCGCCACCACTGATTAGTGGTTCAAAGATCAATACTACTTAGTGTTTGGTACTGAAATAGAGGATATTTGTTTACATGTTATACACCTAAAATTTAACAGGCTGTGTGTAGAAGTTTGTTTATTCAAATAGTTATTGGTAAAAAGTGTGTATGCTACTCAGCAAATTCATTGCTTAAGCATTTTTGTAAACAAGCAGACAATTTTGTGCCACGATCACTGACATATGGCATTTTTAAAATACTCTGAAATGATATTTTACAATATTTCCCTTCTTTTTTGAAAATTAGGCTGCTTGGACATAAATTCTTCTGTGAAAGGAGCCCGTTTTGTTCGCTTCTGTGATGCTTTCAACATTCCTATAATCACATTTGTAGATGTGCCTGGATTTTTACCAGGTAAATTGTTCTGCATATCCCTTGTTATCTAATTGATTTAATTGAAAGTCTTATATTTAAGAAATAGATTTACCTTCTCTTGTAATTGCGGAGATAAACACATATTTTAAAATTTATAAGCAACATATTGATTCTTTGCTGGAGCAATGTGAAATTTTCTACATTCGTAATACAAAAGGATTTGCCTCTTTATTCTTCTGAACTGCCTTTTTTCATTATTTCATAAAGAAAGAATTAATTTAATATTTATTATATGTCAAAGATTTATCTGTATACTGTATTTCTATGAAGGCTTTATATGCAGAATTCTGTTCTAATTTTATAAACTAGTAAAGAATGAACACCTGCATATAACTTTTCATTTTATTATTGACATGTTTTTGCTAAGGCAGAAGAAGAGACTGGACTGCCTTTTTATGAGGCAGTGGAAATAGATATTTTTGTTATGGGGAGTTAAGTGACAAGGGCCTTTATTTAATCAATTTTGGTAGAGGAAAAGGCCCCAGTGGATGTAGAGGACTAAGGTGAGTGGAACAAAGACATGCCCATAGCTAAGGTCAAATGTTGCTGACTGTCCTGGCTGGAAGTTTGAATACTGGAGAGGGAATGGGCAAGAAAGACCAGAATAAAAACAATTAAGAAAGCTCTTAAAATAATTCTGGATGGGAGAGTTCTCTTCCTCACCAGTGTACAGTGTACAGGAAGGAATTCTCCTATGTAAATATCCAGAATTATTTAATAAAGCCTTGCTAATTGCTTTTATTTTTGTGTCTCTCATCCAATTCTTCACCAGAATCCTAATCTATATTGTAACCAGCAACTCTTAAGAATTTCTGGTAGGATACTTTACTATATTCTGCAAAAAATAATTCAGGAGGGCAGCAGGTCGCCCATCCCAGAATTTTAATAACAATATTTATTGAACATGTCACTGTTGAATCCTAGATTAAAAGAGCTGCCCAAAAAACTTCATTTTCAGTGTAGATCTGTTAATCTTATGTAAAAGTATGGAAATGCAATTATGCATTCCATTTATGTTATAGTAACTTTAATAATAGCTGTGACTTCAATTCCTGTTGTTTTTAGGGACTGCTCAGGAATATGGGGGAATTATACGTCATGGTGCAAAGTTGCTTTTTGCTTTTGCAGAAGCAACTGTACCAAAAATCACTGTTATCACGAGGAAGGTAGGTTATTTATATATTTGACTGCTCAACTCACTATAAGGCTGGGTGTTACAGAGGCTAACATAACCACGGCAGGTGGTTCTTTGGTTATCTGTCTACTTGCATATATTATTGTTGTGCCCAGTAGAGTTTTATTAGAACATTCTAGAGGTGACCTCTTAGGCAGGATCTGGAATAGTCACCCCCTCACTGCACGTTCTGAAATCTACAGTACTTCAGTTCCTTCACATGACATCATGGTCCATCTCCAAGACAGTACACTAGGCCTGTATGGTGAATAAGAACTTACGAATGAATAAATAATTTCTGGAAGTATGACAGAAAAGTTCTTACAAAAGGCTATTGTGGTAGGAAGAGAGAGATCAGAGGTGAATAAACTGAGAAGTGTCTGATAGTTGTTGAAAACATTCATTTAAATCCTGATGCTACAATGGTAAAAATAAGAACAAATAAAAAGCTGGCTCTGGGATATATGCTGCAAGGAATAGAAGATTGACAAAATAAGACTACCAAAATATTTAACTGTAAAACCAGCATTTACTTATTCATATCTGTCATGTACAGAAACTAGTATATTCTGCTGTTATAAAAACACTTAACCTATCTCAAAAATATTATCTACATTAGAAAAAATGTTCCTTGTGGCCTTTCTATTTCAAGGTTCTATTGTGTCAAACAGTGCACTGGGATACAAAACTTCTGCTTCCTAGTTATAATTCAAGGGTTTCATGCAACAGGATCTTAGTTATATCATCTTAAGCCTATTAAATATTTCACTATTGACTTAATTAATGCAGCCACTGTCCCGAGTATTGTTCTGTATAGTGCTTCCTTGCTTCATACTTTATGTCAAATGTATTGGGTACCTTGTATAATGAAATTTGTGAATAGAGGAATGGAAGATGAATGCATTTCAGAAAATTGGGGTAAATGAGAGAAATTAATAATATTTGAATAGGTATTAGTGAAAATAGTCTCATATTATTTATGTATGTGTTCATTATTTATTTGTACCTGCCATAAAACATAAGGGTTGAATCATGGCAGTTTGTGACTGTTACCCTATTTCTTGTTCTAGGCTTATGGTGGGGCCTATGATGTCATGAGTTCAAAGCATCTACGAGGAGATGCAAATTATGCTTGGCCAACGGCAGAGGTAGCAGTAATGGGCGCTAAGGTAGATATGTTTTCCTGCAGCCTTATAGCAAATGTCTTTCTTCCCTTTCCCACTTAGACAACTTATCTACTTTGCATGTGGGAATTGTTCCTGCTGAAGACTTCAAGAAGCTGAATTTTAGCAATTTTATATTATTGTCTGTTTTCTTAGGGAGCTGTCCAGATCATTTTTAGAGGAAAGGGGGCACATGCAGAAGCAGAATACGTAGAAAAGTTTGCAAATCCATTTCCCGCTGCAATCCGAGGTATGTGTCTTTAAGAATTTTACTGAAAATTTGAAATTTATTTCAAATTTATTAATCATCTTTTTCTTTAGTGAACAAGACCTAGTTCTTATAATGGTTGCTTTTCAACTACCTTTTCTTAGCTTAACATTTATCATTTGACAATCCTCTATTGAAGGCTTGTAATGGCTTCTCCTTTCTTAATAATAATCCTTTCAATATTACATCTGGATGCAGAAATCCTAGGGAACTTAACTACCAGCAATATTTCCTTCTGGGACTGACCTATATTAGTTATTCCATGTGTCACAGGATGTTGGGCATCTATAACATCCATTGTGCTTTTGCTGAACTCTAGCTATGTCTGCCTTGGCAGCCTTATTATGCAGAAATAATGCTGATATTGCTTTTTAGTTCTGACTGGAGAATACTGGACATCTCCAAATGTTCACTGAATTCAGACATTTTTCTAGAATGTGCCAAATGAACCCCTGATACTGCCTAATTAATTGGAACTCTTAATTAATGCTTACTTGCTTTATTGTAGACACAGACCAGAATTCAACAAGTTAACATTATATGAAACAAATTACAGTTTGGTAATGCAATCAGAGCGAATAGACACAGATCATACTGGTCTGATAATAGCAGCTAAATATAGTCGTCAATATTGCCTTGGTAGTTGTTAAGTAAGGAGTTGTAAGGTAGAACCTTATGCTTTCAAAAAAATATAATATGACCAGCCATTTATTTATTTATTTATTTTATTTATTAATTTAATTTGTATACTGCCCTTCTCCCAAAGGGACTCAGGGCGGTGAACAGCCAAAATTAAAATACATACATAGCCATGGGCTATGTATTCAACAGAACCTCCTCCCCAGAGGCATAATCTTAGCCCATGAGCAATTTTTACACCTTCCTTCAAGAGCTGTTGTAGGGAGAATAGTGTTAATTAATACTCTGGTTTATATGCTGCTTCAATATTGGATGTATAAATTAGTCAGCATATGGACTTTCATACAGACTTTCCTAAAATCCATGACTAGAGAATATTCAGAAATTTGATTTAGTAATGTGTTCATAGATCATAAGTACCATAACAATTATGCACTTATAAGGTATAATGGTTACTGACTCCAGAGTCTGCTTAAACTGATCTGTCAGTAAAACAGATGATACAGCCCAAATTGAATTGGGATTTCAAACCTCCTAGAGGTTTGAAAAAGTTGTATGTATTTATAAAGAAAAACCTGTTTTCAATGTTGCTCTTTCAGATATGGAGAGAAAAGAAAGTGAATAGTTTAAACAATCTCTCTTCCAGTTACAGGAAGTAATTATCCAGTTATATTTTTAGGGAGGAAACGATAAGTCCTATGCCTGCATATTAGTTAATTAAAATTTTAAAAAAATAATTAAAAATTAAAATTCCAGGCACATCAAACCATTTTCTTATGACACTCAGTATCAAATAATCAAGGAATAACCTTTTTTCTCCCCAGTTATAAAGATATTCTTTATATTTATTAGCCCATAATTATGAAGGATTGATCCCTGTAGATTAAGATCAAAAGTCTGTAGACATATATACTTAAAACCGCAACTGAAATAAACTATTCTGAAATGTGTTAACAGGATTTATAGATGACATCATTCAACCTTCAACAACCCGACTTCGCATTTGCCGTGATTTGGAAGTGCTGGCAAGCAAACAACAATCCAATCCTTGGAAAAAGCATGCCAACATGCCACTCTGAATCTGCTTCAAGTTAACTTAAATTTGATGGAAGGAAATTGGTGCACTCCTGCCATATTTATTGATTCAAATTTTGTGATATTTTAGGATATTTCTATGGGCAAAAATCTATTTAGAATGAGGTCCTATAAGATTTTAGTCCATTAGAAGGGCTTATATTTAAGTTGATTCGCATTCACAAATTCATTAACACAGAAGTATATTGTGAAATAAAACATAGTACTTTTAAGTAAAATATCAGGAATTATTCTAAGGGTGATTGAAAAAAATAATTGTGAAAAGCAGGATATGAATTAGAAAGGAAACACCGGTCTTGCATTCATCACAGGCTTTTAAAGTATATGGTACTATGCGACATAAACCTCCAATTGGTAGCAAAACACTTAGCCCTGCTGAATGTAGTGTGTCGCAAACATTGTGATTAAATACATTATAGTTAATTTACATTTCTCAAGATTCCTATGCAGTACAGTCATTCTGAAATTATGTGTGTGTTCAGTTTGAAGGGGTCTATCATATTCATCGAAAGTTTTTCAAAAAGCAAAACTCTTGAAAAAACGTTTTGAAAAAACTTTGAAAAATGCCAACAGATGACCTCACTCAGTGATTATACATGTATGTTAAATGGGATCAAGAAAAAAGCTGAAACTTGTGGCAGCCTGCAAAACAAAAGCCTAGGGCTGAATCTCTATTTGCCTTCTCAACAACAAAGGAAACTGGATATGGAGGAAGAGAAACACTAGACACCATGCCTCTTGCTCCCAACCTCCTCAAAGTCCAAAAACATACCATGATTGATGGGGGTGAGCCACAGAAAACACCAGATTTTGAGCTGTCTGTGACAGAGACTAATGACAATATCTCCCAAGTCCAAATCCCATCACGATTGCATGGAGACAAAAACCAGGCCTAATGTATGATCTTTTTGTGAGTCAGTCTGTCAACAATCTCAGACAGGTCTATGGTTGCCATGAACTCCCGAACTACCCTCAACTCCAGGCAAAGCAAAGGCAGGGTGAAGTTCCCCATAAGCCTGAAGAATACCACTAAGAAGCCTGCCAGAGTCCAGCAGTTCAGACAGGGAAGCTGCTGCATAACAAGAAGGCTGGTACACAAGTGACTATCTCATCAGATTCCAATGGCCCAATTTTACAAATAGTGTGTCATCCCTGGAAGCCACCATCTCAAGATGTTAAAATTATGTTCAAGAATGGATAGAACAGGATCTCTTAAGGCAACAAGATCTGTTCAAAAAAAGAATAGTACCGAGCAAAGTGCTTTGCACACACAAAAGATAAAGCCCACTATTACAGTAATTGTTTCCAACATTTTCTTTAAGCATTAGAAGTACAGTAAATGTCCATTATAAACATTTTAGAGAAAAGCTATACAAATGGGTATTTACTACGGCTATCTAAGAGAGGTTTTTTTTTTACACATAGTGAATTAATCAAAGGTGTGTGTGAATATTTTAATGCTCCTGACCATTTCCACATATGGGGTGAAAATGCAACAATTTTGCTTCTATGTGATGTAAAGCACCAGCTGATCAATTTACGAACCAACTAAAACATGTAAGAATGGAATGAGTTCTCACAAATAATTGAGAACGCAACACAGTATCCCAAAGCCAACACATCTGTTAAAAAGTCTGCATTTTATGCAGATGAAAAATGTATTCCAGAATATGAAATGTATTAAATGTATTTTATTTTTTCATAAAATACTAGTATTGCCACATATGTTTTGATGAAAACAGGATAATTAAACCATCTGCAAGTACAGCGATCTCATTCAAGGTGCATTAAACTAATCTTAGAAAAAATCAACAGCTAACAGGGAATCTCTATCGATTGGTGGCCATATTTACAACTGCAATCAAGATACAAGAAAGACATGGAAGAATATGGAATTGACACGGAACCAAAACAATTAGATAAAATTGTTGATAGGCCCTGAAGGAAAGTTAATATCCAAAATATACAATTATCTATTAGAATTTGATAGAATAGAGGAGGTGGTGAAAGAACCAATGATTGCATGGGCTAAAAATATAGGGCATAATATAGATTTAGACAATTGGGAAAGAATTTGGAACAAAAATTACACTATAACAAAATCTGCTGCTGACAAGGAAAATCAGTACAAAATGCTCTACTGCTGGCACCTAGCCCCAGCAAGGCTGGCTAAAATGTATTTGAATCTAAGCCCAAAATGTTGGAAATGTAACCATCGTCAAGGTACTTTTTTTCATGCTTGGTGGCTATGTCTTGAAGCGGAAAAGTTCTGGACTAAGATACAAGGATGGATACAAGAGCTAATAAAATGTCAAAATAGAATTAAACCCGGAAACATTTCTCCTGGGAATACTTAAAACAAAATTTGATAGAAAGATAAGATATTTGATTCTACATATATTAACAGTGGCAAGAATTGTGTTTGTGCAATACTGGAAGGAACACAATACACCACCAGAGGGATTGATCATTCAGAAGATATATGAATGTGCCAAAATGGGTAAACTGACTCTAGAATTAAAAGAAAAAGATGATTCGGAATTTTATGCGATTTGGGAAAAATGGTACATCTGGATAGATAATAGAAATAAAAATTGGAAATATACATAAGGCTATTGAGATTAGATACTGAATGTATATAAATGTATATATTGTATGGAATGTTGATCTGAAGTATATGAAATTGACAGACTGTTGATTATGTATTAGAGTTGTCTAAAAGAAAATTGTAATAAATATTTCAAAAAAAAAAAAAATCAACAGCTGGGATGCCAAAACAATATTAAAAGAACAGAACAATTCAGGCTGATGCAGGTAGAGATTGTTATTCCAATCAGATCACAATTATAATTCCAGGACAAAAAATAGCAACTTTGTACTTTACTAATACTTACTGAATCCACTGAGATTCACTCATCAAAATATCAAAGATTACATTCTCATGATACACCTAGCCATTGCTGTACCAGATTTCAAGGCTCACATAATATGCCAGGCTAAAATATGCTAGGTTAATTTATGGTTCAGTATATCCTGTGAAGACTAAATCTTATTAGTGTATAGGACAGAACTGCTACAAAAGTGATGTAAGAGCTTACAAAGCCTTTCTGAAGTCTAATACAAATTGCTCCACTTTTAATCAGCTGGAAGAGATTTGCATAATCGGCAGAGACAGCAGAAATGTCATGAAAGTAAATTTTTTGCTCATTTAATTGTCCAAATTGTATACTACTTTATTCAATTCATATTTTACTTTTCTGCCCTGAATCAGACTTAAGGTATTGGTAATAGAAAATGTAATTTTACCACCTTCTCAAAATAAATCTGTTATGTTTTGTTTATTCACTCTTCCCTATACTGGTAATTTCAAGAGATTTTGGACTAAAACCAAGAATTCCCACCCAGCAAATACTTATTCTCACTGATTTGTACTTTTGCAAAATTCAAAATTTTCATTACTTTTTGCCATTATATATATTAATACCAAAATTTGAATACAATTAAAGCACACTATCCATATTTTAAATCTTGTGTGCAGTTAGTGCAGAACCATCTGACATATATCATTAAAAACAGATAAAACAAAATATATTCTTTCTTCTTCCAAACTGATCCTATTTTCCCCAAAATAAGACATCCCCTGATAATAAGCCCAATCAGGCTTTTGAGCACATGGCAATAAGGCCAAAAGCTTATTTCGGGGTTCAAAAAAAATGTAAGAGGGGGTCTTATTTTTGGGGAAACACGGTAAGTGATTGCCCATTGTTTTTCAATGTATTTCTTATGGATTGAAAATAGAACTAAGAAAATAATATAAAATTTTCAGCCAAAGAATTACAAAGGCAGACTTTTTCAATGGAAAATATAATAACTCTTATCTACCTTTCATCATTGCTGAGAACATTATTTTCAGCCTTTAAACTAAATTCTTTCTGAGCCTTGTAAAAGTTATATTGACTCAGCCTTTTTATAATCCAATTTGAACATGTTCATATGAAGGAGAGAATCCAGATAAGTTTCTTATTTCTCTTACAGACAAAAATATAATTAAACTTTTAGTTTCTTAAGATTCTAAATTAACAGTTGGCACTGACAATGAATATTCATTCAGCAATAATTTTTCTAACCTTGTATCCTCCAGATATGGACAAAACTAGAATTTCCAATCAGCATGATGTACTTTCCATTCAAGTAATTTTTCTGTAAATCTATAGAATTTGCAATTTTGGCAAAACTCCTGAACTAGGGCAGTGGAATGTCAGATCTTTAGGACACGGCAGAACTAAAGAATAATTACAGAATACTAGAACCCTTTTGTAAAAATACATGAATCTTACACCATAAAAGCGAGAGGTTTGTTCCTCTAGTGAAAATGTCAATTTCCTGAAAAGCTAGATCACACTGATGTCTCAATTCATGGACTATCACTGTGGTCCTAGAAAACCAAAACCAAGAGCTGGAAAGTTGGTGGTTCATATGGATGTACAGATAGCCAGGTTACAGGTAAGCAATTTATTATTTTCATCAAGATTTCTCTGCATCAAAAATATGGGAGAGTAAATAGAGTGAGGAAAAGGAGTTCAATTAAGATATCATGAACAATAAGGCAGCATTCCTAAACTCTGCATTTAGTTTGAACATCTAGTTGGTTTTAGTTTACAAAATGGCAGTATCAGGATAGGGGATAACCCCAATGAATGCAGTCAACATAACTGTTGCTCTAGTGCTGTGATGGCGAACCTATTGCATGTGTGCCACGCAGAGTCCTTTCTGGGGGCACACCAGCCGTCGCTCCAGCCGAGCTCCAGTGCACATGTGCATGCACCTCCCACCAGCCAGAGGGTCTGCCGCGCATGTGGAGGACATGTGCACGCATGCGCAGGGACACGCGCACACATTGCATTTTGGGGGTTTGAGTGTGCTCCCCCTCCCGCACCCCATTTTGGGCCTGGAAGCCTTCTGCACCAACCTGGAAGCCAAACCGGGGCTCTGGGGCGCCACACAAGGTCCCCAGCACCACATTTTGGCTTCCAGGTTGGTGCAGGCCCAAAATGGGCCATGGGAGGGCCTCATGTGGTGTCCCCGTTTGGCTTCTAGGCTGGTACAGGAGGCTTCTGGAAGCCTCCTGCACCAACCTGGAAGCCAAAACGGGGCACGGGGTGTGTGGCTCATGCGTGGGGGGGGCAGGGTGCATGCACAGAGGATGCACATGCATGGGGTGGGGCGCATGTGCGGGGGCAGGCATTTTGGGGGTTTAGGCACGCCCGCACTTTGGGCACTTGGCACCAAAAAGGTTAACCATCACTGCTCTAATGGAACAGGCATGAACATGGATGGTACTCGGAACTATGCAGATAAAACAATGTAACAATAGTAATAGTAGCAACAATCTAATGAGAAACATAGTAACAGGGAGTCCATAATAACGCCTATTAAGCCTGTCCTGGCTAACATGGAAATCGGAAACTAGGCTATGTTAGTACAAACTAGAATATAAAAATAAGAATGTGGCTGTAAGATAACCTTGTCTTCATACCATGATATAGAGTGAGCCATTTCTAAAGCTACATAATTCACTATCACATCATATAAATATAAAGGTGTTAAAATTACCACTTTCGAAGATAAAAAAATGGAACAAAACGTTACCTGAGGATTTGAAAGATGTGGCATTAGCACAACAGAAAAGCACCACCAAGCAGCAATTTTTGTTCAATTATACACACAATCATTTGTACAAAAAAAATCATTTTTTAAAAAAGATGACAATTCTAAAATCAAATCAATTGACTATGATGAAACTGGTACTTTTCTTTTAATGGCAGAGACGCCATTTGCTGTACAAAAATGGGATTGGATAGATACAATGCTGGCTGAATCAAGGTATAAATATGGGATGGGAGGAATTATACTTGGCAACAGTATGCATGAAGAATATCTACAGATAGTGGAAAATCAGCTGAACATGAACCAAACTTCTGATGGCCTGCTATTCTTCTCCCACTCCCTCAAAAAAGGAAATACAACCCCAGGCACTATCAACAAAAATATAATGAAAAGCATGAAAATCACTCTTCTATATGCTGCATCAGAATCTTCCAAGAACATTGTATCCAGTTTGAGGTACCATAAAGTCCATAAACAAGCCACAGTACCTTTACAGGAAAATAATTATTATAACCTAACTCTGAGGGTGGTCAAAAGTTAAATACCAAAAGATAAAAATGTAGTCGATCATTCAATCAAAAACTAATAAAGGGAATGAACCAAATAACTTAAAAGATGGAATAAATATGGAAAACTCTGGAAGAACAATGGTCTACTTATTACCTAAAAGGGGTTTCTTACAATGTTACTATATGATCTGGCTTTTAATAAGGAAATACTTCCTGTGAAAACTGAGCTACAGAATGTTCCAGAGCAATAGTATGCCCAAATTCCACATCTGTGATACAGAGGGATCATAAACATTTTTTGTTTTCACTGAAAAAGAAAACAATATTATATTTTCCTAGAAATGGGCATGCAGTAACATAAGTAATCATGACAAGTGCAATGAATCCAGCTTTTCAAGCTTCACTATAAGATTTTTTTTAAATGGAAGGCAAACGGAGGAGAAAGCACTAGTTTGAAATGCTTTTGTGGAAAGGACTCTACTGGACATATGATTTTGAGGAGTTTATTAAAGGAAAAGTGAAGCATCAGTTTTAAATTGTACAAAAGGAAAAAAACCCTCATGTTGTAAATGTACAATTTACAGAATTACTAGCAAAACCAATCAAGGAGACACATTTAAAAAAACCCTACTGACTGAAAACTAAACTGGAAACCCATTGGAGGTAACTTGCTTGCAAACAGCTTTTGTTTCACAGAATTCTGTAATGATCAATGACATTTCAGTTTTTCATCTTAAGGGTGATGGGGCGCAAGACTTGCCTATGTTGGGTTCAAACCAAGGACAGCATGATTCTGCCCATCAAACTGAAGGGCTACTTGCAATAATTTTTACCACTTTTTCAAGAGAACTTGTACTTTGTCCTGAAGCACCAGCCCAGTGACGTTAGCAACTTTAAAATTTCTAAACAGCTACATTAAAGGAATGGCTGAATTAGTGGGTCAAATGTTTTTGGTAATCATAATTTTGAGACAAGTACAAATATTAGAGGTAAAAGTCTCAACTGCTAAATGAAAGTAGCATTATTTGATCTTAAAACTTTAAGTTTTAACAGATATGCATTAAATATAATTTAAATTCATTAAAGGACCTTTTAAAAAGAGAGAAGACTACAGTTGTTTTGCACTTGTTATATAAAAGCACTTCTACAGTGGATGTATCAAATATGAGTTAAGGTCGGCTTCTGAGTTTCTTACATTCAAATTCCCCCAAAAGAGGAAAAAAGAGATTATTAGTCTGGCCTCATTTTAACAGATGTTCTTATTAGCTGGAGCTACGCTCACAAGAAGTGAAGAAAAAATCCTTTAACTACATTACCAGCTACCAGGAAGAATTGTAATATTTAAGCAGAATAAAAGACCAGATCACTGAACACCATGGAAAATTTCTTAGAACAATGATTCAGCTTATTACTTTTTGGATTGAACTGCTTAAAGATCATATAGTAATTACTCTTAATAATGCACAGTTAACACTGAGACTGTAGCTGTATTCCATTGTAAGCTTAAAACGTCACCATCTAAATACAATTTCTATGCAGCACATACAATAAATCTAATTGGCAAAATTAATTTACAAAAATAGCACAAAAGGATATTTACGGCATGGAAAGATAAACACTTCTCTATGGTACAGTTAAAATTGCTTTGAAAATGTAAGTGTCCTGTCCCGCTCCTGTCCCACCCGCACCCCCACTTTTCCCTTTGTGATTTATGCTTCATAAGAAAGTTGCTGCTTTTGTACCTCAGGTCTGATGAGGAGTGAAATAGGTAGTAGAAACAGCAAATAGATTACTGTAGAACCACTGGTTTATTTTACTGAGAATATTTTATTTGCTGGTATAAGTTGCTAAAAATGCACAGAACAAGTACCAATAGAAAATGTGCTGTTTGTGTGTTCCCCTAGTGCTATATAAAATGAATGTTACACAGCATCTGTTGGAAAAGTGGCTTCATGGACATCTCTTATTTTTATGCCCCATTATAAATAAAAATAAATCTTCTCAGAAGTATAAAATCTGTTTTTTTTTTCTTTTCAGAATCTGACTTTTTGGCAGAGATGCACACATCTGACTTCTAACATCTTTTGTAAGACTGTTCCGCTCTCAATGGTCAGAGAAGATCTAGAAGTGTACCATACTGCTAGTCATATTCAGTGTGTTTAACAACACTTCTCCAACCAGGATGGCTTGCTGATTAGCATCGCTGCTGGTCAATGGCTGACAGGCATAAATTTAATAAAAATGGCTAGCTTCTAAAACATAAAAAGGCAAATGTTAAAACATTTTGAAGTTGTACAGCAGAAAAATAAAGTTAAAAAGTTTTGTTTTCATTCAATGTTTTCTGAAAACATATGTAGAACTGTATAGTCTTAATTTAAAAGCTTCTCCCTATCCAAGAAAAAAACTTGTATTAGGACTGTCAAGGACAGAGAAAATAAATGATTTGTAGGTCAGCCTTTCTGAGTTGACTGATTGGCCAATATTTGTTTCATTCAGAAGCTCCTCTTCTCTGTCATTACAAAAAGGAAATGACCTTAATCATTTGGTTAAAAATCAAACCAAATCACATCAAAATGTGGTTTTAATATTAGCTATCACAGTATATAGGCCTTGAGCTCTAAAGAACAGAGTTCCAAATTTGTATAATGTCTTCACCAGATTTTAGAACATTGGCATTCCAAATCCCTAGAAAATACAATGGAAAATAAAGTTAGGCTGTAGAAAATTATTCATTAAATCACAAATAATATTGTTCAAAAGCTTACTGAATCATCTTCAATGATAGCTGCAGAATCAAAAAAATCTGGCCTCAATTCAGCTCTTTCCCGTCGGTTCCTTGAAGGAGGCTGTAAAGAAAGTCTTTTGTCAGTTGAGTTTAGGCATATACATTTATATTTGTACCAATCCTTTATACAGATCATTTTAAACTAAAAAAGATGAAAGAAGTTGTGAGAATTCAAACCCATGATTTTATACTATAAGCTTTAAAGGTTCCAAGGCTGACATAACAACATGAAAAACACCTATCTATATATATTGGTTGACAGGCCCATAAGAAAATAATTGTTTCAATAATTATTTCTCACCCACTTCCCATTATAGCAGGATACTTAGACAGTGCTATTTATATGATTTTAAGTTTTTTAGTTTTAGTGGTAGCCACATTTTTAACAATAAATAAATAAATAAATTGTAATGATAAAATTACTGACCAAATCAATAACCATGGTATCTTCGAATTCTTCATTCATATCCTCGAGCTGACCTCGGGAAGACATCATTACATCTTCAAAGATGGGCTCAGCATCATCCTCCATGAGACCCCGCCTTGTTGGGAGACAGGAGAAATACAAAAAGATGAATAATGAATAACAAAGTCTGACATATCAGATTTATTTACTTATTTACTTATGCTAAGGGAAATTCCTTTCTCTCCTTCCTTTTATGCTGGTTTTCAAATCTGCTAAAGAGGGTCTTTGACTCCCTGAAAAAGAATTAGCACGGGAAGATGTATAGAAGGAAAATAGACAGCTCATCCATCAGTCATGTTTATTCTGCTGAGAAACTACTGAACATAATACTCTTGAATATTTTTAAATATATCAGTAGATATTGACTGAAGGACAATTATTATTATTATTATTATTATTATTATTATTATTATTATTAATTTATTTTGTATACTGCCCTTCACTCGAAGGACTCGGGGTGGTGAACAGCCAGCAGAAAAAATACAGAAAATACAAAAATTAAAACAATATTAAAAACCAATTAAATTAATTTGGCCCACAGTTAAAACACCCCCATATTAAAAACCCATAATTTAGCAATTTAAAATTAAAACAATTTAAAAATATGGTCAGGTCAGCCCAGCTTGATGAAACAAAAACGTCTTTAAGGCATGGCGGAAAGTGTGCAGATCCGGGATCCGCCGTATCTCCGGGGGCAACTCGTTCCAGAGGGTCGGTGCCCCCACAGAGAAGGCTCTCCCCCTGGGGGCTGACATTGTTTGGTCGACGGAACCCTGAGGAGCCCCTCTCTGTGGGAGCGTACTGGTCGGTGGGAGGCTACTGGCGGCAGAAGGCGGTCTCGTAAATACCCGGGCCCTAAGCCATATTGGAAAGCTTGTTTTTTTTTTGCTTTAATTTAATTGTTACTGTCACTGTCCCCATAAGCTACTTTTAGTTTAGTGGTTACGGTTCTGGATTTTAAACTGGGAGACTGTACTCTATTTTCTCCCAGAATAGCCTCTTACTGTGGAGGAAATAATGGACCCAAAAAGTTTTACTTGTATGAAAGATCAAAAACACACTCCCTCACTTGGCCTTTAAATATAGTACCTAAATTCCTAGGGAAATTAGTTATTTAGCTTCATGAAGTTCTGAGCTACAAATTTCTAATGAGAGTTAGAATTGTTCAGATTCTTGGAGCTGTAAAGGCTTATTCTTAATTCTGCTTTTGTCACATTCAAAACACTTAGGGGATTTTAAAAAAAATTGGTTTGGGGGTGGTGGTCTTGTTCTGAACTCAGAACACAGTTCCCATTATAGGCACATCCTAACTTAGAAATTCTATTTTCAGTGCAATTTAGAGACTTGCTTTGATATTTAAAATTTGTTTTAAGTAAATACTTTATATTATAAATACTTTGTATTTTTATATTTTAAACTTTATATGTATAAATATTCAAATATTTGTAAATATTTGTAATAATATTTAGACAAATATTTTGTTCCACAAGATGCAGATATTTCATAATTTTGGCTAGCGTGCTCCAGAATCAAGGTATTAAAGACAATCCGAAATATATATTGTTTCATACAGTACAAATTAGAGAAATATTTATCCATTAATTGTTAAAATAATTAGACACTTAAATGTATTCCTGGCTCCTACTGAATACTTACACTGTATGTCTCACACCACTTCTTCCTTTCATGTAGTTCATTCCCGTCCTGTCCTTTCGACTTAAATCTTCCAATTTCTGCTGACCCAACCAAGATATTTGCATCTGAGGACTTAAGAGTAAATTTAGAAAATCATAATATGAAGATTTAATTTTAACATTATTTTAATGTTACCTCACAATGAAAAACTATTTAGTTGTTTCAGAATAGGATCAGGGATCTTATACTTACATCCTTATGCTTGTAACTCATTGAATAAACTAAACAAACAAACTAAACAAATCACTATATTGTTTTAATTATTTGAGAGTAAGTAGGGAGGATAACCACATGTAAGTGCTCCTTTGGGATAACAGACTGGTTATAGTAATGTAATGAGCTAAGTGTAAATACTGAAATCTGCTAATTTTTATCATCACTAAATATTAAGTAATTTGTCTGAATTTGACATCTGAGAATTGGTTATAGTTTTTTAAAAGATCATCTGTGAATATAGAGATACTGTATACAGTATTTGCACCTGTGCAATATCTTCTTTGGAAAATTCTACAGTTTAAGGACTGTTTTCGCAGGATTTCTGCTGCCATGTAATATACATAAAGACATAAAGGCTTACTCCTCATGTCATTGACCATCTTTGGTGGTAGTTCCTTTGACCACTGTCATGGATCTACTACCCCCGGGCCCCTCTCCAAATGTGATTTCAGAGGAAGAGGGAAAGCTTGACTCTGCTGAGGAAATTGTGGAGCCGAGTATTGGTCAGGATTGGGATTCAGAGAATGCTACCCTAATAAAGCGGCCTCAGCTGGGTTGATCGGATGAGCAATAGGCTAAGGTTGAGTGAGGTGAGCCACAGCTGCAACAAGTTGGCAAGGAAGCTCCTCCTCCTGATCCAAGGACACATAGAGCAGAGAGGAGACAAGTACAATACTGGTCAACTAGACTACTCATGGAGAGACAACCTCATCTCTCATGAAGGGCTGCACTGGCATTGCCTACTCATAAAAGCACTGGCTGTCCAAATGCTTAACTGTAGGATCAAAAAACCACAGAAACCTCTTAACTGGTGCATGAAAAGTAGCACTGTTCTCATAATATTAGTCCTGATAATAATGAAATAAGGTTTTCATAATGCTTATGGAAATGAAGAATGAAAAAACATGAATCCCACATGAGGAAGCACAGCAAATAAGAACTGTTTCCATGCAAGCATTCTGTGTGGATGGCTTTCTGATCAAAATAAACATTTGTTTTATTTTATCCCAATGCCATTAGATTTTCTTGGCAGACAGGTTGAATGTAGTGAGATCTGGATAACAAAATTAGAATAAAATTTGGCTCAATAAGAGATTGGGAATAACTGGGAGATGCTGGTAATGATGTTGGGACAGACCTACTATGGAAGTAAACCAAGGTAGGCATGGCCACTGTGAAGAATGAGGATATGCACTTCAATCAGTTTTGATATTGTATAATTAGAAGAAAAAATGGAAGCAGTGCCTTTCCACTTCTACAGAAATACATCTGGTAGAGAACGTATACCATAAACATCTCTACTGTAACACTTCATGCAATGGTGATTGTGTGGTGATTAATGGGATAGTTATGATCCAGGAATTCCTGGGGATATGGATCAACACCGGGCTGCGGCATGCCAGAAACCAGGCCATGCAAACAAGCAAAACCCGATCCGTGGGATGCAGGCAGCATGTGAAACAAAAAAACCCTCTCTCCTGTCCCTGCTGCCCAAAATGTTGGGGGCTGCTGCACTAAATATTCTGCTTGTAAACATACAAATCTACCTATGTAGCAGTGGTTTAAACTTTTGTATTTTATGTAGAGGACAATCTGTGTTTTCATTAAAGAAACCCTCAACCTCAAATAGAAGAGCTTCGACTAGCCTCTTGATTTAATCATGAAGATTGGAACTACATGACTCCAAAGAGTTATGATTACTGATATCCTCTGACTTTCATGCTTGTCACTATTAATTTGTTGCTTTGCCACTGCAGGCCTAAGGCATAAATATATAGCCAATTTCTCTGCTACCATCTAGCAACTACAGAAAAAGTAATCAATTTTTCCCTGGGGAAGTGCTGGTAGTCAGCCAATTACAATTAGTAATTTTTATCTGTGCAATATGTCAATCTCATTATCCCCATTCTATCGCCTCCTTATTTACAGACACTATGTGTGAGATTTTCTTGGGATTTTGCTAGCTCCATAATACTGGAATTTGCTATCAGATGGAGGACCAAATATTTACACTGATCCCTAACATGATGAAGAGTTTCAATGACACAGAGATGGTTCATTAAATATTAGTCAACTTAAAAGTGCAGGCATGATAAGCATATAAGGCAAGATCCTGCAGTTCCTGATTATCTATAGCCAAGCATATTAGCTAGTTGAACTCCTATCTTCACTTACTGGAGAAGCTGTAAAGGAACCTTTTGAAACAAAGTATGAAATGTCAGATTCATAATACCTCTCACTGAAGAATTTCTAGGAATTGGTACCATAGCTAGGTGAGAAATATCCTTATGGGGACAGGGAATTAAGATAGCTGTGAGCATATATAGAAAAATCTGTCTTCGGTTCACCTTTAGAATGCACTCTAGAATACAGGTGACATATGGAAGACATATGGTCTTATCCTAGTCTGGGCCTCCTTTGTTGGGTGGGAGACTAATGTAGTAGAGAAAGAAATATGGCAACTATGATATCAATAGATAGCACTGATTGGTTGTTGTTGTTAAGTTGTGTCGAACTCTTCAGCTCCCGTGTCTTCCCCTGTCTCCTGGAATTAATTACAATGGAAATGTTTCTTTTCTTGTAGTGGTCTTAAAGGTGGCAATAGGTACCAGTAGCTAGAAGGGGATGTTTTCAACTATGGATGTCTCTGGAAAATGAAATGATATCTAATTGCTCTAGTTTTATTTTTAAAATAGCAGTCCCCAACATTTGTAGGCTGTTGCCTGGGGGTTGGGGACCCCGTTTTAAAACATTCTGAACTTCAGAGAATGACTGCATTTGAATAATTACACTTTCCTAAATCTAAGATATTTTTGTTGAAATCTTAATTTCAGCAGTATTTTAATATTAATTTCCTATTATTGAAGAAATATTTCATTGGTACATACTTGTTTAAAAAATCTTGTTCAGATCCAGGTTCTGACTCATGCTCTGGTATTTGCTCTCCAATTTGTCGAGTGTTTTCTCTCAACACTGTTGATGTGAGCTGAGGTGTTTGTAGAGCACCTGGGGTCTGGATGGTGTCATTTCTATTCAGCCACGAGCCTTCAAGATTCTCATCTGATATATAACAATAAATTATTATAGTAAGCAATTTTGTACAATTATGTGGTTAATAACAGTATATAGATTGGAACAGATTTTTTTTTAAAAAAGTCAAACTCTAATTTTCTATTTAATTTAACATTAAGATGAATTTATGTAGCAACTTTTCCAGATTTTATTCCAATAAACACATCAACCTTAATTTATTATTGGTTAATTAATAAAGCAAGCAACTAATGAAATGCAATTCCAACAGGAAAAAACTTATTAAATATAATGCAGCATACACACATACACACACTGCATTCAGAAAGTATTCAGACCCCCTTCACTTCTGTTAATTTTGTTTTGTTGCAGCCTGATTCTATAGTAGTTGAAATTCATTTTTTTCCTCATTAATCTACACTCAGTACCCATTATGACAAAGTGAAAACAGAATTTTAGATATAGGGTGTGTGTGTCTGAATACTTTCTGAATGCACTGTAGGTGTGGGTATTATATGTGTGTGTGTGTGTATATGTGTGTGTGTGTATGCCTAAATCCATAATTAGAAAATAATCTCCCAACAAAATAAATGAGAGTTAATGTGAGGGAAGAGAAACTGGAAGTTGCTTGGACAAACTGAAGAATGTGGAGTAACACTAGAGGGAAGTACAGTGCTTGGTGGAATATTAGAGAATGTGGAAGCGAATACAACAGGATGACAGCTGAAAAAATAATGAAAGAATGATATTATACGGCAAAAGAAAAATGTGGAATGATTTTATTGGAAATGAATGAAGAAGGCTGAAGAAGAGTTCCAGCAAATGAAAAAGAATTAAAAATAAAACTATGGAAGAGAAGAATTAGTTTATTATGCATGCCTGAAAAAATATTTAGCAGAATTCTAACTGAAAGCACGTTGAAGATACATAGCAAATGCAGCAAGTAATTGAGAAATGTAAATGTGAGAAGCAAAGTTTATTATATATTTCTTCATTTTACAAAAATATGAAAAAGTGAAAAGATCTGAATTATGCAAAGCTTTGAATTATATTCATGCTTTGCATGAATATGGAATTGAAATTTGGTTGCTTATGTAAAAATGCAGTGTATCATGGACATAAATCATGTTTTAAAGTAAATATAATGCTTAATGAATAGTTCAGCAGGAAGCATTAAAAGAAAGATCTTGGGGCTGTTTAATATATTTTGGAATAAATATTTAAGAAATATTTGTGATGACATCAGACCATTTTAGTTGGAGATGTGAATATGGGTGCATTTCTGCATGCAGATGCTGCTCCCTTGTATGAGAATCTGAATTTGTATTGAATGTTAAAACATATTTTACTTAAAGAGTGAATAATTGATGTAAGAAGATTAATTTGTGTACCTTTGTAAAATTTTTATAAAGCATGGGAAAATGTATGCAGAAATGTTGTGCAATGAGCTCTGTGGATGGTAATATGTAGCATATTGTCTGTTGTGAAGAATAAATACATCTGACAGCTGTAACTAGGGGGACCTTTTGTCAGGTTCACCTGATTCGCCAGTTGCGGCCCTTTCTTGATCGGGATTCCCTGTGCACAGTCACTCATGCCCTCGTCACCTCTTGCCTTGACTACTGCAACGCTCTCTACATGGGGCTCCCCTTGAAGAGCACCCGGAGGCTCCAACTGGTCCAGAATGCAGCAGCGCGGGTAGTGATGGGAGCAGCATGGCGCTCCCATGTAACACCGCTCCTGCGCGAGCTGCACTGGCTCCCAGTGGTCTTCTGGGTGTGCTTCAAGATGTTGGTTATCACCTTTAAAGCGCTCCATGGCATCGGGCCTAGCTATCTTCGAGACCGCCTGCTGCTACCGATGACCTCCCATCGTCCCGTGCGCTCCCACAGAGAGGGCCTCCTCAGGGTGCCATCAGCCAATCAATGTAGGCTGGTGACTCCCAGGGGGAGGGCCTTCTCTGTGGGGGCACCTACCCTCTGGAATCAGTTGCCCCCCAGAGATAAGGAGAATCCAAGACCTTAGTGCCTTCCGCCGTGCCCTTAAAACCCACTTTTTCCAGCAAGCCGGGCTGGCTTAAGAAGAAATTTTAAATGTTTTAATTGGTTTGTATTTTTAATTTTGGGCCAAATTTATATATATTTTAATTGTTTTTAATATTTGTATTTCATGTTTTTTAATTCTGGCTGTACACCGCCCTGAGTCCTCAGGGAGAAGGGCGGTATATAAATTTAAAAATAAAAATAAAAAATAAATAAATATTATTTAAAATAAATAAACACTGTTGGATAAAAAAGCATATTTCTGCCCACCTTGGAATGCTGAAAGAAGCATTGGTATTATAGAGAAAAATAACTGCAGTAGAAATGGGTTAATTAAAAACTATGTGAGGTCAAGAAGAGTTAAGATCTCAAAATAATAATAATAATAATAATAATCAGGCAATGAATGAATGTTAATTGAATAATAAAATGGGTTTGGTTACATGGGTTGAAGAGATTAGGATCAAATTGGGAAATCCAAAAATTCCAGACATGGCTAGATAGAATTTATAAGATACTCAAAAGAGAAAAAAGTGAAATGTTTTAAGCACAGAAAGCAATATATGAGTCTGTGGTAGAAACAAACATGGTTTTTTCAAGGCTAGAAATGAATGAAGAATAAACGTTATTGGTAGTAAATTACTTGCACTTAGGTTTTCTTTTCCAATTTTAATTGTTTTTACTGCTTACTCCTTTTCCATATTCTGCATTACACTTTATGCTAAAAGGCAATATCCTAATGTATCTTCTGCATAATTTAACTGCAAAGAACTACTAAGATCACAAACCTGTCTATAGTCCTTGACTTGCAACCATTTGTTTAGTGACTGTTCAAAACTCTAACGGTACTAAAAAAAATTAATCGTGACACATTTACCACGGTTGCAGCATCTCCATGGTCACATGATGAAAATTCAGGCGCTTGGCAACTCGCTCGTATTTATGATGATGCGACCGTCTAACAAGCAAAGTCAATGGGGAAGCCAGATTCACTTTACAACTATGTTACTAGCTTAACAGCTGCAATGATTCACTTAACAACTGTGGCAAGAAAGGTCATAAATTGGTGCAAAACTCACTTAACAACCATCTCATTTAGCAACAGAAATTTTGGGCTTGATTGTGGTCATGAGTCAAGGACTACCTGTATTGCTTTATTTCTGTCCGAGAAAAGCATTAATGAAATAATATTTCACTCTGTTGTTAAGATACACTGGTTCAAAAACAAATGTTAGCTTAATTTTCAGAAACCATTTGAACCAAATAAAATAATGAATAAGTCATTTTATTTAACATTCTGACTACAATACATAATCTTTAAAGGCACATTTACCTTCAACTCTTTTCTTATGAAGAGGAGGTCGACCTTTCTTATTTCGGACAGAAGAAGTTTTGCTACTGCTGCTTCCACTATTCACAGACATCCTATCGTCCTCACCACCTGTCACTAATGAATTTCTATAGGAAATCAATGGAAGCCATACATCTTCCCTCCTTTCCATCATTTGTTCTGTTAGGAATTTCTCCAAATATGTGTGACTGGGTAGGAAAAGAGAAAGAGAGAAGAGTATAAACAAATGACTAAAATAGCTAGCTATAGCTACAATGTAACTTCTATTTTAAATAGTTATTAGTTCCTTGCATTAGGATTATCTATAATCTATACTCCTGATTTAAGAGTTAGATCTGCTCTGATTTTCTAGGGGGCTAGCAATATAACTCAATTATTTGTGGATAAAAATATATTCATCAGACACTACATACATGCTATTTATTTTCAAGGCTAACATTATAGCAGCTTAACGAAACATATTAATTTACATAAGAATTGATTGAATAAAACTATTAAATAATCTAAATGATCAAGAAATATGAAATTAAATGGACATGTACGTATTAAAAGATGTATTCCAGAAGAACACTCTAAAGCCTTCAGAACACAATTGCAAATGACTCTATTTCAAGACCACAGAAGTGAAAGCTCAGATTTTTTAAAAAAGTCCTCCAGGTCTTTTTTTAACTCAACAAATTAAAATAGGATAACTGTATGAGAAAATAACTTCACACATATTGCACTGTATGCTCTCATAGTATAAAATGAATTTAGATCAGTAAATAGTGGTACGATATAACAAGGAATATCACATATATTTCTATTTTTGGGGGAGGGGAGGGAATGAAAAATAAATTGCAGAAATTTTACATCTATAACATGAGTAACATGAAAAATGATCTGGAAAGTACAGTCACAGAGTGATTTTATATACTTTCTTTTCCCATATGTTTGGATAAATTATAACAATAGAAATTATAACAAGCATAATTATTTTCTTCTAATAATTATTGTTTTATATGTCTCTAGATTTATTTATTATATTTATATGGCTGCCCATCTCACAAATGAGTCTGGCCAGTGTACAACAGATTTATTGAATGCTACAAGACTTGACAAAGCCATAGGTGAAAATGCTTTTTTTTTTTAAAAAAAATATTTTCTGTCTAAGCAGCTACAAATGATTTTGTTTTCTTTGTAATATTTTTTTGTAGCAACTATTTTTAACACAAAATATACAGCACACATAACAGGCTAAATATAAGGAAAATTCATAATGTAAAATTTGATCTACAACGACAGAGTCATGGAGGGGAAAAGATGGCATGTTTTTCTTATGCTAATAACCCCATATCTTAAGTTCTTTAGCAAAAGGGTTTTTTTCTTGCCAATAGACGTTTGTTGGGAAGATGGCTTTTCTCTCAATTTAAAAGACAATCCTCGATGCCAATTTAAAAGACAATCCTCAATGCCAACACTTTCTTAAATAAATTTATAAAAATTGTAATTACTGTAGATGTACAATTAAACCAGACTTTTTACTTCGCATATCATTTATCAATAAAGTTGCTTACAATCAGCAAAATGTATTACTTACACAGTTTTCTTGTCCTGTCGTAATAATTTAGATGAAAATTCACTAAGTACTTCCAGGAAAGCAAGGTTAGGAGGTGGATATTCCTGTCCTTTTTGATTTTGATATTTAAATGCAAATTCTATGCCATCTCTGTAATAAGATAATAAGAACTAAATAACTGTGTCAAATGTTGTAAACTCTATACAAACTTCAAATAAAATACCAGGTGCAGTGAAAAAGGAAGGATGATTCAATGCATCACTATCCATATTCAATATAACATCCTAACATGCTACTACAAAGTTCAGGAAAGTTTCAACAACTGAATGGATTTTTAATTATATGTCAAAAAGTTAATGAAAAATATCATCAAAAATATATGTCAAGATTTAATGAAAAATTATTGATTTATCAGCAACCAAACAAACAAATGGCTGTCTTCAATATTAGAAATGTGGTGTGACCACAGATTTACAATCCTGGATTAAGTATCTGTGCTAGGTTTCACTTGATGAACTGGTTTTCCATAGATCTAAATGGACAGACTATTCAACATTATTTTTTTGTAATCATGGTTAAATTACATGTTTAAATATCAGGGGGAAATTATTTTCACTAAATGTAATATATATTTTCATTGTATCCTCTTCCTCTTCCTGTTTTTGGTTTTTTCTTTTTAAATTTTTTTTATAATTTTTCTTTTTAAATATTAAAACAATTTTAAAGCATTTATTACTTACACTAGAGGTCATACACATGTGATAAATAATATCCAGTGATTGCTATTTATGAATCATTTCTTCAAATTGCTTAGAACAATATACAATACAGAATGATGTTTAGAAAATGTGACTAATATTTAAACAATAAGCTTTTATAACTATTTATTACAAAAGCCTAATTATTCTCTTAAGCACCAATGCAACCCCTCCCCTCTCTCACTCACACACTTAATAACACAACGTGTAGTGTTACTGGACATATTTATACCCTATTTTAAAAAAGGCATTACTTGACTTCAACATATTCCTTGCCACTCACTTGTGTAACGTGGCTACGGCTTCTCTTGTCTTTATCTGGTCCAGACCAAAGGTAAGAGCAAAACGACGGGCCAGCTCCTTAATACCACTGACATGGGCAGATGTCCTGTCCAAGTTAGGACCTTGCTCTTGAACAAGCTCATTAAATAGCTGCAGAAAGAACTGAAAGTTCAAATCTTTACAGATATAGTGGCACATTCTTAGAACTGTGGTTTCCAACAGATCTTAGAAAAGAAACAAATGAATAATGGAAACTATCTGATAAACTTACCATATATATATATATATGTATAGTCTACCCTTTTATGTGGAGATTAGTATGCAGGGCAGACTATTATAATGTTTGATTGCATTAATAACAATGTGTGATTTTTAGATTTTTCTTAATTAAGAGGCTTTCAGGTATTCCCTCAACATCATTTGTAAAATATGGACCTACATTTCAGTAAATGTTTATTAACAAGACTTGGATTGCCTTTGTTTTGTTAAAGGAGCCTCTCCGCCTTTTTTCTGATTCAGTTATGCTCAGCAATGGGATTCAGTCATACTACCAAGTAACGGTTACTTGGTAGTAACTAGTATTTCCATCTTTCTCCCAAAGAGTAGTAATAACACTATTTGTAATATCGTTTTTCTCAATCTTCTTTAAAAAAAGAAAAAAAAACGGGGAATCTTATCTAAGCTTGCAATGCAACAAGTTTTTAACTCATAACACTGACCCAAGTACTATATAATAAAATTATTTAAATTCGATAGTAAATATGCATCCTGAAGCTAATAGTTGGAGCACACTGTTTTTCTATTTTAACTGTATTGTATGAATTGTACAGCCTTTTTGTTCACATATATTTTGTCAAAATAAATCTATGATTAATTAAATTAATGTATTCCGAATGAGAATAAAGTGATTAAGATCCTGGGCTAGCATCGGAGAGATCCAGGTTATAGTTTAGTTCTAGGTGATACTGGGCCAGTCATTCTTAGTACAGCCTACCTCATAGAGTGGTTGTTATGGAGAAAAATAGCAGAATGTTGCCTTGAGCTCCTATAAGGAAGGGGGTGCTATAAATTAACAAATAAATAAAATATTTTTATGATGTAGTCCTGAACTGATCAAAATGACAATTTTTAACTGTTCTAGATTATTCAAATCAGAAATTCTGTAATAGTTTATAAATATTCATATTAAACTTTATCCTATGGTCACATGATAGCAACAGAATATTCAAATATATGAAGAAAGTTATTTGTATACAAGACACATTTAAGAATTAGTGGGGGCTAAATATTTTTACCTGCTGTAAACTGAGAATGAGAGTTTTTGCACATTGAATTTTATCAATTTGTCTTGTTTTACTCAATGTCTCCTTAATGATATCGCCATAGTCATTGTAGTACTAAAAGCAAGAAAAGAGCATATTTTAATTAACAATGCATTTAATTTTTATTGACTATCTTTTTCATAATCAATCTTTGATGTGAGGTTTTAGATTATCTTATCTAATAAACCATCCCTCCTACACTAGAATTAATAAATGCTAATTTCGAATAGTATTAAGCTGAATAGTTTTATACTGCCAACTGAATTTCTCTTTGTACAAAAGGAGAATATTTTATGTATATAGAAAACCTCTATTTCATTATACTTCCATGCAAAGACCTAGGATCCAACCCGAAGTCAAGATAACTGCCATGCAGAAATGGTATGGTGGAATGCTAGTGTTAAAAAATAATGATCACTAACATAAAGAAATAAATCCAGTTACACCCAGTAGTACCTTAGTTAAGGGCCCAGGTTTGAAACTACCGCTGGCACAAAGCCAGCTGGGCAACTTTGGACCAATTATTCTTTTTCAACCCTAAGAAGAAGGCAATAGCAAATCATTTCTGATGATCTTGCCAGAAAAAGATTTGTTTAGGCAATTGTCAGGAATGAGGATTGACTCCAAGGCACAAAACAAGAATCATAAAGTAATATTTTTCATTTGTAGTGTTACGGAAATAATTCAATTGTAAATATTTTGGACAAAGTACTCAAGAACATTTAATAGGGAAAACATTATTCACTGGGAAAGAGTTAAAATTATAGACATATTTATAATGGAAGTTTTGCATTGGAAACTTTTCAATGATTCCTTCCTACTTAGTGCAGTTTTGAATACTTTATTTTATTTTGTTTGAGAGTATCTCTTCAACTCCAGCCAGAGTTAAGTAAATGGAGGACCATTTAAAAATGTATGCCTGACTTTTCATCAAAATGAAGTTAGCCTTAGATATATCCATATATTTTGGCAAACCTGATTTATTAGGACAAAGTAACAGAGCACAGAATCATACCTTCATGTAATGCTTGAAGATATCAGCTGCCGCATGCATGTCTACAATATCATAAATTATAAGTTTGCTAAAGGCAGCCAAAAGATTCCTTCTCTTGTGTAAAGCTTCAATTTTATTAGCTTCATCTTCTTCATCTCCCTCTAAACAATAAATGAAATAAAATAAAATATAGTTGCTTTTTAATGTCATTATTTCTCATTTACCTAATTGATACATTCTACAGTTCTCTAAAATATGATGGGATAGTTATGTTGTGATAGTTGTCAACTAGCAACAAGAGAAAGTTGCTAAAAATACCATACTGAAGTGTTCCTGGCCAAGATTTGATTGGCAGAATTTTTTCTAGATACTCAATTATATTTAGTCTCCCTGCCCCCTTTGCTCCTGAAACTACAGATAGTCCTCGAGGTACGAACCTAATGGAGCCTGTCCATAAGGTATGTAAGTAAAAAAATGCATTACATGAATCAGACTCAATTTTACGATTTTTTACAATTAAATTCATTATTATGAATTTAGCCATTATTATCATTAAATGGCTCGTTAAATGAATGAAGATCTGATTTACTACTTCCTCTGATTCATTAATTGATCACTGTTATGGTTAACAGAACTTTCCCGCCACCATCTAACAGCTGTTTCCGGTGCCGCAGAGGAACTAAATTGCCTCCAAGCAGGCTCGCAGAGCTCTCAGTTTGCAGTTGCTTTTTTAAAAAACCCATTTCCTGCTAGTCAAACTTCTTTAGACAGCTATCCAGAGTGGGATGAGGCGGTAGTTTACCCAACTCTCCATTTGCAGTTGCTTAAAAAAAAAACTACTTGCCAGTAATTAGCTTAAGAGTTTCCAGCCACGCACCCAGAAGGAGACGGGGGAAGGATTTACAGAACTCTTGGCTTGCAATAGTAACAAATGGGAGGGACCTTGAGGTCATCTAGTCTAACCCACTGCTCTCACAAGAGAGTATTTCTGATAAATGCCTATCTAGTCTCTTCTTATCTTCCAGTGATGGGGCACCCACAACTTCTGGACGCAATTTAAATTTAAAACCTACAAATTACAATAATATACACTAATCTCCAAAATAAAAGCAAGGAAACAGAATGTTATAGAATGCTTTATGTAGATGCTAGCTAGTATTTTTACAAGCAGTTTCCAGGCAAATGCAAACAAACTTTATCTTTGCAAAGTACTGTACTTACAACACAATAGTTTGCAAAATATAGTACTTAAAAAGCAAAGCAGTTCCCAAAGTGTTTACAAACAATACAGTGCTATAAAATAACAAAAAAAGAATACTTAAAAATACTTACAGAAGCAATTCTAGCACTCAATTCTAGCACTAGACCTTAAGCACACACAGCACTCCCCCCCCCAAAAAAAACCAAAAACAAAACCAAACTCGCACTGCCTGCAAAAATCACGAGATCTTGTTTGGCTGTGACCAGGTACAAAAAAAGAAAAAACCTGCCGGCTTCAGGAAATTTTATGTCATAACCAGGGGTGGGTTCTACTTACCTTTACTACAGGTTCGCATCGTGCTCTCTCTCTCTTTCTGCTCATGCGCAAAAGCTTCTGTGCATGCGCAGATCACTTCTGATGAAGTCCAGGTCAGTGGGCGGAGCCTCCCACCAGTTTTACTACCGGTTCTTGCGAACCGGCCTGAACCAGGGGCAACCCACCACTGGTGATAACCCTGAACGGCACAGGCAAGTCAGAGTTAAAAATGACAACCAGCAGTGTCATTTTTGCAGCAGTGACTGAATGCAAGTCACATGGCTATAGAGGCCTCTTTTTCATTGCAGTTTTGAATTTCTAATATAAGTACCCTTTCTGAACAAACTTCTTGTGAAAATTCACAAATGAACCTTCGTACCTGGGGGATTATCTGTACCAACTAGTCTTCTTTAGTTACTAGCTATACTTGGGTTTCACAGTGTGTTGGGGAGGGATAAGAGAGATGTTACCATTGACTGTTATTTTTTTCTCCTAAGCATTTATTATCTTTCAGAAATGCTATGAACTTACTTTAACTGTTTTACTGTTTCTCTTTTTGTGCATGAGATAGTATCATTTGAAGAGATCAGCTTATTATTGCTATTTGTATTACAGTTGATCACACAATCAGAGAGATGTTTGGCATTTTTATCCACCTATCAAGTCTCCTTTCTAAGGACCTGGGTTAGGCAAACGTTGTTGTCTGAAGCTATTACAGGTATAGTCACAGGACCGTAAGATGTTCCAAGCAAAGCTGCCTTCTGCAATTGTTGGAGATTTTGGGACTATTTATAAGTACACATCAAAATAACTAATACTTGCCCATGCTCTGGTTCTCATCATCCTGGTCAATGAAGACATGGTCCATTACAAAGCTAAGGAGTTCAGTCTGGAGACCTGAATCTGGATTAAACACCAAAGGTTGAAGACCTTCTCTGCCTCCACTCATCAGCTGATGGCTAAAAATCATCAAGAGATCACAGAGCAGCATAAAAGCCTGAAATACAAAAACAATTTAATCAATTATGTTACACATGTCAAAAATGTTCAGGTATATAACATTCTAATGTAAACCTGTATGTGTTTATGTTTTTACAATTTAAGAATTTTAGGAACTTATGGATAATTTTTAATAAATTGTGCATAATTGAACTCTACTCTATTAGGTGCAGACAGCTGGACTGGTGAGGCTGGGTGTCAGGAGGTCCAGAGTATCACAGCATTTTCAAATAGCTTCTGGAATGTCAGAGAGGCAAAGCTATTTGTTGGTTTGGAGGAGGTGAGAGTTGGTTTGATCTAAAGTTGCTGCTTTTGTCGGAGCAGCAGAAGCTTTGGCTGAGGCAGCCTTGTAAGTGGCTTACTGGTTGTTTGGTGATGGCCACAACTCTGCCTGTCATCTTCTGAGGATTCTTTTGCAATGCAGCAGCAGCAATTCTGGCCTGTTTCTCCTAGGCAGCAATTACAGTGACAATGATAGTGAGGACTGGGCTATAACTGCATTTCTGGGTTGTTATTATATCATATTAATATTATGTATAGCTAAAAATCTGTAGAGATTCTCAGTCATCCAGGTAATGGTTGTCCTGATAATGGATGACTGAGAATTTCTAGACTTTTAGCTATACAATTTGGGATGAACACCCTTTGAATGGTGTGGGAGTCGGAATGGATTTCCAGAGGAAAAATTGCAGATTACAGGAACCAGGAGCACTACTCAGGTGACCCTGAGGACACAGATAAATGTGCTTCAATGACCCTCTAAAAGGATGCAGATTACCAGCTGTCTGCAAAGAATATAAATCCTTCCATTCCCCACTATCCTGTCAGAGCTGAAGAAGCTTCTTGAATGAGAAGCAAAACGTCTTCAAAAGAAAAAACAAGAAAGTCCAGTTGCCTCCTGAAAAAGCACCTTTGGGACAACCATGACCTGGATGACCGAGAATCTCTACAGACTTTTTTTGTTCTTGTTTTTTTCCCTCAAAAATGCTTAATAAAAACATAAATTTTATTTTATTTTATAAGGGCCGCAATTGGCACAGTGATTAGAATGCAGTATTGCAGGTTACTTCTGCTGCTCAGCGGCTGCCAGCAGTTTGGCAGATTGAATCTCATCAGGCTCAAGGTTGACTCAGTCTTCCATCCTTCCGAGGTCGGTAAAATGAGGACCCAGATTGTTGGGGGCAATATGCTGACTCTGTAAACCGCTTAGAGAGGGCTGTAAAGCACTATGAAGCGGTATATAAGTCTAAGTGCTATTGCTATTGCTAGAATTTAAAAAAATAGAGATACTGATGGTGCAATTATTAAATTAAAGGATCTTGACCTATATGTTACATCCTGCAATTATTTCCCGGAATAATTCTTTAAGTAGTCTGGACCAAAATTAAAATCGGTAAAAGATAAATTACTGAATTCATTACATTCTAATCAGCTTTTTGGGATTCCTCTTCCTTTCTCAGAAAGGTCACTGGGACCAAGAAATGTCTAGGAAAAGCAGCAAGTCTATTTGCTTTTTTATACTTTTTATATACCGTCATCCAATAACAACAACAACAAAAAAGCAATACAGTATATTCTGGAAATGAATCTGTATCTCTTTAAAGAGTTCATTTCTATCTTAGCTCATAATTGTAATAAAGATGAAATACAAAAACAAAAGCATTTACATCTTTTCTTCCTCATAATCTTTTCTCCATGTGTTTTCAAATAGATACCGTAGGCAGTTATTACAACCTCTATGGCAGCACTCATGCAATAGTATTTTAAAATCAGTTTATTACTATTCTTAATGAAGAACATTTTTATAACTAAGAGAAACATTTCAGCAAGTATACTTGTAGGGGTAAATTTATAAAAAATATAAGCAAAGTTTTAAAAAGTATGGTGAGCAAATTACTTAAGTTTTAATATCAGAAATGTTTAAAATCACAAATCTCATCCAGCAAAGTATATACGCAAACATTATATTATGTACTCAAAAGAGTGCTTATGGAAGTTAAGGGGAAAGTAAATGATCTCTACCCTGCAATCAGAAAGAGATATAGTATTAGTAGTTATTAGCAAAAAGTTTCAATTAAATTTTTGTTTGCATATTTCATTGGTAATAGAAACCAGAAGTAAAATATAGGAAAACTAATATGAAAACATAATTAGAAATAAACTCTGGAACTTTATTGACTTCCAATAACTAGCCAGACCTCAATTTTAATTCAGAATGAAACCATATTAATTATGTGGCTAATTACATGTAGCCTTCATAAAAGGCTCCCAGAATAGGCAAAATTAAATTAGAAGAAGTATTAAGTATACAAACCATCCAAATTGATCAAGAAGGCTTAGTATTTAATTTTTGTAGGAAATAAGATATATAACAGTTTGTAAAATATTGTCATATTTTATGTATTTAACTGATTTCTATTACCTGTTCTTTTACTGGAGTGTTGACATTTGACAGACACTGTTGGCAGACAGCCAGAAATGATTTGACTGTTTTCCTTAATACCAATAAATCTTCCTAGAGGAAACATATGAACAATTATCTGATTTTCAGTATCAGTCAACATTTTCAGGAATAGACAGAGAGAAAAAGTACTGTGTAATAATAGCTGCAGATGGCGCCTCTAAATTGGCTCACAATATCACAATTTAAATAATAAAATCCAAGAATAAAATAGACCCGCAGTAAGCATATTTGGAAAGTGATGGGACAGAGTTGCTGCAATACACAGTTTTAAAGTTGTGTTTCAGTGCCTAACAAGGGAATATTTAAGAGATTTTTTTTCCTATTATGAAATGATAATACCAAGCGAAAGAAAATACCAAGAAAAAATAAAATAAAATAGACACATAAACCTAAACAATATACTATTAATATAAATCACCCCAATAAATCACTTATTCATATAATCAATAACAATTTATCAAAATATACATTAAAATGTCTATTCTTATAGGACATAAAAGAGATACCATGCCCAAAAAGAAATATATTATGCCCATTTTTAATTAATAGAAAATAATTTCAAAACTAGAAACATTAAACATTTCTGAATCAAGACTATGATATCTGGTTAACAGTACTTTTCCAACCTCTCAATAAAACTCCCTTGTTGAATCTATATGCCCAATATAAACAACCTTCCTCAAAAAGAGTCATTAACAACTTGAAAAGTCTATCTATATATTTTTCAATATATCTTACAATATAATTCCAAAATGAAACCAAAACCAGACATGACCAAATCATATTATTCAATGAACAGGTAGTACTCAACTAATAGTAATTGTTCAAAGTTACGATGGTGCTGAAAAAAATCGACTTATGACTGATCCCCAAAGTTATGGCTACTGCAGTGCCCCCCATACTCATGTAATCAAAACTTGGGCACTTGGCAGCCTGCCTATACTATCTTCCCCCTTCTCTGCTCTTTCTGGTGCCCTACCAGAAAACATCAAAAGGGGAGGGGGGGGGAAGTAAACATACAGGTAGCCCTCAACTTACAGTCATTCATTTATTGACTGTTTAAAGTTGCAACAGCATTGAAAAAAATGACTTATAACCAGTGTTCACAACTACAGCCATTATAGTGATCCTCCAATCACATGATCTGGGTGGTTGGAAACTAGCTCTCATTTGCAATAGTAGCAGCGTCCTAGGGTCACATGACTGCCATTTTCAATCTTTTCAGCTGGCTTTTGACAAGCTACATCAATAGGGAAGTCAGCAGGGAAGGTCACAAGTCATGATCATGTGATGTTTCACTTAATGACAACTGTGGCTAAAAGGTCATAAAATCAGGTATGGTCAATGACTGCACCACTTAACAAATTTTCTGGTCCCAATTGTGATCACACATCAAGGACTACTTACTTTTCAACAATATCTAGGAAAGCAGTATTAGCATTTAAGAAAACAGAATGGATTTTGCGAGTATAAAATAATAAGGAAAAACAATGTATCTGGAAAAAAAGTTTTCCATAATTTGTGGGAGTCAAGCATTTTTCTACATATTTTTATTCACATAAAGATATAATTTCAAAATCCACACACTAAAAATGTGATTCTGCCATGGCAATTGTTTTTCATTTCCAGAGAGTTAGACCACGAGGAAACATGTGATATAAGAACTTCAGCTAATGAATCATCTACATACTATTAAAGTTTCACAATAAAATGTTTTTCAAATGATTATTCTTCTATTCTAGTTATGTTAATTATATATACAAATGTATATATGCAGGTTGGATGAAGAAAAATAAATAACTATTCCCACTGGATGTAAGTGGGAACCAAGATATTCAGATAAGAAGCTAGACATGAGGGATGCAATGTTACAGCAGACTTAAGTGGAAATACATTAATACCTATTAAAATGCAAGAAAAATCCCAGCTCAAATTATATAGAATAGTAATTCTCAACTGCAGCCATGCCCCTTGAAAGCTCTAATGAAAAACATGTAACATATGCTTAGGGGGATCATTGAAAAGCAAAATGTATTACAGGTAGTCCTTGACTTATGACCACATTTGAGACCAATGTTTCTATTGCTAAGCAACATGGTTCTTAAGTAAGTCACTGCAGTTATTAAGTGAATCATGCAGTCGTTAAGTGAATCCAACTTCCCTCATTCACTTTGCTTTTTGGAAGCTGGCTTGGAAGGTCGCAAATGGCCACGTGATCCCGGAATGCTGCAACTGTCGTAAAATACATGCTGGTTGCCAAATTTCATCATGTGATCATGGGAAAGCTGCGACAGTTCCAAGTGCAAGAATTGGTCTTAAGTCACTTTTTTCAGTGCTGTTGTAACTTTGAACAGTTGACTGCAAATTGGGCATTACCTGTATACAGTAAATATTCTCTTGTTGATGCCAGAAGTAGGGCATTTATGAAAGAATGTAGGACAATCAACTCAACTATCTCCCAGTGTTAGAAGTACTGTGATCCATAGTATCTTACTTTTGAAGGAGATCCTTCTGTAATTTTTACCAGCTGCCAGAGAATTGAATAATGGGAACACTGAAGAGCCTGAACCACTATCTGAAACAAAATTCACAGCAGAGAAATAAGTATGAAATTTGTACAGTTTGCAGCAATTATGTACTATTGTTTGCAAACAACGTATTTAGAGGATTTTAAGACTATGCAAAGGATCAGTTTATTAATTCTTGAGATGGAGGACAAATAATAGCTACAATCAATTGAAATTTTAATTGCATAGTTTAAAGCCAGGAAAGCTCAAATACAGTCTAAGCATCTCAAATTAAAAATGTATGGTATGGTTTAAAGTAGCTCGTTCCAAACTTCAAACTATTTATTTCGATAGCATGCATCTAATTTGTTACAGCACAATAAAATGAAACATATGAAAATTATGTTTTGCTTAACAGCATGACGATTTCTCTTTACTTTTATTTTTCTCCTTATTTTTTAAACTTAAAAAAAAATCTTTAAAAATAAAAGGAGACAAGAAATCTTATCAGGTGCCAAGGGAACTGTGTGTAAGCACCAAGTTGCTAATGAAAATTACACTGTTTTCCATGGATTAAAATAGCCACATTTCTATTTAGCAATAAAGCCAATATGAAGCACTATGGGCCACACCTTATCATTTAGCCTAACCAGTGGTGGGTTTCAAAATTTTTTACTACCGGTTCTGTGGGCATGGCTTGGTGGGCGTGGCATGGCTTGGTAGGCAGGGGAAGGATACTGTAAAATCTCCATTCCCTCCCCAGTCCAGGGGGAGGTTACTGCAAAATCCCCATTTCTTCCTGATCAGCTGGGACTTGGGAGGCAAAGAATAGATGGGGGCGGGGCCAGTCAGAATTTTTACTACCGGTTCTCCGAACTACTCAAAATTTCCACTACTGGTTCTCCAGAACTGGTCAGAACCTGCTGAAACCCATCTCTGAGCCTAACCCACTCATAAAATCATTGTGAAGGTAAAATTATGGGAGAGATAAAGAACTTTATACTTTTGCAGTCCTCAAATGAAGATAGGATATGAATGTAAAGAACATTAATTAAAAACATCTCGCCTTTATTACTTTTATAAATAACTCAAAGCAGTGAACATACCTAAGACTCCTTCCTCCTCCTATTTTCCTCACAATAACCCTGTGAAGTGGTTTGGGCTGAGACAGAGAGAGAGAGAGAAAGTGGGTGGCTCAAAGTCACCCAGCTGGCTTTTATGCCTAATGTAGGACTAGAACGCACAGTCTCCTGGTTTCTAGCCTGGTGCCTTAATCGCTTAAGTCCAACTCAATTTAATGAACTTTTGGTAACCACGAAATTCATTCATTCATTCATTCATCTGCCCAGTCATCTCAATTGTCAAAGCAACTTTAATAGTATTGTAGTACTATTAAAATAAGATTAAAAAGAGGAAAAGCAGCAGTATATATTAAAAAAATCACATATACAGCTTTACTGGGGAACAGCCAAATCCATTTCATATTGTATTATATGAATACAGCAGTACACATTACTTATTATTTACCTGTTCTGGCATAGCTCCATGTTCAATTCCAGTCCTCAATAACCTGTAGCAGTTACTGAACAAATCCCATTTTGTAAGGTCATGAGCGCTTTGAGAGAAATTAAAAATGCATTAAACAAACAAACAAACATATATAGTAAAGATTGAACAAATGCAGTAATAAAATCACTGTTATAATTAGGAGTTTAAGTACAACATATAAACTATATGATTTCTTAAACTATGGAATTCCTTCCTACATCTTGCATAAAGTAGCTGTTTTTTATATAGATAGATAGAGATAGATATAGACACACACACATTCTAAGTTTATCTCTATCTTTCTATTCTAACAATAGAAACCTTCCAATCTTGCTTAATTTTTTGCTTATTTTTTCATGGCAGTATAAATGACTGACCATTTTAAAATAACTATAAAACTTCATAAAGCCACATACTTGTGAAATGATGTTAATCTCTTTAAAGTAGAAAGAACATTGTATACATCATCATCATCAGCTTCTTCTCCCTGGAAATAGAACAAACTGGATCATAGGCTGAGCAATTTATATATTACACTTATGTTTAAGAGTGTAGATTCCTACCTATGTATAGTAATGGCTGTTGAGAATTTGTATCAATTTGTATTTCAGAAACTAAACTCAAAAGAGTTTACAAAATCTCAAACTGATTCTCAAATCCAGGCCTTGCTGGAGAAGTGGCCTAGCATGACACCTTGCCGTTTTTAAAAATTTCGCCAAAGTTACCATTTCTAAATATTCCAATATCCTAATATTACACAGATCCTAATGATCAACAGGATTTTTGAACTACATGTCTCATATATACATACCTTCAGGATTCAGCACTGAACCCTAAGTAAAGTTCTCCTATGTATTGTTACATGACTGATCAATTTAAATATAGATTTGATCTGCCTAATACAAGTATGCATGAAAAAACTGTATGTGCTTGATAGGAATTAAGAAATCAGATCATATATGACAATACATATATGACTAGCTAATATTCCTAGAAAATAAATTCTCATTTCATTCTGAGGTGCACAAATTAACTCTTTCTGATTTTGAAAAAGAAAAGAAAAGAACGTAATTTGTATCGTGTGGAGTAGCCTCAGGAAATATTGAAATATTGAAGAAAATAATAAATTGAATATTAATATTAAAATAGAAGAGAACAGAATAACAAAGTTGGAAGGGATCTTGGAGGTTTTCTAGTCCAATCCCCTGCTTAGGCAGGAAACCCTACACCACTTGAGACAAATGGTTATCCAATCTCTTCTTAAAACTTCCAGTGTTGGAGCATTCACAACCTCTGGAGGCAAATTGTTCCACTGATTAATTGTTTTAAAATGGAGAATCACTGATTAAAATTGATTTAAAAAAAGAAATATGGGCTTGTTTGGAAGATTATGTATATTATTGGAGATAAATTGTAATTGTAACGTAATACTTTTACATTCTTTGTTCACTTATAAAATTGATATATAAAGGGCTAAATTATACAAACAATTTAGTATTGGTATTATTCCTATCTACTCAGGAGTAGATAATTACAAAAAGTTTGTGTTACATGAATCTTTCTCTCTCCAAATAAAGGGGTTCTATGTACAAGTAGCCTTCATTTAATGACCATTCATTTAGCAACTGTTCAAAGTTACAACGGTGCTGAAAAAAATGACTTATGACTGGACTTCACACTTAATGACTGTTGCACATCCCCAGTTACATGACCGTGATTTGGGCACTTGGCAACCATTATACATTTATGATAGTCACAGCATCCTACAGTCATGTGACTGCTATTTGCAACCTTCTCAGCTGGCTTCTGAGAAGTGAACTCAACAGGGAAGCCTAACAGTTGCAAGTAGTGGTCATATAATGTCTCTTATAACATGGGTGATTCGCTTAACGACTGCAGCAAAAAAAAGGTTTTAAAATCAGGTGCAGTCTGTGATACCACACTTAAAAATAGCAATAGCAATAGCACTTATATACCGCTTCAAAGTGCTTTACAGCCCTCTCTAAGCAGTTTATAGAGTCAGCATATTGCCCCCAACAATTTGGGTCCTCATTTTACCCACCTCGGAAGGATGGAAGGCTGAGTCAACCGTGAGCCTGGTGAGATCTGAACTGCCAAATTGCAGGCAGCTGGCAGTCAGCAGAAGTAGCTTGCAGTACTGCACTCTAATCACTGCGCCAACGTGGCTCATATCACTGCTTAACAACAATTTTTCCTGTCTGTCAAACTATCCAAATTTGAAACAATGCATCTATTAGAAGTATGGTCAGAGTTCTTGACTATACAGAAGACTTCTCTTCCACTTTCAAACTTAATGGAAGCAATAACTGTGTGAGGAACTAATTTTCTTATATCACCTCACTTTAGAATCACAATATCATTAATAGCAATAGCACTTAGACTTATATACCACTTCATAGTGCTTTACAACACTCTGAACAGTTTACAGTCAATATATTGCCTCCAACAATCTGGGTCCTCGTTTTACCAATATGGGTCCTCGTTTTGGAAGGATGGAAGGCTGAGTCAACCTTGAGCCGGTCAGGATCGAACTCCTGGCAATGGGCAGTGTTAGCCTGAAATACTGCTTTCTAATCACTGTGCCATCACGGCCAACTGTTAGGAACTAATTTCCTTGCATCACTTCACTTTATAATCACAATATCTTTAAACAGAAAAAGATCTTTCTATTGTTCTCTGGTAAACATATTCATGTGGTTTTCCACCCACCTCTGTCTAGGCCTCTTATATACCACCAATACAATAGAAATTTAGTTCTCATTTGATGTTCTGGGATGCAAACAAAAAAAAATTAAATAATTAAAATAATGTTCTGGTACTAACGTGTAGGCAGATATTTTATTCTAGGGAAAACAGGATACAAGCAAACCTCATTTAATAGATCCTCCACAGAATGGTTGAACCGATCTACAAATTCATCAATGAGCTGGCTGTGAGCTATGTCAACCCTGTTCTGAATGGTATATTCTTCACTGCAGAGAATGCTGTATGTTTTACTGCAGGCTTCAAGAACATCTGATTCCACATGCTTCTCTACAACAAATTTAATCTGTTTCAACAAAGCATCCAAATGCTGTGGAACAAAGAGAAATTTTGGTCATTTCTTGAATTACTCTAACTTAAACACGACAACAGAGCACAGAAATATAAAATTCAAAATAATTACAAAACCTTCAACATATATTGATGCCAGGAAACACACACACACACACACACACACACACACACACACACACACACACACTGCGATGACAGGAAACATAACAATTGTGCTTTTAGTTCAGATTCTTCATATTGCCATGTAATTTATATTCACAATAAAACTCGAACTCCTTTATATATTTGTAAAATTGAATCTATTTAAATAAATACTGTATTAAATTATTCCAAGGAGTCAGAAGACTGGAAGAATAATGACATAGCACATAGCACCATGTGTATGGTACATGTGTCTCTGTGTGTCCGTCTGATTCTTTGTGACTGCCTGGACAAATCCCTTCAATTGTCAGATTACTTTTCCATTTTGGTGTACTATACCTTCTCCATTCTTCCTGTACTGTAAATTTCTAAGTCAAAATATTGAGGAATTTGAAGAAGATTTGCCACCTTCTCTGCATCAGCAGAATACTAGCAAGAGAAAAAAAATGAAAAAGTTAAAATTATTATTCTAATAAAAAATTAGAAAAAGAATCATACAACTATTATTACTGAATCACATTCTATTGACATACCTTTGATAGGAGCATCGGAAGTGCAATAATAAAGTGTTCTGTTAGCTTGTTCCGGTCATCTATCTGAGTTTTTCTTTCTTTTGCTGTTAAAACCTGAAAAATAGGGGGACTATCACATCATAAACAACTGTAATATAAATATTGCCAATCAAGATATAAATTGTGGCTTTTTTATACAGCAGCCTAATTAATCTGCAAATTAATATGCTGGTTTTTAATAGGGCACTACTATTATAACCCAAATTGAAAGAAAAATTTTCTCACTGAGGATGCTGCAATAAGAAAGAATATAAGTAGTCCTCAGTTAATGACAATAATTGGACTGGCAACTCCATCACTAAATGACATCATAAAATGTGACATCACGTGACCACACTATGTTATGATGGCAGTTCTGGTGGCAGTTATTGAGCAAATCCTATGCAGCTGTTAAGTGTGATGTCAGGTTATCGCCATTTGTGACCTTCTGCCAGTTTCGCCATTGAATTTACTTGATGGAATCCAGCAGTGAAGTTTACAAATGGCAATCACATGACCATGGGACACTACATCTATCATAATTGTGAGCCAATTGCCAAGCTCCCAAATTATGATAGCATGACTTGGGATTCTGCTATAGATGCAACTTTGAGAACTAGTCATAAACCTCCTTCTTAACATTGTTGTTACTTTGAACAGTCATTGAATGAATGGTTATTAGCCAAGGACTACCTGTACAGTTATTTAAGTACAAAGCAGTGGTGGGTTGCTCCCGGTTTGCACCGGTTCGCAAGAACTGGTAGTAAAAATTTGTAGTAGTTCAGAGAACTGGTAATAACATTGGCTGGCCACACCCCCAAACCAGTCCATGGCCTGGTCGCCGCTCGCTTACCCCGCCCACCTCATCAGAGGCTTTTTTTTTTTTTTTTTTTACTTTTAAAAGCATTTTTTCTACAACCTCTTCGGCCGAAAAAATGCTTTTAAAAGTAAAAAAAAAAAAAGCCTCTGATGATCGCGCGGCTCAGCTGGGATCGTCAGAGGCTTTTAAAAGCATTTTTTTCTGCAACCTCTTCAGCCAAAGAGGTTGTAGGAAAAAAATGCTTTTAAAAGCCTCTGGCAATACCAGCTGAGTTGCCTGATCATCAGACGCTTCTAAAAGCATTTTTTTCTGCAACCTCTTAAAAAAAAAAAAAAAAAGTGAAAAGGGGCCCCCCCCCCCCACTCACATAACCCCCCAAATCGCTACGCCCACAGAACCAGTAGTAAAAAATTTTTAGAACCCACCCCTGGTACAAAGTATTTAACATATTTGACAGATTTTCTAGCATCTTAAGCCATTTTGTTATAAAAATGTGTGCCTCTCAAAAGTCCTTTGAGTATATCTCCAAATGTTTGAGATGTGCACCTCCACATCCTCATTATGAGTGCTCATCAAGGCAAACATTTTATGTTCTGAACATGATTACAAAAATATCTGAATTGTCACTGTTCTAGAAAACAATCCCAATAATTTGCATTTTATAAAAAAGTCCTTACAAAATAGAATATTGAACTCAAATATCATTTGTGATAAAGGTTTTCCAATCACTTTTTCCCTATTGAGGTATTATTAAAAATCACTGAAAAAACATGCATACAAAAAGTCCAAGAGAAAAGTAACAAAAAAAAAACTTACTCTCTTGCCAGTTCCTCTGCCCACTGGAGGGTGTGCTTCTGCAGCTTGTCGAATTGTACATACCATTAACTCTATAAGTGCACTTTCCTGACGATCAGACATCGCTACAGAGATAAAGAATATAGATGGACTAATGAAATGTGGCAACTAATCTATGCAAATAATACTACAATTTTTGGCTCAATATTTTAAACAACAAATCACTTTATCTTCTAAAACCTGTAGCAGTAATAGTAGTAGCCATATCACTGAAAATAAGAAAACCACATTTTTTTAAAGTGTTCGTTCCAAGTCACTAAAGCACTGAATACATTGACTTCACATTTATGACTGTCATGATTTCATCATGATTTGGGTGCTTGGCAACTGGATGTATTTACAATAGTTGCATTATCCCTGGGACACATGATCATCACTTGCAACCTTCTCAGCCAGCTTCCGACAAGGAAACTCAATAGAGAAAGCCAGATTTCACTTAACAACCCTGTGATTCGCTTATCCATGACGAAAGGTTTAAGACTTGCACACAGTCATGTGATGACTTTACAGGGTAAAATGCTATCTATGAATTGTTTTATTAATTAATTAATTTTATCTGAGTTACACAAAATGTAAATATTGCTGATATATTTTTTCACATGCCCATAATGTTTGACAGAAGTTTTTTCCAAAATGCTTATCTCTTATGTAAATATTAAAATTCTTTGTAAAACAATGATTATTTCTTTTAACTTTAACTTATCATTCAATGGAATTTATCAAAGACTTTTCAATAAAGCTGCAGACCAGATCTTAACATGCCATCTAGCCACTGAAATGTTATCCATTTATTTCCACTGCTTAGCAATGACTAATTGGGCTAAGTAAACTGAATACATTTTGTAGTTAATTTATCAATGGCTTACCACTATAGTTTTTTAAAAATACTTTAAGTCAATTCCAAGCTGACTAAATTAAATTGAAATCTCAAGTGCTCTTCCAATATTTTAAAGATTTTTAAGAGTCTATTTTATTTGGCTTTATTTAAGTTTCTATGTAATATGTACAAATTTTTTATGAGTCTTATATTTATTTTATTTATAATTAAATTTGTTTGCTGCCCATCTCACTTTGAAGTGACTCTGAAAGGCTTACAACATTAAAAGTAATAAAACCTTAAAAGATAAATATTTCTAAATACAATAAAAATAGCATTACCAATCAAAGTACAAGGGATCATATCTATTGCAAGATAACTCTACTTGTATATATAATATTGAAGTGGTTACTTTGATTTTAAATAATATGAACTTACATCATTCTTCAACTTCTGATAAGATGACAATGTACTAAAATGTCATGCAATCCTACAAAGAAGTATCTCCCTTTTTCCTTTTCTCCTTCAATCGATCGCACTCCGCTCAGAGATCAAACTCTCATTCTTGGCTCAGCTTTTGGTAGAGCTATTCTAGGGGGTCTACCTGAGGTGTAGAGTGAGAAATTATCCACCTTCCCTTTTCAGATATAGATTTTATTGACTGAAACTCCAATTTAAATATGAAATACACAACAAGGGCTTTCATATTCTGAAATTCCATATGCCGTGTGAGATATGACAGTTTAGAGATTCTGGTGACATTATAAGTAATAAACTGCCATATTTCAGAATATGCTGATAAAAAGTTTGTAAGTTAAAAGGCTGCAGTTTTAGTTGCCCAAGATATAACAAAAATTCCCTTTTCTATAATAATAATCATAAACAATGGCAAAATGCTTTAAGGACCTGTTTAAGTTAAATGCTAAATTAAATGCTAAAACAGCTTAGTGTAAACTTTTAAGATATAAATATTTACAATATTTGAAACCTGATGTAACTGGATTTCTGTTAAAGTTTTATACTGATAAAATACAAAATATAAGCAGCCAGGAATGTAAAAGCTTTGCAATGTGAGGGAAAGAATCTTATACTACCCACTTTCAAAGTGTTTCTTTTTGATATTCTCGGTCCCCCTCATCCCAATTATATGATAGCCTCAATGCTGCTTGCCTTTAGAAAACCCATTAAGATTTGGCTTTTTCTTCTGGCATTTGGGTTTAGTTGAGTAGAATTTGTTTCTGGTTGTTTTAATTAATTTTATAATTAATTAAATTTTGGTTTACCCTTTTATATATTAGAAGAGGTTTTTTTAAAAAAAGATAATGTATGGTTATTTTTTGCTAATGTTTATTTTTGTTGTTGTACGCTGTCCAGAGTCACATTGATTGATTTGGATGGATGCCGGTAAATGCAATAAATACATGAATGTGGATTTGAATATTAGTAAAAAGCTAAATTCTGATTAAGACTCTTAAGTTAATTACAATTATTTTCCATCGTTGATTTTAATGGGACCAAAACATTATAAACTGAAAGCAGAGATTAAATAAGCAGCCCACTACATTTCACTGCCTTAAATGGAAGAGACTAGACAGTGCTATGTTGTTTTAATCAAATAAGTAAATCTGATGAGTACCTTCTTCCCCTTGGACAGGTTCTTCTAGTAACAATTCTGTCATGCATTCCCAGTCTTTTAACAATTCTTGAGAGCTTTCCCATAAACTGTCCACCAAATAAGCAGCATGTTCATGTAACTAAAAATTAAAAGCAAGCAAAACTCTTTATAGACATTTTCACAGACCTACTTGTAGTATTATTTGCAACATTATGTAAGAATATGTAAAAAAAAATGGGAAGGAATTTGAGTCTTATTCAGAGAGGGTAAAATGTTGAGCTGTTACAGAAAAGATATTTGAGTCTTGGGAAGGTACAAAACATTAAAAACGAAGTCAAAGCGACTCTGCCTTGGTTGGATTAGTTGTAAGTTAAAATGGAGAGAGGCTCTGACCCAGTGGTGAAATCTAAAATTTGTTACTACCGGTTCTGTGGGTGTGGCTTGGTGGTAGGGGGTAATGTGACTGGGTGGGCATGGCCAATTTTTTTTTTTTTACTTTTAAAACCATTTTTTCTACAACCTCTTCAGCGAAGAGATTGTAAAAAAATGCTTTCAAAAGGCTCTGACGATCCCAGCAGAGACTTTTTTTCTTTTAAATGCCTCTGACGATCAGGCAACTCAGCTTGGATCGTCAGAGGCATTTAAAGAAAAAAAGGGATTTTTTTCTTTTAAATGTCTCTGACGATCCAAGCTGAGCCACGCGATCATCAGAGGCTTTTTTAAAAAACTTTTCAGCCAAAGAGGTTGTAGAAAAAATGCTTTTAAAAGTAAAAAAAAAAAAAAAGCCTCTGATGATTGTGCGGCTCAGCTGGGCATGGGGGTGGGGGCAGGGATTTTTGCTACTGGTTCTCCAAACCACCCGCCTCCATTGCTACCGGATCGGGCGATCTGGTCCTAACTGGGAGCATTTCACCCCTACTCTGACATCTTTTCAAGATTCTATTATTGTTCCGTAACCACATTAAAATACATTTCAAGTATCATTCTCATGCTTACTAACAAGTTCAGTTTGATCTTCATCTCTTTGTAGACTAATAGTACAATTTTAATTTCAGATTGTCTCAGTTTTGCAAAATATACAATACTCCACTTTCAGATGAAATGCAAGTCTACTTAGTTTTCAATCCACGAAGAGATTTCTTTTCTTTAAAAAATGTGGTAATTAATTTAAATGGTCATTACAATACAAATTAAAGATTATATTTTTGAATAGTTTAGCAGTTGCAATATAGTACTGAAATCCTATCCTAAGATAATTTAAAAAAATATTCATATCTGCTACCTTTGTGATCTAGCACCTTATCATATTTTGTAACCGCATAAATTTAAGTCAGATATCTGAAAATGCATTTGATGCTGCACTAAAGAATTGTGGGTAATGTAATACCAGAAAGTGAATTCAACTTATTGGCATATAATAAAAGGCTGTAAAAAGTAACAGAAAAACATATTCAGTTTTAAAGTCGCTTTTTAATTAGTAGGACATGCATTATATCAGAAAAAAATACAGATTTAATTGTAAAAATCTAAAGCAAGATCATTTCCTCTCTTGCTTTCTATACAGTATTTAATATGATCTTGCATAACCCTGTTAACACACATGCATAGTTCTAATTTATAATTTTTTTCCAATAGCATTATAATTAATAAGGTGACTTACTATATTTCAGTGGTCTGTTCAAGTTTGTAATATGTTCATTATAAAAAACTTGTTTATTTCAAGTTACAAAGTATGAAAAGTCTTAAGATTATTTAAGATTTAGAACCAAGTTGCAAACAAAAGGCTTTATTTAAACATTTTCACTTGTAGTTTAAACTTATAGTTTAAAATGATGTTATTTTATAATAATGAAATTAAACTGGTGACTTCCAATATTTGTAGTAATTCTGGAGATCAAAATATACTCAGATTTTACCATAAGGCTTATTCCCTGGTAACAGATTTTTAGCCACAATAAATAGATTTAAATAGAACTAGAAATAGATGGGAATAGGAATAGGAATAGGAATAGGAATAGGGATGGGGATGGGGATGGGGATGGGGATGAAGAGAAGAGAAGAGAAGAGAAGAGAAGAGAAGAGAAGAGAAGAGAAGAGAAGAGAAGATACTGGCCAATGTGATGGGACACACAAAGAATTTGCCTAAAATAATGCTAATTGAAAAAAGTTGTTAAAACTGATCAGTTTAAATAAAATTGAACATAAATTAATTTTACCTCACTTTCAAGAAAGAAAAGAACCAGCATCCTAATAAGATTTCCATTTGGACTATTCCGTCCTCTCCTCTTGGCTAGTGCTTCCTCTGCTTGAGGATCGTGCCGACTAAATAGTCTATAAAAAGAGAACACCTTTTATTTTAATATTTTTTGTCCATTTTTAATGCAATGCTCTAGCAACAAATGTATTTCTTCATTTGAGTCAACAAAGGGAAGTATTTACTAGCACATAAAGATTTTTCTCCAGTCAAATAAAGATAATATGCAAATATCACCCAAACCACACTTTTTTTTTTTGCTTATGGAACTTAAACTGTGGAACACTACTCATGGTTAAAATTACAAATGATAAGAATCTTAATACTGCTCTGCTAATTCCCCATAAAAGACACTTTATAAAAGTAATATAAAAAAGATGTGCAAAGAAGAGAAAGAAAGACTTGGTGAAAAATTGAAAAATAATTTATAAATACTCCATCTGGAATATTAAAATGGTGGTCCAGTTTGAAATTGTAAATATTTTAATTATATTTTACAGACGGAAATATAAAACAAAATGTGAAGATCAAGATGAAGATAGACGTAATACTTCTTGGTCTATCAGAATGTTAAGTTTACAGAATATAAAATGTGACTTATATCACTTATTGGTTATAAGCAATATCACAGCCTTCCTTTGGGAGAAAATTCAAAGTAAAACACAAGGGAAATTAACAAACTCTTTGGGTTTAGTTGGGGTGTTTGTTTTTTTGGCTTTCAACAGCCTTTTGAAAAGTGTTCTAATACATCCTGTCTAACATTAATGGGTATTCTTGGGTTCATCCTATGGCAAACAGATTAGATGTATGTTTATCTTATCAAATGTGGGATTGTAATAATACAAATGTGACAGGGTAAAAACTAAAATACTAAAACTGTTTTGGTTCTTCCCAGGACTATGCCTCATTATTCTTTATCTCATTATTCTTGGGTCGTTGAGGTATTTTCTGAACTTAATCCTCTGAACTATATATAAAATAAAGAGTCCCTTGGGAGTTGGGTGGCATAGAAATGCGACAAAATAAATAAATAAGTAATTAAACTGGAAGTGGTTTCTAGTGGTCTAGACATTCTTTTCTGAACCACCACCACATCTGAAACCATATTATACCATATTCCCACTCAGAAACCCTGAATAATGAAATAATTCACAATAGTAAAGAGTAATTTATAAAATAAAGATCACATTCCAAACTTTTAGAGTCCTTTATTTAGAATGTTGTTCCTATAGATTAAAACAAGGTAAATCAGTGAATAAAATATGACAAATTTGCAGACATATTATATGTGCAAACACAAATCAGCCATCAAAAGGCAGAATGCAAGGAGATCTTTAGTCATTCATTGTTGGTTTAATTGACGGGTCCTTATTCTATAAACTAACAAAGATGAACAATTTGTAAATCCATAAAAGGTTGCTGAAGAGTACAGAAAATCAGCATTCAATGACTCAAATCTGCCAGTAAAAAGTATATGATCATGATAATCACCATCACCCACATCACTACGACATTATCATCAGTTAACAGATACGATTAATGAGGATTATAAATAATCCTGGTTTGGTGATCACAATTGGGACAGGCAACTTGGTTGTTCAACAAATGGGCACTAATTGAACTGACTCTGCTTATGATCTTACTTTATCTTTTTGGTTTTATAAACTTTCCAGGATTGTAGATGCTAAGGATTAGTTACAAAGTTACTTTTTAAATCACATAACTGTGAATAGTTGTTAAAGGAGGATTAACTGTAATGTTTTTTATTCTGGGATTCATAACTAGCATTTCAAATAGCAAGCATTTCAAATAGCAAGCATTTCAAATAGCAAGCATTCCACTTGTCATAATCTGTAGTATAAAGGTACATTAAAAATGCTGTGGAACTGTTAGTAGTTAATAATGATTTTTTTAACCAATAATAAATAAGTAACAAAATGATATCTTTTATATCTTTGCTTTCTTATATTTTGTTCATATGGGGAAAGTGTTGCAAATTGTGACTCTAATTTCCCAATTTATAAATGATAAATACAAACAAATGTTTTGTTGAATGGATATGTTGTCCCAGATCAGAGACTTTAAAAAAAGCCCTCTGAATTCACCATACTAAAAAAAGATGTTGGAAAAAGTTCAGAGAAGAGCAACTAAGATGATCAAAGGCCTGGAGACTATAACATATGAACGACTGCAGGATTTGGATTTGGCTAGTCTAAAGAAAAGAAAAATTAGGGGCAACATGATAGTAGTATTCCAGTATTTGAGAGGCTGCCACAAAGAAGAGGGGGTCAAATTATTTTACAAAGCACCAGAGGGCAGGCAAGAAACAATGGTTGGAAACTAACCAAAGAGAGAAGCAACCTGGACTTAAGGAGAAACTTCCTAACATTGAGGACAATTAACCAGTGGAATAGCTTGCCTTCAGAAATCGTGGGCACTCCATCACTGGAGGTTTTTAAGAAGAAACTAGACAGTCACTTATCTGAAATAGTATAGGTTCTCCTGGTTAAGCAGGGGGCTGGACTAGAAGACCTCCAAAGTCCCTTCCAGCTCTATTCTATTCTATTCTATTCTATTCTATTCTATTCTATTCTATTCCACTCTATTCTACTCACTGCTCTTGGAAATCTGTAACCAATTCAGAGACTGGAATATCTTTATTATTACAGTAGTGGAAACCATATTGTATATCAATTGCAATTTCCAGCCAGCCATTTGTGAAGCAAGTTACTATCATCTCAGCATTTATTGATATGACATAGTTGGTCTTAACAGTCTCATAGTCTGGATATCACCACAACTGGTGCTGCATCCTAGTTAGGGTAAATAACCTGAATTAATCCATTTTGGGCTGAGTCCAGGACAACTCTCAAGTTCTAGATCTGCTTTTCAGAAAGAGGGCAATTCTATCCAGGGCTATCACTGGGACTGTTAATGAGTCAAGGGAGTTCAACTGTGCATATAAAGGGTCTCACTCAAAACTAACTATTTAATACGAAGCAACATCTATATATTGCATCTCTAAGGTGATATGTCAAACAAAAACTAACCTGAAAACAAACAGCTTTAAACAATGGTTAGCCATTGAAACATTAATATTCAGACAGTGAATACAGGCTTACTTTTTGTGAAGGAATTCCCCTGCTGCTACAGCAACAGGCCGATGTGCCGAATATACCAAATGATAAACATTCTCACAGTCTTCATTGGACAAAGCTTCTTCACTTCCACTGAATGAAGAAATAACACATTAAGTTCAAGAAAACTACTCAATGTTACCATCCTTGTTAAGTTACCCTGAGAATAAATAGTATCTTCAAAATTAAAGTAGGCCTCATGAAAAATTGACAGGCTTTAGTCCAGGTTTTTATATGGACAGCAGGCATTGAAATATGCCATACATATTACACTAAAAGTATATTCCAAGCAAAAATTATTATGAGACCATAATACTTTATTTATCCATATGTAAATCCAAGTATACAATCAAAGATACTCATTAATCCAAAATGATCATGAAAGATGCTCTTCTATTAATGAAAGAGCATTGAAGCCTGTGCAGGTTCATTACTAGAAAGAAAAGAACGGATTTTCATCAATTTTCTATTACTTCCAGAGTCCTTCAAACTATTTCCCATATTACTTAGTTTGCGAGAGATTTTAAGGGCTGTTATAGGATGCATGTCCATCTAAAATTGTTCTTCCCTGAAGCAGGAATTAGGCACATCATTTCCATGAACTGAGCTCTGTTCAAGCATTGTCTGGATCCAGAGTACTTCAGAGTATATTTTTACAAAATGAACCCGAGTTTGCTTTCCTAAATAAATATTGTTCTATGAAGAGAACATTCTGTATGCCATTTATATGCAAGCTAACCGGAAGTATCCAATGAATTCAGAAAATAAATCTGTCTGACCTGAGACTAAAATTTTAAACTACATCAAAATATATGCTGTAACTAACAACTCATTTTAGTTTTAAATTAAGATCATGTAAAATATATATCTGTGATGTGTGTTACCAATATAAAACACTCCTTAAACTTGTCTAGTGATGAACATCCATGAATGAACAAAGCTCATATAGAACCTGGGGTTATTATTCCAATATCAAGCCTCAACAAGGGAAAAATTGTTATGAATTGCAGATATCATAGCAAATAATTTTGAAAACTAATGAAAAACTAATTTTATCTTAACACCTTTCTCTAAAGTATGAAGTTTTAAAAAGCTGATGGGAGTAAAGTACAGCAGAGGTACAAAAACCTCTGGGGAAGTCTCCCAAATTTGATTTACCATAATTGAAGGGTGGCCTGTAGACACAATTATGTCGAGTACCATAAATTGAATTAACTTTTCCAGTCAGTACTACTCAACTAAATGAGTGTAAAAAAAACTAAATACTAGAGGCTTTGCCCAACTTTGGTTTGATTATGAACGATGAGACTAGGAAGGAATTAATCACTGCTTTAAAAAATACAAAGTCAGTATCACGTAATTTTGCCTTCTTGGTGTAAGAATACAGGTTTGTTTTCACATCTGAACATACAACTCCTCCATCCCCTCTCCCCCACCAGCCTTTCTTTCTCTTCTTTTTTTACAACAGCAACCGACTTAAAAATATGTTGTTAAACAACTTAGGCATGGCAAAGCTCAAGGCAATTACTTTATCAATATTGAAATTATTTGGGGTAACCTAGATTGGTGGACTTTTGTCCTATCTCCTTACTTATATTTACAGACAATAAGGCACTGATTGCAAAGGAGAGTTCCAATGTTTAAAAAAGGTAACTAAATAGCTTCCTTAGCAAATTGCATGCTAAACATTTTCATAATAAACTGTCCAATTGGGTTGAACCAGAAAACAGGCAAGCAGGTTCTAGTGCCCAGTCTTAGATCACTTTTATTTTTTTAGTATCTGACAAAATATATACTTTTAGGCCAGGATCTGTACTACCAGCAGCTTTTATTGATTTCAGATTTGCTTTTGACTTTATCTTTTAGATAAAAATTACAGCAGATATGTCAGGCAAGGATGCATCTTGGTGGCAATACGGTTCTATCTATATTATGATCAAGATTGAATAATCAAGCTCTGATCTTTCAAAATTGAAGGACAGACCAGGCCTTTGGTGAAAAAGTGAGAGCCTTCCCTCAATTCCATCTGTATATCATACTTGGCCATATTTTTTCTTTTTTCTTTTCTTTTCCTTTCATTTTATTCTTAATGGAAGTATAATTTGATTGTTGTGAATCAATGAGAGTTGGTTAGAGTACAAGTTTTATTATGATGGTTGGATGCATACTCAGCCAGATGTTTATAGACTGGATTTGGCATTTTTATCCACCTATTGAGTCCTCCCCAAAGAACTGGGTAAGCAGATCTTGTTGTTTAACAATAAAGGTATTGTTTCAGGATATAAGATGTACCAAGTAAAACTGCCTTTTACAATTGATTTACACTAGTGGCCAAAATTGTGGAAAACTTTTGGGAAAAAATGTATTTTTGAGGTTTGATGACTAATAATATCACTTTTTTTGGGAGTAGTACCATAAAATTATATATCTATGGAAAGATAATTTAATCAAGAATGTAATACTTTTCAACCTTTGTTTGAGAGATAAAAGTGGCCTTTAATGGAATTCTAGATTTTAGGCCAAATTCCTGCAGTCTGCGTCGAACAGTCCTCGCACTCAACTTCACATTGCATTGCACCATTTCATCTTGTATACACTCAGATGATTTTCTTCTGTCACATAGGCACAGTCTCTTAATTCTTCTATCATCACTTGCTGTTGTGCACCTTTTCCTGCCTTTGCCAGTGTGGTTTTGTAGTGACTGAGTCTCCTTATACCTCTTCAAAAACTTAGAAATGCCACCTTTGGTTAAGTTTCCACCAATTTTTCTTCTAATTTCTTTATAACTGTAGCTTGCTCACTTAATAATACTATTTTACATCGCTTTCTGGGCGATCAGTCAACTCTTTGCACCATTACTTTAATTTTATTACGTTTTACAAGTTCACTATATGAAAGAACACAAAAAAACGCAACCAACTTGATAGTGATCACATAACATACTGACAAATGCCCTCCTCTCAGCTTCAATATATGACATCAATAAATCCTATGTGATCTGATTGGCTCATTGCCAAAACAAGATGACACCTGATTGGCTCTCTAAACACTCATGCTCATTGGCTACAATCAGATGAAGGAAAGCTGCCTGATATCAACCTAAGCAAGTTGTGCTTCCTTTTTTCTGGTTATTTGGCTATAGCTTTTCATAGAATACAGATAATTGAACAAACTTTGTTGAATTACATTCTTGATTAAATTATCTTTCCATTGATATATAATTTTATGATACTACTAAAAGAAAATGGTTATTAAACCTCAAAAATACACTTTTCCCAAAAGGTTTCCACAATTTTGACCACTACTGTATAGTGATTTTGTCAGTGTCAATGGTGTTCAAGTGGTGCTCCAGTTGTTTTGGGATTGCACTCAAGGTGTCTATTCTTATTGGTACTACCTTTGCTTTCTTTTGCTATAGTCATTCTATTTCTATTTGAAGGTCTTTACATTCTATTGTCTTCTCCAGTTCTTTCTCCTACTCTGGAGTCACCAGATACTGCCATGTCTACTATAGATTTTTTGTCTTTCTTATCAATAATTGTTAAGTCTAGGGAGTTAAGTGTCAGGTGCCTGTCTATTCTGTTCTGTTCTATTCAAAAATCCCAGAGCGCTTTACTGTCTTCATTTTCTATTGCTCTATTTTGTGGTCCCAGAGTTCTTGCTTGAAGGCAAGTGGCATTTCTTGCAGATACCCAATGCACCACTGTTGCTACTTTGTTATACTGTTGTTTATATTCAGTCTGTGCTTGCAGCAGATATGTAGGTGGTCCACTGTTTATTTAGCTTCTGTTGCAGAGGAGGCATTTCTATTCTTCGTTTGGCCTTTCTTGTCAGCTAGATTGGTATGGAATACTCTCTGGTATTCGGTAAGCTTTCATCATTACTAGCTTCAGTGCATCTTCTTTACTGTATCTTTCATATATTCTTCCAATTGCCTTTTCTCTTCAACTGTCTGGTGTTCTTGAAACATTACATGCCCATCTATTTTCCTTGGTAAGTAGAGTCTGTCAGTATTGCTGCAAAGACGAAAGGAATGATTCATTGTCATTATTTTTCTGGTCTTCCTATCCAGGACTTTTACTTCTGCTTCAGTCCAGTCCATTATTCCAGATGTATATTTAATGATTGGAATTTCTCAGGTGTTAATCACCTTGATGGTATTTCTGTCATTGGGTTCAGACTTTGAGATCTTCTTCACTCTTCTATGTATTCACTACTTACCTTCTTCTTAAGTATGTTTTATGTGGTCAGCCTGAAGGATGCCCAGGTATTTGTAATAATATTCTTCATTCAGATTATTGATGTTATGTTTATATGGTATAATGATTCCCTTCTGGCAAGCACCAAAGCCAGAAATCAGCGAGATCTGTTTTGCTTGTTCCTGTGGCTGGGCAGCCTGGCTATGGTTGGTTTGGCTCTCAGGCTGGTGAAGAACCTGTGGGTGAAGCCAAATGAATCACTCTGGAAAGGGGAGTGGGGAGCAAAGAGAAGCTGTCTGGATGGCCTGGTCATCTCAGCCTGTCTTCTGGCTCGATCCTCTCTCTCTCCCTATTGCTAGCCACCCTCTGCAAAGAGGGAAGAATTCGGGCAGGCCTTACAACACCACTGGTTGCTTGTTGGAATCTCTGCCTCTCTTCTGATGTTAACACACGAGTTTCTCTCAGTACAGGTCCCCAAATACTTGATAACCTAGAGGCGTCGTCTCGTCTGTTCATATTCTGCGGCCTCTTTTCAATTTCGATGGCCTCCCTGATTATTCTTTTGTTGAGATGTTCCTCTGTCGCCACTATTCTGGTTTTATTAAAATCAATATTGTGTCCCGTGGCCTTCATGTGTTGTACCAAAGAAGAAGTTTGCTCTTCTTTCCTCACTGCATTTTTATGTTCTTCTAAACCAGTGGTTCTCAACCTGTGGGTCGGGACCCCTTTGGGGGTCGAACGACCCTTTCACAGGGATCGCCTAAGACCATCCGAAAACACATATTTTCAATGATCTTAGGAATAATTTTATGGTTGGGGGTCACCACAACATGAGGAACTGTATTAAAGGGTCGCGGCATTAGGAAGGTTGAGACCCACTGTTCTAAACGTACACTTATTCGTCTATTTGTCTGTCCAATATAAGATGACTGACAGGAGGTACATGGCACTTCGTATATCCCCTGGTTTTCCAACTCAATTTTATCCTTAGGATTTCTCACCATCATCGATATTTTTCTATCTGTACGGGAACACTGTTTTTATTTTTTGTTTCTGTAATATCTTACTAATTTTGTCGGTGGTCCCTTTTATATAGGGCAGGATGGCAGTTCCCATATTCTGTTCTTCTTCTTGGGTTTTGCTCTGTCCTACTGTCCCTTGCTGGATTTTAGTTCTAATTCTATTTTCGTGGAACCCATTTTCCATTAATACTTCTGTGAGGGTCTTAAACTCTGTTTGTACATGTGCCTCATCTGCTAGACGTTTAGTTCTAGTGATTAAAGTTTTTGCCACTGAACTTATTTGTGAGGGATGATGGTGTGAGTGTGCATTCAGGTAACGATTTGTATGTGGCTTCTTTTGGTAAACACTGTGTCCTGATGGCACCCTAGGACACAGTGTTTACCAAAAGAAGACACATACAAATCGTTACCTGAACGCACACTCACACCATCATCCCTCACAAATAATTTTAATTTTTTGCATATACACGCCCGTGAAAACTTAAGAAGACATATATATATATATAGGTCTTTGGTTATTCAGGTCTTCTCCCACGTAAAATTGGAAGTGTCTTGGCGACGTTTCGACGGAAGTCTCATTCGTCATCTTCAGGCTGGTGTTCTCGGCTTCGTGCTTCCAGGAGCAATGTGAGATCGCAGCTGTCTCTTCCTTTTAACTGCTAGTGGGGTGTGAGCTGATTGGGTGGGAACTTGGCTGTGTTCTGATTGGGTGGAGGTGTGTTCTGATTGGTTAGGGCTTGGCTGTGCTCTGATTGGATGGGGGTTTGGTTGTGCTCTGATTGGATGGGGGTGTGTTCTGTTTGGGTGGGGGCTTGGTTGTGCTCAGCTTAGTCTGAGTTGCAGGGGGATTTGAGCTGGTGAGCTGCGTTGTTGTTGTTTGGCTTCGTGTTTGTGGCCATGTGCGAGCTCTTCATGGTGGGTGTCAGTCTGCTTCATGTATGGATTGGAGGGGTTTAAAGTGGCTAATGATGCAGCTGCGGTCTGGCTTCTGGTCCTTGGTCGTGGCTCATTATCACGTGGGTTTAGTCTGCTTCTGCGTGGACTGCGTGGCCACGACCAAGGACCAGAAGCCAGACCACAGCTGCATCAAACTTTCAAACTTCGTCAAAACGTCGCCAAACACTTCCAATTTTACGTGGGAGAAGACCCAATAAACCAAAGACCTACATATATATATATATATATAAATATACACAGCCAAGTTCCCACCCAATCAGCTCACACCCCCACTAGCAGTTATATATATATATATATTATTTTTAAATATACATCAATATCAATACATGAACAGTGTGGCCCCTGGGTATAATTCATTTTGATACAAATATTAATAATGATAATCATAATAATTATTATATTAATCAAACATATAATCCTAGTATTAATATACATGGTTTTTTAAAAGTAATTATTCAATATTTCAATATTCCATTTTAATGCCAATAATGTTGTAAGAATACATGGTAATGCCATCCTTCCCCCTCTAATCTTTTCCATCAAATTATTACTTATATTCTATTATATAAAAATAAAAAAATATATCTGCTAATATTCCTCCTATTTCTTATTTCTACCTCTATTCTAACTTCTAATCAGATCACTATTGCTAATCCTAATATTAATACACATGTTTATATAAGGCATAGCCCTTCATTATTTAGTTGTTCAAAGTCACAATACGCCATTCAAGTACCCTTTTTCAACCTCCAATCTTTCCATCTAACTATTGCTTCATATGAAAGTTTGTATTCTTATTTCTATCTCTATTCAAATTTCTAATCAGACAAGCATTATATTAGAATACATATATAACTCCATCATCTCTCGCCCGTTTTAATACTTCAATTCTTATTCGTTTTTTGGCTTGCCTCCTATACTCCTCTCTTGGATCTTTATCTCTATCAATATCTCTATCTTCACCATTCAGACTGAATATTTCTCTCATCTCTATCCTCCTAAATTGCCAGGTCTCAAGAATATCCTTTGAAAAATATACTCCCGGTTATCCAATTCCATTTTTAAATCTCTTAAAGTGTTTTTCCCTTGGTTTATTTCATCAATCATTATTATCTTTATCATCTTCTTCCCATCTTCTTGCTTTGTTTGCTGGTTTGTCCATTCTGTCTTTTCTTCATTTCTTTCTGCTATCTCCTCTCTTTTCTGGACTCTTTGACCTTTGTTCACCACCACTTGTAGCATATTTTCTATTTTCCCATATATGCCTTGCATTAGGTACTTTATCTCTCTGTGATACTTTTCCATAGTACCCCTAATCTTTGAAACATCAATGCCATTTCTCTTGAAATCTCACTCCTTTTCCCCCTGATGGAGCATCTTAATTTAATAAGTCCTGCTCTTACTCAAGTCCAAAAGCAATATATTCCAATCCAATGTTACTCCTCAGAAAGTTCAGTAATCACAGTCCTTTATATCTCAGGATTATTAATCAATTCCATTTAAGTAGTCCAGGAAGCTTCTGCAGGTCAAAAATAACTTTGCTTTACTTAAAAAGTCTTCCTTATTCTCATAATAGAGTCTCCAGTAATCATAAAGTAACTAGTTATAGAATAGTAAATGTCACCACAATCCTCCAAATGAATGTTATTTATTTCTCTCATCAAAAAGTTTTTTCTAAACTTGTAGGGATCTGGTATATTCCATTCACCAGTAGATGGCGCTGGTATATTCCATTCACCAGCTTAGGTTTTAGCGTTGTTTCAAGTCTTATAGATTTAATTAATCCAAATTTAGTTCAGTTTATGGAAGCAAAGTCAAGTAAATTCAAATAGATAGTCCAGCATTTTTAATGTCTTTCCAAAACAACGCCTGCCCAATTTAAAAGTCCAATTTTCTGTTTTAAAGGGTATTTAGCTTTTGTCCCCTTAGTTCCTTTCTTTCGGGTCTAGGATTTTTCTCTCTATGGTAGTTCGCCACTTTAAAAAATAGTTCTAGGCGTTTCTTTTCCTGGATTTTCCTTTCTTATTTTCTTTAAAGTTAGGGCCTAAATAAAAAGGAATCTTCTCACCCAGCTCCAATCACTGTTCATCTGCACTTCTCCTGCACGTTTCTTTGTTGCCTCAGCTGTCCCAGCTTTGTGGCAGCCATGATGGCTGCTTCTTCTCATTGAGGGAGAGGGAAGAAGCCCTAAGTCCAGCAGGAGAGTGCTGCTCTCCCTGAACTACAGGGCGCCCCTCTTTTCTTCATCACCTCTACAGGGTGGCTTTAGCTCCTTTTGGAGCCCTCCAACAGGAAGAACTCGGCATGGGAACGCGGAGACTTGCTCCTCATGTCCGATACCGCTGTAACGTCAGCCGGAAGCCTGGGAATATATATATATATATATATTCCTAATGTTCTCAGTGATCCTTAGTTATGCTAAAAAGTGGTATCTAAAGGCTAAATGAGCAAATAGAATTGAAAAATAGTGTAGTACAAATATAATTCAAGAAGTGCATCAATGTGTAAATAAAGCAATGAACCATCTTTGGTCACATGATGGAGAATGTACTGTTAGCATAAAATATTGCTGCTGAATGGAAATTCTACTATGTTAAAACATACTTACTGAAGTATAAGTGTGACTAACCGAATGGCTTCTACTGCAACATCATATTCTTTATCAAGTGTCATTGATACAATGCGATCCTGAAATGATAGAATGTAACATGTTTCCAGAAGAAATTGGAATCATAATATATACACATTTAATAAGCAACTTCTTCCAAAACAATGCATGAAATATTCCTATATAATGTATTACATGAAATAATGCTTAAAAAAAACTTATATATGGCAGAAGAAATAAAAAACATCATAGGTGATGTCCACATAACCCAGGGGTCTGCAACCTTAAACACAAAAAGCCATTTGGACCCGTTTCCCACAGAAAAGAAAACACCGGGAGCCACAAAAACCTTCCTGTGCCTGACTATTTCTTGAGCGGCCACAAAACTAGCATATGTAGTTGAATTAAACATTCTATTTTCTTCTGAAATTTTTCTTTTCTTGGATTTATCCATGGTTATTGAGCTTTTCAACCGGGGGTTGAAAAGCTTTATTGAAAAGCTCAATAAATCACGTGCCGGCTGGTGTCACACACCGGCGGTTGTGATGCATATTTTGAATGACAGGGAGCTGCAGCAGAGGGGTGAAAGAGCCACATGAGGCTCCAGAGCCACAGGTGTATGTTACTCAGTATTCAGTATGAAATTATTCAAAAATAAATACAATATATCATATAAACTTTCTGTGTAGATTTTACATAATGATCTTAGCAAGTGGTGAAGAACCCCTTGTCTAATAATCACATGGAATATATTTTCTCTACAGATATATTTCACAAATAGTCAGGTCCCTGTTTTTAAGTTGGTCTTTTAATTTTAATAATTAAATTAATACAGATTTGTTTTAATTATATTACATTACGTTAGATTTTAATTTGCAATATATTATGCTTTAGCTCCAAACCTGAAAGAATGCTTAGGGGTTATTGCATGTATGTACCTGGCTGACTTGTGGGCACCTCCCTAAATAAACTTAATCGTTTCTTGGTTTTACATAATTGCCACTCAATTCCAGGAAAATAAATATATAAATTGGTTCCATCAATTCACCAATGTATGCTACAAAACACTCTTATTATATTATGTCAATGTCTATTTAACTCCAAAATGTATATTTTTAGATTTCAGATCCCTACTTTTTATTGTGTTGATTTTTTAATTAATTCTTATATATATTGCTGTTGTCACTATGTCATCTGGGGATGTAAGATACACATGGTAGTACTAATATTATAATTTTATATCACTTTTAAAAAACAGAATGTTTTAAAAGATAACATATACTTTATAAATTTAACATTAATTTTTTTCTAATACAAATAAAGTGAGCAGTTAAAATCGCTCTATGTAAATTTAGAATATAATCCCACATTAATCAGGAAGAGCCTGTAGTACAGTGGACTAAAGCACTGTTATTAACAGATTAACATCTGATGCTTGCAATTACTGCAAGTTCAAATCTCACCAGGCTCAAGGTTGACTCAGCCTTCCATCCTTTCAAAGGTAGGTGAAATGAGGACCCAGATTGTGGGGGCAATAAACTGACTTTGTATAAATATACAAAAGTATGAAGGCTATTGCTTAACGCATTGTAAGCCGCCCTGAGTCTCCGGAGAATGGCGGCATATAAATTAAAGCAAAAAAAAATAATAATCATCAAGTTAATTAGAATTTGTCTTTTAACTCTATGTAAAAACAGATAACAAGGGCTTTGTAGTTACTGCTCTCCCCCTTAAAATTGGACATTTTACAGATTTTCTTGTCAAATATATGAACAAAATCTCTTTGAACTAAACAGTTTTAGTTATAGTGAAAGAAAAAATTAAATTAATATAGTTCTTTAAAAGTAATGAGCTGTGTTTTTGAACAAAGTAGCCATTTGCTTTATGCCATAGTACTATAGATATTAATAGATATAAAAAGGTTAGGACAGAAGTCCAGGTCATGGTTGTCCCAAAGGTGCTTTTTTCAAGAGGCAACTGGACTTTCTTGTTTTTCTTTGAAGACGAATCCTTCCATTCCCTACCATCCAGTCAGAGCTGAAGAAGCTTCTTGGATGAGAAGCAAAACGTCTTCAAAGAAAAATCAGAAAGTCTAGTTGCCTCTTGAAAAAAGCACGCTTTGGGAAAAATGTAAGTTTAAATCACATCTGAAACAAATTATAGTGTGGAATATGTCTATAGTAATGCTAATTCTAGCCCTACTATGGAAATGTTAGGTTGTATGAGGATTCTTCCAAAACTTACTAAAATGAACCTTTTCTCTGTGGAATAATGTTTTTCACATATTCAATGCAAGTATGACTTTATAAATTTTATAAATTTTCATGGTCCTGAATCATTATAGAGGACAGAAATTCATAAATCGGTGGGAAACAAATACAAATGCTTACATAGGATCCACAAAATTACTTATGAAGACGCTCCTGTCTCCACAAATTCAAATAAAAGAATCTGCACAATTTCAGATAAGGGGTTGATTTAGTTGCTCAATGCAAATGAATCCTTTTGCAGATGGCTGACTCATTTAAATGTTGTTACACCCAGTTGTTTGGGAACTACTCATAGAAGAGGTTTATATGGTGTGGGTAATGTTTACATTTAAAACTGTGATCTAACCTGAAAAATGAAGAAAACCTAGAAATCACCATCTATATACTAAAGGAACAGGAGAAATATTGGCATGACATAAGCTGGAGATTTTTCCCAGTCCAATCACACTGTCTAAACCAACTTATTCTCCCAATAAAGAGACTGGTTCCTATTGGTTGAAATTAAAAGCACCTGGGTATTCTGATCATTATATAATGGGAAGAACACACACAAATGGGATATAGAGTATTAAACATAAATAGGATTACTCAATAAATGATCATCTAAACAGGTGATTTCTGATTGTACAGATAGTGATTAAGAAATAGCAATTCTATGAAGGATGCATATTCAGTGTCCGATGATTCAGTGAAAAGTCAATCTCTGTCCATCTGGTTGGGTCATTTAAATTATATGCCTAGCTGCCATTCAGAGAAAATAAGCTTTCATGCAGCTAGAAATGTTACAGTTCAATTTTGAGAATGTGGTAATAAAAACTGTTGTGCAAAGATTATAGGTGAAACAGTGAAGTGTTCTGAAGGTAACTTCACATGCTGTAAATCAGAGTTCCACAACCTTTCTGGGTTGGCAGCCCAGAGCAGGGGTGGGGGGGAAAGAGCCGGCCACTCATCCTCCCCGGTTGTGAATAGGCCATGGCCCGGTAGTGGGCTGTAGCCCACAGGTTGGGGACCCCTGCTGTAGATGGTTTGTTAGAGTTAATGACACAAACAAACAAACTAAAAGGTAGGAAACGACAGGCCAAAAACATTTAAAGAAAGCACAATCTCAACTGATCACATCTTCTATACAACTACTAATTTATTTTTCAGACTTGTGCCTGAATACTCCCAACAAACCCAGACAGAGTTTAGTTTATGTCATTGTAGCAATTCATATGTATACATTTGATCACTGATAATTATTATTTATATAGTTCATAAGCTTTAGAAATCTATCAATATATCAAAGAAATTTTCTCAAAGAAAACATATTCCACATTTGCAGCATAGCACATTATACTATGTATTAGTCAAAAAATATTGGTTATATTTTAAAAGATTTACTGCCATAAAATGTTCTTTTCAGCAACCAGAATGATCACTTATATTTAAGTTAACTTCTTAGCATTTTATAACTCTTACCCTTACCTTAAATCTATTTGTAAATAGCTCCAATTTGGGGAACAATTCTCTGTTGGTATACAAACTCTGCAAAGCTTTTAGACATTTCAACCTCACTTCACCTTGCTAAATTAAAAAAAATATTAAAATTTACTTTGTATAATAAAATACAGTAGAAAAGCATGTATCAGCATTTTAATAAATTATTTTCAGTAATATGTTGTAACACAAAATTATCTTTTTTATTTATTAGTTGTCTTTTTATTAAATATTTGGAATGATTTGCAACAGTAGACACAAGCCTTTACAATGACAGTATGTGTCTGAAAATAATGACATCACCAATAACAATTTTGGCTTGGATTCAGAAAAGGTTTTGTTCCCACTACACTGGCTTTCAAATTTTTATATTTTAATATAAACAAATAAACCTCTGAACAAAATTTTCCTTGCATGCACCCTGTCAGCTGCTAGAGTCATAATTTTAAAACAAGAAGATAAGTAATAGGGATAAAAAGGCAGCAATGTTACTTTCCAAATAGCTGATTTGGCATAGTATGATAAGCTACTTATTTTGGATGAATAGAAATAAAGTCCCCTTTCTGATTTTGGATTTAAAAAGAAGACAAAATCTTCAAGGAACCCCCCCCCCAAGATCTGAATCCTCTAGGAAAAGTGATTTGACACACAGAGATAGTACTGTCCAAATTGTCTGCTGATCAAGATTTAGAACTTTAATTGGACTATAAATAACCTCAGCAGAAAGCAACATCATAGGTTTTCAGATCAGTACTATAATCTAAAAGAAAAATATTATTTAAGTTCTTTCAAAAAGCATTATACCTTTTATAGAGAATAAATTATAAACAAGTACAAATTTTAGTTGCACTCGCAATTAAATATTTGTTTCTGTTTATCAAGGACTGTTGTAACACACCGCTAACTACAGACAGGAATAATCTAGTTCCTTTTAATGTAGCAACATTGATATTTTGTTTAAATAGGATGAACAGATATACACAAAATGCATTACTTCAGTTGTATGAAGATGTTTTCATATATTGAATAAGGGAGAAAAAAAGTAGACGGAAGAATTAGCAGCAGACATAAGCTTATCAATAATGGTTATATATAAATGAACCAAAAATGGATTTGATAGACTATATTGCTGAGAAAGTGAGAAAGCAATATTTTCTTTCACATCAAAAATGAAAATAGCATTATTTACAGAAATGCAGCACTTACTCTGTCATGAAGTGTCCAACCAACATATTTTAAATAACTATCATTCAGGAAGGCATCACTGTACATTTTCATCCACACTCCAATTTCTTCAATACAAACAGCTCTAATCTCAGCAATAGCATCACTATATAAAAAAAAGAGTGAAAATGTATTTTTAGTTTTGTGCATAGAATTACAGTAATGTGATGCTTATTTTTTTCTTAGCACTTTTCTCCTTTAAATGATACTGGTATTTGTCCTTTATTGTCTCTAATGCTAATCAGCAAGGACGATTGGAAACTAGTTATTTCATGTAGGTGATTTAAAGCATTCAAGAATGAAGAATTTACAGTTCTATAAAGTACTTGTACCCTTTCCTCGAATGCACAGCAGGCAATCCATAAGTCCCATGTCAGAGCATTTTTTTAAAAAAATCCATCTTTTCCATGACGTTTTAAGCATATCCCTTAGTCTCCATATCCTGCTTTTGCAGAAGCCGTATACATAATACTCCCTGTTCAAACTTTCTCCACAATAACAACTTTGGGGGGGAGGAGCATCCTGGATTAAGAGGAAATGATTGGCCCAAAGCCATCATGATGTTTCCATGACAATAGGTGGATTTGAACCTGGGCCTCCCTGACTGTAATCCAACAATTTAAAATACAATTTTAACAATTTTACTACACAGTCTCATAAAATGTCAATGCCTGGAGTTTTTATTCCATCTATTTGATAAATTTTAAGCAGGACAGGGGAAATATTATTTTTAATTGCTAATAAGGATTCACAATGTCTTTTTACTCTTACCGATATCTATGGACAAATATTCCTTTGAAAATGGAATTCATCATATTTTCAATTTCATCCTGATTCTCTTGCAACTGAAATACAATTAAATATGCTTACTTTAATTCTTTTATTTACACACATAAATAAATTACTGCCCTGGGGCACATCAACACAGTTAATAACATTTTTTCATAATCAAGACTGACTATAAACATGAAATACTTATTATTCATCACCTTGTAGGAAGTTAGCACCCACCCCTCTCCTAGAAGAATGAAATATTCTAGGAAATATTAAAAAGGTAGAATATTATACCTCCCTGGATGAGAAAAGGAGAAACATGCTCTTGGAAAAGCAGCTCCCACCTTTGTTAATAACTCCAGAATGACTGGTGCCAACCTATCTACAAGACAAAAGACTGGGCCATCTTATTTACAAAAGACCTTCAGCTCCAGGGTGATAGGATTAGCCCTCACTCAAGATCCAAATCAGGACAAAGCCATTAAGCCATAATAGGAATTGCCCAAAGCCCCTTCATTACATCACCCAGCAAGATTCAACCAAGCCTGGGACTCAAGACAACCTACAAAACTACCCCTGCATGGCCCCATGGGAGTCTGACAACCAATCAGAATACGTTTCTTTCACAGGAACAGGAAGCAAGTTCAAAGCCCAAGAGAGAGTATAAAGCTCTCTCTCTCTCTCTCACCCACCCACCCACATCCATGTGCTCGGTTGCCCAGGACCTCAAACCATGTCCTGTCCACCATTAAACCATCTTTCCAAACAGCTTCCATGTTTCCAGTGTCTTTCTCCCTACTTGGAACTTGAAGACCCAGATGGACATTTTTTCCAACAACCTAAATGTCACGGCTACAGTAGATTAAATTCATTTTTAAAAGTATTTTATTGAAAATGTTAATTACAATAGTAAAAGAAAATATGAGCTAACTTCAAAAAGAAGAGAGAGTAAAGGAAAAAGAATAAAAGCTATATAGAAAGAAAAAGAAAAGAAAAGAAAAAAGAAATATTTAAAAAAGTTACTTTCAATTTTCATCATAAGTACAAACTTATAATTCATCTCTCCCTTATAAAGTATATATTTTCCCCGTGACCCATATTTTATCCATATGCAAGTCTAAAAATCATCGTGCCCAACTCTGAATTATCTATGGTATTTTGGCTACTTACATCTTTTTTTCTGTCTGCATCTATCACTTGCCCTCTTCCCCACCCCTCCCAGTAAAAAATAATCAGTGATCCAAATCAATAATTTTGAAATAATGACCTCTATAGCTTATTTATAAGACAATTTTAAATATTCAAAGAAATTTTAAGATTCAAAAGAGTATAAAACTTCAAACAAAAAAATTAATTAAGTATTATTTTAAAGAAAATGTAAGTATATTTCACTACAAAAAGATAAATAGCTTTAGTTTAATCTATCAGAATTGGAAATGCATTATTTTGTATATGGCATTTTATAATATTGCCACACTAAAAGTCAAGTGTTATGTGAAATGTTAATAGCATTGTATTTTATGGCTGTTGAACCTGCCTTCTATTGAATTTGTGAAATGGAATTTTTTAGATGATAGATACAATGCTTTTTCTGTTAAATTTGCAGATTAAAAATTATATCTTCCATTTCATAACATTTTTTATTCCAGATCACAAAAAAAACCCTTTCTTCCATATATGACAGAAAACACTCCATTTTCATGGAAACCAAACTTTTGTGAGTGTGTGGCCCATTTTCAGTAGAACTTCCAGTGGGGACAGAAAATCACCAATGCCAGCTTGCTCTTCTTTCAATTTTTGGCTAGAAACTAAATACAATATTGAGTAGAGTTAAATAACTGATTAATAATTGGGGCAATATCTCAAAATGGAAAAAGAGATACTTAGATCCTACCTAATTACATCATTATACTATTTGTCATTTGATTGATAAATAGTTACCCATATCCTAGATAACTTGATAGAATATTTAATTTAATTTGAGAAATGCATTAAGGGACCATTTCCGTTCCACAATCTCACTCAAATGAATCTATTTGACACAATCTTGCATTCCATCAATGTCATATTGTGTAGTATTTGAAAGGTCAGCTCACGGGTTGTAAACTGATTGTGTGTTTTTTTCCTCCCCTCCCGTTCAATAGTGCCTACTTCTTGGAGACTGCCAGGACAAGTTCCTGCAGTTGGACCTCATGAATTTTGCAAATCCATAAGTGATTTGTCTTAAGGCTCAGAGAAACTTTTTGCCCGAGGCCTCCCTACTGGATTTGTGCTTAAGGCAGAACTAGAACTCATGGTCCCCAAGTTTCTAGCCTGATTCCTGAAATACTACACCATACTATCATCAGGTGAGTAGGAATCTGGTAATGGATGTGATAAGTATTTGAGATGAAATGATTTCTTAACAATTTCACTGTGCCTGTCTGTCCCATCAAATCAACCCAAAGCTTTGGGATAGCAATATTTGGGGGGCTATTCCAATGCTAAAGTCTAGCAGTTATGTGAATTCAATACACAAGAAACCAGCCAAAATATAATTCAAAATTACTTGAACAAAGGTAATCAATAACACTCTCCAATATCCCTGCATCCTCCTCCCCTCTTGCCTGATCTATGCACACATATTTGTGTACTGCCCATGTAAAATATTTAACAAAAATGTAAATGGATGAAGGATAATATTTTGGTAACCCAGACAGACTATGATTACCGTATTTTTCGGAGTATAAGATGCTCCGGAGTATAAGACACACATTAGTTTTTTGGGAAAAAAACAAGGGGAAAAAAATCTGCCTCTGCCTAACAGCATCCATTGGTATTTATCTGGCTAGTGTCCTTGCAGCAAACAGCAAACAGCCTGGTCAGCTTCAGCACGTTATCTCACTCTGATTCAGCATGAGAAGTTGATTGGCAGTTGGATCGGCCTCCAGGAATACTGCCAATCAGCTGTTCCAGGCTGTGGGGATTGCCACAGCCCATCGCCCCCTCCATCGGTCGTGTTTTTGGCCTCCATGCATCACATTTTCTGCTGGTTCCAGGAGGCAGGGATTGCCACCGTTGCCACCATTCCACGCTGCCGGGAACCGGCCAAAAATGAGATGCACAGAGGCCAAAAACGGGGTGTGCAGAGGCTGAAAACGTGACGCACAGAGGCCACTATCGACGGTGATGTGCTATGTCGATCCCTGCAGCTTGGAACAGGTCTAAAATGGAGCATCTGGAGGCCGAAATCACAACGCGTGGAGGATGAAAACGGCTGAAGGGTGGGGGCCAGCAGGTGGACGGGTCTTCGGCAACATTCAGTGTATAAGACGCACCACAATTTTCACCCACTGTTAGGGGGGAGTGCATCTTATACTCCAGAAAGTATGGTAATTACTGTCTTATCCTTAAAGACCTGGCTGTTCTCTTAGGCCTTGAGATTGAGTGAATGGAATCCTATGTTAGATATATTTGTCACATAATGCATATGTTTTAAAGTTAGTTCTCTGGATTTGCTATTTGTTTATTTTCCTTGCTGCACTTTTTATTTATCTTATTGTATGCACATTTTTATATTGCTCACTGTGTAGGGATGGTTTGGAATTAGTCACTGCCCAAGTCCAATTAAATACATAAATTTCTCCCTCAACTAGCCAAAATGAAAGAAAAAATACAAAGCAATGTTCACTGTTATTATGCTGAGTAAATAAACAAGATTTTATTTTAAAATGGTAACACTGAACTATATAGATGAGTGTTTACCTATCTGAAGTGTTATGTCAATATGTAAAATCTTGAAAATCTAAATTATTAATATATTATAACTTAATGAACTACATATCATGCAGCTTTATACCATCTAATTACAAGGATTGTTTTAATTCTTATTCATTACAAAAATGCTGCGGTATTTCTGTTAAATATTAACCAATATGGAATGATACAAGGATCATTTATTTAAATGATGCTTGAAAACTGATTGAATTTCATTTATATTAAAGGGACAGTTTATATGCAAAAATCAATTTTATAGTTTTACAGTTTTATAGTTTTGGACCTGCTGGTCTGAACGGTAAAGATACCGTGAATTGTATCTTTTCTGAATTGCCTTTTAAAGGTGAAAAACTATGACAGTCACTCTGAACAGTCATTTACCTCTTTCCGTTTTTGAAGAAGCAGCTCCAATCTTTCATTAGCTCTTTTACCAATCATTTTGTTTCTTTCAGCTTCATACTGTCTTTGTGTATTATCCTGATGAATACTCAGGTTTAAGGCAACATTCACAAGAGCAGTCATAAGCTTCATAGCTAGGAAAAATACAAACAAAATTAGTTCTCCTTTTCCATGCTCAAATGCATTTTTGAAACAATTATCTGCTTAATAATAACTAGAAGCCGAAGATTCTGATCTATTTGTGTTGAGGTAAAATACGGATGTTACTTTCAGAATCTGTAATTATGCCTTACTCATAACAGTATATCAATGAATTTAAAATCAAGAGACAACTTCTTGGCAATACCTATGTATAATATTAGAAGGGTTGCAGTTTTCCACAGATCCAATATGGAAATCAGAGATGGCTTATTATTGTCTGCCAAGTAGTTTAGTATGTAATCTTGAAAGCTTATATCCAATAGTTCTGACGGCAAAACCCCCCAGAATTTTCTAATATGGATCCCATTAAAAATGTAGACATTAGTAACAAATAATAAAGATATCAGAACTGTTCAAGATTCATCAGAATCCATGCAGGGCTTTAGTTTATGCAAGTCCTAATTGCATCTATACAACCTGCATTTCTGCTTTATTTTAGGTTTTGACAGAGAGCTATACTCAAATTCAAGGAAATATGAGTACTGTACAATATTCTAAAATCTCTGATTGCCATGCATGGATGAGAGAGAAAGAAAGGGATGGGGCTGCACGTACAACTTTCTTCTCTATTCAATCTGCCTAATATTAATATGGATATTGTTATTTTACATTCTGATCATCAGCAATTCTTTTCCAGAATGAATCTAACCATTAATTTCAATGGATATTAATAAGATTAGGAAAGTTTATTCATTTCATTTATTTCATTTCTAAAAAAAAGTGAGAGTGGGGGAAAAAAAGAAATATATTTCTTTGAATGCAATGGAGCAAATTTTCATTTGGACTTCTTCACAAAATAAAGGACAAGTTGACTTCGTCCAAATTACTTTAATTTAAAGTTAATTAAATTTACATTACTTTACATTTTACATTGATTTCATGAGTTCCAATCCAATTTACCTTATTTGCAGAGTGTTGTCATTTGTAGTAATTTCTATAATTTGCATTACACAAAAATATATTTATATTCAATAGACATTAAGAAATAACAGACAAACCATCTCCCCAAGTGGTACACCAGTAACAGACTAGTCCATAATTAAAACAAAGTATGTTTGTATATTAAAAAGTTTCCTCAGTTTGTTTGTACAATTTCATATAAAAAATGTAATACAGGACAAATTTATAAAGAGAGGTATTATATTTTATGGCTTTTGTAATTCTTTTGTAAGAAAATAGATTAAAAATAAATTATATGCAAAAAATATTTTACAACACCTTTCCCCCCAAAAAACCAGTTCCCCCAAGCATTTGTGCAAGTGTACTGTTTCAAACCAGAACAATTATACATTCTTTCTGAACTATTCACATATGAAAATATATATTCATATCCTCTGAATAAATTGTTCCAAAGATAAAAAAATATCAATAACAACACACAGATTTATCATAATGTAATGATTATTTTGTATGCTTTGTCTACCTACCAGCAAGTGTACTGGTATGTCTGAAAGCTCGAACCTGCGAATCTGACAAACCAGTCAGCAATGAGATCACTGTGTCCATCATATATTCATCATAGATGATGCTATATTGACATTGTCGTATTAGTACTCCTATGAATTCACAAAAATTTGATCTGAATTTTTTCCACTGTGGTCCAGGCATTGTAAGTGGATAATCGCCACTGTCCTGCAGAAAAACCAAGCACATACTATCTTTACAAAAAGCATGCTGAAGATTCTGTCAACTTCTTTTCTAATTAAAATATGAAGTTTTAGTGCAGTTTAAATTTTATCTGAATGATCAAAAACATGGTAATTTCAAAAAAAGCTACAATGTGTTGATAATCAGGAAAATAAAAGTGATGAACATGAGCCTTATTTTTTAAAAAACAGAGACAAATGGAGAAATGTGCAAAATATTATATATGAAACAACTTCTGGTGGTCTGTGTCCAGAACATAACATGCTTCTCTAGATGTGAAATTTGTATTTCAGGTAGAAGTATTCCAATATGGGAAAAATGGAAAATGGCACTGCAATCAACAACAGCAAAGGAAACAGAGAAAGGAAGTCAGTGGAAAGGCTTGGGAAGGACAAGTGAACTAACTGGATATGTTACGTTTGACTTCCAAGGGTGGAGTTGCCAAAGAGTTCAGGAAACACTGATGTCACACCATCCCCATCCTTGAATTCAAGTGTGGCATGTCCAACCAGTCTATCTGCCCCTTCCTCTGATGTTCCCAGCACTGCTGGAATATTCTGCTCTTGAATTGAAGGATAATGGTACCATAAATTCTTTAAAAATATATTAATTATATAAATAAGTCAATTAAGCTAAAGCAACTAAGAGGCGGTAAATAATAAAGACACCAGGAAGACTGTTGGGCATACAGGTACACAGGTCAAGGGAAGAAGAATGAGAGAGAGCATCAAACTTATCCTTCGCGTTCTGAATGACCTCTGCAGGGATGTGTGTGTGTGTGTGTTTGTATGTGCTGGGGTAGCTGGCTAGCTGAAGCTTATAGCAACCAAAATTTTGGAGGTTTTGGTGAGGCTAAATTGCAACCTAAATTACAATCTAAATTACAATTTTCTTCAAGCACAAAACAAAAATATTCTATTTTATTGAGAACTGTTATATGAAGAGACAAGATAGAAATAGTATTATTTCCAATTCAATTCTACTGCGTTTCATATGATATTTTGATTTTCATATCTAACCTTAGTTTCACTGTTTATGTTTTTATAATTTCCAAGAGCTCAGTTATTGTATATTTTAAGTGTCAGGTAAAACACTTGACATGCCTCTATATTTTAGTTGGCTACATTACCGCAATACACTCTATATGGAGGTACCTATTCAGGTCATAGGGCTTCAATTAGCTAGAAAGCAGTAGCCCAGTTAGTAGCTCACATTTGCTACTTATAAAGCCACACATAGCTTAATAAAAAGGTAATTGTAGGCTTTTACATAACTGAAATAGATCCAACTGATTTATGTCTTGGAAAAATATGTGGGCAATTCAAATTAGTTAATTTCACAAGGAAAAAAAACCAGTAAAGTACAAGAAAAGAAAAAGAGTAGGATAGTTGGCCACAGAAATGCTTTGAAATTTACCAGAATCTGGCAGGGAACAATCAATGTTAGGATTTAAAGAGATGGGTAAAAACAGTAAATGGTTAGATTTGTTTAGAAGAACGCTGGACTGATATTAGGACTTAAGGGTCTTCAGAGCTAAACATTAAAGAAGTGCTTTGGAACATGCCAGAGCATTTGTGTAGTAGCTGTCTGTATATATTTAAATAAAATATGACTTCCTTTGATCATATGTGAACTATGGAGAGCAGCTGTATAATCCCAGGAAAAGATACTGTGATGATGTTATCCATTCAGTCGTGTCCAACTCTTGGAGATTCTATGGGCCAGGTCTCTCCATATTTTCCAATCTTGTACTACTTCTTTGAGTTGTTCTATGCTCGGGCTGGTGTCAGCTTTGATGGTGGGAAAAAACATAGCTGTTTTAAATATTTGCAAAGAGGTTCTATGTAAGAACCTTCATGTGTTTTGAAGCACCTATTTGTGCTCATACTGGAAGCAAAGTACTGCCTCAACAGATAGGAGAAAATCATAAGAAAATGGAAAATCAGATACATTATTATCAGGATGGCAAGAGTAAGATTCATAGTGTTTCACAAAGAAAGAGAGAAAATATACCCTATATAAGGGAGAAAAAAAGTTTGATGATTAGCTGAATATTCTGAATCGCGAAGGAAAAAGAGACAAAAATTTCATGTCCGATTAAATAGTTGACAATGACAAATAAGCAATAATCTGTGGCAAAAGATAGTAAACAAGGAGAGTGATCTGTGATGTTTGATTTTGGACATGTGAGCTTCAGACAACTCTGAAATTTTCAAGCAAATTTATCAGAAAAGCACTTGAACGTAAGACACTGCCTGAGTGAGAGGTCAAATTGAATATATCAGCATTTATTTTTATTTTAAAAAATTAGGTTACCCAGGAATAATCTGTCTGGATGTGGGTACCCTTCAAATATTTCAGAACTGTGATATTAATGTTGAAACAAGAATAATAAAATATATTCATAAATAAAACCAATACTTCCTTAACTCAAAGAAAAAATCATCAGCACAGATAAAGAAATAACAGTAGATGATCAGATAAAACAGGCACCAGTAGACAGAAGAGAATTGTTTTCAGTGGGATATTGAAAGAAGAATGATAACTGATAGGAATAAACTGCATCCTAATAGTTCCAGTAAGACACCAAATTGGGATCTACCAAACAGCCTACTATGGGTATACCGCCTACAATGCTTAACTTGTTTTTTGCCAAATTTCCCAAGTCCTCTGCAAGCAAGCAAATCAATTTCCCGATAAGAAAGGACTAGTCCAGTGACGGCTAACCTTTTTGCCGTCGCGTGCCAAAAGCGAGGGGAGTGAGGGGGGGGTCGCTCGCATTCGTGCCCACACACATAATTCAATGCCCCCCGCCCCCCCGTGCATGTGCACACAACCCCCCCGTGCTCCCCTTGCTTATGGTATGATGAGCCCGCTAGGCCTGTTTTTCGCCCTCCCCAGGCTCCAGAGGCTTTCTAGGAGCCTGGGGAGGGCAAAAACAGCCTTCCCCACTCCCCCAGAGGCCCTCCAGAGGCCAGAAACAGCCCGTTTTCTGACTTCCAGTGGTCCCAGAAGGCCTGAAAATCAGCTAGCCAGCGCGCGCATGATGAGCTAGGGCAATGCTCGCGTGCCCACAGATATGGCTCCGCGTGCCACCTGTGGCACGCATGCCATAGGTTCGCCATGAGGGGACTACTCTTTTCCTTAAGATTATTGCTTGAAAATGAGAGAAGTCTGTGTCAGAAAAGTAAAAAGAAGATAGCAATAAGGGAGAGAATGGATAGTTGGCCCACCATGTGCTTTTAGCCCTCTTCACCACTGGTATACAGTATGTCATTTGACAGATCACTTTTGAAATAAAATCCTTGCTAGAACAAAACTTGCCCACTTCTGTAATAGAACAAGAAGATAGTATTTGATCAGTGGTGGTTGCTACCGCTTCGGGAGGACCGGTAGCGGTAATTTGGGCCGGTTCACCGAACCGTTAGTAATCGCTGGCTGGCCACGCCCCCGAACCAGTCCCCGCTTGCTCGCCCCTGCCGCCTGCTGCTCACTCGCCCCGCCCCTCTCCACCCAGTCACTTCTCACTTATACTGTGTGGGTCCTTGCTTGCAGGTTGCCTGCCTGAAGCACTGCGCCCCAACTGAGTGGCCCTGATCTGTCTGCCAGGTAAGCCTGCGACTTGTGGCCTACCTAGCTGCCCCTGACCCCTCCCTCCCAGCCTGCCTCCCCTACTCCCTTCCCCGCAGCCCTGCCATGCTTCCTTGCTTTCCACACAGCCTTCCCAGTGTCCCCATGGCCAGCTTGCGAAGGCAGGCAAGCGGGCCTGGCCACAAGGACCACCGGGAAGGCAGTTGTGGCTGACTTGGGATGGAAACATGGAAAAACGTGCGGCGAAGAAACTGCCTTTTCCTCTCTGACTTCTGTTAGCAGAGAGAAGGAAGAGGCAGAGGTAGCAACGGCAGCGGAAGGCAAAGAGCTGATCGCAGCCGGCATGCTTACCCAGCGGGCTTCCTTCGCATGGTTCACTTCAGCGCCGCCCAACACACACACAAGGAGGCCTCCTTTGAGAGACTTTTTTTCTTCCTCCTCCTGCAGCCACCTCGAGCACTTTGCGGTGCGGAGTACGCACATCCCGAGGTTTGGGGAGGGAAGCGGGGTGCATTAAAGAAAGGTAAAAGGGAAGCGGGGTTGGGTGGGACTTGGTCTCCCCCTCACGATCTTCTTCCAGGCCCAGATGGTTCCTCCTTTCAACCTCAGGACAAATACCTGGTCCTGCACTTGACTTGGCCAGATAGCGTCCCCCCCAGCACCCTCCCACCTGTCCTTCCTTCTCCTGACAGGCTTCGGTGATTTGTCGTGGGAGCCCTTAGCACACCTGCTCCCTTCCCGAGATTATTTGGCCACGCTTATGCGCTATGGAGGCTGGGTGGTTTTCTGGACTGTGCCGCCCTGAGAGTTGGCCTTCTGATGTTTGAAAAGTGTGTGTGTGGGTCCTCGCTGTGAAATCGGCCCGCAAAGCAGATGAAAGGAGTCTCGGAGGGGAGGCTGACGCAGCCCTTTGGTCGCCGGGGTTACCCAGCCACTAAGCCACTGCTGGACTAAGGTCTGCCTTTCGCCCGGGAATGGGGTTGCCTTCCCCGGTGCTTGGCTCTCGGGTGAAATTCCGGGGGGGCACAGCGGCGATCGGAGGGGCTGTTGGCTGGATCAAGTGACCCAGAGGGCTGCGGAGACCGAAGGTCGGGGCAGGTTGTTACTCAGGCTGAGAAGCGATGTGGGAGAGAGCCATCTTTGCTGTCCGAGGAACTCTGGGAGTTGAACTCCACAAGTCTAAAAGTTGCCAAGGTTGGAGACCCCTGCCCTAGACCACTTTAGGAGCAAAATGGTGGGTTTTGCTGGCATTTCAGGAAAAAGGGGAGGGAGAGAGAAAAGAGAGAGAGAGAAAAGAAAAAAAGAAAGACAAAGAAAGAAAAAGAGAAAGAAAGAAAGAAAGAGGAAGGGAGAGACAAGAAAGAAAGAAAGAAAGAAAGAGGGAGAGAGAGAAAAGAGAGAGAGAAAGGAAGAAAAAGAGAAAGACGGAAAGAGGAAGGGAGAGAGAGACAAAGAAAGAAAGAAGAAAGGAGAGAGAGAAAGAAAGAAGAAAGAAAGAGGAAGGAAGGGGGGGAAGAGAGAGAGAAAGTAGAGGAAGGAAGGACCACAAACCTTGGCACTAGACGTGGGTTCAGAAGACACTTTGAAACAGGACAGCAATCTAGGGCTGGAAGGGACCTTGGAGGCCATCTAGTCCAACCCCCTGCTCCAGCAGGAAACCTTATATTGTCTGGATTATTTTGGTGCCTCTAACAGAGAGGAAAATTGCCAGAAAGGAGAAGGAGTTTACTAGGACAAGGCTGCCATGAAGAGGAAGGCAGAGATAGTCCTTGACTTATGACCACAATTGAGCCCAAAATTTTGGTTCCTAAGCAAGAGCTTTGTTAAGTGAGTTTCACCACATTTTACTCAATCTATGACTACTCCTGTCTCTAACAGTCATGTGCAAGCTAGGGAAGAACATCTGAAGGTGTGTTTAATGTTCTAAATGTACAGAAGTTATAGTTAAATGTGTGGCAGAAAGTGGACTCTGGGTGTGTTTCTCCAAATGTAGTGAGTGAGGTTGAGTATAGTTTTAGGAGAGCTCTGAGTGTGTGTGTGTGTGTGTGTGTGTGTGTGTGTGTGTGTGTGTGTAGATACATATACAATATATATAGTAGATAATGTATCTTTTCGTGTGCCTATACACACTCTATACTATGTAATATGTATGTACACATATGGCATACATACATAGGATTAAATAGTATATTTTGGATGTTAAGTAGTAGTAAATAAACAGACAGGGAAATTGTATCTTGTTGAGGCTGTCGAGGCGAGGAGAGGTCAGGCACCCTAACACTAGACCTGAGTGACGTCAAGTTGGCCTTGCCCACCCAGTCACATGAACACAAAGACAGGACCACCCAGTCACATGACCATCAAACCATGCCCACCATCACATGACCAGTGGTGGGATTCAGCCAGTTCGCACCACTTCGGGAGAACCGGTTCTTAACATTCTGAGCAGTTTGGCACACTGGTTGTTGGAAGAAATGATTAGGGCAGAGAACCGGTTGTTAAATTACCTGAATCCCACCACTGCACATGACCATCAAGCCACGTCCACAAAATAAGCCACGCCCACAGAACCGTAGCATAAATTTTTGGAACCTACCACTGTATTTGATGTGTTATCCTACAAAAATATACACTTTAGTCTCAGAGGATAAGGATAGTACCTCAATGGGTTGTTTTAAAAACACATTTTAAAACAGCGGCAGGGTCTTCTTTAAGACAAGACAAGATAAGCAACTTTGATGAGTGGTGGCAGTGGTATAGAAATGTCACAGAGTGCCTCTAGCAAAACAAAATATAGGGGCCTTCATGCAATCTATGTATGTTTACTGAAAAATAAATAAGCTAACTATATAGAAATTAATGAGACTATACTAAATCTTACACATTACATCATTAAAGTTATTTTCAAAATATTTGAATTAATTTGTGTTCACAACTTTCGGTTTATTATGTAAGAAAATACTGTAAGTATGATACAATAAATACATATTTTATATACCAAATACGTAGTCTGCAATTTTAATTACAGAAGTCGTTGATATATTCTTTAATTGCTGCCAGAATAGTATAGAATAATAACTTTATTGTCACTTTGAATGTACACTGATCGGAATACATTAAAATGAAATTTCATTGCATACAGCTCTCAAAGGTCTTTATTTCTTCAAAATAATGCTTGAATTTCCTTTCCCACTCCTAAATTTTGTTCCTCTTTTAATATTCTACAAATACAAAGTATTTGTATTGTCAGGTGCAATACAGGGTTACGGTAGAGTGAAACTAGTTTAATTTCAAGCAATTTCAAAAAAACCTACTGAAATTTAAGTTTAAATATTTGTCACTGAAATCAGTCTGACATCAAAGTTCTGTGCCAGTCAATATATCTGGATAACAAATGCTCATTTCTCTTTAAGAGTTTGTTCCTTTTTCTTTTTTTTACTTACAAGGATGTATAATTATGTTTTCATACAATATACCTCCTTAAATAATTTGATTGCACAATAACATTCCCTATGTGTCCAATTTTAGTGAAGCTTAAAACATATTTTGTGTATGTCCAGTACTATACCTCATCAAATTCTTCAGTCATTTTCCTGATAATTTCTGCATTTTGCATGTTTCTAAACATTTCAATCCGCACAGTTCCTGAAATAAAGTATAAACATATTTTATAATATTTAAATATATCTTTATTTTGAACACACACAAACATGTTAAAGAACATAATGGCAAATGAGTAAACATATAAGATTTTCTTTCTCTGTTTACATTTAGCGGTCAAGTATAAAATTTGATGTTATTGCTCTGTTTTTCTAGAAGAGACTGATAGTTCCTGACCAAAGAGCAGATGGCAGCTGTGACCAGACCTTTGTAAATCTATTTTTGTGTGCCAACTGCATTCATTCCTGAACCATGCCTTAATAACACTGCCCTTGAAAACTACCTGCAAACTTTATTTGATCCAGAATGTAGCAATGTGAATATGACAAGAATTGTTTGAGTTAAGTGAAAACACTTTTGTTACAAAATGCAATAAATTATATTGTGGAATTATTTGTTTTATTTAACAAACGGATCATTGCCCATCTTAATCATGTAACTCTTGTGGCTAAAACGGATAAAAATAAAAACATAATAAAAAGTATCAAAAAAAGAAGTAAATTATGTTAATGATAAGTACAAAAAAGGAATTTTGGTGCAATGATGAAATGAAAGACACTGTGGATGAGAAAAAATGTGTAAAATGTATAAAAATGTATTAAATGGATAAAAATGAATGTGACATGAGTATGTAAGATAGCTACAAAAATATAGGAGGAGGGATTTAAATTTAAAAGAGGAGGGAATTGAACTTGAATGGTGGGCATATCTCCAACTACAATCAAAATATACGAAGGATAAAAAAGATTGGGGCATAAAAACAGAGTTAACAGAATTTGATAAAAATTTTATTAAGAACAGACAAGAAAGCAATAAGGAAAATATATCATTATTTATTGGAACAAGACAAGTTAAAAGAACAGGTAAAAGAAACTAGGATAATTTGGAGCAAATATTTTGGCTATAATATTGATCCAGACAAGTGGCAGGATCTTTGGGAAAGAAACATATAAATTACCTTAGCTACTACATACAAAGAAAATTTGTACAAGATGTTTTATAGGTGGCATCACCCACCCACAAGATTAGCAAAAATAAACAAAAAACATTCATCGATGTGTTGGAAGTGTGAGGCAGTGCCAGGGACCTTTTATCACATGTGGTGGGAGTGCCCATAAGTCGAAAAATTCTGGCACCAGGTAAGACAATGGATAGAGGAGATACTAATGCAAAATATAGAAGCAAAACCGGAATTCTTTCTACTGGGTATTATTGAGGGCAAATACAACAAGAGCACAATTTACCTAATGTTACACATTCTAACAGCAGCAAGACTAGCTTTTGCACAAAAATGGAAAAACAAAGAGACCCCCACAGAAGAAGAAGTGTTAGCTAAAATATTAATTTGCACAGAAATGGACAGACTGACCTTGGAACTTAAAGATAAGAATGAATCAGAGTATTATGAAATCTGGAACAAATTTTATGATTGGCTGGCAAGGAGGAGAAATGCTATGATATAAGACCATTGACAAGTAAAATGCTTGAAAGTTTTTATGCTAATTTGTTATGATAGATACAATTGAATTAGATATCAAAATAATCTATGTGGATGAAAGAATATTTGTATTTGAAATGTGATAATTAGTGTAAATATGTATAGAGATAAAGAAGTGTATTAATTATATGACAAAATTCAATGAAAATCTTTAAACTGGAGATGCCACGCTATGTCCATTGTTTTTAATTTGTATTATAAATAAAAAACTTTTTATATATAAAAAAAGGAATGAAATTATCCATTGTTTATAAGGAATGTTTATTATGATGTAAGAACTTTCTTATTGAATACTGATAACCCTGGTATGCAGAGGATGCTGTTGGCTAAGAATGAATTGTAGGGAAATTTTGTCTGCCTTGCACAACAATGATGTGGATTGAATATGTATGCACTGCAAAAAGGAGTGGTTCTTTTCCATTTTATTTTCTCTATCAAACATGATTGCAAATTATGGGAAATTAGAGCAAGTAGACAAATATATGTTGCTGGTACAATGTTTATCAATGATAGGAAAATGAATGAATATTAAGATGTGAAAATACTGGCAGAAAGGTGGCAAATCTGTTCTATTTGTCAAGAGAAGCAAAAATAACTGCATGTGATTCCAGCCAATCTGTCATATTGATGTGAAAGATAAGAATGTCAGGAGAAACAAAAATGCAGTGAGAATAAATTGCTTAAGAAATATTTAATAACAAAATCAGAGCTATAGTTAGGAATAAATGGTACTACAAGTCATCGTCAACTTATTTGTTTAGTGACTGCTTGAAGTTACTACGGCACTGGAAAAAGTGACATGACTGTTTTTTACTTATGATCATTATAGTATCCTTGTGGTCACAGGTTTATGACAGTTGCAGTGTCCTAGAGTCATGTGATCACCTTTTTCAACCTTCTGACAAGCAAAGTCAATGAGGAAGCCAGACTCACTTAATAACCATATTACTAACTTAACAACTGCAGTGATTCACTATGGCAAGAAAGGGTGTAAAATGGGGCAAAACTCACTTAACTCTCTTGCATAGCAGTGGAGATTTTGTAAATAAATGTGGAAAACAAACTAAAGTTTGGGAAAAACAAATGTTGGGGTTAACCTATTTTGGCTATATGAGCAGGGGGGAAAAATATGAAAAGTTATATGGTTTAACCGCTAATCGTAGGATAATCCTGGTAGGATTGAAACAGCTGATAAAAGGAGACAGTACTAAGTGTCAAAATTCTGTAAATTATTAAAAAAAAGTTTTGTGAACAAAATTTCTAATTTATGAAAAATTAGTCATGCCAGATCAACCTCATTGTTTTTATGGAATGACCAATTTAGTTGACCATGAAAATGTAAGAGACATAACATATCCTGATTTCAGTATAAGTGTTTGACAGTTTTCATGAAAGTTCAGTAGCCTGGATCATACTACCATTAGATGGACGCAGAGCTCGCTGAACAATTATACCACCAAATGACTGTCCATCAATGGCTCTTCAGCATCCAATGGGAAACAGAGTATTGCATGGTTCCATTTTAGACAATATGCTGTTAAACATATTTTTACATGATCTGGGTGAGGGGGTAATAAAATAGGATTATATAATTTGCAGATGACACAGTGGTAGGGGAATAGCAGGCATGTAAAAGAACAGATAACACAGCCTCCAGGTACCAGGATAAGATGGTTATGATATTGCTTAATTTGCAAATGGTAGAGATTTACAACTGGATATCATCAGCATGTTTCACCCCAATGAAACAAAAGTGTTTATCCCATAGACTCATGTAGATGTCAAAAAGGAAACGACAAAGCACCAAACTCTGTAGCACCCTACCTAGTAGTAGAGGCTGAGGGCGGGACCTCTCCTACCCAATCATCTTTGACTGGAATCGACCCTGAGGGAAAGAGGTGAACCAGCTGAATACTGTGCCACCCACCTCCAGTCCTCTGAGTTGATCCAGAAGGATACCATAGTAAACAGTATTGAAAGTCACCAAAAGGACAAGTTTAGCTTTGTCCAATATCGTGGGTCCAGCGAAATCTTTTTAAGAAGAAAGCAAATAGCAGTCTCTTTAAGAGACGAAGGAATAACCCCGTCACTCAAAGAAGAATTAACACTACCAGAACCCACTAACATTCCTCAGGCTACTTTAACTAGCCAGGAGGGACATGGATCTAAAAAGTAGGTGGTTGCAGTCACAGTCCTAAGAACCCTGTTCACTTCCTCAGGTACAACAGGTTCAAACCAGATAACCAGGCAAGACTCTTCTCTAGGCATCTCCTCTGGACCTGCGACAAAGCCAGTGTCCAACTGGGAATGAAACTGAGTGACATTATCTGACAGATGTTATGCAAATTCTTCTGCATGCCCCTGTAAGAGGATCGTAATGCCCCTTATCCAGAGGGCCTATGTCACCCAAAACAGGACTGTGGATGCATTAAGGATGAAATACTGGTGCTTCATGGCCCTTGCTGCCACAAGATAAGCCTTAATAGCAGCTCTAACCTGCATTTGGTTGAGTTTGTTGAGCACTAATGGAACTCAAGAGGTCTCTTCTCCCATTTCAGCTCCCTCCTCTGTAAACCACAGAGGGTGACAGAATCCTCCAGAGGAAAGAATTTACACAGGTATAATCCAATCTAAGGTCTCAGCTGCCCCATTATTTCAAGCGGCAACCAAAGCCTCAGATGGACCATACGGCAAACCAAAATGGATAACCCCCAACTCCCTCTGAAGCGGCTCAGGGTCCATCAGTTGCTGGAGGTGGACCAATCTAATGATCCAACTTCTATGCAATAGGAGGTGACACAAGAGGAACCTGTGGTAATCAAGGAGAGAACTGTCCATGACAAAAGAAACACCAAAAGCTCCCCCAGTTTCAGATCACATTGCCAATGATTCGAAAGAACATCAGATCTGGAAGGTGAATATTATCTTGAATTGAGCTTGAATGACCTAAGATAGGACCATGGCTAAGATAGGACCATAAACTCCCAAGCCACCTCAGATTCCACTCAGAAGCAAGGCAGTGCCCCAGAACTGTAAGCCTGGGAAACTCCAGTGCCAATCTAGAAATGGTGTCAACGAACTCAGGCAGGGAAGATTGTTATGCAACAGGGAGGTTGGTACAAGAGCAACAATCTCCACTGATCCCTACAGCCCAGTTTAAGAAACAAGATCTCACAACTAGTGTCCTGCAAAGCAGGGCTCTGGAACGCCTTAAGAATTTCCTTAATAACAAATAACATACCCTGACTCCTGCCCTGGAATCTGGTGGAAACTCAGCTGGGCAGATTTCGGAAAGGGCAACCCCCGCTTTCAGAACTCAGCCAGGTCTTGGTAACACATGCTAGGTCAGCCTTCGTCCACAATCAAATCACAGATGAGGGGAGCCTAATTACAAATCAACCTGACATTCAGTAGGAGCAACCAGAGGCAAGGGTTGCATAAAAGTGGCAAGAAAACTTTTAAAGTAACATTTTATGTGATTTTTTTTAAAAAAATATTCTATTTGCATTATGATTTCCCAACTCTTTCCCTCCCCAGGTCAATTTCTTTTTCAATTATTACAGGTACAATCGCTACATAGTAAAAGTTAAGCATGACATCTTTCTGCAAATTGAAATATATATTACATAGTTTTCTGGAGATTCAAAAAAGGAAAATAGCAACATGATAGGTACAAAAATTTAGATACACTTTCTATCAGTCTTTTTTAACATATCTTTGGCAGAAATTAACAGTTGCCATGTATTGCCTATAAAGTCTAGTTGTGACTGATTCTAGGGAGTGCTGCTCATTTCCGATTCTCAGCCAAAGTATGTGAGAGACACTTTCATACATTCCAGTAGCTGAGAGTGTCTGAGAGACAATTTCATCATCATGTGGCCAGCCTTAAAATACAGACCACAGTAACCTTCCTGCTGAAGCAGTACCTATTTATCTACTTCATTTGCATGCTTTTAAACTGCTATTTGGCAGGAGTTGGGGCAAGTAATGGGAGCTCATCTTGTCATATGGCACTCAGGTCTTGAATCCGAGTTGGCTGTTGGCTTTCCAGCTAACTAACTGAAAGCCCAGCATCTTAACTGCTGAACCATCAATAATCTTTTAATTCTTGCTTTTGGAATCTTCTCCCATTTTCCTAATTCAGAAATATTTTAGATTTCTTTGTACATAACTAACTTTGTGGCTTGTCAATACACACATAGGATAATAGTATATTATAATTGAAATCACAGATACCACTAGCTTATTGAATGCAATGGATACATAAGTGGCAAAAAGGAGTAGTAGTAGTAGTAGTAGTAGTAGTAGTAGTAGTAGTAGTTGTTTATTGGCTTGTTCTTGATTTCTTTAAGAACCATACCAAAAACACTAACTAAGCCAGAGAGGAGAATCCCCAAAATTCTCTTGTACAGATAAGAGTTACTGAGTATATGATTATATGACAACTAGGATGTGTTGGTTTTTTTGCTTTTATATATTCAAAAATTAGATTTCTTTAGTTTCAATATTCTCCTATATATTAGATTGGAACTGGTGCATGAAACTTTTTCAAAGTTACTTTCTTTGCACTTAGATTTACATTTGGATAAAATATTACTCTAAACAAACTTGCTTGGAACATAGGCTGAGATGTATATCTACATAATTGTAACAAATATTGTCTCATTTCCAGAGACAATATTAATTAATTAATATTAATTTCTGAGTTAATTTACTGAGCTACTTGTGAGACTAATTTACTTCAGTGAAATGACTTTTGTTGTACATTATATTAGGTAATATTATGACAATTGTTAAATACTGTAAGAAGCAAGACAAACAAGAAATAAGGGAAAGTGAAGAAACTAAAATCACATTGATTTGTTTATAACAGAAAAGACTAAGGATCAAGTTTAAATGACAAAGCAGAAATGGCAAAGGCACTGTAAAGAGGTTAAGATGAATTTATGGGAAAATTTGTAATAAATAAATAAATAAATACAGATTTTCTATATTTAGTCTTATTTTGATCTTGCCATGTTTATACTATTTTGTTTAGAAAATCGTATCTCCAGAATTAATGGAAGAACTTTTGATAAATATCGTTTCAAACACTGAATATCAATTAACATATTTAGATTAATCCTGGTTCATTATTTAGAGTCAAACGCTCCAATTTATTTTAACAAAGATTATCTGCATTTCAAAGCTAAAGCAGCACAGTGATCTTTTCATACATTTAAAAAGTGTCCTAATTTTAGTTCTAACAAATGTATCCTTCATATCAGGATAAATAATATGGTTCCAGAATATAATGTGAAAGGATATGTTGGATGTTATATTAGAAATTACTAGTTCATAATTCCTGCAACAATAATAGTATGTTACTTTTAAAAAAGTCTTTCCATTTTAAAAAGTAGGGATGACATCACAGAAGTGTTTCTTTTCCCTAATGTTCTTCAAATACTGTCATTTTATTTATTTTATTGCACATATAATTTTTAGATTTTTGAAGCAGTCATTTTTTAATTGTAAACAAGTTTTCTAATTCACATTATACATGTAAGGAATACATAGAACCAGAGTAGTTTTATAATACTTTTACGCCTTTTACCTCGGCATCCTGAACAGTGGATGAAGAAGTTGATTAAATCCAGCAATGCTATATCCCTGTCTTGCTTATACAATTCAATCCAGTCATCTACCACGGACTGTCAAAGAGAGAGAACAGTCAGAATTCAAGACAGAATTCAACACTTCATCATACTACATATAAATAACACTCAATTTTCACCAGTGATTTCAAATATGTGTTAAATCTCATTCTGTGATTTATTAAATATATCATAGATAAACAGCCAGGAGTTTATTACCAGAATTTCTGAAAAATCCTGACTGAGTAGGAAAATAAATACCATAAAATAGTACCTTCAACACTCTTCTGTAGCAATGTGTTTCAAAAAGATGACATAATTAACTGAGGTGAATGGTTTTTTTAACATCAGTGCAGATAGTCCTCAATTTACAATCATTTGTTCAGTGATCATTTGAAATTATAGTGCTGAACAAAAAAATTTATAACCTATGCCTCAAGTTATGGCTGTTGCAGTTTATGCAGTTTATGCCCCCCTGCAGACATTCTATCAAAATTTGGATGCTTGGAAACCTGCTCACACTTATGATTTACATACTCTTCCATCTGGCTATCTCCCTCCCCAATCTGTGCCTATTTGGGCCTTACCATCCTGCCTTGCTGGGAGAAGCTGGCTTACTGGGGTAGGTAGTCAACCTACCTTTTAGCCTCTTGCAACCAGAAGATGGGGAGACAACTAGCACTGACCAGGGAGGAAGGTTAGTGTTCTAACCATTGATGGTGTTTGCAAAAGAATGAAGCCAGCTGGCAGTCAACAGACTGCAGGCCTCTCCTAGTTCTTGGCTTGACTTTGGAAATGAAGGAAGCCAAAAGAAAAAAAAACTTTGCAAAGGCAGCGAGGGTTCAGCATGTGAAGACATGGCAGATGGTGAGTCCTTAAAGGGAGTCAGCTAGGTAACAAAAAGTTGAGCTCTCATAGCCATTGCCAAGTATTTTGTTCGGCTCTCCACAAAAACCACCCTCTGAAGGATTTTGTTTCCTTCATCCTTCTCTTTTTTAAATTAAATTCCCAGGATATTCTTTTTTTTTCTACTCTTCAGCCTGCCAGTCACTCATCAATCTAAGCTATTTACAGATTTTGTCACCCTCTTTCCAGTGTGTATAATAAATTTAACAAATTAAGTTAAATTTACTTGAGAAGCAATCAAGGCTTCTCATGGCTTGTTTGGAAGCCTTGGAGCCTCTTCAACACAGGATTGGAGCACTTGGCTCTAATCTAGCTGGACTCTTCCTCTGCTGGGCTGTTTTTTGTTTTGTAAAACTTCTTGCTGCTTCCCTGCGTTCTTTTCAGACCCAGCTGGGTTGTAGGCCTCCCAGGGCTCTCCACCCAAGCACTTTGTATTCTGATTAATGACCTGTGTAGTCACTTAACAATCACACTTCAGAAAGCCAGGATGCTGTTGTAAAATCAAGTCAGGTCACGTGGTAACTTGACTTACAACCATAATTTGGGGTTCAACTGTAGTTGCAAGCCAAGGACTATCTGTACCTAAGGTGTACTAGATTTTATGTGCTTTGCAATACAACCAGTCCTCTACTTACAACCATTCATCCAGCAACAATTCATATTTATGACAGTGCCTAAAAATGAACTTCTGACCCGTACTTGAAGCCACTGCAGCACCCCCACACTCATGTGATTAAAATTCAGGCCCTTGGCAGCCCACCCATACTAATGACTATAAGGGGCATTGCAATTCTCCCCACCCTCCTATCTCCCCTTCAATCCTCCAATCTATGCATGCCCCATTACTTCTCAAATAGTGCACCTGTTCTCACAAGACCTTAGGAAAACCAGACGTTTCTGGTAGGAACTTGAGAATGGGACATGTAATTTGGACAAGGTATGGGGCACGAAGCTTAGAGAATGGTGCAAGGTGGTCTGCTGTAGCTAGCAGCTGCCTTGCATATAGCCAGATGTGTTTCTTGAGCAGCAGAAGAAAAACAATTAAGATCAGATGGGTGCAGCTGAGGCTTCTATGGGCAGCTGTTGGTTTGTGCTAATCTGCACACAGCCTGCACATGGTCTCCTATGGCTTCTTTCATCTTCCTTCAGCACCTGTACTCCTTACCTGGAGCTCCCTCTGCTTAACAACACACAACACACAATGGTAACTGAGACTGAAATGATGGAGGTTACTAAGTGACACAGTGACAAGACATTTTGCTTTACAACTGCATCATTTAGAGATGAGTACCAATTGTGGTCATAAATCAACAACTTCCTATACTAGATTCTCCCTTGAATTAATCAAAGCCTTCAAATAAATATAGTTGGCAATATCTTGCAGCTAGGTATTAATCCTTCCAGGTAGACCAGTGCTGGAGAGGCAAGGTGAGGATCGAAAAATGTGTAGAGGTGTGTCACAATGAGGGAGGCATGGTGGGACTCGAAAAGGAAAACGGGAGGTGTGTGAGGAAGGTGTGCCAGGTGTGTACAGGGAGAGAGTATGTGGGAGTGCATAAGGGTGCGGGGGAGGTGTGGTAAGATTCGGGGAAAGTGTGCAGGGATGTGTGTGAGGGAGATATGGCAAAGTTTATGGAGGGTGCATCAGTGGCAGGGGAGGCAAGGCGATTCTCGGGGAGAGGTACAAGAGAGGCATGACAAGGGTCAGTGAGATGATGTGGCAAAACTAAGAGTGGGTATACAAGGCTACCTAAATAGGGGAGGAGACAAGGAAAGGCCTAGGGAAGGTAGGTGGTCGTGACAAGTGGCTGGTGTGATGTGAGTACAGAGAGGCTGGGCAGGGTGCACAGGTGGGGGAAAGAGATCAGAGATTTGCCACCTTCCCCATTGACTTTCTGGGGAAGCCAGCAGGGAAATTCACAAATGGCATTCATGTGATGGGCACTGGAACCAACTTTAAGTGCAAACCAGTTGCCAAGAAACCAGCTTACAACCATCTGATCACAGGGATACTGGGATAGCCAACATTCAAAGGACCATTCGTTCAGTACCATCTTAATTTTAAAAAATCATGTTTTCATGTGTTTTATAGTTTTAATATGTCATTTTAACTTTTGATTGGGAGCTGCCCAGAGTTGATTAAAAGATGGGGGAGGGGTGCTATATACGTCAAGGACTACCCCATAAAGCAGCATTCTAGTATTGTATTTCCTATGGTGTCCTGACCTGTGACCCAAAGAAGTAAACGCTCTACTATTGCTATTTGGTGAGGCATCACAGCTTCACATTTGTGAAGATGGCATCTGCTCTTTGGAGCACTCACTTTACTGAAGTATTATTACAGCACCAACAGCAAATGGATTTACAACTCTCAAATAAGAAATCTTTCCAATGCTATGATACAACTAATACAACATTTAGTCCAAGGTCTGCACAGTAAGGTGACTTTTGTTTTGAATCTACTGAAAAAAGGGGTTAGACAAATGGGCACTGCAATAACTGAATCATTTATTATTGGACAGTTTTCATGCATTTTTCCAAAAAAGCTGCATTTGATAATTTAATCAAAAGACCAATAGTCCCAAAGGTCCTTTTTCAAGAGGCAACTGAACTTTCTAGTTTTTCTTTGAAGACGTTTCGCTTCTCATCCTATTCTTGGAAGTTTCTTGGATGAGAAGCAAAATGTCTTCAAAGAAAAACCAGAAACTCTAGTTGCCTCTTGAAATGACCATGACCTGGATGACCGAGAATCTCCATAGATAAAAGACCAATAGGAAATTGTCACCATGTTTAACAGAAAATCAAGATTTTTGCAACTTTAAGCATGCTTAATCATATAATTTCTTAATACATATTTTCAAGTATTTCTACTTCTCACTGTTTATCATTTCCTGATCAATTTACTAAACCTCATTGCCACACAGAAAATATTTTACTGATGTTTTTGGGGAGGAGAAGCAACCACATTGCCTCATTGTCAGTATAACTTTACAATCAACTTGAAGCTAGGAGCCCAGACTCCAATAAGTGACCATATCCATAATTTGAAGAAAGGATTTATTTGCCCTTCTAAATCCCCAGCCTTTGTATCCATATTGTTCATCACTACTAATTCATCAAAGATAATTCTTTGAGGAATGTGTATGGTTCCTATAATGTAACCGTTAAATATCACTCCCCAATGCCTTTCTTTTCAGATCTGCTGGCTGGCTTCAGGAGACACTCATTTTCAAAATTGGAGTTACTTATAATTAAATCAGAATGAAAGAAGACCATGGATATTTAATTTCATTTGATATGAGATATGGCAATTTTTAATACAAAGTAATACCTTTTTGCTTAATTGTGGGAAGATCCTTTTCAGATTCAAGTATGAAATATTTTCTGATATGTGTAAATATTTGTGTACATACTGATCTTTTTCAGAAGGTTCATGTCAGCACAGTCAAATATGTGTTACAGTGACTCTGTAAACATAGAATTTTTGCTAAATTGGAAAAGTGAGATTATTTTGTCTCTTTTACTGGATTTCTACAGAAGGAATACAAATGGATTTCATTGAAAGCACCTATAAATTAAGGGTGTCTAGCATTTCTGAGCTTCACAAATTCTTATAAAAAGCTCATTCCTAATTTTCATTCCTACTGAAGTGCCCTTGTACAGGACACAAGGATTGTCTCAAAGAAAGAACCCATGTTCAAATGGTCTAACGAAGAGCAAGCAGTTTCAGAAAGTGAAAGTCCTTTTCTATTCACAGTTGTTCCTTAAACATCACTCCCATCCTTTTGTGATGCAAACAGATGCCTCAGATTTTGCATTAGGAACTGTTCTCCTTGCAGCAAAAGAGATCTCCTGCTGTGTGTATTGTATTCCTAATTGCTTCTCCCAGCTGAACAGAACTAAGATAATAAAGAGTTGCTTGCAATAAAAATTGTGTTCTAGCTGTGGCAGCACAGATTACAAGAATTTGGAAAATTTTGCAAAAGGCATACTCTTTGCAAAATGTTTCATCAGATCAGATGGACACAACTGGTCTTCCATTTCAGTTTTTATATCATTTATAAGCATGCCTCACCAAATAAATTACCAGGTGCACTATAATATAAGCTAAACATCGATTTCCATACTTATCCCTCCTTATATAATCCTGCAGCCAAGCAACTGTGCCCTCCCCAAAATTACATTCTCCAAAAGACTTAAGGACAGGGAAACAGGTTGTGAATCTGTTATATCGAATTACCGGTAGAGTGCAAGACCAGGAAGCATATGTTAAGGTTCAGATGGATGACCTTCAGTGAGATCACTGAGTCTTCATCTTTCTGTATAAATGAAGGGTGGTTGTTCCATAATGAACATTTATCTATTCCCTTTTCTTTAAGGGGAGAGGTACTGTATCTATGTCATGAAGGATGTTTCATGTTATCATATATATTGCCAGGTAAAGATTGTTCAGGGAAAACTGGTTGGTTTGCTTCTCCAATTGTACCACGGGATTCCATGTCACTAGATTTTATCACCCTCGTTTCCCATTTTCAGGGATTTACATCCATTTTGTGGTAGTGGATTTATTACACTATTTCATTCCATATAGGCCTTCCTTTGCCTCAGGTAACTGCAACTTTATTTTAGACCATGCTTTCAGTTAAAAGGACTTTTACAGAAAGTGAATTAATTATGATACACAGGGGAATTAATTATGGAATAGATAAAACCTACAAATCAATTGTAGCTGGCTATTGAGTGGTCCGCATTTTCTTGGAGTCAGAAAATAACATACTTTTGAGAACATAAAAAGCTCAGTTGGATGACACTGCAGATATAGTAATAAAAATCCTCTTTGCCACCATTAACATCCCAGAGTAGGATTGCAACTAGGCTCACTTGACTGACTATATTCAGTCAGACCTGTTTGCTATCACATGTGTTTCATTCATCACTGCACTCATTTCATCACCCAAGCTTTTGGTAAAACAGGAGCGCTGGTTTCATTCTGCTAAAACAAAAAATAATATGCAAAAAAAGCATTTCTGTCAACTATCCAGCCAATTTTTCCATGCAGGAACAAAACATATTCAACATATATAAAATACAGTTAACACAAGTTCCCAAAGGCAACAGTGATTTTACCTGCATAGCACTTTTGCCCATCTTCACAACATCAAACAAAGTAACAGGATCCCCTTCTCCATTCTGCTGAGGATGGCCATTAGCTCTTCCTCGACCTGTTCCTCTAATTCCAGTTTCAGAGCGAAACTTGTCTCCTGGAGTCTTTCGAGGCTTCTTATTGGCAGACTGGGAGATAGAAGATCAGGAGAGACAGCCTTGAGACTCTTACATCATACTTAATATATTATGCTTTTACAAATGATAGTTTTAAAGAACAGTAAAAAATTCTGTTTCAAGTCTCAACATATAAGTCAACAGATTTCAATACAATTTTTACAGTAACATTAGTCTTATCTAAAGTGTAGAAGACTTCAATAAATTTTCGATGTATTTCGATGTATTTTATATTTTATTTCCTAAAATATAAAAAATAGTTTTAAAAAAGAAATCCAAAGCACTGATTACACATGGTGTAATCCAAAATTTAACAGAGGCACTAAACCAGTAATAGAGGTATAACATTTTTGTATGGGGGGAGGGAAGAGAGAATTACAGTTTACAGGATTTACTGTATTTTTCGGAGTATAAGATGCACTTTCCCCTCCCAAAAGTGAGTGAAAATTTCAGTGTGTCTTATAGACTGAATTTGGGCTCCCGAACCCTACGTGTGTCGCGTTTTTGCCCTCCCCAGCCTACAGAAGCATTCTGCAGTTCTCTGCACAGCCCGTTTCGCTAAAAACGGGTGTGTTTTTGGGCTCCCATGCGTTGCATTTTTGCCCTCCCCAGCCCCCAGAAGCACTCTGCAGTATTCTGCACGGCCCAGTTTTGCTAAAAATGGGTGTGTTTTTGGGCTCCCGAACCCCCCCGCGCATAGCATTTTCGCCCTCCCCAGTCCCCAGAAGCACTCTGCAGTGCTCCGCATGGCCTGTTTCTCCCAAACCCTCTATGTGTCATGTTTTTGCCCTCCCCGGCCCCCAGAAGCACTCTGCAGGCCAAAAATGGGCACGTTTTTGACAAAAATGGGATGCACAAGGGTTCGGGGGCCTGCAAAGTGCTTCTAGGGGCCGGGGAGGGTGAAAACGGGATGCACAGAGGCCAAAAACTATTTTTTTCTTATTTTCTTCCTCTAAATCTAGGTGCGTCTTATAGTCCAGTGTGTCTTATAGTCCAAAAAATATGGTACTTAACATTTAGTTAAAAGGCTCTAATGTTAGCTCGCACACATACACACATGTGCACATACACATACTGCAACTCCAACATTCTTTGAGGAAGAACACCTCATAGCCATGCCTAGCCAAGTGAGCAGGTAAGTAAAATTAGTTCTAAGCTCTGTAAATCAACTGCAGACTCATATTCAGAAGAGCACAGTAACAAAGCTAATTTATGAAGAGAAGGTAGAAATTTGTTGACTATGACAAAGCAGAGAGTATGATATGCCACTTGAGAAGCAGCTACTATTGCTTACTTATTGTTATACCAGAAGTCATTATTAAGAAACTTTGGAGAAACAGATCAGCCAAAGATGATTATATTAAGTTGAGAGCCAGTTTTTTCTAGTGGTTAAGGGACTAGGCTAGAAAGTGGGAGACTGAGTTCAAGTCCTGCTTTAGCCACGAAAACCAGATGGGTGATTTTGGGCCAGTTCACCTCTTCCAGGCCACCTCAAATTTAGTTGCTGTGGGGAACAAAGGCAGCAGCTTCCAGATACTTTTCAAAGGTAGCCCCATGTACAGCACATTGAAGTAGCTCAAATGAGAGATAACCAAGACATAAATGACTGAGAAAGGATTCCCAAACCAGGAAAGGGTACAACTTGCGCACAAAGTTCAGCAAAGGCCTTTCTAGGCATGGCTGCCACCTGCTCCTACAGCAGGAGTCATGAGTCCAGGAGAAATTCCAAATCACACATCTGATTCATCTGGGGTTGTGCAATCCCATCCAAGACCAAAGATGGCAATCATCAAGATAATAGAGATTTGAGGACATTTCTACAGTAACTGCAATCCTCTGGAACACACTACCTCAAAAGTTACATTAAGCCCTCTCCTTTATATTTCACAAGACAGTATGAACAATACCATTTTACAATTTCTTCTGTCCTGCCTGTATTTGTTCATGTTGGATATGTATCAAAGTTATCATTTTAATTTTTTAAATTTTGTGTTTTGTTCATGCTTTGATCGCCAACCAATCTTAATTAAGGAGATTTACAAATACTATAAACAAATGAATTAACTGTCTAGTTAAATCAATTATATTAACATGTATATATGATTGGTCCTGAGTCAGCTACTTAATTACTGTAATTACTGTACATGTCTCACATTTCCTGCACCTGTAGCAACAGCAAAAAATATAACACATATAAAATAACAGTTGTAATTTGTAGTTATAATGTACAGTTGTAATGTAACATTAAAATTTCAAAAATACATAAGACAGCAGAGAATTAACTTATTTAAGCCAAATACTAGTAATAGTTTTACTAAAAACCTATTTACCTGCATATAAGAGATGAAAAATGGGAATAGCTATTGAGTAGCTTCCTGTTATGCATGCTCTGTATAATCAGGCATTCTGATTATATGACTTCATTCTGAATCAGTGGAAGTTTTCAAGCATTCTTCAAAAGCAACTTCATGTATGAAATGCAATTAAAGTATGTTCCGTGTTACTGTACTGATATCACTGCTGACTATGATCTCCCTGATTCAGGATTGAATAAAGGAATATTTTGACCTGTATTAAGTTAAAGATTGTGAGCATCATAAGCACGGTTAATATACAAATATTGTGAAAGGGCTACTGTCATCATGCCTCCAAAGTAACCAATGAATAGCCAGCAAGTTCCATCAGAAATCTATAGCCAAATCAGTGCTAGACAAGAGAGCAAAGATCAGGGTTCTGATCCTATGAAGTAATTTCCACACCAGGTAATCCTGTTAAGCAGTCATAATTCAAGGCATATAATACTAACCGATCACATACATTCACAGAAATAAGGTAGTCTCAAGCAGACTAGCGAAAAGGCTGAAGTAATTACTGTAAAGTATTATTGTTTCATGCAACCATTCCCATTCTGTTTGGTGGAGTGCTTTAAGGTACTGTATGCCTCAATGTACAAAAGCAAAATATTGTCTCAATGTCTCCAATGAAAGCCTTAATGAAAATAAGCTGATTGCACAAAAGACCACCCCAACAACACTGACAGACAAGCCACCAGAATATAAACTGACAGCAAACTGCACTACTTACTAGCACTCATGATGTTACTTAGTTTGGGTAATGAAACATCTGCAAGAAAATGAGCAAGCTGAGAGCACCAAGGAACAAGGGGAAAAAAACTAAAGCATTATTTGCAAGAGACAGAAGATAGTCAGTCCTCACTTATCAACTGCCTCATTCAGCAACTGTTTAAAGTTATGATGATTCTGAAAAAGTAGGCTTATGGCTAACAACTAACAACCACCTCAGTTGGTCCCCAGTGTCCCCATAGCAATGCAATCACCATTTGCAATCTTCATAGCTGGCTTCCATCAAGCAAAGTCAATGGGGAAGCTGGCAGGAAATTACTAATCATCTGATATTGCATTTAATGACCTGTGAATTCCTTAATGAGCACAGCAAAACTGATGTTATGATGTTATAAGTCAGGTGTGGACAGATGACATTTCATTCATTCATGTAGTGATGATGTTGCTGGTTCCAATAGTGATTGGCAAGAGAAAACTACCTGTACAAACAAGAACTTTTTCTGTACAAAGGTAAACATTGGAATCATTAAGAATAATTATTATAAATGCAGGGATTTAGATGGAATACATTTTCCACCAAGCTGCTAAAATTATTGAGTTCTTGGTGCTCTCTGAGCTTGGTTCTTTGCTTTCATTACCCAACCGAGTAACATTGTCCAGTGCTAGTGAATGGAATTTGCTGCCTGTTTATTTACAGTAGCTTGCCCTGCCAGTTTCGTGGCAGTGTGGTTTCCTCCTAATGGTTCCTTGATTGGAATATTATTTTCTGCCTGATTGCCTCATTTTGATCCTTGTTTATTAGTGTTGGCTGCTAGAAGGAATTTATTCTAGTCTTATTTCCTAAGTTTTTTATTGTCTCTTTTGAATGGTGTGCAAATGTGGTTTATCTCTACGTACCGATTCTTCCACTGTTTAAATTTTTACTTCAATACACAAAAACATCTCACCTTTTAATATATCTAGCAATAGAGTTTCTATACGTATAAAGTACAAATATTTATCTAGGAAGGTAGTTGTATGTATTTGATATTACAGCAATGAGTACTGTGTGCTATCATAGAAAAGAAGAGCATGATTAATGATTTTTTTCTAAAATTTCTGCTCCATATCTGATTTAAAGATTAAGCAGCAAGATGGGGAAACAGTGCCTTTGAAATTGCTCATTGACAATTGGATGTTTGACCTTTGGACCATGTATGCATTTGATCAGACCACTTTCAACTGTAACAAGTGACAAGTAACATATTTCTATTCAGATTACAATACAGCAATAATTTGATTTAAAAGACTCCCATGTAGCAGACTGTGAATGCAATAAAAAGCTGTCCACAATTCCTCTTGAAATAAGAGAAGCCTACTGTATCCAAAATAGTTCAGATGGGGCAATAACATTCTCCTTAATTTATCACATTCATACTCTGTACAATCACATCTCACTTAAAAAAACTGCAAGTGACCCAAGCATTTAAATAAAATATCCATGCCATGAACTACCATAAAGCAAACAAATGAATAATTAAAAACAACTGTGTTGTCCTGTCTCTTTCAATAGGCCATCTGGGATGATTCACTTTTGAGTGTTTATGGAAGGCTAGGATATTGGGGCATAATTTAATTTATAAGAGGAAACTCTTCCATAAAACAAGTGTTGTTGTTATTGATAAGCATTTCTTTTATGGAAAGAACCTATGAGCTTCCATCTGAGCCCCAACCCAATATCTTGCAGAGGTGACAGATTATCAACAATTTCTCCTGGAATGCTCAGTCAAATTGGTCCTGCAAGTATCTCAGTGTCAGATTATGCAGGGCTTTATAACAAAACAACCAGTACTTTATTGCAGCTGGAAGCCAACAAATATCCAATGGAAGACTTGGACTACAGGTGTAATATCTTCATAGTAATGAATGCCACCTACTAGTTGGGTTGCT